ATTAGGTAGACTTCTTAGTTAGAGTATCTACACTTTATAGTTATATTAATACTATATAATAGGTTACTAGATTACTACCTTAGTAAGAGTAGAGAATCTAGAATTATTAGAGGATATAGATTCTTAGAATTAATATAGTAATATAATAATAGGGTATAGGTAGATAGAGTAATATAGTTAGTTTAGTAGGAAACTAAATTCTACTAAGCTTCTATTATATAGAAGTATCTACTATATACTCTTACTTAGCTAGTATATTGCTAGCGGAAATTCTAGGTGTAGCCTAAAGCTCTCTTTACATCTTATAACTAATCTAAAAACTACTATAAGAGAGACTTAATTATACTTTTAACTAAGAACCTTAATTAGAGACACTCTAATAGAAAGCTATAAGCGAAATACATTAGGCTATTCTATATAAATAAGCTAATTAGTAAGTAGATATACTATCTATACCTTTCTAGCTTCTACTATATTCACTCTATTTTCTATGTTAGCCTTCTTAAACTATACTAAAGATAGTAAGATAATAGTAAAGAGCTAATACCTAGTCTAGTAGATCTTAGTAAAGAAAAGCCTACTAACTAATATATTACTAAAAAGCTAAGAGATAAGAAGATATAGTAGGGAGTTATTAAGTATTTAGTTAAATAGAAAGGCTAGTTAAAGGCGTATAATAAGTAAGTCTTATAGAATAATACTAATAAAAAACTTTTTAGAAAGTACTAAAGTAAGTTAAACCGGAAGTAAAAGATAAAAGTAAGTAATATATAAATTATAATTATATAGAGTAATATTATAAAAAAATATATAAAGTAGTATTATTAATAGGTATAAGGCCCTAAAGCTATTAAGCTAATAAAAAAGCTAGCGAGCTACTACTACTCCTCTTACTTCTCTATACTATCTAGTACAAAAAATAATAGCAAGAAGCTACTCTCGCTTATTATATTTTCCCTCTTAATAGAATCTAAGCCCACCTAAAATATATTAGTAAAAGAACTATAAATAACTATAAGACACTATATACCTAGGATTATATAATATCTAAAATACTTTTTAATACTTTATAAAATCTTTAGGTTTCGTGTAGTATAGTAAGCTATAGCTTCTTACTCTAGAGCTAGTAGCGAACCCACTACTTATTAGTAGTATAGATAAACGCCTCTATATCTACCTTATAGAAAGCCTAAGCTATAATAAGCGCAGCTTTTGTAGTATTAGCTATTAAGTTACTAGTAACTTATAAGGCTGCCGCCTTATTACTTATATAAAATAGCTTATTAATATAAGCTTTAAATTCTATAGAAATCTATTAAAACGTATAGTAGCGATTTATAAGTTAAAGCGCGAATAATAGTAACTTACCTAATTATACAGCTTTCTAATCTTCTTATAATAGGCGTACTTTGTATACTTTATCTTAATATAAAGGCTATAACTCCCCTTATAAATACACTTAGAGTAGTAGAGATATATAGACTTAAGTAGCCTAATAAGAGCACAAGCTAAGTATATAGTAATAGGTTTTTAATAAAAATTAGTAGGTAAAATATAGCCTAACCGCGTGTCTATTAAACTTATAAATAGAGTACTAGAAATAAATATTATAGCTAAAGAGAAGATAATAGTGAAATATAACTTAAAAGTAAAGGTTATTAAACTTTAGAAAAGCTAAGGGAGCGCGTAATATTTATACGCTCGCTAAAACTTATAATTTACTATTTATATACGTTTATAAGCTTATTTTATATTATAGCCTTATTTCTATTTACTTCTATAATATCTATAGTAATATAGCGCTTTTATGTATTATAAATAGAGAATATAATAGTAAGATATAGGCGTACTACTCCTAAAAATAGCTATATAAGAAGGGGAAGGTAGTTATAAGATATAAAGAGGGCTTTAGGCTCGCTCTAGGCTTCTGGCTAGTAATACACTAGTTAAGTAAGGGTATATATTAGTCTCTCCTATATAATAGACGCTTAATAGAATTTAGTCTTCTATTAAACCTACTATATTATTCTATCCACGCGTGCCTTATTATTATAATACTATATTAACTCTAAGAATCTATATTCTCTAATAAGTATAGTAGCTAGAAATACTAGCTACTATCTTATTTAGAGGAAATCTTAGTAGTTAGTTACTATAAGCTATAAGTCTAGATATAGCTTAGTAAATAGATATAAAATAAGGCATTTAGAATTATAGAAAGAATTAATTTAGGATTCTAATAATACTAGATATACTCTAGAGTTACTTACTAGCTAAGCTACTTCTTATATAGCTTATATATATACTAATCTAATACATAGCTCTCTATTTACTAAACTCTTAATTTAGTCTATGAAAAAGACTATAGACTCTTTCTAAATAGAATTAAGTATAGAGTTAGCTTTCTTATATTAAAACTATTATATCTAAGTATTACAAAAGTATATAGGTAATTTTAGTTTTCTTATTCCAAAAGATATTAGGGACTAGCTAAAATACTAGCTTTATACTATAGTAGAAATCTTATCTTAATACCTTTAATTATTCTTTTCTAAGTGTAAGAGAATCTTTATAATAATAATCGTTCTTTTAAGGACTTTTAGTTCTACTATTATACTACTAATATTATAATTATATAATAGTATTAAACTACTTAGTTTAAAGAAAGTATTATTTTAGGTTATTATAACTCTAGAGGTACTCTAGATTAATAGTAGGCTTATAGCTATATACATATCTAGTTCTTCTATTAGAAGTATATTTAGAGTAGAGGAAATAATAGAATTTATTATTAAGCTAAACCTATACTAGTAGAGAATATTAATCCTTTTTCAAAGAATATATAGCTATTTCTTTTTTATAAGTTTTATATACTTACCTCTAAGTATATTTATTAACTACTATTTACTTATTTTATTAAAGAAGTTTTGATACCTAATTCTACTACACTTTATTAGAAAGATATCTAAATAAGTGTATCTATAATTTATAGTAATATTAATACTATATAATAGAGTACTAGGTTACTATTCTAATAAGAGTAGAGAATTTAAAGCTGTTAAAGAATATAGATTCTTAGAGTTAATATAATAGTATAATAATGTTATATAGTAAATAATTGAAAACATTATAAGAACATAAGATTTTTATTTTAAGTTAAATTTGATATTAGTAAATCTTTTATTTATTTAGGAAATCTAAATATACTTTGAGTATGTTAGGTACTTTTAAAATACTTAAAGAACTTAAATATACTTATAGGCTACTTATAAATAGATTATTTTATTTAAAATACTTTAAATACTTTAATTATTTGAAATACTTTAAACACTTTTAATACTTTAAATACTTTAAATTTTTAAATTATTTAAAATAGCTAACATAGCTAAAATAAAAAGTACTGCTTAGGAAATAGCTTAATAAATAGGTTTTTAAAGTCTTTATTTTTACTTATTGTTTACTTTTTATAAAAAATCAATAATTTTTATAAAATTAAAAGTTAAGTACATAATAACTACTTTAATTGAAAGTTTTACTTTGTAAGCTAGGTTTATTATATATATCTCTCTTTATTATACTTACTAAGTCAGACTTAAAGCTCTATTTGATTTTTTTTAGTTATCAATAAAGTATATTAAGCTTTACTTAGCTATATTTTTTAGCTAACTTAATAATTTTCAAGATTTTAAGAATTTAAATATTTTAAGTAATTTAAATACTATTATATTTAAAGTACTTAGAGTAGTTAAAGTATTAAAATATATTTATAAGCTTTTTAGAGAAATAAGAACTACTTAGAGCTTTAAAGTTTTTAAAAAGCTTTTAAAGTACTTTAAAAGACTTTAAAAAGAAAAAAAGAATTTCCAATAAAAATTTATATAAAAGAAATTCTATTAGGAAAAATTCATATACTTATAAAATTAGAATTAGTTCAAGATATTTAAGCTACTTAAAGTATACTTAGAGTACTTGTTATTTACTATTAGTATTTTAAATATTTAGAATATCTAATATATCTAATATATTTAATATATTTAAATATCTAAAATATCTAAAATATATATGATATTGCAAATAGCTAGCGCTACTTAGTAAGTAGAAACCTTAGAGTTTAAAGTCTTATTTAACTTTTATTCCTTATTATTTACTTACTTTTTGGATTTATTAATATTTTAGCTCTTTTTACTAACTATTTTTAAAACATTATTCTCTAAACTAGCTCTATTATATACTCTCTCTATTCTATTAATTAAATTAGACTGAAAGCTTTTTTTAGATTTTTTAGCTACTAATTAAGTATATTAAGCCTACTAAGCTCTATTAAGCTCTAGCTTCTAGATAATTTAAATATTTTAGATAATTTAGATAGATTCTTCTACTAAATAGAAAATTAGCTTAGTACTAATTTAGTTTCTACTACTTTAGAGCTAAAAATTCTAATAGCTTAGTTTAAAGCTAGTAGCTTTGTCTAGAAAGTAATATACACTAGATAACTAATAATTTATAACTTCTAGCTAGATTGTATAAGTTTTTATTTTACTAGCTCTAAGTATTTAGAGCTAGATCTAAGAGTAGAATATAGGCTTAAAGCTAAATTTAAGGCTTTAAAACTAGCTTAGAGCTAGCTCTAAGGTCTTAGATTTATCTAAGCTAGAAACTCAGCTCGAGTAGATCTAAAGTATTAGCGCTAGCTCTAAGCTAGCCCCAAGCCTAGTCTCCGAGTTGCCTTCAAGCGTTTAGAACTTATACGCTCGTTGCAATTTGCAAAATAAACTAGTGTTGTATTAGTATTACTATATCTATATGCAGCTTGTATGATTAAGAGTAATAACAATAACTATTATAGGGAAGCCCTGTATCTAGAAGATAAACTAAATGCAAGTTTCATATTTATTTACAAACACTCTGCATCTTTTCCGATGGCTAACTTCGACACATACTCAGTTCATAATCTGTGGCAAGTTAGTGCGCTGTTCTAATGTCTTCACGATCGACCGATATTAACTTGCCTCAACGATAGCAGGGCCGGCAGCGACGGTGTTATCATTGACCGCGTCCGCGCATCCAGTCAGGACGACGTAGCTCTGGCCGTTGACGCCTTCTGGCACCACAACCTCGTAGCCGCCCTCAACCATGGTCGCATTGACGATAATCGGGCCAGTAACCGTAATGAACGCTCCATAGACTGGGGCGTCGTTCTCCGCTTTCAACATGTAACCCGGAGTCGACAGCATCACCGTCGATCCTTTCTTGATCGACATGTCACTGCTGGATGCAGCCAGCACTGGGAAGGCCTTCACGGGCAGCGCAGGGTTCGTTGAGGGGCAGGAGATGATGAACTGCGCGGCAAGAGTGTAGACTGAATTGATGCTGAGGGGAGTATCGAAGGGCTGCGGGTAGGGAGTCTGCTTCAAGGATGCGCGGATGTAGGACGAGTGTCGTGCCTCAACAGTCAAGATGGATCCTGCTGCGGTGAGGTAGGTCTTCGACATAATGTCGGCTGCGGCGCCGAGATAGGCAGAAACACCAACACCTGGAGAGAGGATTAGGATCATCTGCGACAACGTCTGGTAGTATCTGGAAGAGATGTGGAACATACCTTCAAGGACTGACGCAGTAACGAGGAAAGTGTTTACGTCCGTGACACCAAATGCATACTGGCAAGCCTCGACAGGTGTGGCACCAGCTGCTTTCAAGGCCCCGGTCAGGAAGCTAACGTGGGTCGACTCGTCAGACGAGATTCTTTTCAGGTTTCCGTAGAACGTCTCATCGTAGCCAGCAGCCTCGAAGTCTGCTTGAGTGAAATTGGCAAGGCCTTCGCGGTAGAATGTGTCTTCAAGGTGCTCCAGGGTAAGCGCGTAGTTGAGGATGTCGGCTGATCAAGACTTAGTTAAATGAAGAGAGCGCTCAAGCATGAGAGTATGATGTACCGTCTGTGGGGCCAGACTGCCGCTTTGTAGGAGCAGCAGCTGCAAGGCCGGCGAACGCAACGATGGTTGTAGCGGAGAACTTCATGGTGGAGCTGAGAGGCGAGCTGTAAGAGATGCTTTGTCGAAAGTATGTGGGCAAGTCGAATGACACAAAAAAGGTAGAGTAAGATGGACCCAAGTGACTGGAATGTTTCTAGGCTTATATATCTCTTGTTTATATAGACATTCCAGAGTTTCTACACCTCGGGAGATTGACCCAGTCTGATTCCTGGCGCTTCCCGATCTTCACAGGAGCAGCACAATCCGGGCGCACATCGTTTTGGGCGACATGGTATGCTCCGTCATGGTTCATTTCTTCCTGAGCTGGACTGCGTCTGAATTCAGATTAAGCATGCCCAGGTGAAAGGAAGCTCCTTGCTAGCGTGCCCGTATGCAGTGATGATCGAAGCTTAGTCTCTCGTCAACGACGTCGGATCAGGGCGTTTCCGCTGCTAAACAACACAGCCCGCTCCCTAGCGCTGCACATCACCGTTCTAAGGGTCTGGACTACCCGTGACTACCGCCGCGGTGACATAACATCCTCAGGATTACATTCCATCTCAGTCCCAACATAGAATCACCCGGCTTGGCACTCTATTGCCCGTCGTATCCGCTAGACATACTTGGGGAAGGTCTTAGACTTGGACCGGAGTGAAAGCAAGCTTGCGAGCCAAACTGACAAATGTTGATTTATCTTCGACGAAACCAATGTGTAGATCCCGGATCAGGGAGCTCCCGGTCTTACCTACTGCTGATACTTGGTTGTTGTGGAGATTCCTCGTGGTAGAGAGGAGGCATGTGTGCGGGTGGTGACAATACAAAACGCAGCGTTGGAATGGATCCCCAAATTACGCTCTGTCGCCCCGAAGACATTACCTCCTTTTCTTGAATCCAGATCATCCAGCTTGGTCAATATCTCAGCTCGCTCGTTTCATTGCTGTAACAAAGAAATCATCGCATCAGTTTTTCTCTGTCACCAGATCGCATAGAAACCATAAACACAATCGCAATGAAGTGCACCCTCATCTCGATCGCCGTGGCGCTTTTCTCAGCACATGCTGCCACTGCGTATATATAACTCCTTCTAAAAAGCCATCAATAGACTCGACTAACTCATCCTCAGGCAATCGGCTGCGTCCACAACCACCATCATCGCGCCTCCATGCAGCAACAACACGATGACCTCCAACGATATCGTCACTCGCTCGCCCGTATCCGTGCCGATAGGCACAAACTGTCCCAGCTTCACCTCAATCTCACTGAACGGATCAACGACTGTGGCTTCCTCTGCTACTGGGATCATGAATGGCGGTTCTAGCGCCACAGGGAGTTCGATGCCAGCTGTGTCCACTGGGGGTGCAGGAAGGGATATGATAGCGAGGGGAGGTGTTGCAGCGCTCGCTATGGCTGCTGGGGCTCTGTACTATCTATAATCGTGCAATCAGTGGGTAGTTGTGTCATACTGTTCACTACTGTGATCCGTTTGATTCCAACCATCACACGTTAAGATGTAGATCAAGTATGAATACTACAGCTTACAATGTCTTTGAGCTCGTCCTTCCCCGCCTAATTATGAGTCAACCTCACACTCTTCCCCTGTTCTTCGCCATGTTGTGCATCGCGTACAGCCTCTCCCCTTTACGTTTCGGAGCCCTAGGTCTGCTGCGCTGTTTGGTGAACACACGGGGTGGCGCAGCTGCACCGTCAGTTCTTTATTGAAGGGTTGAACCCATACCCGACTCTCGCCTAGATGCTCAAGCTCGCAGACTGTGCATAGGAAGAAGACAGCAAAAGGCAATCTTCTGACCTTAATCTTAACGCAGGTGTTGTACGATAGTAAAGTTTATGTTGCAACGCCATACGCTATGCGATGCAAATCCACCACCATGCCGTCAACCATGTCCTGCGGACTCCAGCTTAAGTCAACCCAGTTACGCCTGACCATCGTCATGCGCCCATACCGTGCTACCGCGTTGTACAGACACTAGAAAGTCTACGCCGTCCGCTGCCGCTTCTCCGCCGGCTCTCCCTTCTTGCTGCACCGGCGGCTTGGGCGACTGCGCGGATTGTTGTCTAAGGAGTTGGCAATCTCGTCACCGGAGGAGGACTCAAGGCGGGATGCTTGCGTTTCGGCAGTGTTGGTTGCCGTCTCCGCGGTGCTGGCGAGCTTTGTGTCCTTCGGCGTCGACAAAGCAAAGGGAGCCGAGATTGAGAAGGACACCAGTTCTCGCGACCTGTCAGGGTTGGCGCCCTTACACTTTATGATCTCCTCTGCTGGCTTCTCATCGTCGTCCTTCATCTTGTCGTATTGACCATGCTCATCTGCCTCTCCGCCCTCATCCCGCTCAACAAGCCTCCCAACCGCCTTCTCCAGCCGCTTGGCCTGCCTCTCCTGCTTCTCCGCCGAGAAGAAGCTCTTCTGACCTTTCTTCTTATTCTCTCCGGCCGCTGCCTCCTCCTCAACAGCTTCCGAGAAGTCCCACATCTCCTTGATCTCGCCCCTGACGAGCGCGGTGCCCCACAGCGAGATCAACACGCTCGGCACCAGATAGAGCAGTGCGGGCTGCGCGTGGTTGAAGACTTGCATGACGCCCAGGGTTGCCAACATACCCACGACGTAGCCGATGACAGAGGCCGTGAAATACGGTTTCGGAAAGGACGTCGAAAGGCCGGGGACTAGGGGCCGGCCGGAGAGGGAGTGCGTCCAGAAGGATTCCGCGGTGTGGTTTGTGAGTGGTACATACTTGGCCTTTTGCGCCAGCTCCTTCTCTCCCCCATTTTCAGGGTCTGAACCTGCCGCTTCTGTGGAAGACGAAGAAGGAGCAGCTTTTGTTTGCTTGCGAAGGTAAAAGAAGTAAAGATCGAAGCGGAGAGCGAGCCCGATCATGATGCCTGGTAACACAACGTCACCAAGGCCGAGCATCGCATGCGATAATGCTCCCGGTGGTGCATCGGGAGCAGCAGGGCGTGGGAACACAAGTTTTATGGGGACATCGAGGGATTTTGCTACGGTAACCATCATGGGTCTAGGCGGTGTCAGCGAAGGAGTAACTACTGGAGCTTATGCGTCGCAACGCCGGCAAGACTCACGTGAAGAAGACGAAGTAGATGTCGTATAGGAACAGGGCCGCTAGTATCAGGCTTCCCGTATCGAAGGTTGTCGGCGACATGATCTGCAGCGCACCATACGCGAAGCCGAAACCCATTAGGTTTGTCAAGTACCAAGGCTTGTCGAAGAAGTTGAAGTACAAGACGGCAGCCAATCCAAGGAAAAAGCCTGTGAGGCCGTGGAGACCAACATTCGCCCTGAGCGCGAGTATGCGGTGGATGTAGGCCTTGATCGTCCACTTGTGTCGAGGCAGGTCCCTTAATGTCCACAGCATATCGGTGATCCTCGTCGACAGAGGCAGCTTTGATAGGAAGCCGGGCAGCGGCGACGGCCGTACCCTCTCTTCGAGCCCCTTTCCAGTTGGCGCAACCGTCCTGCGCTCTTTTCCCCTCACATTCCATACAGTGCCGTCGTGCACATACTGCCTAGGAAATACGAAGCCATGCACCACATCCATCCCGTCCGCGATCAACTTGCCGACGCTGAAGACGCCGAAAAGGGCGAAGTACAAGTTCAAGATCTTGTTCAGCAAGTCCGCGTTCTGCAGCCACTTGATCAGAAAGTATAGTCCCGCAAGCGTACAGCCGGCCAGCAGAGGAAACACAAGCGCGTCTGAATGGCTCAAGCCCTCCATCTTGACCTCCTTGTCTTCGTCCTCGTCGTCGCTGTCTTTGCCTCCATCTTCATCGGCCTTGGGCTGTTTGCGCTTGACGGGCTTTGCGGCGGAGGAGGGACGAGAGAGCGAGGCATGGGCGCCAGCGTAGATGGGGAAGAGGGCGGAGACGAGGAGATGGGTGTAGGTGGGGAGGAGGGGCTGGATCTGGGCGAACTCGTAGGCGATCTTTCCCAGAAGCTCGGCGAGAGGGCCTGGTGAGGCCATGGTGGCCGGGAGGTGGCCGGCAGGTGGCCTGCAGGGATGCTTGTTCCGATGAGGGAGTGACGGAAGGTGCAACTCGCTGTTGTCTGGAATGTTGTCTGGAAGGAAAGCGACCGTGGAAGGCAAAGACGACACAGGGCGCCTCTTTTAGGTCCTAACGTTAGCTGGGGAGCAAGAGCGGTTGAAAGTCTGGGGTCAAACGGGCGTGCAGGTGGTCTTCTCGTCTTTTGCAGACGCGCGCCACAGCCCGTCAAGCCGACGGATCTACCCGCCGCTAGGCACAGTATTTCGTGCATGTCGACATTGATACCTATAGGTATGTAAGAGACTCTTCATCTACCCCAGAACGATGCCGCTCAACGACTCTTCGTTCCACCAGATGAGCATAGTCAAGCTGACGTCAAGGCTTCTGATAGACCGCTAGCGTTCGACAGTAGAACATGTATAAGCCTAGTAAAAAGTACTGTCCCGAAGCACGCCGCCCCGTGCTGTTCATCTCACTTGACTACAGGACCGCTTACACAGCCATCGCCCCAAACAGCAGAAATGACACAGAGCCTCCGCTCGCTAGTTCGGCCAGAAAACCCTCATCAACCATAGCGAGGCTACCCCACCGGGCAAGCCCTCAAGCAACCCACCAGCTCTTTCACCGGCACCTCCACGAACCCCTGTCCACCATCCGCAATCCCGATCCCGACGACGACCTTATCGTCCAAGTATCCCACGTTCTTGTCTTTGACTTCGACGCGGTTTCTCACGTCCCACGCCCAGGCTATACTGACCGTGTACGTGAAGCTCGCCCACATCTCCCCCATTCCGCTCTCCCTCCTCCTCGACGTGCTGTTGCCATTTATGCCTAGTGTATAATTCCCAAAAGGTGCCTCCCCATGGCTGTCATCCCAGTTCTCCCGCGCCGTCCACCCCGCCGCCGTCTCGTTGGTGAAGAGGATAGGATGCTTAGATACGCCCAACATGTCGAACGGCGGCTGCGCGCTCCACGCAACAACGTACCGCTCATACCGTAGCGGCAGGCCATACGCATTGAGATGCTTCCTGTGCACCACAGCTACGAAAACCGTGTTCTCTACGCCTGAGACATAGTCGCTGTCGCGGCGGCGACACAGCACGAGCGTGAGCGAGTTCGTCGACTGGTGCCACGTCGGTGTGTGCTTCTTGCCGTCTATGCCCGTGGTGATGAGGCCGGGGTCGTCGAAAAGACACGGCAGTTCAGCGGGAGACGTCAGATTGGGACTCGTGTATCCCGCGCCGAGCATCTTCGCGAACGTGCGGCGCTGGGGGGTGAGTTCGTAGCTGATGTACCCCTCCTCTCCCTGCCCAAAAACCACCCAGTTCTTCTCCATCGCGCCCCTCGTCTCCGGCGGATTGCGCGTCAGTTCCGCGAGGCTGGAGTACGAAACCAGCGGGCCAAGGGACGGAAAGGAGGGGGACGAGGCGAGGAGCCCTTCCAGCGGCGGGTATAGACTGCGGAGGTCGATGAGCCAGAGCCCGAAACACGCGTATCGGGACTGCGTGTTGAGGATCATGAGGGGGGCGCCGCGGCCGTCCCAGAAGATGCGAGGGTCGTGGAAGCCGGGAATGCTGGCGTAGGGGGCCATGCTGCCGAGGCATTGCTTCGCCGGTGTTGGAGGGACGTTTAGACGCATAGGTGGGGTCATACAGCGCATGCCCATTGCACCACTCAGGTGTGTGAGGTCGTCTTCTGAGCATAGCCGGCCCCCAGGCCCAACGTCGGTGGTATTGGGGTGGCAGATGTTGGCTTCGCAGATGACGTTCTCTTGATAAGCCCCGTCGGTGACGATGCGGCTGATGAGGAGGTATTGGTTCGAGGACCAGTAGGGCAGTGACATGATGGTCGGGTTCCAGAAGATTCGGGCATCCTCAGGCGAGCCGGCTGGGACCATCGAGATCCTGTAGATGAGGTGCGGCAGTCGGATGTGGCTGGTAAACTTGTTTGGAGCGTGGTGGCATTGCAGTAGAGACTTGAAGTATTTGCTATGCCGTAGCGGTGTCCGATCGAACGATTCGAAATCGCTCGTACTGTTGAGCAACTGCTGCCCGAGGGGAGGATGCCGCACTCTGGCGCCTGGAGGCGAAGGTTGAGAGCTATAAAGGATTTGCAGCGGTAGATGGATGATAGCTGGTCTCAGAGATGACTTGCAGATTATGAGTAGGATCAAGCAGACGAAAGAGGGGACAAGGAGTCGGCGTAGCGGCGGCAGGTAGTACATTTTGAGTTGTGTGCAGCGTGCGCATGCGAGATGATGAAGTGTAAGGGCATTGAGAAAAATTGAGGCGATACTGGCAGTTGAGGTCACGGTCGCCAATCCCGCACCACATTGTTTAAGAACTTAAACCCGCTAATCTGCACACAGGTCTTAGAACGACCGCTTCCAGGAAGAATTTTACAGTAGCTGCACACATGCTGCAAGAGTACGCGCCTGGCTTGTTGCCGCTGGCGTCTCCAACATTGAGAGCTTAGTAGATGTTCCCTGAAGGGACCTGCAGTCTTCCCATTATGATAGTAGATCTGGCAGTCCACTGTCCAGTATCAGTTTACAACGTGAAATTGAGTCGAGCGTAGCGCGATACAATTGTCAGCCACTTGAAATGGGTCGACTCTGATCAACTTAGTACAGCTCTCGCCGATTCCATATTTTCTAATGTCCCAGAAGATATATGAGTAAATCTCAAGATTAGACATTTCAAGAAGGAAGGCAATGTCACCGTGATGGGGCTGGCCGCATGCCTTGAGTTTGCAGCCGAGGCTCTAAATGACTCGCCATTGCGTGTACGGATGCCATATATTCAGGAGGAGCCCGCCGAAGCATGCATACAGTCATACATGCCCCCCTCCATTCGAGAACAGACACAATAGAAGCACCTGGGCATTCACGCTCCGTCCTACCTAGTCAAGCAAATCGCTTCATCGTTGAGCTTGTCAAGAGCTGCCACCATGGACGGGGTCCCTTTCGAGGCTGGCAGATCCATGGTCGTCCTTGCGCACAGTGGCAGAACAGCCAAAGCAGGTTGCACCGCCAGCGGTCGGGTGCAGTCGGTTGCTGCTAGATAGTCGCTGTGGATTTTACAGAGTCTTGAACCGGGGGATGGGTGCTGCTTGTTGGGAGATAATACATCCCCCCGGGCAGAAGTCCTCGACTGATGCTGAGCTTTCGACATTGTTGTTCGTTTCTTCAGTCCGAAGCAGCTGCCTTCTGTGCCTGGCGTGCAGCTTTCCTTTGCTGCCGCTTCGCGCCCACCGGGAAGCGCTTCTCCGCACCACAGGTCTTGCACTGGATCACGAGTACATCTGCCCACGGTTTCCGTCCTTCGTAGCTGAGGTTCGCAAGCTTACTGTCTGAGGTCTTCCCAGGGATTAGCAGCGTGTCGCAACGCTTACAGAGTGAACGTTTGATATCTTGCGATAGCCGGACTTGGCTCTTGCGAGATACGCTTCGGATATGAGAAGCAAGGTACAGAGGCGGCTCGAGACTCGGAGTCTCCTTCGTATCGGTCAATGCTTTCGACTTTGAAAGATCTGTCTCCAATTTGGGGGTGGTGGAGTGACCGGCCACACCAGCGGCGGTTTCTGCATTCTTTCCGTGACGCTCTTCAATTCTCTTCGCCCCAGTACTCGGTTGCTCAGCTGGAGCCGAGGTCGCTGACCTCCCATCAGCCCAAGGCTGGACGCTCGCCGATAGGTAACTGACAGCTTGGTGAAGGTACGAGATTCTTGCATGAAGGGCCCTGTTTGGAATGCCTTTCGGGCCCTTGGCCGGCTTCTCCTTCCCCATAGAGTTTCCCCTTCAGATTTGTGCCGGTGGTAGACAGATGGGTAACTCTGTGAACGAAGTCGTGGGGCGCGCTGAGGCAAATATCTGGGCATCAAGAACGGTCGTGAAGCTGTCGCGCTAAGTCACGTGATCAGCTGTTCTGGTCTCCGAGCCTTTTCTCACCTCGCCCTTCGACCGTCTTGCAACGGAACCACATCCACAACTTCCATCCGCCACAGACTCGGCTTCAACGAGCTCCTTTTAAATCCGCGCGACTTTTCACATACAGAAACTCTCCGTAAACCCCGAACATCAGCCGACTGCCGCTAGCCAGCACCACAAGCGTCTCCGACAGCAGCCTTGCGCGACTTCCAGAACCTCGCACACCACCAGCTTAACACATCTCACGGTCAACATACCAACATGTCTCACGAAGAGGATCTCATCGACTACTCCGACGAGGAGCTTCAGACGACAGAACCCGTCGCTACTGGCGCGCCAGGCGCAGTAGCCAACGGAGAGCAGCAGAAAGGCGACCTGACGGTTTCCGGGCCCGGCGCGGACAAGAAGGGCAGCTATGTCGGCATACACTCGACTGGTTTCCGGGATTTCCTACTGAAGCCGGAGCTTCTACGTGCTATCACCGACTGCGGTTTCGAACATCCGTCGGAGGGTCAGTCTTAACCTTTCCCCTCAAAGCTCCTCCTCCAAAGAAGCGTCCGTCCATCTCCGCAAGCGGCAGTCGAAACATGCAAGAAGCGTTCCGGATAGTAAGACACGGTCTGGGCCAGCGGCGCCTCTGTTACGCGGCTGCAGAGCGGACCTGCCCCGGATGTTGCTCGTCGAACGAAACTGTATCTTTACCTCATCATGTTCAAGTCACTTGACTCAGTATCATTTGATTTGGATTACGAGAGGCGTGGGCAAGAAGGGCTCCTGGGGCCTCTCTCCGAAGACGTAGAAGCTCCCCGGCAAGAACTTGCCACTGGCGGATGCTGTCGTCGTCGATGGATTGCTGCCTCGTGAAAGAGACACTTCTGGGATGAAGATATACGCCTGCATGCGAGATGGACGGACGCGACGCCTACCTGCTTCTATCATTATACTTCCTTGGACGAACTTCTCTAACATCATCTCGGTTGTTCGTTACAGTCCAGCAAGTATGCATTCCTCAGGCCATTCTTGGAACAGACGTCCTTTGCCAGGCGAAATCCGGTCTCGGTAAGACCGCAGTCTTCGTCCTTGCCACTCTGCAACAGATTGAGCCGATTGAGGGTGAGACATCGGTCCTTGTCATGTGCCACACTCGTGAGTTGGCCTACCAGATCAAGAACGAGTACGCGCGGTTCAGCAAGTATATGCCGCAAGTTAAGACTGCGGTGTTCTACGGCGGCACACCGATGCAGAAGGATATCGAGCTTCTGGCAAACAAGGAGACCCACCCGCATATTATCGTGGCCACTCCTGGCCGATTGAACGCCCTCGTTCGCGACAAGAAGCTTCGCCTTGGCAGCATCCAGAAGTTCGTGCTCGATGAATGCGACAAGATGCTCGACCAGATCGGTACGTCGCACAAGTCCTTTGAAACAAGACCGGTATCTGACTCAACCACCCAGATATGCGCCGTGACGTCCAAGAGATCTTTCGCGCCACGCCAACTCAGAAGCAGGTGATGATGTTCAGCGCGACTCTCTCGCAAGAGACCAGACCCATCTGCAAGAAGTTCATGCGGAATCCTCTCGAGATCTACGTCGACGATGAGACCAAGCTCACCTTGCACGGCCTGCAGCAGTACTACATCAAGCTCAGCGAGGGCGAGAAGAACCGCAAGCTCAACGACTTGCTCGACACCCTCGAGTTCAATCAAGTCATCATCTTCGTGAAGAGCACTATCCGAGCCACCGAACTGGACAAGCTGCTCCGCGAGTGCAACTTCCCCAGCATTGCGGTGCACTCTGGCGTCAGCCAAGAGGAGCGGTAGGTCGACTCGCACGAACCCACACGAAAGAATGTCACGCTAAACCAAACTAGTATCAAGCGCTACAAGGAGTTCAAGGAGTTCAACAAGCGCATCTGCGTCGCCACCGACGTCTTTGGCCGCGGTATCGATATCGAACGCATTAACCTGGCTATCAACTACGACTTGCCAGCTGACGCGGACTCGTACCTACATCGCGTCGGTCGTGCCGGCCGCTTCGGCACCAAGGGTCTCAGCATCTCGTTCGTTAGCAGCGAGCAGGACCAGGAGGTCCTCAAGGCGATTGAAAAGCGGTTCGAGGCGAATGTTCCGTAAGTTCCGCCCAGTCCCTGAGTATGTGGTTTGTGCGTTCGGCTAATCTCGTTGTGCAGTGAGTTCCCGGAAGGTGGTATTGACGCTAGCACCTACATGGCGAACTAGAGTTTCTGGAGACTTTGCTTTGGGATGAGGCGGTTGATCTCGCCTTGCTTTGCTCTGGGATGAGAACTAGCTCCTCACGTACTTAGGCGGAGGCAGAGCTTCGATGCCGAAAAGATTTTTAGCTGGCGCGGGAAAATTGTTGTAACACACTCGATCTCACACTTTGCTGTAGTCTAGTAACGGGGCCTGAAACAATCAAGTCGGAGTTTTGGGTTTCTTCCTCTGAGGGTTCGTGCCATACATACTGTGTCTGTGATTCCGTCTACTCGGACCTTGGGTCTGTGCCTTGACATCTTAAGTCGTCATGCAAGAAGTGCTGTTCGAAAAATATTCCTTCAAAGGCTCCTGAGCTCTGGCTGTTGCGGACGGAGTTGGCGATTACGTGCTGAAGAAGTTGAGGAGCACTGCGGATAGAGCCTCTCCGTTACCCTTTACACATGTTGTATGTATCCTGTCTCCCTTTAGGTGTGACAGGCAAGCTATGCACTTTCCACAGGATGTCGGTCATGTTTGATCCCTATGACGAGTGCTCATACGAGTGATAGTGAACTAACCCTTCAAAGACACGAAGAATGCTCGATTCACCGACCTTTTCAATAAATATTTATGCCGCTGTGGAAGGGTTCCTCTTGGAAAACATTCCATAAAGTCTTGAACCTTGTCTATTCATGGACGGGCTGGCAGTGCATATCAATAAGAATGAAGAGCATCACCACGAGGAAACCTCTCCCCTATTGTTGCGGCGTCCCAATTCACGATGTTCGTACACACCCTGTTATACCGATACGCTCTCCACAATCTTAGGATGCATGTCGCTTCCCACCCCCAGGATGACGGCTGACAGTCACCACATCGACCGGTGTAAAACAACTCTCCGTCTCACCGGCTTTATCTTAAGATACTTGATATCAGGCTCGCTCGGGGATCACGGACGCCCGTCTCGAAACAGCGGAAAAAGCGCAGGGCCAGCAGCAAGATCTGCCCGCCCAATCTCGCTTGTAAGCTCCCTCTTCCGAGTTCCTGATCTCCGCCACAGCGGTTCGGGAGCGACATACCCGGCGTTGCTTACTACAAATCCGAGGGGTGTTGGTTGGCTGGCGCATGGATGCCCCAGCGGTCAAGCTTGCAACACGTGTAAAGTGACTAGAGGAGGAGTGGGCGAGTCGTGTGTTGCAGCAATGGGCAACCAGGCAGAACCCGTGTCAGAACCAAGATTTGGTCCTGCAGTATGGAATAAGAATGAGTGGTTCCGCGATATCGCTACGATGAGGATCAAAAGGATCAGGGCGCATCCTGTGGATATCGCGATACCCGTTGCGGTAGCATGTCCGCAGGGTGATCAGCGAGATTAGCAGCTAGGGCCGCCATTGCTGCAAGAAAAAACGTGAATAATTCTGGAATGGAGCGAGATGAGATGGCCTCGTTGGCTGGGAGGGTAATTTGCGCTGCCGCCTAAGGGGGTTTAGTCAGGGACACGGACGTTGAGGAATGGCAGCGGCGGCGTGTGGAGCGAGGAGAGTCAGGATGCTGGTAATGGATGATGCTGGTACGGTGGGCACAGTGGGTGGCTTTGGGGCCAATGAAGCCGTTACCACGCCTCGGTGATGTTTCTGCGTTGCTGGGTTAAGGATCATCCTGAATGGCGTGTTCACCAGTCAGCGTGCTGATAAGCGTTGGTGGGCGTCGATGTGGGCTGTCGAGATTGGATGGGGATTAATTTCCGCTTGGCGCTGGGATTGCTCTTTTTGAGAATTCTCCTTTTAGAGTGGCGGCGACTGGCCCTGGCGGGAGAACCCCAGAACCGTGGTTTGATCGACCGTTTTCCCGCTCATCTCTCCAGACTGTGGGAACCCTTCCGCTTTAACTCTGGTTCGACGTCAATCATGGCCTCGGACCTGAGATCGTCCGCTTCTAGCTCGAGTCAAGCACTGCGGTGGACCACGAATAGCTCAGGAACGCAGGTGCCTCGGGGGTTTCGCTGTGCAGCGGATGCACGATGGGAGGCGGATGGGTTGGATGAGGTCCAGCCCTGTTAATTCAGGCACAGCGTGTGTTGATCGATGTCTCTAGAGCACGTTTGGCTGCAGGTCGGATTGTTAAAGATAAAGTAGAGTAGGTAACTTACAGCAACGAACTACAGTGACAGATATCTGAACGAATGAGGATACTCGAGATGCGATGCGCAACTGGGATGCTGACTCGTTCAGTCAACGGCTTTATCGCTCCTTAATATCAGAAATGCACCTTGAGCGTTGCAAAGACGCGTGCGCAGGTAGAGCTCACCGCCTGTAGTTAGATTGATTGTTCGCCATCGAGGACAGTTTTCTGTTTACGGCCGATATCTCGGCGGCGACGAATCGCAATGCCTCGTTCTCCTGCGGTGCCACTGTCTCCGGTGCCACTGCCGACGTGCATTTTCTGCGGGCATGGGTGGTGTCCTGTGCCTTTCTGCCAATCTCGTCCCGATGGAAGAGTTCGGCCAGGGTTCAAGATCAGCGCCAAGAGCTTTGACAGGCCGCGATCGCTGCGAAGCGAACCGTAAAGGCTTAACTAGAGGGGGCGTTGTCGCTATTTTTGACCCAAGGTTCTGTTTGTTGATGGATTTCTGCAAGAGGATGTCGAGGCTCAGGCTCAGGCTCTGGCTCTCAGCACCGCCGCTTGTTCCGGCCTCTGCAGCTGTGGCGGCGCTGTACTGCGGTGGGTCGTAGCACTGAGTAACTAGGTAACTAGCCGTCGAAACAAAGTCCCCGATGTCTCGCTGCTGGATCGGAGACGCACATCACGTGAGGTGGCCCGCAATGTGTGAGGCGTGGTGGAGCACCACTTTGAAGTTGGTGGGCACAAAGCGACGAACAGCAAGGGGCAGCACCCCAGCAGCGCAGGGATTTGCGACGGGGTCGTGCGTGGGCAGGCAGAGTGCTCGTGGCCGTGGCCGTGGCCGTTCTCTTGCGAGATTAAAATGAGGTTTTCCAACGTGCCGCTGCGGAAGCGCTACACCCGTTGCGAGAAGGCACAACGCCGGGACGATGATGATGAAGTGGCCCTCATCCTGCCCAGCGGTGGGACCTTCTCCCACGCTTGCATGCCTTGGCCAGCTTCAGATTGGCCGACTGCCGTTGCCAATCTCGCGGACAACGTCAGAGGCCCCATCTGGCTGCGAGAGAGCAGCACGGCAGCGCAACGTCGGCCCCTGCCGAGGGTGGAAAGTCGACTCTGTGTGAGCGAGGAGGCGCCTACGGAGTACCTACCACCCTACCCAGGTAGCAGACCAGCTAACTTAGTCGGCGCACGACATCGAGGCCTCTGGTGCGCAATGGCGGCCCGCTTCTCGACAAGCTCGCAATTGCATGACATCTCGCTTGCGCCTTGCTGAGCGAAGGTTTTTCTTTGATCGAGTTGCTTGAATGCGTGAATGCCAGCAGCGCAACGCAGGGGCCAGCCGCAAGAGCCGGGAGAGCTCAGCACCCGCAGCCGCAGCCTCGAGGGCGGTGATGCGTGTCTCCAGCGCCCGTGTGCTCAGGCTCCTGCTCTACGACGTGAAACACTTAGCTAGAACGCTGGAACTGGAACTGGAACTGGAACTGGAACTGGAACTGGAACTGGAACTGGAACTGGAACTGGAACTGGAACGAGGAAGGAACTGCACGGAGGCTCGGCTTCAGCGGAGGCGAGATCCAGGAACGGGTGCTATTTTGACGAGCGGCGGAGGCGGCGGCGGCGTTTAAGGACAGGCTTCATTGTTTCATGTCCGCGAAGCGCAGCTGCTATCTGGCCATCAATTGCCGTCCCGCTGCCCTCGCTAGAGCTCCCCAGCAAGTGCATCCTCCTCCGTACAAGCTTTTGATACGCACTGCGGAACCATCTCTTCTGTCGCCCCTCATCCAACCCTCTGTTCTGCGCCAGCCTTCCCCATTACCTCCCCGTACTGCCTGCGACACACGAACTCCATTCGTTTTCTGCTCCTCGTTGTCGCTCGGTGGCTGGGTAGTGATTGCAGACTCAAGAGGCCCACTATCCCTCGGTGCGCCTGCGTTATCTGCTGAGGCGCTTTCCCCGGCTCGGCTCCTCCTTGCGCGTCTGTGGCAGTTTCCCGCCTAGCACTTTTGGCGTCGCCCGCGACCGTCGAGAACAAGGTCTTTCTGCGTCCGATCTCGAGCAACAGCAAAACTCGACGCCTTTCTTTCATCACGGCTCGTTGCATGTCGACGACGACCTGCATTGCCGCCGGTCTCCATCACGCTCGCTTTGCGCCATCCCAACTAATCTTCTAATCCCCGCTGCCTCCCGATCTTACCTACTCAATCGCGGCACGACTTGGATACGCGGCCCTCCGTCAACATTTGGCACCTCCCGGTACCTCCACCTCCACCTCCACCCTCACTCCCACCGTCTCGGCGAAGACGTAACCACCGCCATGGCTCCAGCAGCACCACGACTGCGGATACTGTCAGGTTCGTTGTTGGATTCCGTTCAGTCCACAAAATCGCTGAGCTGTCGTCGCTTGCCTACCCGCCGCGAGTTGAGCGCATTAACCCCTTCCCACGACTGCAATTGCTTTTTACCACTCCTGTGTGCTGCTCGAATTTGCTGGCTGACTGTTCGTGCTATAGTGGGCGGCAATGCCGTCTCTGCGTTCCTGTCCTGGCGACTCCAAGCCACTCAGGCTTGCGACGTCACGCTTGTTTGGAAATCTGGCTACGAAAACGTGGCTCAGTATGGCATATCATTCAAGTACGTTGGAGGTATATCGAAGGCACCACAGACACGATTGTTGACGTGGTTCCATCTACAGGTCCATGCTCTTTGGTAACGAGCGGTTTAAGCCTCACTCAGGTATGTTTCTTCTCTCACCGCTTGCTTCCGCGAAGCATTGTCTGACACCTCGCAGTTGTCAAATCACCCGAAGACGCCGCCCACAGCTCGAAACAACCGTTCGACTACGTCCTCCTTTGCGTAAAAGCTCTACCCGATATGTACGATCTCGCTGCCATCATCGAGTCCGTCGTATCTCCTCAGCACACCTGCATACTCATCAACACTACACACGCACTCGGCGTCGAGACATATTTGGAACAGCGGTTTCCAACGAATGTCGTCCTATCACTAGTCTCAGGAGCGGAGATCGTCCAGCTCGGCGCGAGCGAGTTTGAGCACAAGGGCGCAACCGACATCTGGGTAGGGTCGGCAAACAAGAACGCATCGATACCAGTGTCGATACAATCAGACATGGCAGAAGCCCTGGCGATGACGCTCAGTTCCGGTCAAGTGGATTGCAGGGTGTCGACCAACATCCGGCAGCAGCAGTATGAGCGGATGATTGGGTACGTCCTTTGTTCTTTGACGTCTCGAGGAAGATTTGACTAATTTTCCCAGGCCGATCGCATTCCATCCCACCAGCGTATTGTTCGAGACACCCAACCATGTGGAGCTCATCGAGAAAGTTGGTGTCCGTTCCATGGTCTCTGGAGTTATCGACGAGCTACTATACCTTGCCAGAGCACAAGGTTGCGTTTTCCCGGAAAACTTCAAGGAATCTACTATCGAGGCGATGCTGCTACCGCAGGTCACAAACAGCATCATGTACCAGGACTTCGCTGCCAAGCGACCGATGGAGATCGAGGCATATCTGGGGTCGCCTGTGAAATTTGCTCAAGAAAACGACGTTGCAGTACCTCGGATCGAGACGCTTTATGCGATAGTCCACCACCTGAACATCGTCAATCGGGAGCGACCCATCGCAGCTCCAGCCTCACCAGTTGCCGGACCACCGCCTCCTCGGTTGTCGTCCGCTCAAGCTTCTAGAGGCGCTCCGATGCCCATGAATGGACCGATGAACGGATTACCGAATGGGCATATGAATGGCCCTATGTACGGGGCCCCGATGAACGGGCCGATGAAGAACGGAATGCGACCCAACGGTAGCAGAGCGCCTTCAATGACTGGACCGCCTCCGATGATGATGAGACGGGGCCCTCCTCACATGAACGGCTTCCCGCCTCGACAAGCGAATGGCAATGGCTACCCTCCACAAGGACCACCGATGAATAGGCGGCCTTCCATGGAGGGCAACGATCTTGAAGAGTTCAGTCATCTAATGCTGTACGACAACGTACCAGACGGCGGCGTTCCGGAAGGGTCGAGCGCGATATACGCGGAAGGCAACACGACGCCATCCTCGAGCGATCTTGCATTACGAGAGAGGGAGTTGATGCTGCGGCAAAAAGAGCTCGCACTGAGAGAGCAGGAGTACCATGCGCGGCAGAGACAACAACAGCGAAGGGGGCCACCGCCTCCGCCCCAGCCCCGTTCCAATGCCGGTGGCTTCGATGACGACGATGATGATGGGGACGACTTTTTCGATCCTATGTCAGGGCACGGTCCAACTTCCCAAATGAACGTTCCTGAAGACTTTGACATGATGAGCGTTACGTCCCGTCGTACACGAAAAGCGCCAAGTGCTGGCCAGCTACGCAGCAATCCTGAGGCTATGTCTCACGGAGGTTCGAGGAACCCTTTCAGCCGAGCGGGGAAGCAGAACAGGAACAGTGCCAGACTGGTGGCTGATATCCCTGGGCTGCATGATTCGCTCATGAATGACCCCTTGATGGGCTACTCTTCCAATCGCTACGGAACCGTTGACCGTCAAGCGATAGGACAGGAGTCGAGAGCGAACTCACTGACCGCAGATCGCCTGAATGAGCTGCAGCAAGACGGCGGGCATGGCGCATATCCTTCGATGACCCACCCTCCCACATCCCGCCGCACCAGCCGGTCGCCGGGCAACCCGCTGAGCCCGGGACCAAGGCCTGGCGGAAGACCGTCACCACCGAACGGGTATGCATACCCAAATGGCAGGCATCCCGGCGGCCGGCCGTCTCCTCCTGGGATGAGGCAGCCTGTCCCACGACACCCGCCTGGTCACGGCAATGCGGTGGCGCCACACCGGGTCGAGCAACACGCTGGGGTGAGCAACCTTTACCCGCCCAAAGTCGGCCCTCAAGTGCGGAGTCTGACAGGCAGTGCGAGCGCTAGCGCGGGGAGTGGTGACAGCGGCGCCAGCGCTCACTTAGATTCTTCGGCCCACAGCAGCCAGAGCAGTCTTGGTCCTCGTCCCCCTATCGGCGTCCGGTAATAGAAGGTAGTCTTGCTTGCAGCATGGCACTCGACTCGGAGTATTTTGGCGAATGGTCTTGCGTTCATCTCGATTTATCCTCAGCAGCGTCTACGTGGACGTCAGCGCGTACCGTTTCATCCCCCGACACCGGCTCCCAACCCATCTCTTGACGACCACATCTCTTCGCTTCTCCTCGCTGCCGGGCTGTTTCGACGCGCTGGCCTGTTGTTGTTTTCTCTATCTGTTTATAATCGAAGCGAAATCGGACTGTATCATCGGTGATCCGAGCAGCGAGCGCAGATGAGCTTCATGGGAGAATCCCTTTACGACGGAATTAGACGGGTAATCAGGGCCTCTTCTCCAGTACACGGACACAATCAGTTGTCATTTCCTTCCCCTAAAACGTACATACTCAGCCACTACCGGCACGTCTGTTGCAAGACTGACGCCTCTTAATCGTCTCTGCATCCAGGCGTTTCAGTCATTGGGTTTTTCTCTCCGTCTCCTCACCTCATACATGGATTCTCTAAGGAGGCATGTGGAAGCTGTAGTTGGGGCACCTATCATCATCGTTGGTGGCATTGTCCTGTGTGTCAGTAATTTCCGTGGTAACGGTATACCATCCAATATTCTTTTGCTGGACACGAAAAAGGGGAGCGCTGGATGTCCGACGCTTTGGGCTATGTTGCTTCAGGAAGAGGACTAGGGATCGTTTTGCGGTAGTCAACGTATATACACATATCTGAACAGAAGCATCTACAGTCTACCGTTTACAAAACTCCATATTGCTGTCCTGTGCTCCCATGTTGCGCCTGGGCCAATGACTAGCTACAATAGCGTGTGATGAAGGCGCTGTGACTACCTACGACCGGGTTACCGGTACGGCGCTCTACCACAGAACGCCGACGTCAGCGTGTTGTGCGGCACCGTGCAACGTACCCGATTGTACCGCAAACTGCCTTTGGGGGTAAGTCTGGTTACTGTAGATGAGCCAGCCGTCTTCCCTTGCCCTCTATCATTCACTGAGAGCCTAACGGACGCATGAACCCTCGTCAGTCCTCTCTTCGCCCTCCAAAAAGCAATTGACGCCCAGTAGTCAACGCCAAGCTCTGGGGTGGACCTGATCATTTCCTCGCTGCACGCCTCTGGCTACCCCGCCATTGCCCCACCCCCAGCCAACTGCGGCTGTCTCATGAGCACTGCCAGCGAAACTGTCACACCACGCACCCAGGAGGACTCTCTCCTCACAGCAGAAGTCTTCCTCATATTCTTCATCGTGGTCAGCCTCGATCCTCCAGGCTTTACCGATTGTCCTCATAGCAATTGGTGTCGTTGTTCAATTCCTCTGCCCACAATTGCACCTCTTGTCCCAAGTGGTCCTCCACGAGCAACCACGTCTTACGTCACCCTCGAACCCCTATCCCACGAAGACGGTCTTCCACACCGAGTCTACTTGTCCAATCCTCACAGCAGACAGCTTTCAACCCTTCCACGCGCCCACAAAACGCAGCATGGCTCTCTCAGAAGCAGCGAAGCGGGTAGCCGCCGAGTTCGACTTCTCAGCAGAGCAGGTCGATGCGGCTGCGAGGGAGTTTGTCAGAGAGATGGGTGCGTATACGAAGTTGGAGAAGAACTGCAGGGCTGCTGCTGATATGGTTTGCCGGCAGAGGAGGGCCTGCAGAAGGATGGCACGCACATGAGCCAGATCCCGACGTATGTCACTGCTGTGCCCAATGGCACTGAGAAGGTCAGCTATGCACATTTCCCTCAGCCTTAAACTAGCGCCGCTGAACACTATACTGACAACATCCCTATAGGGCCTTTACATGGCCGTCGACCTAGGCGGCACAAACTTCCGCGTTTGCAGCATCGAGCTGCACGGCAACACGACCTTCTCGCTCACACAGTCCAAAGTTGCCATACCACGCGACCTGATGGTGGCCAAGACCTCGACCGAGCTTTTCTCCTTCCTAGCAAAGCAGATCGAGAAGTTCCTTCAGACGCATCACACGGATCACTACGAAGGACATATCCGCCGACGCAAGACGGACAGCGCAGAGGAGGGCTACAAGGACGAGGAGATATTCAACCTAGGCTTTACCTTCAGCTTCCCTGTCCACCAGATCGGGATTAACAAGGGCACGCTGATTCGCTGGACCAAGGGGTTCGACATCCAGGACGCCATCGGGCGCGACGTCTGCGCGCTGCTCCAGGAAGAAATCGACAAGCTGCACCTCCCCGTACGCGTCGCGGCGCTGGTGAACGACACCGTCGGCACCCTCATGGCGCGCAGTTACACCTCCCCCGGCAAGACCGGGACGCTGCTTGGCGCCATCTTCGGCACGGGCACCAACGGCGCCTACGTCGAGAAGCTCGACAACGTGACCAAGCTGCGTGCGAGCAAAGAAGCAGGCGACTACGACGAATCAACGGGCGAAATGATCATCAACACGGAATGGGGCTCCTTCGATAATGATCTCAAGACGCAGCCCAACACGCCCTACGACGAGGCGCTGGATAAGGAATCCGTGAACCCGGGCATCCAGATGTTCGAGAAAAGAGTTAGCGGCATGTTCCTCGGCGAGATCCTGCGTCGGGCTATTTTGGCGCTTACTGAGGACCCGAAAGTCCCGCTGTTCTCGGACGAGACGAGCGCGCAGAATGATATCCATTCCACGACTAACATCCTTGATACCAGCCCGCTGTACAAGCAGTGGGGTATTGATACTAGCTTCTTGTCGATCTGCGCCGCGGATAACTCCAAGGGTCTGAGGGTCACGCGTCAGGCGCTGGATAAGGACCTCCAAATCCCAGCCACCTCGGAAGAAGACGCCCTCGCCGTCCGCGAGATCGCCAACGCAATCGGGAAGCGTGCGGCGCGCCTCGCAGCCGTGGCCGTCGGCGCCGTGGTCCTCAAGTCCGGCAAGCTGGACGTCAAGTCCACGGAGGACAAGTCCGGCGTCGAGCCCTCGGGCGGCCGCGGCGAGGGCCCGGAGCATGAGGAAGGTGCCGAGGGTGGGGAGGTCAAGGAGGAGGATACGATTGATATTGGCGTTGATGGGAGTTTGGTCGAGTTTTATCCGAACTTTGAGGAGTATATGCGGGAGGCGCTACAAGAGATTGAGGGGATCGGGAAGGAGGGGGAGAAGAGGATCAGGATTGGGATTGCGAAGGATGGGAGTGGGGTGGGTGCAGCGCTGATTGCGCTTGTGGCGGGGAAGGTGGGGAAGCCGGACGATGTCGAGGAGTGTGATAGTGATGATTGAGCGGAGGTGGACTGGGACGGTGGTTGAGCATTGGTATATAGGAAAAGATAATTTGGTAGAGGGAGAGGCGAGTTGTAGATGCATCTTTGAGTTACTTGTAACAAAAACGGGTTGTTTCGTAGAAAAGCTGTCTGTCCTGAACTTACAGTGAGACTGGAACTTGGAACCTCGTTGTGGTGAGAACGACATAGAAATAACGAGGATACTAGCCTTGGGTAGAGTATATAAGAGGCTCCATCCTGCTCGAGCAGCGCCTGATGTACGTACGAAGAGGGCTTGCCGGGCTCGAATGGACGAATCACTGGTTCTAAGCTTGCCTATAGAGCAGGGCACGGCCGGTTGGGAGAGCTAGACAGTTCTTCGAATCTTGCTGTTCACAGAAGAGCTCAGAGACAGAGGTTGATGAGGTAAGGACTTTGAACACATGGTGAGCCACTTGTGCAGGCTTCGCTTTCATGTCTGGTTGCGAGGAAGCAGTGCAATTGGTGGTCAAGAAACAACACTTGATGCTCTTCTAGTGTTCCTTCAAGTTACCGCGTCCGCGTCGTCCGGCATTCAAGGCCAAGGTGACCGTCTCACAAACTTACAATATATACCCGTTGCTTTCATTTCCACTTTACTGCGCTTCTATCGTACAGTCCTCTCAACAAAATTCCTCTCCATCTTCCCGACCTCCCGCCTGAAGTTCTCAACCTCCTGCCAGCAATCCAACGGCCGCCGGTCGTTAACCCTCAAACACCTGACCACCTCCTCCTTCGCCTTCTCCACGCTGGGATCCGCCTTCTCGAGCTTCTTCCGCCCCTCGAGCTTCCTCTTCAGCTCCGCAATCTCTTTTGACACGCTGTCGTGGCTTAGATGCTGCTTCTTGTGCTTCGCGTCTAGCGTGGACTGAGAGGAGAAGGCATCGGCAATCTTCTCGCCGATGGAGGGGGAGGAGTCTTCGGACGAGGAGGAGGGCTCGGCAGATACTTCCTCGGAGACTTTATTGAAGCGGGCGGACTCGGTGGACTGTATCTTCTCGAGCTCGGCGGTTATGCGGGCTTGGATCTGGGCCTCGAGGTTTTTGGCGCGGGTCGTGTCGGACTGCGGCAGTTTTGTTGAGATTTGCGCGTTCGCGTCAGGGAAGCGGAGGGGGTGCTGTACCTCAGGACTGCTCTGCAGCTTCTCTACGAGCTCGTTGGAGAACCGGATGGGCGTGTCTCTGTCCCGTGTTAGCCCCGAGGTATCTTCCTCCAGTAAGCGCCAATGGCTTATCGAATGAGACATACGCGGCGAAGACATGCTGCGACTGCTGTCCCTCGGGCTTCGAGTTTCCCGCGCCCATGGTGAGGTATAGAGGTGGTGTTGACAGCTATCCGGGACTTTTCCGCCCAACTGCTGGAGGTTGCGGTTCCTGCTTGGCGGAAGCACGTCCGTAACGGGCACACAGCTCGCACCATCCACAAAAAAGCTTTGGGCACCCAAGAAAAAAAGACCTGGCCCCACTTGCAGCTTACTTCACTAGAGCTAAGCCCATCTATAAGGTGAATATTCATCGCTTGTATAACTTCTAAGCATTATATATACTTCTATTATGACTTTTCGGCCGAATTTTTTATGATTCTAAATTACTTAGAGCCGCAATTTATCGGAATAGGTTTCTATACTCTTACTAGATAGCCAATCCTAATCATCTAACTTCTAATCACCTAATTTGCAGTGGATATATATATAAGAAATATATATAACGCTCATTTAAAGTATACATGGTTTATATACACTATGTAGGCTAAAAGCTGAGCTTACTTAGAGGTTTATCCGAGAAAACTTGGCTCTCCCAGAGGTTAATCAGTTGGTGCCCGGAACTTTTTTGTGAGTGGAGCGAGCTGTAACCCGGCCCGTGATTCGGCGTGTCACTCACTGCAAGGGCACGCGACTTCTCGTCACTCCAACTGCTCTGCAACCTGGAAGACAGACGCGCGACACCATGCTCCAGACATCGATATCGGCCTGGCTGAACAAGCCGAGGGCCGTCGCCGAGCCTCCTCCAGCTCCCCCAGCTCCTCCAGCTCCTCCAGCTCCTCCAAACCCCAAGTCTCTCACCGCGAAGGCCTCTACCGAACCCACCACAGCGCCAACCTTGCATTCAACCCCCACCCTCCCACCACCACCGCAAAGACCCGCAGCCCAAACGACGCCCCCGACACCAGTGCCACCGTCCAGAAAACCCCGTCCGCTGCCTCCAAACATAACCCTCGAACCCGTAACACCCAGCACACTCCCCTCCCTCCGCCGCCTCAACAGCCTCCTGCTCCCAATCCCCTACCCGCAGAAGTTCTACGACGAGATCCTCTCCGACCCGATCACATCCAGCATCACGCTCGTCGCGCTCTGGCACGACACTCCGCCCGCAGCCCCAGCCGGCTCTGCCACGGCCACAACGCCCGACTCCACCACGACAGATACCTCTCACGAGACTGTGAGATCTGCACCACCGAAACCGCGCGTCGTGGCAGGCATACGCTGCCGCCTCCTTCCCGCCCCTCCCTCCTCCCCCACCAGCTCCCTCACCTCCCCTTCCCATCCAGTCCTTTACATCTCAACCCTAGCAACACTCTCCCCCTACCGCGCCCACGGCCTAGCAACCCACCTCCTATACGCCGTGACACTGGCGGCGCACACGCGTCACGGCGTCGTACAAGTCTGCGCGCATGTCTGGGAGGCGAATGGGGAGGCTCTGGCGTGGTACAAAAGACGGGGGTTCGTGGTGAAAAGCAAGGAGGAGGGGTATTATCGAAGATTGAAGCCGCAAGGGGCGTGGGCGGTGGGGAGGAGGGTTGGTGTGGGTGAATTGGTGGAGATGGGGGCGTTTGCGGGGAAGGAGGATACGGGGGGTGAAAAGGGGATCGGGGACAAAGAATATGGGGGCGGCTGAACTGAACGAGAGGAATGCAGTGCGGCATTGAACGAACTCAAGAAGATGTTCTGGGGTTGGGGTTATGGGAACTCCAAGCCGAAAGCGGAGGCGCTGCCAAAAGGTTGCGTGCGGGCTGTGACCTGGTGTCGCGGATCTGCTGCGAGAGGCAGCTGGATACTGGGCCGCAGCGTTATGTCTTCGCCTTGAACTGGCCTGCGGATGTGGGAGAAGAGGCGGAGATGATGCGCGAGGAGGTGGTGAAGCGTGGGTGCCATGGAACGCGTCAAGGAGGCTGTTCCGATGCTCTGCCGCACTCGGTACAGAGTGTCTAAAGGTCTAAAGCGAACGAGTGGATTCTTCCGGTAGAGACGCTTTTCTGTGTCACGAAACTGTTCCGGGGGCTAATGCTGACCCGCACGCATTCGAGAAGGCAGTGTGGATTAGACAGACTGCTGCTACTGGTTTCTGGTCCTGAATTACGAATGTATTCGCGATGATAGAGAGAATCGCTACCACGACGAGTTCCTATTTGCGCAAAGCTCTGAATCGTCTTGTGTACATAGTGGACGGCCACCCCAATGATAACAATCGCTGGACTCGAAGTCGTGCGAACTGGTAGGTCACTGCGTTGACGACCGATTGAACGCTTTAACGTCAAATATGATGATAGAGCTAAGTCAAGGGCCGAGGCGCAAGGCGCCGTATACAGCCTCGTAAGCGTGTTGAAGCCATAGTTAGACGTGAAACGGTGTTTGCTTGTTCAAAAAGCGTCCATGTATTCGAGACGGGAAAGGAGCCTAGGTCAAACTAAGGATGTAGAACATCAGAAAAGTTTCTTGAAAACTTCAAATCTTGACAGAGCTGCGATCGAATTGGAGTTGTAATTCTGAAGCTGGATAGCCTGAACTCAGTTCGTCACATCAAAAGATCTTTAGAGACATGGTGAAAACGATGAATTTCGGTGATTTTGAAGTCCAGCAGTTTCTGTCACCCGCATGATGGCCTGTGCTAATCGCCATAATCCGCCATACCCTCACTCATCGCCCTCCTAACCGCAGCGGCCGCTCTGCCAACCTCTCCACCCTCTTTCTTCGCCATTCCCAATCCTGCCGTGATCGACGACTGAAATCGCTCATAGAAAATCCTCTGACGGTCCCCCCGATCCCCATACATCTCCGACTCCTCATCGCGCGGTGGCCCAAAAAGATTCAGATGCGCGAACCCACCTCTCGCCATATGGGCGTCGGTACGCCAGAGCGGGAAGTTGTTCACCGGCCCAAGATCCTTGCCGTCGTCTTTCGGCGGAGCTAGTCCAGCGCGCAGCAACGCCGCCAGCGCCATCAGAGTCCTGCCCTGCGCCTTCGCATCGCTCGGTTTACTCGAAACTGCGCGGTTGCTCGTCCAGTGGCTGTCGGTGTCGACGCGGGCCTGCCAGCCCAGCAGCCCGAGGAACGTCTTCAACGTCTTGAACCAGCCGCCTGCACAGCTGACGACGTCGTCGCCCGCGGCGAGGAGCAGCCATTCGAGGATGTCGAGAGAGGTGGAGCGGATGTCGGTCGAGAGGTGCGTCATTCCTGCGCGGGTCCAGAGGAGGAGCTGGTCGGTGTGGCCGGCTAGCTCGGCTGGGGGGAGGGTTTGCAGGAGCTTGAGGAGTTGCTGGCGGACGCCGTGAGAGGCGCTGTGGACGAGGGGTTGGACTTTGGAGAGGATGAGGGTGATGGGCTGGGGGAGGGGCGCGTCGGCGGGCTTGGTGGAGAGGGCGGTCGTTAGGTAGGCTAGGGACTCTTTTACTTGGGTGTCGGATTTGTGGGAGAGCATCGACAGGTGGTGCGAGAACTGTGAGGTCGCCGAAGGAGCGGCAGCCAAGATAGACTGCTGGACGAGGACGATCGCTGTAGTTCGGTTAGCTGGAGCTCGAGAGTGATGATGTAGCGTATACGTACACTTGGCTTTGAAGCTCGTATCCGTAAAGTTCGCAGCCTTCGGTTTGGCCTTTCCAACCTTGAGCTTCGGCTTCTGGAAGTCCTTCTTCTTCTCCTTCTTGTGCTTTGCGCTTTTCGCCATCTTGTCACCCGCTGTCTATGAAGCGGCACCGGAAATGCCTGGATTGATGTGTCGTAGACCGAGTGAGAAGCATGAGGCAGGCCGGAGTCTGCGAGTCTGCGAGTCTGCAAGTCTACGTTCAAGTTCTGGTCCAAGATTTGAACCTTGGTGACTTTCGAAGAATTTTGGCGGAGCATGTCGGATCTTCTTCGGCGAAACTTCCGCGGCGCCAAGCATCGTCAGATATCAGATATCTGAGAAACCTCGCGGTGCACTTGGTGGGACTCAAACCCCTACTACCAAAGCGAAGATGAGCTGGAGTTAAAGGCGCTGCCAATCGCCTCACCGCGTTCTATCATCCTCCTATTCTTCCTCTACATCATGACACCGTCAGCAGTAAGCCTTCAAGCCCACAGTCCTCTCCTTATGTCCTAACTTGAACCCAGCCAGATGATGCCCTCGCCCTCCTAACCCGCCTCAGCCAGAAGCCCGGCGTCCAAAGTACCCTCGTTCTCTCCCGCGAGACCGGCGCCATCGTTCGAACCTCCGGCCTCATCTCTACCAGCAGCAGAGCGAACGCCAACGGCACGCTACCCACCTCAGACGACACGTCCGAAAGTTACGGCAACGGAAGGAAGGAGAGCGGTATACAAAGTGCTGAAGATGTCGCCCGCTCGGTGTGGACGTTTGTCGAGGCGGCTGGAACTATGATCCGGGGATTGGATGGGGAAGATGAAGCGAAGCTGTTGAGGGTTAGAACGAAGAAGAACGAGCTAGTCATTGTGCCTGGTATGTCAGGTCATGTTGGGGAGTGGAATCAAAGCAACAGCGGCTGACGGTGTCTTCCAGATGCGAAGTTCCTCTTAGTCGTTATTCATGACACACCACCAGCTTGAAGTGTCTACGAGATGAGACGCACTGACAGAAAAGTGCCGCCCTCAAGGAGCTGAAGCGCATCCGGAGTCGAACCGCACCCCGGCATGGTTGGCCAACCTGGTCACGTAGAACCTAACAGCTCCGGCTTCACCAGTGCTCCTCCCCAATATCAACCTCCTCGACGTCGACACCTTCCTTGAACCACCTCTCCTCTTCTCCAATCTCAATATCGTTCCCGCTCATCATCCGTTTCCTCATCCTACCATCCTCCGCAAACGTCCAATCCTCTAGGCCATAACACCGCTTCCACTTCATCCCGTCCTCTTTGTCCTGGTACTCGTACCAGAACTGAACCGCGATCTTGTGGTCTTGGAAAGCGAAGAGCTCCTTACGGAGACGGTAGTTCTGCTCCCTGTCCCACTTGGTGGTCAGGAAGGATGTGATTTCGTCATGGCCCTTGAGGAATGTGGAGCGGTTGCGCCAGATGCTGTCTTCGGTGTAGGCTTTAGCTACGTTCTGTGGATCCCTAGGCTTTCGGTTAGGGGTATCTGGTCGCCTCTGGGCTGGGGAAAGGAGCACTTGGTGTTCCAAAGATCCTGGGCCTTCTTGACTTTTGCCTGTGCGGTTCCCGCGCTGAATGGTGGTATTAGTGACATATCCGCTCCGCCAGTAGTGTGGAGCTGGGAATCGAACTCGTAGCGGCAATCTCAGAATCCGAGTATCTTAGTGACCTTTGACAGCTCTAACAGAGCTATGTTCTGATGTTATAGATGTATGTAATACAATGGCGTCATCCAGAAATTTGGATCATCTCGGCACAACGCTTCAACGACCCCGCCCTCATCCCCACCACCTGTGCCTGTCGATCACCTTCAAGCCGTTCCAAAAAACATATCTTTTGTGCATTCTCCAGAACCGTAACGTCATTCATATTAACGACCTCCACAGAGTCCAACCAAAAACTTCTTGAGACAACATGGCACCTCTAAAGGTCGGAGACAAGTTCCCTAGTGGCGTCAAGTTCGAGTGAGTGATGAACTACTCGAGAGCTTCCAAGCATAGCCCGCGAAGAATGCTTCAGTTGCATGCTTTGCAACGAGTGCCAGCTTTTGAGGCGCTGGGGGGTCAACTTGGTGTGAGCACGGCTAATAACATATCACAGATGGGCTCCCATCACCGACGACGACCCAACCTCTTGCGGCAGGCCACAGGAGTATGATGCCGACAAGGAATTTAAGGGCAAGAAGGTCGTCCTAATCAGCGTACCCGGTAGGCTTCAGTACTTGATCCTTGCCTTTCTGGTGTTCCGTGACTTACTCAACGATCTTGCAGGCGCTTTCACCCCCGGCTGCCAGGCATACCACCTCCCTCCCTACATCCAGAAGTACGACGAGCTCAAGAGCAAGGACGTGGACATCGTGGCCGTCATCGCCTCCAACGACTGCTGGGTAATGTGTGCGTGGGGCAAGGTCAACCAGGTCAAGGACGACCACATCGTAGGTCGTGTCATCATCCATGGAAGGGACCACAGCTCATGCTTGGGTTTCAACAGCTGTTCCTGGCCGACACCAAGACCAAGTTCTCCGAGAACCACGGCTGGGCTGCTGGGATGGGCGACCGCAATGGCCGCTGGGCTATGATTATCGAGAAGGATGGGACCGTCAGCTATGCGGAGAACGAGTCTGATCCGAGACAGGTTACGGTAAGTAGAGCGTGAAGCGTGTGTCATCTGCTAAACGATAAGGTCGCTGATGACTCCCTAGGTCTCTGGTGCGGATGCCGTCCTTTCGAAGTTGTAGGCAGGGGTTCACAGCATGGAGTAGGTGCCTCCAGGCATGCATAGGGGAGAGTAGGCCAAACCACTAGAGATAGATTTCCAACAACGGCTCACCTAAATTGAACCGTTCCTCCCCGTTCCTCCCCGTTCCTCCCTAAGAGAAATGCGAACCTTGAAGCTTGATATCGCACCCCCGTGAGCTCCTACAGAGGATGCAATAGAGCTTCGACGCCCTAGTTCATGCTGAAGCGGACGCCAGAGGCGTCGAACTGCCGGTAAACTAAGAAATGAATGGGCTCGATCTGAAGTGTGCACACCGTTTGGTTGGATTATGTATGTGGCGTCACAAAACGAACCGCTTCTTTCAGGTAAAATCCAGAGCAGCAGATACAGGACGGAGCTTGGTCTTCCGCCCACATGAGAACAATCACTGAAGATGTCCAAGCATCACAGCGCACCACATTCCAGTGCGCTGCCAGCGTGAGCGGTGATGACAGACGAAATGCTAGAGATTCGATGTTTTGTGCAAATTGCTGCTTAGTCAGACTTCTTAGCTTGGACCTATGTCTCGACGACCTTGAAGGACAACTCGACACCACACGCAGCTTCAAAACTCAACACGGCATGGAGACGTTGAACAACACAGCCTGGGACGTCCTCATTGCCGGCACCGGCCTACAACAGTCGCTGCTGGCTTTGTAGGTTACCGCACCCATTGCACGGAGTCGCCTGCAAATTCTGACTGACGCAGTCAATGGTGAAGAGCCCTGTCCCGCTCAGGCAAGAAAGTGCTGCACATCGACAAGAACAGACACTATGGAGGGGCGGAAGCTGCCTTCAGTCTGCAAGAGGCCGAGTCATGGGCCCAAGAACTGACTCAAGGTATCACTCTAGCTCGCATGTTGATTTGGGGCTCCATCAGCTAATACAGTCTGTAGGTGACCTCAACTTACCCTTCCACAATGCGGCGATAGAACAGCCTTCATTACCCACTGAAGATGATGATGGACCAAAGCTGTCGTTCTCGCGGGCGTATAGCCTGGCGCTTGCTCCGCAGATAATCTACACTCGCTCCGCGCTCCTCCCGGTTCTTCTTTCCACCAAAGTTTATCGACAGCTAGAATTTCTGGCAGTCGGCAGTTGGTGGCTTTACACACCAGCATCGCCGCCCGACACAAATCCAGAGGTCTCGGACAGCGCTAGAGGTGAAGATGCCACATTAGCGAGCAAAGGCTGCCTTACCAGGATACCAAGCGGGAGAGAAGATGTCTTCGCAGACCAGAGCCTCGATATCCGGTCGAAGCGGGCCTTGATGAAGTTTCTCCGCTTCGTAGCCGACTACGAGAACCAGCCAGAGATTTGGGAAGCACACCGTCAGGCGCCGTTCCCCGAGTTCCTCTCCATTCAGTTCAAGCTCCCTGCGGCATCCCACAATATGCTCCTTGCGCTCACATTGTCACCTTCTGCACCTCTTGAGACGACCACTGAATCTGCTTTGCCGCGTATAGCTAGGCACCTTCGGTCCATAGGGCTATTCGGGCCTGGCTTTGGAGCGGTCATACCGAAGTGGGGAGGCCTAGCAGAGATTGCCCAAGTCTCGTGTCGCGCTGGCGCAGTAGGCGGTGGTACGTACGTTCTCGGGAAACGAGTTACGAAAATCGAGGTCAAGAGCGAATGCGCAAACGTTGCTAGCGACACAGACATAAGCCCATCTCAAGCTTTCGACACAGTGCTTGCTGGCGAAGACGGTGTGGACGTCGTCAGCGCGGCCTGCATTGTGGGCTCCGACGAAGACCTGCCGTCGGCCTCGACTTCCAGCCAAGATGCCCAGCAGTCCGCTCGTCGTTCGATATCGATAATCTCTTCGCGTCTCGAGTCATTGTTTCCGCCGCTCGCCGAAGGCGCTCCCGCACCAGCAGGTGCCGTTGTCGTCTTCCCCGCCGGCAGTCTGTCCGACGGTGGAGCCGAGTCAGCTACGGATTCACCAGTCCACATCCTTATGCATACGAGCGATACAGGCGAATGTCCAGATGGCCAAAGTAAGTCTGTCTACTATGTCCACCTGTGCAAATCTTTCTATTTTCGCCTACTATGATGATCAACCTTGACGAATACTTATCTACATTGTCTGCAATTTCATTGAAGATACAATCTCTGACAAACTGATACTGGCTCACACCTACTGCGTTTCCCACTCAAAACCTCCGCAATGCAGCTTGCTGACTGCTTTAAAGGCGTCCTATACGCAAGTATGACCGCTCCCGGCGCCGCTGGTTTCGCACTCCTCGACCGCGCCGTCTTGGAGCTTCTTCATTGTGTCGGCGAAGAACCTTCGCCGACTGTCCTGTGGTCTCTGCGCTATGAGCAGAGCCAGTCCGCTCTTGATACCCCGGCTTCAGCATCTTCGAGCGAAGGCAGGATTCTTAGATTTCCGCAATCGAGTCTGGACCTGGCTTTTGATGATGGCATGCTTGAGCGTGTCAAAAAGATCTGGCAGGAGATTGTGGGGTCGGATGCGGGAGAGTTTATGAAATTCGGAGAGCAAGGGAATGGTGGCGGGGAGGAGGAGGATGATGAGGAGGCGTAGCGTCAAGACAGCTGACTACATTTGCTGTAGAGTACGCTTGCTTACGGATGGAATGAACGCAAAGAGATTCATACCGCTCACATGGCTCGTCTTGCATCTTTGCCATGCCATATCTGCAGCTAGAATCCTTCCGGTGTGACTTGCTAAGTGTGTCTTCGCTAGTAACAATCTCTCTATTACTATATAATATGACAGGCTAAGACAAGTCGACCCGCAGACCAAATTGGAAGTGCCCCTTTCTTAGGAAGTTACACTGGATACTGCAAAGCCAAAACTGTGTTGGTACCTTTGCACTTCTTCTTCCGCCATCGAGCTCTGTCGGTCCACCACAGCACCCCCTCCGCCGAGATATACTTACTCGTACAAGCCAACACGCATCTCGACACTTCCGTCGTCACGCAATTACACTCCGCCTCTCCCTCCCGCCGCCACAGTTTCCAAGTACACATCCAATGGACTCGTCCCCTCAGCCGCACTATCCCGGCTCGCCCTCCCATAGCCTTCCACCCCTCTGCCAGCGTCATCCCGCCGCCCCCGACCATGCCACCGCTCGTGTCTTGCGCTCTCTCGGGCAAGCGCCCCGGACGTCTTAAGCACGGCTACTAACGCCGCCTCTAGGAGCTGGTTCTCACGCTCTAGGGCTGCGACCCGGGACTCTAGCGCTGTGCAGCGCGGATCTGGGAGGGCGGCGTCGGTGCGGTGGGGGCTGTCTGTGTCTCGCGTGTGAGATGTAGAGAGCGGGACGCCCGTTCGGGAAAGCACGTCCGGCGCAGAGAGGTGGCGCGTGAGCGGGCCGCCCATCGGTGGTGTCGTCGGAGAATTTGCCATCGGCCGCGCGGACGTCAGTGTGATGCTGCTGTCTTCGTAGCCCTCGCGCTCGTCGTCTGCTCCGGCCGTCGTGTCCGCCGCCTCGCCCTGCTCTTCTAGGTTTCGACAGAGCTGCTCCAGCGGCGGCGTGTGTGTGCGCACGGCTAGAGTCGTACCGGCCGCTGCTGCGTGCTCGTTGAGCAGCAGTCTCGCCGGCTTCTTGAGCGTCTTGTTCTTCACGGGGATCTGCTCTGCGACCTGCATCACGGGCGAGAGACACATGCTGCCTGCTGTCGACGGCGTATAGCCTGTTTTGAAACCGGGGGTGGGCGCTGGATCCGGCACGTCTAGGGACGGCGGCCTAGGCCGCACGGTCTTGAGAGGTTGTGGGCGGAGCCGTGCTGATTGCGGCGAGGAGGGGGAGGGAGAAGGCGCTGCTGAGTCCGTGTCGGCGGAGAAGGACCGCTCGATAATCTCATCGATGTTCTGCCGTGTGCTCTCGAGGTCACGAAGTTTGCGGGCGCGGACCCGCTCATCGCGGGTTTTGCGGGTGGGACGGAGTGTGTGGGGCTTCGCCTTGATGGGCTCCTTGGTGGCCAATTTCTCAAGCTTATCGACAGCGGAGTCGTTGCGCCCGTGGTCAGCGTCTTCATGGGAGGCTTGATGCTGGACCCAGTTCTCCGTCGCTGTTTTTGGAGGCATTGATGGCGGGCTGTCGTCGTAATCAGACGAAGACCTTCGCATGCTTTGACCGGTGAGGAGTTCGCTGCTGCGTTGCATTGTTCTTCCTCGTTGGTCATCCTGGTAGCTGAGTTCGCAATGTTGAGGCATTTCCTGTACTTGCGGCTGGATGTCCAGCAACTCAGTGATTACCACCTCGCCACCAAATACGCACAGCGGCTCCTCTAAGGATATAGGCTCCGTGATCGGAAGGTGACTGTAGAATGCCTTTTCGGGAGCTGTTGCTCCGCTGCCAGGAGCTTCGAAAGTTTGGTTCTCGAGAATGGTCCGGGTGAGATCCACTACTCCGGCGCTCAGAGACCGACTACGCCTTTCTGTTCTGTTTGGAGAGCTTGGTGGTGACAGAAGACCGGTATCATCTCTCGAAAGTCCGGGGGTCGATGCCGATCTGTGTGACTTGCGGTGCTCTTTGGTGGCCTCTAGCCTGGGGATCCAGATATCAAGCGGGTCGTAGTCAACGCCTTCGTCTCCGTCCTGGAAGACGGTTGAAATGCGAGGGAGCTTGCAGTCGTTACTAACACTAGATACAACAGTAAGCTCAAAGTGTAGATTGGTAGGCAGACTCTCGGACAGAATAATCTTACTATCGAATGCTGCTTGTGGTCCTCCACTCTGCAGGTTCTTGGTGCGGTATGATCTGCAGGTATTTCTTTCCTAATAACTGTGGGTTAGTGCTCGAGACGACAAAGTAGCGGCAACGCGAGCAATGTGAGATGTACCTTTCGAGGAAACTTTCTGCACAACACAGTCTGCTGGGACAAAGTAGTCTAGTGGTGACGGCTCTCGACCAGATCTGGGTTTCCTGCTCGTGATTGTCAGCGTACTCTTTCAATCCTACACCTCAATGCCGGACGACGTGCCCATCCAATTATTTTATGCTTCCGGTCTCTGCTTGGCGGGTTTGTCTCTAAAATACGCCGAGACAGGAATACTAAGCAATTGCGAACGTACCCTTCAGCCGTTCCCACCTTCGTCGCCAAACTATGCTTCCGCCCCGATTTCAAAAACCTCAACGCACTCTTATGCCTCAGCTGTTTCCTCTCCATCTTCCCCGTCTCCGCCGCCCCTGCCTGTATTGGTCCTGTATTTTTCAAAAAATACGCAATATCAAACGACGCATTCGCAGACGTTACAGGCCCTCCACGAGCCGTTGGCTTATTAAGGGGCATCAAGAGTTCGGACTCAGAAGGCTGAACATGTGGCGAGAGGTCCGTCCAGCTTAGATTCGTGAAAGACCGCGGACGACCGCCGCGATATCTTCTATTGCGCCGCGTGCACGCTGCAGGGCTCGTGCCACCGGAGTTCTGACGGCCAGCGCAGCCCTCGGAGCTGCGATGCGGGAACGAAGCCGTGCCATCTGTGGTGCCATTGCGGAGAGATTGGGGGAAACTGACGAAGTCGCTCATTGGTTTGCAGGGCTCGGAGAGATAGGGGGGTAAACCCAGTAAAGGTGAGAGAGGTCGGACGGCTTGCATGGCGAGTTTTCGAGGGCGCGGAGTGTGATTCACGAAGGACGGGTACCGGCGATCGTGGTGGACGGTTACGTGCATGGGCGCCGTTTTCGCGCGCCTGGGTCATGAGAGATGTCGGGCTGGGTCGGACTCGGACGGCAGCGACACAGAATGAACAGAGCGAGAGAAAAGAACGAGCAGCAACTGGTTATCAATGAATGAGAGCGGATGCTACCCGTACTAAAGCGGTGTTTGTTCGCTATGATCCGGGGTTGACTCACACCAGGATGTGACCGCTCAATCGAGCAGTATCGGTGGCCCATCCAGGATTGCGGACTCTCATTCAGCGCATCACGGCACCGGCAGTGGTTTCCTAATGCTGTGAACAATGCTGCGAAAGCTCTGCAGCGAGGCATCGCAACGATCTGTACGTTGCACGCTTGCTGTTCCCGAGCATCCATCATGCGTCGATAAGGCACAGCTGCAGTCTGAGATGAGTCGGATCCAGCAATGCTGGTGGCACAAGGCTGAGTGATATTCAATGGGTGTAGCGGAGAAGAAGATTGCTTGGATGTTCGAGAAACGCCAACACGTGCGGAGAAAACACATCTGATCCTCTTTGGTAAACGACGCAAGGGACAGGTACATAGAAGATGCGCGAGACGTGGCACTGCATAGGCTGACAGTAGCCTGCGGAGGTCTCTTCTGTCGTGGACGAATCTGAAACAGGGGGAAAAGACGAGAAGGACAGTGGACAGCCCTGAAAGAAACTATGGTGAGATGTAGACATCTCAATACTACTGCGCTTACAGTCCGCTCAGATGTGGCAATGGCTGCAATCGAGTCAACACCGTGTCAAGCTGCACCACCGCGGCGGCAACAGCGGCCAGACTCGACGCCCGGACGTTGAGGGACCTGGTTCCTGGTGACACGGCGTTTCATGAGAAAGTTGAGACCGGCACGCATCCGGGCTGCGCATTGTACCACTTCACCCTAACCGGTTGGTGGGTCGACGCAGCAGCAGCGGGTGGAAACCTGCGGGAGTTGGACGTGGAGATGTCGATGCAAGTTGCACGGAGCAAGTGCTGCTCTCAGAAGGCTGAGCTTCGCCCACGCACAGGCATACCGTGATATTTTAGGCACGCAGGTGTTTGACTAGGCGCGGATGGCAGCTGGAAGCCGCTGGCCAGCTCACTTCAACGAAGAGGGAAGCGCGCTTGTAACGCCTGTAGAAGTAGCTCTCTACTCCACGGTGAGGTAGCAAAGCTCGTAGCCGGTGGGTGTGCATAGAGCACGCCAGGCGTTCACATCAAATTAGCGACCATCGGAACGTTGCTCCACCACAGTATCATCCGATGATCCTACCGCCTAAGCCACTGTTTATAGGTTACAGTGCCGTGCCATCTATCTGAGTGACTGCGCCGCCAGATGAAATGCCTATCAAGTCCTCCGACACCGCGGAAATGCTACCAGCCTCTTCTCCCTTCCCATGCTATGCTGCCCGCAACTGTGCTTACCAGACCAAGAAACCGAAAACAAGCCCGTTCGCCTACCGGAGAAAAGAAAACGAGCAGGTGATTAAGTCTCGTGTGGTGCCAGAAAGTCAAACCGACATGGTCTCACGCCTACGCCTCGCGCACGCGGACCAGCTGGCCACGGCCCGGTCGCAGCGAACGCCTCTACGCCGGCCGCGGCCTTTTCGGTACCGGTTTCTTAATGAATGGATCCACCGGTTTCTTCTTCCGCAGTGGAGGAGGTGCCGTTCTCGGCTCCGTAGCAGTACTGCCCCGCAGGCCGCCAGCACTGCCCTCACGCCTATCCGAGACGCCATTCGAGGCTTGCCGTCCGTTTGCGGTGGACTTCTCGATCTTGGGTTTGACGTCAGTCGCCGGCGTTGACCTCCCACTGGCGTTCCTGCTAGACGCTCTATCTGATTCCGACTTGACGTCCTTCATCTCGACGTCTTCATCGCTGTCGATCGAGGCTTTGCGTTTGTGGCGGACTTTGTTCTCGGGAGGGGCGCCGAAGAGCTCCTCGTCTAGAGACATGGATCGTTCGTTCTTGAATACGCTCAAGGGCGCAGATTCACGTTCGGTCTTAATCTTGACATCTCCATTCGATCGGACCGGCTCAGCCTGCCGAGGGTTCATGTCGCGTGGCCCCGCAGGTGCGTCCTTCGGCGCTCTCGAGGCGAACGTCGGATCAACCTTGACCGGCTTCCGGAGCAGCTGCATCAGCCTATTGCCCTCAATATAACGGCTCCTGCCCTTCGCATCATCGACCAGCTTCCGCCAGTACTCGCCTCTCGCGAGGCTCTCCGAGTTCCCCAGGACCCAAAGCGACGACTTCGCACGAGTGAGACCGACGTTCATACGGCGGATATCCTGCAAAAACCCAATACCACCAGCCGGCGACGCGCGCACGCACGAGAAGATGATGATCTCGCTCTCACGGCCTTGGAAGGCGTCCGTGGTGTTGAATTCGATGGTGTCGAAAACAGCCTGTCCATAGCGCCGCGCGAAGCGATCTTTGAGTTCGCGGAGTTGGCTCTTGTAGGGCGTGATGATACCGACTTTGCCCTTGAAGTCGAAGGAGTGGAAGTCGGTTGTTAGACGCTCGTAGAGTTGCATGGCGACGTCTATTTCGGCTATATTGATCAGGGAGTGGCCCTTTGGCGCTGCTTGGTGTTGGCCCTGCACGTCGAAGAAGCGGTACGGGCCCAGCAGCTCGCTTGCGTGCCATGGTCGTTCGCGTAGAGCAGCCATGTCAGCGCCGTCGAGGAGCCTGCCGTCGTAGAAAGTCTGGCTGGGGAAAGCGCTGATTTCCGGGTGCATACGGTACTGCGTGTCGAGGAGGTGAACGTCGTCTGGATGGTTGCCTTGCATGCGGACGAACAGGCTCTGCTCGTACTGGAAGCGTGCGGCTTCCTTAGAGAAGACGGTGGGCGGCAGCTGTTTAGGATCTCCGACCAGGATGCATTTCGCACAACCGTATTTGAGCGGAATCAGCGCGCTCATCTCAACGCACTGCGCCGCTTCGTCCACGATGACCGTCTCGAATTCGATGTTCAGATTCTGGAACATCTCGTGGCCACTGCCGCTGAGAGTAGCGCAGATGACATGCGCCTCGTCCAGTACAGCCTGCTGCGCGCGCCTTCGGTTCAAGTCCGCTTGTCGATTCTGAAGGTTCTCGTTGTCACGAGCACTATCGATCTGAGCACCAAGCTGTGCTTTACGCCGCCTCAATGTGTCAAACTCGTCTTTAAGTTTAGTCGCCTCCTCGCCTTTGGCTTCGCCCGCATCAAGCTTCTCCCGTGCTTCTCGTAGCTTCTCCGAGACCGCTTGGTGCTCCTTCATGAGATCTTGCGTTTGCTTCCGCTGGTCTTGATTGTCTCCTTGGTTGAGACCTAGACGCTTGCTCACCAGTTCATCAAGGGTAACATCGATGACGTTAGCATTCATGGCGTCACTCCGTCCTAGTCTGACCACACCAAGCTTACGATGCTGGCCAGACAGCGTTGTAACACCTCCTTTGAAACGCATCACCAGTTCGTCCACAGCTGCATTGCTTGGAGCGCAAACAAGTAGCTTCTTCGGTGGAGCCGGAGCGCTGTGAGCTGCTCCGTTCATCCCAGGGGCTCTTGGCTTCTCGATCACTGTTGCTTTGTTCTCCCGTAAGCTGTCTGTTAGTATGGCCCCCACTATGGCCACGATTGTTTTGGTCTTGCCAGAGCCAGGAGGTCTACGAGATAATCAGTATGTGTGTACTCATGTGTTCATGGTTGTTGATCGCCTTACCCTTGAATCAGCGTGAAAGCATCGTTGTCAATAGCCGATTTGACAGCTTTGGCTTGGGCCTTGTTGACCTTGTAGTTGGCGATAATCGGATCCAGATGCTTGTCTGAGTATTTCAGAAGCGGCGAAGGCTTTGCTTTGATGATTTCGTCGCAAAGGTCGTAGTATTCCAAGCCTGCAAGTGCGCCGTACTCACGTTCGAGCGGAGTGATAGACTGCACCTTCACGCCCTTAATAGTGGCATTCGGTACCAAGGAGGAAATGAGAGGGTTTCCGGGCATGACTCGGTACAGCACTTCGAGGTTTGCTTTCTTGCGGGTGATACGCCACACCCTTGCGAGGCAATGCGGCTGGTCCGCAGCTGTAGCTGGATTCGGAGCTTTGCCCAGAAGGGCAATGTCTCCCTCAGAGATCGAGATCTCCTTGTTCTCCGCATGCGTCATTGTACTACTGACCTCGATGAAGGCATCGACGCTTGAGCGGTTGACAATCTTGACTTCATAAGGCTTGAAGTTACTCTCTTCTCGAGCTTTGACAAAGCCTTGCCATGCTTCTAGAGTCAAAAGAGGCTGGAATGTATTCTGGTAATCCACGGGAGTGCGGAAAGTGTTAGGGACCGCGCTGTACATATCCGGACGCGAGTTTGGCGGAAAGTCCCCTTCATGAAAGTAGTCCCAGCCCAAGATCGTCTTATGCAGGTTGGACAAGTCAGGTGCTAATCGAGCACGCATATCTCTTGCAGATCTAACCTTCCGCTGCTTCTTGACGGGGCCTTGTGGCGGCATCTCAGCGTGGACTTTGGCTTTCAATGCAGGATCTCTCTTCACAACCTTCTTAGGCCCGAAAAGCTCTTCGTCAAGTTCATCGTCGTCGTCGCTTTCTTCATCGCTGGAGACCATCATGCCTGTCCCTCGAGCAGCATGATCTTTGCCTTTGATGCCGAGACCTGCGAGACCTGACCCAGCTTCCGCTGTCTGACTAGTTCGTCCTGTGGCGACAGCAAGCATAGCCGCATCTCTCTTCTTCTTCGCCGCAATCTCCGCTTCCCGGCGGCGTTTGAACTCGGCAACGTCGAGTACATTCTTTTGCGCGAGCGCTGCCTTCCTGGCTGCGGCTGCCTCGGCCTCCTTCTTTGCCTTGTTAGCTAAGATACGGGCCTTGTATGCGTCAGCGGTGCGGGGATTGGCTTTGACGATCTTGCTCAACTGGTCAGAGTCAGTTGCGTCAGAGTCTTCCGAGGTGGCCTTGCGTGATTCAGGAGTTGCAGCTCCAGGTTTGAAGAAAGCACTTATTGTGCCCTGCTTCTGCCGCTTAGCTGCCTCTTCGGCCTCGCGCTTCGCGGCTGTTACAGAGTGGCCAACATGTCGTTCGAGCGCCTGTTCTAACTCTGCGATTTGTTGTCCAGACAGCTTCGCCCGTATTTTGCCGGTGATGATGCCTTCGACGAAAGCTAGCGAGTCTTCCGAGACCTCAATCGAAACGTTGTGTAATCGGATGAGCAGCTTGCTAATGAGGGACACAGATTTGGTGGAGAGAAACTCGTCCCGCAGTCGCAGCCACTTGACGGCTGCGCTCATTGTCCGCGCAGGATGTTCCAGGAGGCTTTTGGTGATCGAAGTCTTATCTCGGGTCACTTCAGAATCTGATGATGCGGTGTTGAGAGCACTTGCGAAGATGCTGCATTCGTCGAAGAGCCTCTCTGCAAACTGCATAGTGTCACGGCAGAAATCCATCATCTGTGTCTTCTCGTGCCCCTGGTCGCTCCAGCTCTCCGTCATTTCGAATATAACTGTCAGCTCCTGCCACAATGACTGCCAGAAATGTTCCGCGGCTCTAGCTTCAGGTCCAGTTAAGGTTTTTGATCGAAGAAGACCGTCTTGGGAATTGCACAGCACGTCAATGACGTCCGTGGATAGCTTGAGCGTGCTAGAGGCCGGGGTGAACACTCTCCGCTGTGCTATCCGTCGCAGTGACATAGAGATGGCAGTGAGAGTATTTCGGAAGTAGGATGTGACTATATACCCAACGGCTTCTTTGCGGCCGTCTTCTGAACTGACAACCTTCAGAAGTTCGACTGTCGCTCGACGTGTTTCCATATCTGACGAAAAGAGTGTCGTAATGACAGTGTTAGCGTTGCCAGTGCTCTCAAATATCTCTTTGAGGGTCGACGGCGGAAGGTCATTGAGGCGCTCGATGATTTCAGATACGTTTCGTGAGAGCTGATCAAACGTCTCATTGAATCTCGCCATTTCTTTGGGCAAGGGGACGCTCGCTTTGGTAACGAACTTCTCAAGGCCAATGAGCAGACGTGCACCTATGAGCGCTCGTATAGCGAGTGCTACGGTATCGAAATTGATGCCTTGCACTACCGCCTTCCATAGTGGACCACACTGAATGCCTTGATCGTGCTGTAGTGGTCTGTTTTGCACCAACATCTCTCTATCGATGACCACGGATAAACAGTCAAGCTTCAATGCCTGTTGAACGACATCAAGCGCGATGTTTCCAGAGTCGTCGAGTTGTTGGAGCTTGACAGAATCCTTGATGGTCCTGATGAGTGATTCAACGTGATGAGCGACAACATCTAGAACATCTGAGACAGTCGCTGCTCCAACAAACGTTGACACAGATTCGCCTTCGTTCAGCTTGCTGATTGTATGTGATAAGACCTCGAGTCCCATCCTGGAGCAGAAAGACCATACTAGAGGGGGATATTTCCCATCTTGGAGGCGTCCTAGAAATTGGTCGCAAAGCGAGCGACAGGGCGGCCCTTGGTTTGAAGCCTTGATCGAAGCCAGCAATGGTTTGACCCATGAGAATGTCTGCTGCAAGGCTTCGGTGTCCCCAGTCTCCTCTTCACCCACGCTCAGCAACAGTTTCTTGAGCGAAGGGCTGTTGAAAACTTGCTCGATGACGGTCTTTGGTGATATTGTGCCCATGGCTTCCCAAACGTCGGTCGGCGACGTTTCGAGCAGCATCTGCATGGTGCCCAGTATGTCTACGAAACACTCTGAATCCAGTTGCAATTGATCCAGTGCTAGCGTACAGATATCCATATCCAGTGCTCGTAGATTGTGAGTGATAACCTCTTTATCGAGCTTGCTGACGATGACTTTGGCGCCACTCCAGAAGGTTGGCAAGAAGTCGACCTCGAGATTGCTCATGTGAACGCGCCGCATGGCGTCGGAAAGCGGGCTTTTGATATCACTATCGAATTCTTGTCCAGTAGGGCCTCGCTTGAACTTAGTCCATGTCATGAACCCCCACCTCCATCTGTCCTCCTGCTTGCTGAACAGAAAAGCTGTCATAGCCGGCGTGAATGTTTTTAGCCTCAGTCGCGTTTTCGTCTGCACGAGTCGAAACGGCTCGTCGAAGTATTCGGAAAGCAGATCCTCCCTTCTCAGAAAGGCCTCGCAGCTGATCGCCTCAAAGAGGGCGAAAAGTCCCGATGGTTGTAGGGCGCCAGGGCTGCGCTGGTCTGGCGGTGCAGCTAGGAGATCGTCTCTAGCTTGAACAAGACCTTTCTTGATGCGCTCGATGCTCAAGCCATCAATCACGGCCAGGAAGTCCGCAACTACATCTTCTCCGTAGTCCCTGACCGTGTCAGTACAGTTCCATTCATACGGTCTGGGTGAAGATACGCTTCAAGATCCGCCTTCAGCTCCGCGCGTGCCCGATGATAGATCCTTATGCAAACATCGCAGCATGCCATCTGCGCATCCAGCCGTGTTGTGAGCCATTCCTTGAACTTCGCCGCGTCGCTACCGTCGTAGGCCAGGATCTGCATGCACTCCAACACCAGCTTCTTCCGCCGTTCCGCATCCTTTACGGCATTGAGCCGCTTGTTCCTTGTGACTGCATCTTCGTTGTCGAGTCGGCCGTAAAGATCCTCGTCGAAGTAGCAGGAGTTGTCGTCAGGACCGGTTCGTGGGCAGAAAAGGTGGAGGTCTTCCGGCAGAGACTGGAGCTGCCTATTGAAAGCGCCAGAGGTTAGACAGGACGGAGGCGAATTGATACGTGGAAAGGCGGGTGGGGAGAACTCACTGGAGCTTCTGCGCGAGTTCCGCCATCAGAAGTTAATGTGCAAGGCACGCCTTGCCAGGGTCTTTTACTAGCTTCCCTCACTTCCAGACTATCTCCAGTAAAAGGCTTCAACCAAACAGATCATTGTTCCCCCCGGCTACCAAGAATCGTGTGGTGCTGATGTTCGCTCTGCAAGGGTTGTTGATGGTGTATGTGTGTGGGCCAGGAAATCAAAGGCTATGCGTGACAAAGGACAGGTCTTCCCGATTATGGTTTGAGTAGCGAAGGAGAGTGAATTGGGGTGGATGTTTATAGGGTATCTAGACTTTTCCAGGCGGGCCGAGTGCAGTGAAGCAGAGTGAGCGACGGCCGGGCCAGGGGAGAAGACTGGCGGTAGAGATCACGCTCGCAGCTTCGCTGCCCAGGCGGCTCATCAGAGGAATCGTCGTTTTTGAGGGAAGAGGGCGTCGCCGCTGGATTGCCGGGATGCACAAGACATACAGGAGCGCTGAACGGCGTTTGAAGCAATCCCGGAGAGATGCCGTCACTTTACGCGCTGTCACGACCTCTTGGCGCGCCCTTGTCTCAGACTCAGAGTTGTCAGGTCAATCTCGCAAGTGTCATACGCATGCCTTCAACCACTCGCGCGTGTGAGTCGCTTCGAGGCATGAGATATTGCGGCACAACAGTCCACGTTGTTGGCGGATGCGCGATTGAACTGACCATACAAAGCACGCCCTCAGTCTACACCCTTTGATAAAGCGTCTATCCTCACAGCTCGTCCGCCACACAGGGAAGTGAGGCCCCCTGCGCCGAGTGCACACAACGAGACCGACCGGAAACGCCGCTTACGATGCTGCGAGAAGAACACGTGAGAAGAAAAGGACGAAAGCAACCACAGTGCGCCAAACAGCGCCCTGCCCTCAAGACAAAAAGACGGGAATCATTCAGCATGCCCGGATCCCGCGCAATCTATCAGTGGCATCGCCCCCAAACGCCATCAACGTACGTATCTCAAGATCACAAGAAAACCCATGCCCGACTAGGCCGTCCGGGCGATATGGGTATGTACAACCCCCCTCCGTCCACAGCGCCAGAGAAGAGACAAAAGAGATGGATACAGCCGTAAAACTGAGGAATGCACGGGAGAACAGTTTCATCCCATATCGCGAGTGATGTCATTCCGTCTCTTCGACGCCCTCGCAGCCGAATGGCTACTTTCAATCCGGCTCAGCAGCGCTGCCGACGTGAAGTCGTTGCTGGCTTCGAAGCTCGGCCGACATTTGTCCATTGAAAGCCGAGCGCGGTCGAAAGAGGGTCTGGGCCTGTCAAGGGAGTTGCGTGGGTACTCTAGGGAAGGGCGGGGTGGGGGCTCGACGATGACGCTCGGTTTGCGGTCGTTCCACGACATGTGGCCTGTGTAGTCTGTTCCATCACTGCCGTTGTGGCTGCGAGGGTTGTGGGTTGTGCCGGTCGGGGCGACGGAAGGCGGGTAGATGGGTCGCTCGTCGTCTCGGACTGGAGCGTTGCCATTCGTCGGTTTGTCCTTCTTGGAAGCCTCTGAGGAGCCCGAGGAAAGGTATTCGGGGGATGGCGCTACGTGCTTGACATCGACATCTTTGAGGTAGTCGAACTTCCCTTGCCGCACTTGCTCGCGTATGATGTCAACGTCGAGCGGTCTGTACATCTTTTGGAATGCCTTGACGGCGAACCGGGGCAAGAGACAGATGATCACAATGAGTAGAACTGTGGCCCAGAAGGAGAGCTGGCCGTAGACGTGTGGAGCCGCCTGATAGAAGCGGAAACCTGCCGTTGTTGCAGTGTAGACGCCAGTCCAGAACCAGATCAGAAGGATGCTGATAATGGTGATTAGGATGATGAGCCAATCCCAACGGTAGGTGTTCAAGAGGAGATAAACGTTGACAACTGTGACAGCGGCGCTGCCGATGTAAACACCCATGCGAGTGTTATCATCGATGTTCATGCCGCTTTCGGTGACGAAGTTGGCGGGCGCAAAGACGAGGTACACCATGTAAAAGCAGATGAGGGATTGGTACACTCCGTCGAGCATATAGAGCCTGCGTGGGTTAGTAGCAGTTCTTGGGATGAAGTTGCGGGAAGGACTTACCAAAACTTAGGCTGAGTCCACTCTTTTCGTTCGATGCCGCGTCTGTAAAGCTGAGGAACAGCTAGAGACACCTTGTCCGAAACATCCTGATCCAAGACTCCCATTAGGATGACCGGAAGGGATGTGAAGGCCAAGTTGTACAGGATAATGTACGTGTAATCGAAGATGTACGCGCAGTCGAAGTTGCAATAAATCTGGTACCAGAAGAGGGAAAAGGTCCACACTATATTCTATAGCGTATTAGTGAAACGTATAGTGAGTTTCGCCAAGGCATCCTTACTTTGTAGAAGAAGTTGGCGATAGTTTCTGCCAGTCTCCTGTACGACCACCGCCCGTGGACAAGGACCAGTCTTGTCAGGAACCTGAACTGTCCGATGGCGTAATCTGAGGACATGACGGCTTGGCGACCCTCCTCACCAGCGATGCCGACTCCTACGTGCGCTTCCTGGATCATGGCAACGTCGTTTGCACCGTCTCCGATCGACAAAGTGAGGCAATCAAGACCGCGCTTCACCATCTGCACAACGGCAGCTTTCTGACTAGGACTGACTCTGCAGCACAGCACAGCCTTGCATTGCTTGCAGAGTAATAGAAACCTCTGCTTCAGGGCATCGTCGAGGACCAGCTTCAGGGAGTCGCCGTCGATGATGATAGCGTGCGTAGGCTCTGGTGGTTCGTGGTCGTCCTGAGCAGCCTTGAGCTCTGCATCTGATCCAGTCATGTTGAAGGTCTTGAGATGTCTATCCAGAAGCGCCTCGGCTGTCTCTAACTTATCATCACTGGCAGTAAACACGATGAGGTCCATGTCGTTGTTGAGCAGGTTGCACGAGAAACCAATGTTGATAGCGGTTTCGACCTTGTCTCCGGTTAGCACCCAAAGCTTGATGCCAGCGTCGCCGAGCAGGGCTATGGCATCCGGAACACCATCTTGAAGTCGATCCTCGATAGCAGTGCCACCAAGGAGCAGAAGCTCCCTTTCTATGGCGTCAGAGACCCTTTCGAGTTTCTCTTCTCGATCTTGTACCGCAGCGGCAGCGAGGTCATGCTCCTTGTTCCACTCTTGGTATTCCTCTTCACCGAGCTCTCGCTGCGCAATACAGAGCGTACGAAGTCCTTCTCGGGCGAACATCTCCAGATGCTCGGCAGTAGCCTTACGAAGTTCCGGCTGCTCACCACGCCTGAGGCGCGAATAGATCACGCTATCTGCACCTTTGCAGAAAAGGATGATCTTGCCGTTTGGCATTCTGATGATAGCGCTCATACGCTTTCGCGATGAGTTGAATTCTAGCGTATTGAGGACGGTGTACCTTCGTTCTTCCCCCTGGACGTTGAGAATGATCTTGTCATCGGCGCGTCCCAAAACCGTAAAGCCGCAATCGCGTGCGGTGGCTACTAACGCGGCTTCGTCGGGCGATTGTGCCTTGAAATCAATCCTGGGCGGATCTCCAGGGGTCTTTTCGGTGATGACAGTGTGGCATAACGCCAACGCAAGCATGAACTGCTCATTTGCCAGCTTTTGCCCTTTGCCACTCTCTCCTGCCAGATCATCCACGAAGTCAGGCGCGACGAAGGTGAGCTGGTCGTCAAGTAGGTAAGGATTTGGGTGGATTTTGCGCAGGCTGTTCAACATCCGAACGCGGTCTTGGGCAATCTGCTCATGAGCTCGAGCACCCTCCTCTTCGACGTTGATGCCTTGCCTGCGATGCATGCCTGCTTGTGCTTCTGTATATGCTTCTCCGTACGGCACACCGTTGATGGTGGCTTTCTTGAACTCCATGACGTTCTGTGTCAGCGTCCCTGTCTTGTCAGAGAAAATGTACTCAATCTGGCCAAGGTCGTCCGAGATGTTCCAAGACTTCGGCGTGCACGGGTAATCGATCTTGTCGTAGTACATAAGGACGTCGCTGTAGATGAAGTACGCTTGAGCTGTCCGGATGATTTCAAGCGTGATGTAGAGCGAGATCGGGACCAAGTTCTGAAACAGAATAACAGCGGCCCAGAATGTGATAAACCCATCCAGAGCAGGCGAGCCTCCATAGGAACCGTACTCAAAGTACGTAATGGTAGAATCCGTCTGGGACCAGGTCACTCCTTGGATGATACCGGAAATCAAACACATGAAGAATAAGATAATGAAGTTGTAGATGACATTCCAGTTAAGGTCCTTCGAAATCTTAGCGCGCTTGCTGGGTGTGATACCTGAGTTGAGCATGATCTTCGTTTCTTCTCCAGTGAAGATGACCACCCCGAGTACCCACTCGGTATTGCGGACGCTGCTGCCTCGAAGGAGTACGTTGTTGATCGAAATTGGTTCGGCCATGTCAACGGTAGCACCGTCAGGATTCTTAAGGTCGTGCTGTTTCCACCTGATTACGCCACTGTAAGAGTAGAGGTTGGCGTGGGGGCCCTCGCTTTCTATCACAAATTCAGACTGCTCGCAGTGACGGGCATGCTTCACGCTGCGACCACAATGCAAGGCTTGCCGGACCTTCAAATTGGTCTCCCCGTCCAGGTTCTTCGTCTCGATGTAACACGCTCCGTCGTGATCCGATGTGGAAAGAACGACAATATCGGCAGGGACCTGTTCCTCGTTGTAAAGCCGGACAAAATCTCCGACTTGTACATTCTTCCAGTAATCCTTCTTGAAACGGGCTTTATCGGGCGCTTGCTTCAAGGGATTAATTAGACTGCCGTGGAATCGCCTAGGCGGTTCTGGACGCGCCTTCCTGGGCTTTTCCGAAGCCGATGCCTGCTCATACGGCTCAGCGTGAACCTGCTCGTACGATACGGTTGTCGCAGGCTCGCCGGGAATGTCCATATACTCCTCTTTCTGAGGGCTCTGGCCTGGAAGCGGCGATGGGACGGGTGTCATTTGGATGCCATCGTCGCCTGGTTGACTGCGCGTGGAATGGTACGACGTCCTTCTGGAGCTTCTGGATACCACAGACGTTCGCCTTGTATCGATTGATGGCCTTGGCTGGTCCATTGCCGTCTCAGCGTAGGTTTTCATGTTCCCCTTCTTCGAACCCTTCCTGCCTTGCCACTTCCTCCACGCAAATGTAATTGCTCTTGTCGTTGCCTTCTTAAACTTGCGCCACAATGATATCTTGTCCTCTGCAGTGTTGACATTGTTGAAATCCACCAGCCTGTGCACAGGCGCATTGTTCAACTCGTTGTCGAGATTCGTCCTTCGCCAATCTTCTATACCGTCTTTCACCGCTGTCACAAACAGGATTACGATTAGAGGCACAGCATTCAGAGCCGGATTGTCGGCTCCAAATATGGGGAATATCTATAGTGACGATTGTCAGTCAACCGTTTAGATGCTCGGAATGTGGCACCTACCCCTAGAATAATGATGAACAAGAAGTAAACATTCGCGATGTTGTGGAACTGAAACCATAAGTTCTTCGGTATGAAACTGATCGGCGTATACTTTGCTGTCCGTATCTTGTTCCTAGCAAAGTGGGCTATCGGGTGTCCTTGCTCGTCTCGAGCGTCCGCTGGCAAGGGTATGTTAAAAAATATCCATCGCCCTGAATCCTCTTCCTCGCTACTGTTGTAGGACGCGGGCGTCTCGCCACCGGAAGTGACCATGGCATCGCCATTCGCCTCGCTCTTCAATTCTGCCGACCCAGTACGCTTGTGCATGCGCTCGATGAGCGATTGCCGCTTGCGGTCGCCCTTTTGTCCACTTGCCCGGTGTGTCGCCCATCTTATCCTCTTCGTAGGATTCGAGACTTCTGAGTTATCCTGATAAGGTTGAAGGGCCATGGTATTGGATAGCTCTCAGCGGAGAGCTGCGCCTCCAGGAGCGCTACTGGCTTGAGGCAGCGCGCCGGCCACAGCCGGAGGCACTTCAAGGTTCGGACACTAAGAGGATGGAGGTGTCCTGTAAGCTTCGCGGGTGTTGTTTGGCAATAAATCGATGTTCCGGGCGCAATGAGGAAAGTTGGGATGAGGTGAAGTTACGCGGCGGTGATGGATTCGATTGTTGCGGCCAAGCCAGGGTGTGGAAAGCCAGTTGTCGATCCGATGTTTTGAGGTGAGCTCCAGCTCCCGACAGAGAAGTGTGATGGTGCAGAAGGGCCTTTCGAGCTAGTAGTCACAGGATGTCAGGCCGGCATCCTCAGGGCGTTCGACACATGCTGTCCCTTCGGATTGTCGGTGATGTAGTCACAGCGGCGACGGGGGTTCGATGGTGCTGACAGACCAGAGTGCACTTTCGTAATGCACCGCTTACGGAGATTACGGGAAAAGGCGCGCGCGCTGAGGCCGAGCATTGGCTTGCGCTGCAACGTCCGGCGAACAAGCCTGTGCCGGCCAGCGGCACACGGCTCTTTTCCTAGCCGTAGCATAACCCTTTCGCCAACCTCGCTGTATTAAAGTGCAAGGCATCTCATCGTCTTGCGTTTACCAAGGAGACATGCGCCCTAGCGTACACTTCTTGCCGTGCACAAGCGTTTAGCAGTGCGGCAATCTTGTACGAAGGAAGTGGCGGGCGTTTTGATGCGAGTACAGTCAGGATCAACATCACCGCAGCATTCGTGGATGCGTCAGTCAGAGACGAGAGACGTGCAGCTTCTCCATGCTCTGTTTTCAGGATGCCCTGCCGAAGATCCGGTTCGCTGCGAACTCGCCGTTCAATGGACACGGGGAAGCTGCTGCCAGCGCTTCGTTTCGCCATACTCATTGGATCACAACATCTAGCAAGATCCTTCCCAAGGACCAAGGGCAATCCGAAAAGTACGTTGCCGTATTGAAGGTAGATAGCGCGCAAGCACGGCTCTAAGATCGAGGATGTCTCAAGTGATCAATAAATTTGAGGGTTGCAATGCTGAGTATCTCATCCTTTCTGTCGTGTGTAATCAGTCGCGCTACTCTACAATCGACATGAGCATGAGGCCAGCTCAATCGCGAATCTAGTATTGAAACAAGCTTGAGGACGGATGCGGCGACGCACTTCTCGGGTGGCCTTGAATGTTCATAACTCTACAGCAATGCGGAACTACTGGCTGTCGCTCAAAATAGCTGATAGGCGCACTGCGCACGCTTCATCGTCTGGAAGCCAAGAGAAAGATTGCGACTGAGAAGTGTTCCACCATTGAGCACCCAGAATTCGAGCCCGTGGGCAAGTCCATCGTTCCGGCTTCGCTTCTCTGAAGTCAGTCGTGCTATTCACTTCGCTGTAAATCTCCTCCGAGAATCACGATTTAGTCAACAAACCCTATCCAAAGCGTTCTCGCCGGAAGCTTTCTTCTCGAAGATGGAGGAGATGACGTTTCGCTCAGCAACAGGTTGTAAAAGGCACGTTTTTGAATGTAGGTACAAAGGTTTTTACCATCAACAGAATGTCGTATTACAGCTCTGGCAAGCTCTGTTTGAGGGAGCTTCCGACTGGGTCAAAGAGGCTCAACCAGTTGGTGGGGCCTTGACTAGAATTGACCGCGACCTGATGGAAACGGATTCTGTCGGCCGTCCTTTCGGCCTAAATGGAGGTATTCTCATTCATCCCCCGCTCCTGTTACGGTTCACGTTCCCGATTTTTTCGGACTCTGCTGTACAGCTTCGTACGGCAAGTTTTAGGGTCACAGCGCCGGTTGGGCACAACAGTGTGACATTCATCTCGTGGTAGTGCCGATAACAGGCTGTACACCGGTGAGGGGCCAACTTGGTATATGCTGCTTCCCGTTGCAGCCTTCATTACCTTCGAACCCGTTGCGGTATTGGTCGCATTCTGGAAACATCAAGAGAGAAACGCATTGCCGCATTTGGCGGCTCCATGCCTCACCTTGGCACGTTTGGTCGTCCGAGGGTCGCTATGAACAGGTGACCTTTACAGGAGACTGGAGAAGCTGTGCCGTTTCAAGCATGATGCGGGGTTGCTTAGAATGGCTGGCATCCCATGGACGATGGTAGACGTCGGACGGAGGACGTACGATAGAGGTAGGTGAGAAGTCATAATGACCAGCTCCGATGTCGCTGTAGAACCTCGAGACGGAAGATGTTGGCCTTGGAGGCTCGCGCTTCTGTCCCCTACGCGAAGAAGTAGCATGCTTGCATGCTTGCATGCTTATGTAGCCGAAGTCAAAGCCGCAAAGAGACGGAGTGACGCGTAGATCATCTCTACGTGGGTAGCTTGGGATATAGGGAGGAACGTCTTTCCTTTAAGGGGGTGTATGGATAGTTGTATCCATATGTGTTGGCAGTTAAAGTACTGATCATTCAAGTACGAGATTCGCTTGGTGAGCAAAGCAAGCATCTGCACTAGACACGCATATGCAAAGCCCTGTGTGGAAGATGGGGGAATCGGAGGACGGCAACGAAGAAGTCCGCGCATCGTCTGAAGACACGGGGTGACAGCTGGCTGGCTGGCTGGCTGGCGGCAGGATGTCACACAAGGCGAGCCCGGTACGGCCAAGTTTTCCATTGCAACGCTGCCAGGACCCGGGCAGGCAGTGCCGAGCCATGGGCCTTCCCGAGGTGCAGAAAGATGTGCAGCGGGGGGGATCTGAGGCTGCTGCTGCTGCTGCTGCTTGATGACGGCGACGATCACGGCGCTTGACGCCTTAAGGCTGTGAAGCTGTATGCAAAGATGGATGAAGTCGCGCTTCTGTGCTGTGCAGCGCTGTGCTGCTGGACGGTGACCGAAGAGCCAGGCACTTGCTTCTTCCACCCACTCTCACCATGCCGACGACAGCGAGGATCATCTTGCGCCGCCCACGCCTGCCCTTCTTCCACGTCGCTCTGCGGTAGTTAGCGGCGTGCAATCGGAAGGAAGCGGTGAAGCCAGCCCCAGGAGACTATGACGCCGATTGCGAGCCACGGCAGACTGGCAAGTCACAAGATTCGCCCGCCGTCCTCTTCACTCATCCACCTATTAAGCTGCACGCGCGCCGCGCATAGACACCATGAAGCAACTCACTTGCTGACGCCGGCGCACAAGAAGCACGAGAAATTCCTCCCCTCCATATCTCTGCACCAGCTTCCGCTAGCGTCGCATTCTAACAACCATATCGCCCTCCTCCCTCCTGTCAATCCTCGCCTTACAGCGGACTCCTGTCTACCAACCCTGGTTGACACTTGCGCTCCATACGTCAATATTACCAGACCGACGGCCTGTCATCCGGCGCATCCGATAGCCACCAGGTAGACCGCTTGCGCCATGGCGGGTCTCGCACTGAAGGCCATCGCCTACGGCGCTGAAAAGATTCCCGACAGCTTTTTCGAAAAGATCCCCGGTGGCTTCTACAAGGAGAAGGCCAAGGAGGAGCGAGATCGCAAAGACCGCGAATTCGAACGAGACCGGGACCGACGTAACGGAGACAGGAGCAGACAAGGACGCAAATCGCACCGCTCTCACACCCCGTCGCCAGACCGCCATTCGCCCCCTGACTGGAGCGACGACGAGTTCGAGACTGACCCCGAGTCCGGGACTGAGCGCGAGCGTGACCGAGACCGACGCTCGAGGCGGAAGAGTGACCGTCCATCACGACCGCGCAGGTTCTCGTCACCGCCCTACAACGATACATACTCCCGGCCAAGAGCCCAGACGGGGACTCTGAACGGCAGCATGACCTTCCCGCCTCCACCCATGGGCCAAATGTACGGTCAGTCACCCAGAAGCTCTGTCAGCTTCGTGCCGCCAATTGCACCGATTCCGCCGCAAGCGCCACCGGTAGCGAACGGTGTCCCATACTTTCCGCCTCCGCCGAGGGATGATGTCCGCGAAGAACCAAGCCCATACGCACAGCCCAGGCCCTACAACCCAGCCGACTACGTCGTCGAAGGAGCCATAAAGTCGCCTATCGAGAACCCCAACTATCACCCAGTCCGTCCTCAACAGGTCCGCTCCCAAAGTCTTTTTTCACCTAAAACCACACGTACAAATATACCTAACCCCTCACAGCCCCAAGTAGCTTATGCCCCTTCACCCGCCTACGTCCCCGTAGCCGGTGCTGTCCCCATACCCCCCTTCAACCCCACAGCGTACCCGAGCCCTCCGAACTCCGGTACCTACCCGCCCTACAGCCCCATTCAGAACCCCTACGCACCCATTCCACGCGCACCAGGCGCCTATGCGCCCAGCCCCGCCTTCTCTCCCCCGCACTACTCCCAACCGCCCTCGCGCCACAGCAGCCAGCGCGACCACCAGGACCAGCGCGACCGCCAAAACCGCGGCCGCACCCACTCCGAGTCGCGGCACCGGCAGCATTACAACGACAACGACGTAAGTTCCAGCGACGCCAACCAGCCGCGGCGCGGGCGGAGCGAGTCTCGCAGAGGCGGCATCAGGGCTAAGCTGCATAACAGGTTCGACGGCCTGGATGGGGGGCAGAAGACGGCGCTGCCGGCGGCCATCGGTGCGTTTGCGGGCGGCCTTGTGGGCAGTAGCGTCGGGCCTGTCGGGACGGTCATCGGGGCCACGCTGGGAGGGATGGGAGGCACGGCGCTGGAGAGACGCCATGAGAGGTTTGAGAAGTAGGTGGCTCCTGGCGAGTTGCGCGGGAGTTGTGTGCACCTGCTGACGAAGTGGGTCCGTCAGGGCCAAGTCGAAGGGGAATGCCGGTGCGCGTGGTGATAAGGATGGGCGCAGGCGGAGGCGCGAGAGGAGCAGCAGCCGGAGCAGGAGTGATGAATACGACAGCGACAGCTACTGAGACACTGGAAAGGCTGGTTCGTAACCCCACCCTTCTAAGCGCTCTGGCAGATGTCGACTACGCCGTGCAATTCACCCCTTTATACATACTTGACCACGAGTCTCGACCTTGCACATACTTTTCCTTGGGGGCCGAGTTTCCTTCCCGTAGCTTTTCAATTCTCGTTACTTCTTGGATTCTCTATCCTGGTTGGGCTGCATTAGCGGATGGAGCACCTCGTCTGCTCATACCATTAGGTAGAGAGCGTGATGTTCTGATTATTAAGCGAGGACAAGATACCATCGAGGTCAACTCTACGTCCAATACGTTATACGGCCAACCAACGAACATCCCCCATGCAAGTATCCAGCGTGCCAATGTCCCACCGGCTAGAAACGAATGTACAGAAGGCACATATCCAAAACAAACACGCAATCCCAGCACATGTGTACCCCTCACTGCACGATACTCAAGCTCCCCCTGCCACCATGCACCGACCTCCCCAGCACAACCACCACCTCCTCCTTCCGCGTGGTCTGGCCCCTATAGCTCTTCCTTCCCCTCGCAAACCAATCGATAGTAATAATCGCCACCACGACCGCATACACAGCGCTGACATAATTCATGTTGCTGGCCTTGACGGGCATGGCGTAGGGGAAGGAGTACATGACAACGGTGAAAACGGTCCACATCAACAAAACGTAGTTTGCGAACATGCCGATGGGACCGAGCCAGAAGGGGCCGTGAGCGATGTTATTCCTGCCGCGGTACAGGAGGCAGATTACGGGGATGGCGTAGGAGACATAGAGGAGGACTATGCAGGCTGTGACCATGCTGTTTGGGGGGTTAGCAAATCCTCGGCCCGTTGAGAAGTATACGGACGTTGAGGCCCGGATTCAGGGGGGAGAACTTACGAGTTGAAGGCCGTGTAAGAACCGAGATACAAGCACCCCACAAGCCCAACGATGACGCAGCTAACAATATGCGCATTTAGAGGCACATCAAGCGTCGGATGCACCTTGCTCAACCACCGATGCCCCGGCAGCCCCCTATCCCTCGCAAACGACCAACACAGCCTGCTCTGCCACGTATGACTCGCAATCTGGCATCCCAACCCTGTAACGATGATCAAGCTCTCCAGCACAATGGCCCCCGCCGTATGATTCAGCGCGCGGTAGAACAGCTCTAGGATCGGGACGTACGTCGCCGTAGCCGCGATCTCGGAAAAGTCACCCACGATGCTGAAGAACATGGCGACGCTGTAGAACCAGGAGGTCGTGAAGCCGATGGCGACGGTGCCGAGGATCGCGATCGGGATCATACGCTCCGGCTGCGCGACTTCTTCCGCCAAGTGCGTCGCACAGTCCAGACACGCGAAGGGCCAATTGGTGTTGACGAGGCCGACGATGAAGGCGATGCCGTTGGATTTCCAGCCTGTGTTGTTGATGAAGGTCGCGAAGACGAAGCGGGCTTGTTGGTGGGTCGGCGCGACGGAGGGGACGGTGACGAGGATGATGAAGAAGGAGAGGAGGGATGTGTAGAGGGCGGCTGTGGCGATTTTGGGGAGCGTCTTGCCGTAGCAGTTGAAAAAGAAGCAGAAGGCGTTTACGACTTGGTAGGCAATGAAGACGTGCCAGGTTTCAATTACACTGCGGGCAGTCAGTCCCAGCGCCGGTGGTTAAAATGACACTGAAACCCGATAGTACTCACTAATCGGGATGCCCGAGTTGCCAGCAACCTACGAGCGCGGCTCCCATAGCAAGAGCAACACTAGCGGACGTAAAGATCGAACCGGCCCACGCAAACCAACCGGTCAAGTACGATGCAAAGTTGGCATATTTCCTCGGTGCCAGCTCGTTCGCCCAAAAGTATTGACCGCCTGCATTCGGCAGCGCACTAGCCAGCTCACTGAGCGATATGGCGACACAGGTGGAAATCAACGCAACGATTATGATACCGTAGATGATGAGCATAGGTCCGCCGGAGTTGATACCAGTTACCAAGGCGGCGGATATACCAAACCACGAATTAGTGAGGGAGAAGCCTACGCCCAGGACTGACCACACGGAAAAGTTGCGTTGCAGGTCCTGCGTGTAGCCCATCTCGGCCAGTTTCAGAGCATCCTCATCCAGGCTTTTCTGCTCCGAGTAGTCATCGGATATGGGCGCTTTGGCGATCTCTTTATCGATATCCATTATGGGCAATTTTGTGAGTTAAGCTGCTCTAGGCCGACGCTGCGTAGGGCCCGCACGTAGTGCGTAGGAAGTGCGCGGGTGCTGAGGTTACTGCGTTGGGCGATGAGATGATGTATCTCAGAGGTTGCCAAGCCCGGAAGCGTCTCCGGATTTTGTAGTGTTTGATGGCGAGAGGCAAGTGGTGTTATCGAGGCCTCATAAAGCGTGTCGTCACAGCGTACTGATCGCCAAAACAAATCAATATTTCGAAAGACTTTATGGTGGAGCGCAGAAAAGGGTTAGATATGTGTGATGAAGTGGGAGATAACGAAGATACAACGGAAAACGAGGGCGTGACAGATACTTAAAAAGAAAGCAGTTCCGCTGTCGGCTCTTGTCCAAATCTCACTTCAGACCCTCCTCGATGCACCACTGCGATAGGACAAGAGGATCGAAGAAAAAGCAAACGAGACGGGAAGAGATCTGAGGGGAAGCGGATTATCCATTGATAAAACACCTTGATCTATTTCACCTGGCTGGATGCCCTGACGCAGCTAGCTTGAAGCAGGGCGGCGCTGGGAGCGAGGTGGGTGGTGGGGGAAGGCGACGTATCGAGGCTGACGGCTGGGGTCAAGCAGATGCAGGCTAAGACGTCGTCTGAGGCAAGGCTGTGGCACAGCTTGGAGCAATCTCTGCAACATCCGGGTGGAATCAAGATGAAGAAGCCAAAGAGAATATTCCACTAGAGCGAATGAAACACTTGCGCAGGCTCTTGCAAACAGGTGCTGTGCCGCAGGAACCTGTCAATATCCGCCTGGTCCGCGCCCCGCGAGCGAAGGAACGGGGCGCAGCGGCGCTCTAGCCTGCAAAGGCAGTTAGGACGCATGGCTCTTGCGTATTCTGTGCTCAGCTGCAGGTTCCGTCGTCGCTTTGCGCTTGTGAAACTGGCACAGATTCGACAGCCGATGGAGCTGCTGCATCTGCACCCCGCGTTCCGTGGCGTCGGCGACTGGGGTGCAGAGAGGGTCCGGGGAGAGCCTGGGTCAGGCGTCTGAGAATATCAATACGAAGGATGTGGTGTGAATACGACTGATGGGATTACGCTGAAGGCGGATATTCGGGCTATACCAACAGCAGACAGACGGATGAAGCTCTTACTAAGCGGTTCCAATTACAGGACATGTTGCGGAGCGTCTGTAAAACCATGCTCGAAGGGATATGTCACGTGATTACTTCTCCTAGTCCAACTCATTGCTTCATTACCTCAACTGTTTCTTTTTTTTGGGTCCGTACTGTTTCCATTGAACATCATCCTTGTGGTTTGTGGTCCGGCAGGAACACCCCTTAACGGCAGATACATACCGTTTTGGGCTGTCATATAATGCCTGTGTATGAGGAATGTAGTCTTTGGAGTTGTAGACAGAAACTTACACAGGATACTATAGAAGCTACTTAGTTATTCAGTGGTGAGAGGAAAAGAGGTGGTATTGCTAGTACCCAGCAACATCCTCGAGGTAATTTCTAGGTGCGCACAAGGGCATGTTACTGAAACATGAAAACAGCACAGGCGAACAAGAGCGCACGTTGAACAACTTGCATCGTCAACGTCCTCCATTTTAGCACTCGGCCTGTTCGACCTACTACATTACGTTTTCACACGAGACTGAGTGGGATCGACAACCATCGCCTCAAGAGGTAAGAGGAAAGGAGAAACCGCCGCGAACCCGTGGTTCAGAAGCTACAGAAAGACTGAAACTGCACCTCACGACCACCATTGACTCCATCTGACACCGTTCCACCCACCCGTGCGTAAATCAAGCTCCGAATATGAGTGAGCAGATTGGTCGCTCCGTTGCGTTCATATCCGGGTCATGAGGGTATCCACGTTTGAACTTCGTTTTTCTTCCTTTAGCAGAAATAATTTGGATAATCTGGTAAACTCCAGACATCAGCTCACGGCAGACTCAAAGATGGCAAGGCAGGAAAGGATCCTTCCGTTATCTCAGCTTTTGATCTGGTGGATACTGATGCTGAGCGTGGGGGGGCATTTGCTGTTGTTGCGGAGGCATCGGATACTGGCCGGCGGCCTGTTGTTGCTGTTGCAAATATGACTGGTATTGCAGCGCGGCCTCGGGAGTAAGCCCACCGTACTGAGGAGGCAGGCCTGCGCCTGCAGGCATGCCGGGCCGGCCGGCGTGTACTTGCGCATGTGTGTTGTCCTCGGGCGACTCTACTGCGCCGTCGTCGATACCGTTTTCGTTGCCAGTCGAGGGTTCGGGGGCATTTAGGCAAGCCTAGGACCAGTGAGCATGACTTCATGGAACTTATACCAAGCGCCAACAAACCTGGATGAGGTTCTTCCCTTCAGACTTCGTAACGAGGGGTTGGAGCTTGGGTGTCGTGAAGGTGTATACCAAGCCGGTCTCGGATACGACAAGCAGTAGGACTTGAGTGCCGGTGAGTACGGAGAGTTCGTAGGCCTGAAGCACGGTGTCAGCAGAGGTTCGGACGCGCATGCGACGATGTGCAACGCGATCAGTCGCGTCAGGCGCGTGAGCTTCACGACGGTCGACGCGATGCTGGACTGACCTTCTTCATGATACCAGCCTTGCGCTTTGAGAAGGTGATGTGCCGGCGCGACTTGTCTTGGATGAACTTGATCTCAATCTTCCTCCTCTCGCGACCGGGCTTGTCGTCGTCGTCGTCATCGTCGTCGGCGGCAGGTCGCGGACGCTTGGTGCCTCGACTGGCATCTCCGCCGGCGAGCGCGCCATTACCATTGCCGACATCGTCGTGGTCGGTTGGTGATGGACCTTGGTCGGTGATTTCGCTGGCCATTCGGAAGAATTGCGGTCGCGATTGACGGTTTGGGTAGAGTTTGGTCTAACGCTTTGTGGGTTGTGTGGGAATTTCCTTTTGGAGGGGAGCACCCGCTGCAGACAGCGGAGTGGAGGAAGCGATCCGACCGAGGGAAAGGGCCGGCAGCAAAAAGCGAGATGACGCGCGCGTCTGCAAAGTAAATTGCACACCAGACCTAAAGCAATGGTTTGTTAAAATGGATCAGGTAAAGGACGATCAACGACTACGGGGTCGAGGCTCTGATGCTTGTTGGTGGTGGCGGGCGAGGAATGCAAGGAGATGGCAGTTTGGGGGAGGAGCAGCGCCGGTCGCACCAAACGGAAGCGGCTTACCCAAAGTGAGGCGGCGTCTCAGGTTTCGGGGTGCCACTGCACACTGCAAAGAAGGTCCGACCTGGCTGCGAGCGCTCAGCGGACAGGGGACGAATGTGCGGAACTGTGTATGAGACGATGTTTTAGGGAAAGTGCACAGGTGGATGTCTCAACGGGGGAAGAGCGAACCTTGAAGTAGTTATCTCGCGTTCTGGACGGCCTGTGGACACTAGTGCGCTCGGCCGGTTGGTTAGCCTGGGGCAAGGTGGGTTTGAGGGGACACAGGAAGCCTAGCACGGCGACGAGTCAGCGGCCTGCTGCAACCCCTGCAAAGCAGCCTTCGAAGCACTACGGAGTACGCCTTCGTGTGTGCGACCGCTCGCCGGCTCTCCGAGCGTGAGGGTGAGGGAGAGGGCAGCATTTGTGCTCCAGAGGCTTTGAGCGATTGCGACCGTCGAAGGCGCGGCGACTGAGCAGAGCAGAGCAGAGCAGACAGAGCAGAGCAGACAGAACAGAGCGGAGCGCCGATGTAATACTGAAGGATTGCTACTTACCGATCGGGATTCGGGACGGGTGACTGAGGCTGGTTTTTGGTGTCAGGTGTGACCGAAGAGGCTTAGATGGGGAGGCAAAGCGGAAATGTGAGCGCCTTAAAAGAGTATCGGCGAAACCCGAAGGAGCTAGCCGAGAGCCACGTGACCGTCAGAGATCCGTGCTGCCGCTCAGCCTTTTCACAGAGCAGCAGCACCACCCTTCAATACTCTTCCTTAATAATGCTTCTGCAGAGAGTTACGATACCATAGGCTTGCAGGCCTGAGTGACCACATCTGGCACGCATGAATGCCGGTAGTTGCTTTGTGAGGGCAACGGCCAATCATTCAGTAGTGTAGCCGCCGGCGCTTCTGCTCGAAACGCTGCATGTTAGACATAATCTGGCTGCAACGTTTGCTATTACAACCTCTCCCGTCCTCAGTGTCTTCTTCTTTTCCCGCTTTCTCCTGCTGTCGGTCTGCTCCTAGATCGTGTCTTCTCTGTTCATATGCAATGGCAACTCCAGCAAATGCAGCGATGCTGCTGAGCCAGCGTTCTTAATTAATCTTCGTTCTGGGTCAATCCCGAGATTGTGGATACCCACTCGACTCGTGCTGGCCATCAGTCGACGAGAAACTTCCCTTAATCCAACAAGTACCCGCAAGGCAAAGCTTGCCTATAACCTCAACCATGCCGAACAAACCAATGCTTGTCTTTCTTGCCGCAAACTTCCTCTTCGTAGCCTCTGGCGGCCTCATCCTCGCCTTCGCTCTCGTCTCTGAGCGCGAGAAGCGCGCACTGCCCACCATTACCAACGTGGCGCAGCGCATCCTCCTGGGCCAGTGCCCGCTCACCTCGGCCATCGTCAACTCAATACTGATGTTTATCACGTTCCTCATCTCGTTGCTGGCTGTTTTGCTTCCTAACAACCGCGGCTGGCTGCGCGCACACGGCTGGCTTGTCGTGTCTTGCGCTTGCTTTACGCTTGGGCTGGGCCTGAGTATCTGGTTTGGGACGCTGCAGACCAGAAGAGCAATGGGTGAGACGTGGGCGGAGGAGACGAGTATTACTCAGAGTTTGTTGCAACAGAGGGTATGAAAGTCTGATTGTTCTGTTTCCCTGCCTGTCACTGTTCTTCAAAGTCAAATACTGACCCACTCGCCAAAACCCCAGTTCAACTGCTGTGGCTACACCAACAGTACCACCCCGCCGTTCGTCCAAGACGCAACCTGCATCGATTCGGTAGTCGCAGCCCAGAAAGGTGGTTGTGTTACGCCGTTCAGCGATTTCGCCAACAGCTACCTCGATATTATCTTCACGACGGCGTTCGGAGTTGTTGGTAAGCTTCTCATATGTACCCCGATCGGCGGAGAACAACCTTCTAATCTGTTTGGCGATGTGTAGCTGCGGATATCATCCTTCTTCTGTGCACAGCCATGGTTCTCAAGCACCGCCAGGAGGTCGAGCGGTTCCGGTACATAGACGAGAAAACAGGATTCAGTGCTTTTTAGCCCGAGAGGGCAGACGGCCAGCCTTCAGTGGACGGATGGGCGAAGAAACGGTTTCTACAGTGTCTACTCTTCCGAAGCTTGATGATTGTGATTTTTCCAGACCTTCCCAGCTATGCTACGCCCAGCATAGTCAACATTGCTCGTTGGTTAAACACGTGCTCCAACCCGATTTCGCTTTCTGCATATGGTCACGTAACTTGGACCAATGGCAGCTCTGTCTGTGAGCTTTGCAAGAAACAGCGCTAGCCTCGCCGCCGCCGCCGCCATAACTCTTTCTCTACCGGCCTAGAGGGTTCGTTCCGTCTGTTCGTCCTGACTAAGCCAAGATTGAAGAGCTCCATCTCTGAAGCTGTCACTGCGTTTGCCGGACGCTCAATGCTTCTTCCTGCTCTTGCAGCCATCCGTTACGTCGATTTCACTAAGCTAAAACCTTTGTAGCTCCTTAGAGGAGACTGCTAACACATTGGAGACCGCACAAATGTACCAAGTCAAAGCATACGGACACCAGCTCAACAACTGGCTCAAGCCTCGTTTCCTGTCCTAAAAGGTAGATGCTCGCCTTCACTTGCTGTGAGCTGACAGATCCGTCCTGATGCGTTTAAGTGGATTGCTCCCTTCAACAGGTGATGAGACCTTGCAGTATCTCACTCGCAAGCCTGAGGGCTGTCGCTGCGTTCAGTTTCTCTTCAAAGTCTTCGAATCTAGTGTTTCCTTCCCGATCCTCGAGTACGTTAGAGGAACGGAAAGTGGGAAGCTCCCGCTCGCTGGGCTTCGCAGCTCTCCCTCGCACAAGCGTGCATCTTCCGCTGCGACAGACTCACAACGTAGTCTACAAGATGAGACGGGGAGCAGCGAGTCACGATACTTCCTCCGCCGCCCATGCTTGCACACCATGACTGAGTCTCTTCATCTTCTGCAGCATAAGCACGTACCGCACATGCACAGTAAGGAATACTAGCCGCTATAGCGCAACAAGTCATGAGAAGGAGCGCATGGTACACGCACTGGGGGAATCTCCACTGCAATCAGACCTTGAGCCTAACAATCCATCCAAGATCGTTCGGCAAATCCTCACGTACACATACACAAGCCACGGACTCCCTACTCACACCGCTCCTATAACACCTTTCAACCCGCGCACCTCCTCAACACCATCAACCGCATCCCACTTCCTCTTCGCCTCCCTACCCGCCTCGCCTCCACCATCCACGTCCCTCCCCCTCCCCCTCCCCACCCACCTCTGCATGACCGCACTACTCCCCACACTCCCCGCAAAAACATCCTCCCCGCTCCACTCGACCGTCCGAACCGTATTCCGCAACCTCGAGCACAGCCGCTCAATACTGTTCTTCGCCTGGATCTTATTCAGATACTCGGCCCCGGCACTCACAATCATATTCTCGATGAGTTTGAGCTGCTGCTCCAGCGCGTCGACATCGGCATTGAAGGTCGCTTCCGCGGCCTTGCTTTCCGGGTCCCGCTTCATCCGCGTCGCTTGACCCGTTGTCGAGGGCGCGGCGGACAGCCCGAAAAAATTGAAATCGGAGAACCCGGTGCCGAGCGCGAGGTCGAGCAGGTCGATCTTCGCGGCGAGGGCGAGGTAGTCGGTCTTTCGGTCGATGCGGAAGGAGCGCGATTTTAGGAGGTAGCGCGTCACTGTGCAGCTGAGCTTCGGTTCTATGAGGGAGTAGGTGAGGAAGCGGGGGTCGTTCATGAAGGACGCAAGGGCGAGGCGGCGGGCGAGCTTTGCCTGGCGAGGAGAGTGGGTGGGGAGCGCTGTGGCGAGGCGGAGGCGGAGTATAGGAGGTTTGAGGGTGGTGAAGATGGACAGGGCGACTGAGTGGAGCTGTGGAGGGCGTTAGCTGGAATGGAGCCTGAAAGTGGGATTGAAAGGGTGGCACTCACAGTCTCTTCAGCAAGCGTGCCAGGTATACTATCGATCAGCGCGCTAATGGCCTCTTGAACGGAGTGCTGGATACGGCCATCTGCTAGAACACTGATGTCGAAGCATAGCCGTAGAGCGATGCTCAAAGCGGCGCTGCGCGTTTCATCCGTGAAGCTGGTCGCTAATATCCGCAAGAGATCGAGAACCCATCTGAGCCCTGACGGAAGGGGCGGATTGAGCGTGTCATCCGATTGACGTGATGGTGTTAAGCTGCCGCTCGAATTTATGGCTTCCTGCTTTGCGCCCAGGTCACGGAAGAGCTGGTATAACCGGCTAGGAGTCAGGCATGCGCTGGCTCTCGTTCCGCACGATTGGAGTGCCCTTAGATATGCATGAGTGAGGTCTTCCCTTGTTTGGTAAAGTAGTTCATCCATCATCCATATCATCAACTCTTCTGGTAGTGCTTTAGTAGCCGCAATCATCTGCACACAGCCTGAGGTAAAGGCCTGTTCCCGTGTTTCCGGGCTCTTTAACATCATCGCCCACGGTTCAGGCGGCAGACTCTTGTTTGGAAAGGTCCGCTCAGCGGGCCGAGTGTCACCATCCTGGAAGAAGTGCCATACCTCATCCTGCTGCAACGCGTCCGTTTTGTCTATTGCCCGAGCAAGCTGCCCCGCTGCCTCGTCATCTTCCACAACCGAAGCAAGATCTTTCTCGGTTATGGCCGAGTTGTCAGCGTTGAGTAGCTGACCACCAGCTGCGGCGAGTTTGGATTTAGCTTCAGCGAGCTTGGCCTCAGCAACGGCGTCTTTGCCTGAGAGAGTAACAAGCTTGTTGAGCTGGAACTTATACTTGGGCGCTGCAGGCACTGGCGATGGCTTCCGGTCGCTTCTACCGCTATCCGCTTGCCAATTATCTCGCTCGCGCTGACCATGGCCGCCCTTATCACCTGTCCCATCTGAGGTTGTTGGCTTGGATGCAGAGCCGGAAGGGTGGGCCGCACGTCTTGAAGGCGGAAATACTGTGCTCACTACCTCCAAAGAGGAATCCGAGTCGTCTTCTTCGGAGTCCGAGCTGCGTACGCCCAGCAGACCATTGCTACACACTCGTATACTACCAGAGCTTGCGGGTGGTTCTTGAGATGCGTTGGGTAAGGACGAGCTGGGCGGATGGAAAGGTAATGAGGATTGCGGTGGCCGCTGGGCGGACTTTTTGTCGTTCATTGCGGCGTCTGCGCTAGATCGTTGCGGCGGTGGGGGTTGGTTCGGATGCGATTTGCTCATGGTATCGGTCTCAGGTACTGGAGAGGTTGTCCCACCGCTCTGAGCGAGGCCTGCGGCGCGACCCTTGGGATGCGGTCGGAATTGCCATTGTCGTGCGAGGTCTGGCTTTAAATAGACGGGTCAGCCAATGTGGAAGTCAAACTGAGCGAGGCAGCCGTCACGGACCTGATTGACCAACGGTATCTTCAGAGTCTCTAGAAGGATTATGGATATTCAGCTCGCCACGAGGCCGGAAGAAATCTTTGATACTGCGGTTCATCGGTACAGCGAGGGTGAAGATATCGGCGGTGGTGGTGATGATGTGCACCTTACGCGGGTGGCCTTTCAGACGCGTCCGGCCTCAACGCGCCGCACGTGACTACTTAACAACTGCTCACCGTTTCGGGAAACTTGTAACGCAATGCGAGGGCTCATACGGACAAACGAAGAAGCCGGGTCTCGTTCTTATGCGTTAAAATTGAACAGGCGTCTCTCTGTCCACTTGTACGATTCGAGCGTAGAAGGAAGGCGGAAGGCAAGGCTGATAAACCGACGCGTGATATTTCCATCTACGCGAGAAGACGAGGTGCTTCAGAACATGGGCTCCATGTCTCCAACCAGGGCTACCCAACGGTAAGCATATGTAAAGCCTCGCAACGCTCCACCGTCCGCTGTCTGGATTCTTCTAAGACGATGAATCCTCGGCACATCTCCAACACGCGCGAAAAGGAAAATTCCGCTTCATGCCCCAGTGCCAGTAACATGTTCCCGACCGATGCTGGAGGTATGCTAGCCTCGTATCCCTGATTGTGAAAGCCCAAGCTGCATGATCCGTCTACTCTAGAAACCATATCCGGGAAAGCCCATCAAGAGTGAACATGCTTGTGACGACCGAAATGTTACTATACTATCCTCCTCTGCAGCAATGTAGGCCTTCCTGTGGTCGGCTCATTTGAAACACGCCAGTAGGTTTATGTTATGCGTGGCGGCGAGTCGCTTGACGGTGATCTTGTCCATGAGTTCAGCCGCGAGACGCAATCTGGCTTGAACATGCATCAAGATCTGTGACCGCTTCTCTCTGAAAGCAGGCTCTGGCAATGTAACCAGTTTACTGAGCGAGAGTCCTCCAGCAAGAATGAGCGCCTCTGCGAGGGCGGCCTCAAACCCTCGATCCATCTCCACATAGTAGCGTCTCAGAAGGTCTTCAAGGTCGCGCTTTCCGAGCGGCTCATGGATGACTTTCCGGAGGTACCCGAACGTGTTTACATCCACCAGTGCGCGCATCTTCCATACGTATTCCGCCCAAGGTACCAGGGCGTCGTCGAAGCCGTACTGGGCGCCTGTGAGGTCCATAACGTAGATCTCTCCGGATTTAAGCTTCACTTGCAGGATGTGGTGGCTGTATTCCTTCTCATCGGCCTGACCATGGATGTTGACGCTCTTGAGGCGACGCGATCTGCATTCGCTCATAACATCGAATCGGATTTCGCTGATCTCAGCGTAGAGACCTGTGCTTCGTTAGGATCATCGCTTTATGAAGGCGGCGGTCTATTGACTGACCTTCTAGCAGTCCTGCAATTGTGGTATGCATGTAGCCAAGCGCATCTGTGCACAGCATGTGCGTGAGTATGGCTCGCTTCATGGACTCATCCGGCATTAGCTGATTGGGGAAGGGATAACGGTAGCCCTTGTTCCAACGGTCAACAATGCCACCATCTGCTTCTTGGAGATAGTACACTCCGTTCTTGAACGATATGCCCACGATACTGTAATCATTGGTCTCTTCTCGGAAGATGTACCAGAGGGACTGAGCAATCTCTGCGGCGCGAGAGAGCCTCTTGCGGGCATTGAGCTTCTTGCAAATGGACTTGTGACCCGGCCAGTCCGCCTTCTGACAGTCGGCGTTGCAGTACCACTTCGTTTCGATCTTGTCTTCGAATGCTGGAGCGTCTTTGCAGGCGGCGCATGTAAGCGTTGCTGGTGCCCCACAGTGAGCGCAGGCGTGGTTGTCGCAAAGTGGAGGACCGGCAGCGGCACCAGCAGGAGTGGTGAAAGCCATGTCTACGCGCTGTGAGCTACGTCTGCTGTATCAATCCCAGCTACCGCTCTAGATGAAAGATCAGCTATCTGTCGTCAAACACGCTTTTTGAAGATGAGCTAACCCGTGCCATAGTAAGACCTCTCTGAAGAAAGAGATGAATGAAGTTTGACAGAAAGTAGTGGGAATTAAACAGAGCCTTTCTCGCCAACGGGCGGGGGGAGTGAACGACTTTAGTGAATGCAAATGAACTAAACCAAAGCGAGCAGATTCCATGAATGCAAACGGGCTCGGCGAAAACGAAGATGCTGCATGAAATCATGTCAACCCCGTAGGCAGGCTCATAGTGCAGCTGCGGAAAAGACCTCGCGTTTGAAGGCCCCCTGAAGGGCTCACGACAGAACAGAACACCGATACTACCAAGCCAGGCGACTTAGGCCAATGTAGCTTTGATCATACTTCAGCAAGTGCAGGTGGTGGAACAACACCGATATCTAAACCAGCTCAAAGCCGAGATATCAACAGATCTCGAGGCCGCCCACGAAAGGAGTCGTGTGTCAGCTTCACAGAAATTTGATTAGAGCGGGATTCTCGAAGATATACACAGGAAATATTGGTAGAAGTAAGACTGCTTCAGCTGTATCGAGGAAGGTAGTCCACCCTCTGCATCCGGCTAGGCCCTCATTCACAGTCAGGAACTCCGATCCATCTGTTTCCTTGCAGTATTGGCCTCCAGCTGGGCGTTGTTGAACTCTACTCCGCCGACAGACTGATCTGTTCATCACTCTCCACAGATGAAGTCTAATAATTGCACTTGTGGACGCCATCAAGGCTTGATCACATCTAGGACGGTAGGATCTTTCACATGGCTGTGCTGGCGCTCGAGTGGACTGACTGCTCTCCTAGCCTGCCTGACTCAGATTACCTGGGTGTGAGGAGAATGAGGCTTCGTTGTGAAGATGGAGGTGGTCACCTGGGTGACAGAAATTGCCGGACTCGGAAAAACAGATAGGTCTTTAGTTAGCTTAGGGAGGTCATGAATAGGCGTAATCCTTTATGGTATACTGCTATATAAACATATGCAAGCTATACCTAGAGGAGGGATGGCTAGAGTAAAGATCTTTAGAGATATAGTAAATCCAATAGATTTTTAGTGATTTAGGAGTGAGTTGTAAGTCCGGTAGTTTACGAGTCCGGCTATTTCTGTCACTCGCGTGGTGGTGAGGATAAGAAGATGCTCAGTCATGTGCTCCTCGCCAAATCACGCCCATGCCCCGCCGATGTCATTTCTGCCATCCAAAACCACAGCTCCGCAAGCACCACCCCACCATGTAGTAAAACCTCCTAAATCTCGGGCCTGTCGCCCTTGAAATCGACATACATAGACAGCTCGGCCATTAGCAGTCGAATCGCAACTGTAGACTTCATTTGCAACGAATTGACCTTCTCACGCCCACCGCTCCTCTCAACCGCAGCCGCAACTCATTCCGTAGCCATGACCACCCCCCGAGCATTCGTAGTCCGCCACGGCGAGACAGAATGGAGTCTGAACGGGCGCCACACAGGCACGACCGAGCTTCCGCTCACTGAGAACGGGGAGAAAAGAATACGGTCGACGGGGCAGGCGCTGGTGGGAGATGACAGGCTGATTGTGCCGAGCAACCTGGCGCATATGTATGCTCACCTTGATTTCATGATTCTGTAGCAGCCTTGTCAGGTGCCATAGAAGGAAAGAACACCGCTGACAAAGGATGGTATAGCTACGTCTCTCCGCGCAAGCGCGCCCAGCGCACACTCGAGCTCCTGAATCTCGGCTGCAAAGACCCGATGCCGTGGCAGAAAGACCAACACTACGAGTCCGCTCATCCAAGGACCAACGCCAAGATCACCGTGACTGAAGACATCAGGGAGTGGGACTATGGCGACTACGAGGGCCTGACAAGCGCCACGATCCGCGAAGAGCGCAGCAAGAAAGGAGAAAGCCCGAATTGGAATATCTGGAAGGACGGGTGTCCCGGCGGCGAAAGTCCGCAGCAGATCATGGAGAGGCTGGATCGGGTGATCAAGGAGATTAGGGAGAAGTATCATGAGCCGGCGTGCGGGAAGAAGATGGGAGAGGCACCGCCTTGTGATGTGCTGTTGGTTGCGCATGGGCACATTCTGAGGGCGTTTGCGGCGAGGTGGGTGGGGCAGGATATCTCGGCAAACCCAGCGTTGATCCTTGAGGCGGGCGGCGTGGGGACATTAAGGTACGCTCTTGCGAATTTTCGTCCCGGAAGATAAAGGGAAGACATTATACTAACCACCTTGCAGCTATGAGCATCATAGTATCGATGAGCCGGCGATTCTTCTCGGCGGAGCATTTATGGTCAATGTTGTGGAGAACGCAAGAGAGGAAAAGAACGGATAGTTGCACCATCTCTGTCAATCGGTAAACCCTTTACATGTCAGCATATCTGGAGGTTGTAAGATGAAAGATCTGGCGGGAATGACATGTTGGCTAGGTCTGCGTGAGGTATGGCACTCGGGATTGCACCAGTCACGTGCCGTTTAAAGAACGTAGATATATGAGCGGATGACAACTTCAAAGCACCGCGTGAGACTGATGTATCATATCGTGAAGCTCTGGTGCCGCATCGTAATGCTTGAGGGCATGTGCCTGTGACTTTGTAGGTGTGCTGTCCCTCGACTACCCTTGTGGATATAAGCGGCGAGTCACCAGAGTGTCCACCGCCGGCAACTTTAGCACGAGCTATGTCTAGGACGGTCATTCTTGTCATCACTGCATGGGTACCACCCGCTATACAATGAGACGCTCTTTGTTAACGGCGAAGCGCTCCATTCTGACGCGCCGATACCAACTGGTCACTCGACAACCTCGAGCCTAAGATACATCGATTCCTCAGGTGGAAATCCCTCCAAAGATCACCAAAGTCACCTCCACACAACCCAGGAGACTAATTGCAGACAACGGCAGAGCGAAAAGCTACAATTCCTTCGCTGGCAGAAGAGATAAGCTACGTGCAAGAGCATGGGAAACGGATTACACAACAACGGGAGCGATGGTGGCCTCTTCCTACCGGTTGACCTCACCGGTCATCCGCCGCAGTTCTCATTACCCGACGAGCTATGGATCTCCGTCCTCGAGAACCGCTGCTGGTTCGAAGCGGAGTTCTTCTGGGAGGTCATGTTGAACCTGATCAGGAATCCTGAGATCAGCTCTACATATCTCTTCAGGGCTGATATCTTCTACGACAGCATCAACGATCTCAGCATCGGCAAAGAAAGGTGCGAAGACCACTTCAGCAGCAACTACACGAAGCACATGAAGGCTGAGTATAGACCTATCCCGGTCACAGTGCCTGGCTACGTATGGCATCGAACATTCGTCCGACAACTCGTACCGCGGAACCCTCAGCGCGACAAGCCGCTGGTGCAAACGTGCCATGTATTCATAGCTCGATCTGAGGCAAATCGAAAGAGCGACGAGTTCATGAAGACGATTGTGCTCTATGTTCCACACGTGGCTTCAGCGGATGAGATGCCCTGGTATCACCCCGCTGTTCGCTCTTTGGCTTTCCTGCACACCTGGCGTTCATCAATGACGCCCTATCATTGGTCTGAGTCCAAGATATCAATCCATTACTCCCTCTTTCCAGACAAACCACTGGATAACCGCCTACAGCGCACCGCTCTCGGCCTTTTACGCCTTGTCAACAAGCATGGGAACGGTCAAAAGGCAGGCTATATCAAGCGTGTCCACCATGATCTGATCATACCGCAGGCAAGATTCCAGGACACGTACGCTCGGCTAAAGACAAAGTATGCAAAGGCTCTGATAGGGGAGTGGGTCGAGCAAACAGATCCGGAGAAGCATGTCTTCGAGGATCTGGGCATCGCGGCCTTCCTCATTGAGCTCTGGAGGGACATGTACGCTGGATCGCCCCATGAGGCTCTCCATGGCGAGCAGAGAAATGTTGAAGCTGGGGCAAAGCCACCTTTCCCAGGCTTCGTAGATATTGGGTGCGGCAATGGTGCACTTGTGTTTGTACTCTTGCAGGAAGGCTATCGCGGCTGGGGATTCGATGCTAGGAAGAGAAAGACCTGGGACACCTTTCCGGCAGAGGTGCAGCAGAACCTAAAGGAGATGTTGTTGGTTCCGAGCATATACGAAGCCGCAACGTCCGAGGGGTCGACACCAGCTCAGACACGGTCACAAGGTTTGTTCGAAGTCGACCTCTCAGCTCGCCTAAGCTCTTCCAATTTCAGTGACCCCAGTACCGCCGACACAGATATAAGCACTGAATCGGGCAGCTTCCACAACGGCATCTTCCCACGCGGCACCTTCATTATTTCCAACCATGCTGACGAACTTACGCCCTGGACGCCGCTCCTGGCCTATCTCTCTCGCAGTCCCTTCATCACCATTCCCTGTTGCAGCCACGACTTCGCTGGCGCCAGATCTCGTGCGCGCATGGTAGAAGCCCCGACGTCAACTTCAAGCTTATCCTCAAGCGCTCGATCTGAACAAAGCGCAGATGAGGCTCCCCAGTCAACCACCGCCACTCTCAGATCTCGTCCCCATCTCGAGAGCTCCCAAATTGGCAATGGCATACCATCCACACCTCCATCCACAGCATCCGCCACTCAGCAACCAGCAGCATCCACCCAATCTAACGCCCCCAACAACGAGACACGAAACAGAAACCCGCCCGAGACAGGCTCCCTCAAAAAGCCAACCCACAAACAGCCCTCCGCCTACGCATCTCTAACCTCCTACGTCGCCTACCTAGCCACCGAACTAGGATATCTTCCTGAAAAGGAGATGCTTCGCATCCCTTCTACGCGGAACGCATGCATCATCGGGCGACGGCGGAGACCAGCGCCGAACGAAAAGGCGGTGGACGTTGTTTCTTTGGCGGATGGGGATGTGGGGGATGAGGGTGTGGGAAGAGCGCGGAGGGAGGAGACCATCGTGGCGCTCGTGGAGAGGGAGATGGGTATGAGCGTTGGACAGCTTGGAGGGGAGTGGGTGAGAAGGGCAAGGGCGTTAGGGGGGAAGAAGGGGGGTGGGCACTAGCAGCGTGCGGGTTACAGGGTTGAGTGATTTGCGGGTTGCAGGATATACATCAAAAGCATATGCACAACGCCAGTACGATGAAGCTAGTCAGCCAATCGGCTGTTCACACCACGCCCCAGAAGACTGGGACGTCAGAGATGCTCTTGTCCGTCGCCACGATCTGTGCAATGAAGCAAACTCTATCAAAATAACAGCGGAGCCTGAAGGCCTGGAATACCGCTTCTTGGAGCACCAATGGAGCATACAGTAGACATGTACATGTTTACATTCAGTGATGTTGGCTATGACCCGTCTATCCTGTCCCTTGCATGCCAATGCTTCTGCGAGGCCCATGCATGCGTCATGCACAAGAGGCGCTGTGTAGGTAGCCTCCAACATCAAACCGCCGTCACTCTAATCCAGTGGGATGCCCTCATATTCTCCGTATCCTAGCGCGAGATTCATGTTCTCTGTTTCATTGCGCACAGTCAGCATCATTCCCCTCAACTTCCAGCAACCAACCAGCCCGAAGTGCTCAAGAGGAAAGGAAAGGGAAGGGATCACTCACGCAAACACTGCGTCGCAGCCCCCTTCAACAGGTTATCAATCGTCGCATTAACCACCACCCTCCTGCCCCCCGAGTGCACCGCAAAACCCCCAACATCAACCCCATGTCTTCCCGAAATGTTCTTCACGACCGGACTCTCACCCACGACCTTGATGAGCCTCTCCCCCGCATACCGATCCTGGTACAGCTGCCTCACATCCCTGGCCCTCATCTCCCGGTTCAGCGGGATGTTGATCGTGTGGTGGATGCCCTGGAACCACACGGCGACGTGCGGGATGAAGGCCACCTCCGTGCCGAGCTGTGCCGAGATCTCCTTCTCGTGGATGTGGTCGGTCAGGCTGTAGGGGATGAGGTTGTTGGTGAGGTTCTCGACGTCGTTTTTGGGCGAGGGCTTCGTGCCCGCGCCGCTGTATCCGCTGACGCCGAAGACGGTCGGCTGGCCGCCGAGGTAGTCGAGGAGGGGCGCGATGCCGATTTGCGCGGCTGTCGCGTAGCAGCCTGGATTGCTGATGCGGGTGGCGTCGCTGATTTTGCGCCGGTCGACGAGCTCGGGGAGGCCGTAGGTCCAGGAGGCGTCGAACCTGTAATCCGCGCTGAGGTCGACAATCAGAGTATCCCGCTTCCCGGCCGCATCGACAGCCTCGACATAAGGCCGACACACGCCGTTCGGCAGCGCCATGACCCAGCAATCTATGTTCCCCTTCTCGGCCATGCGGCGCACGTCCTCAGGCGTCAGGTTTTCGTAGGTGATGTCGCGCTTGGTGTAGCCTTGGAGTTTCTTGCCGGCTAGCTCGCGCGAGGAGACGTGCCGGAGGTCCATATTCGGGTGTTTGTTTAGGAGGTCGATCAGCGCTTGGCCTGTGTAGCCGCGTGCGCCGATGAGGGCGACTTTGGCGGGCCAGTCGCGCGATTTGTGCTTGATGCCGTAGGGAGGGTTGGGGTTCGTTGTTGTTGCGTAGGTCCTTGCTTGGACGGGACGGCGGAGTGTTGAAGACCTGAACGTCGGGCGGGCTGTGGTGCCTGTGATGGTCGAGTAGGCTCGGCGCTGCTGCCAGCTGCTCTCTCGTATTCGTGAAGTAGTTTCGGCGGCCCGAGCGAGCTGGGACTCAAGGTTGAGACCACCGAACATTTGGCGGCCGTGGTGCTGGAACTCCTGGATGCCCTTGTTGACTTGGGTTAAGTCATCCTCGCCGTACCAGAACAGCCTTTCGCTGCCCCTTGCCCAGCTTCCGCTAGCCTTGTCAAAGAACCAGGTCAGGTTCTCGTCGTCTTGGCTAACCGTCCACATGAGTTTCGGGAAGTCCTTCATCAGGCTCTGGAAGATGTTGTCGGCGATGTTGGACAGCCAGCCGGACTTCGTGACGGTAAATGTTGCCAGCTGAGCCATGTTGACGTCGTCGGCGGAAGGCAGGACTATGCCGAGAGCCTCCATCGAGTCGTCAAAGTAGGCTTTGAAGGGCCGCCGTGATAGGTCCTCTAGGTAGCGGTCCACGACCTCCTCGGAATTGACGCTTGCGCAATCTCGGATCAGGACTTGCTTGAGCTTCTGGATGTCGCCGAAATCGTCTAGCTTCTCCGCGGTCCTGAGCTTGTTGCCTCGCCTGATCAATGTGCCCGCTCCAGTGTCCGTGAACAGTTCCCTGAGCAGGTGATCCGGGTGTACGATTGCCACACTGGAGGTCTTCGGTAGATCGTCCAGCAGCTGCTTGAGTTCCTTGATCTTTAGCCTGGTGCCATATTTGACCCACGACTCCTTCATCAAGCCCTCATACTCCTCATCCAGGTTGATAGCCGAGATCTTCTTGTGCGTCACACCATGGAACAGCCCGCCTTTCTCAGAAAGATAGATGATCTTTTGCGGCTCCAGCGCGCGTGCCAGCTCTCCAGCAGCCACATCCGCATTCACATTCAGCACCTGGCCCTCTTCGCTCTCCGCCATGGATGTCAGCACCGGGACCTCCCTGTTCGCAATCGCACTCTCAATCGGCCGCTTGTTAACCTTCGTGATCTTGCCCACAAACTTGTACCTGGGCTTATCCAGATAATCCGCCGTCAGCACCCCCGACGTGACCGGCCTTGCCCTGACATCAACGTCATTCAGCGCCTCGACGAGCTTCAGATTCTCCTCCAGGAACAGCTTCCGCGCAACCCCCAGCGTCTTCGCATCCGTGATCCGAATCCCCTCCTCATACTCCGGCTCGACGCCGGCCTCCTGCAGCAGCTTGTTAAGCTGCGGCCCCGCGCCGTGCACGACGATCGGGTACAGCCCCATGAGGTGCAGGGTGCGCAGGTCGACGCAGAGCTGCTTGAGGTGGTCCGTCAGAATGGCGCCGCCGACTTTGATCACGGCGAACTGCTGCGACGAGACGGAGCTGAACTGCGCGAGGTATTGCTCGATCTCGCGCTTCGAGCCGACGTTGTTCAGGACGGACATTATGGCGAGGCGGGCATCGGAGCCCACGGATCGGGGGACGGCATAGAGACGGATGGGGAGTGTTTGGAGGGCTGATGGAGATGGGGAGGGCGACCATTGTTGAGCACGTGCGAGGGAAGTGCAGCGAAGGGGGGAGCGAGAGGAGGACGCTGCGATTGAGGCAGTTCTGGAGCGGAGGATTGATTGCATCGTGAGGATTTGCGGCAAGGCGTATGACTGTTGATAGCGAAGCTCTGAGGAGTCAATTCAGGCTTCAGCCGCCCGGGCAGACCATCTAACAGCAATTGAGCAGCTGAAGGAAAGAGAGGAGAGGGCAATGCAAGAACAACAGACGCCGGGGATCCGCAAAGGAAAAATCAGATAGGACAGAGCGGTGATGCACTTGCAGAGTCAACTTTCCGCCGGCCATTTCTCGCTAAGCGGGCGCCGTTATCGCTGCAGCTCCAAAACCCCCAGTGGCCCCTGCTCCGAGGCGGAAACGTGATCCGGGGTCGAATAATGTGCCTGAGGCAGTCAACGAAAATACCTTGTTTCGTGACAATCATTTGCCAGATGCCTCACAGCGAGCGATAACAGCCGTGTGAGGCCAAAGGCTGGGTCAGTGCCTATTTTAATTCGCCCATCTGTACAGTGATAAGTCCGCACTTCAGGATTTCAAGAATTTCAGTGCTCAAGTCACATCCACAAACGTCTGCTAGGGTTACGATGTTTCGAACAGTAGATAACACCATTGAGGCGGCCGTAAGGGGTTTAGGTCTGATGAATCTCGTGCATTGTCTAAACCATACACCACGGATAACCATGAGGTCGAGAAAGGGGTATTAGGGGAGCCCAAATCAATACTACAATCCTAACAAAGTACAGAACGACAAGAAAGAAACCCTTTGCTCCGCATTCGCCGGTTACTAGAGCCCACGTCGACCGTAGCCGGCCAAAGGTATTGAAAACAGGAGTTCATCGGGAGACTGTCGTAACGCTGGCTTCCTGTACCACACCTGCCACCAGCTGCCAACCAGCTTCCACTCCAAACCTTCCGCCCATCCTCCCTCTGAAGCCTTGGCCCTCATCGCTGACCCGTAGCTTATCTTGTCGCGACAACTATCCAACCGTCAGCTCCAATCCCGCAAAACACTCCGCAGCCTCCATAAAGACCCCAACATCCAAACAAGCAAACAGGTCAACTTACCAGCAGGCACGATGATGATAATCAACAAGATGATGATGCCCACGATAATGCAAATCCGCATCTTCATGTCCTTCCACCACATCTGCTTCCTGACGCGGTTGGCGCCGCGCCGGAACCCCTGCGCGCTGACGGCCAGGTTGTCCGTCTTGTCTTGCAGCGAGTCGAGACGTGCGCCGCGCTCGGAGACTTTGTTGATGTTGTCGCGCATTATGCCGACTGTGCTGTCGATTTCCTAGGAAAGGGGGTGGTGTTAGTGGGAGTGCTTCGAGAGAGGGGAGGCTATACTGCGGGAGGGCTGATGGGGGTATCTCCCGACTTTCGAGGTGGATGGAGGTCGCGGCGGCGTGATGGCCCCTTAGGGGAAGAGTGTAGGGCGCCATGAAGGATGTGTGCTGCGAGTCGAGCAGCGCGCAGTAGCGGCACTCTTCTCCCACGCAGCACGCGGACGCCCTCGAAGCTCCCTCCAACCAGCCGTCCACGTTGTGATGTCCCAGCCGTGAACGTCGTGCCCAGCCGGACCAGTCCGCGCCTCCAGCAGCTGAGCGACTCAGTAGGGACAATCCGCCTCGGTTTGTGATTGCTCCCCCACAGCACCCGGTGTCCCGAATTCAACTAGAAGAACCTACCGCTTGGAGTGCCGCAGTGCGGTGATTGCCATCCTGCCGATTGCTTCCTCCCGCGCCGTTGGCGCCTGAGGGGATATACGGATCGTACGGCTGCTCGCGGTCGGCCATTGTGTTGTTGTTGAGACTGTGTGGGAGATGAGGCTGCGGTGTCGTAGGTGGGACTGAGGCTGTTGCGCAATATGTGTTGAGATGCTGGTGTTGTGGTTGAGTGGTCGCGATGGAGGTTTGCGTGGTCTGTTCAGGGCTGACTGGGAGTTGAGGTTGGCGGCGAAAGTTGAGGCTGAGCGGAAGCGCCGAGCCTTTGGACGTGTGCAACAGCTGGGGGTGACGACGCGCGTAGGATTGTACTTCCTGGTACGTATTTTCCGGTGCGAGTCGTGCGAGGTTGAAGGCTTTCAGGACAAGTTCAAGAGGGCGATTATTGGGGTTGGTCGGGAAATGTGAAACAAGCCTCTTACATTGATACGTCACGTGACGAAAGCTATTTCTGGCGTGATACGGTATTGCTACGCGAATGAACGTGTTGCTTGCGCAGTGCGCGTTATCGCAGATGTCCGGAGACAGTAACTGGTTCATTCGCAGACCTTGAGGACGCCTTGTACCCCAAAAGTCCCGATGCAGATAAAAAACCCGCCACGCAGTAAGAAAACACGCCACATAGATTATACATGCCAACCGGCAGAACGACGACGACGACGACGACTCATACCCTCTATGCAACCATCCACCAAGCGCCACCGACGATGCCAAGCAAGACAATTGCCGTCAAGAAACCCGCGCCCACCTTGTCACCCGTCGTGATCGTGTCAAACGTCAACGGCGTTGAATCGCTCTGGCTGCCCGCTGTATAGTCTCCCTTCGAAATACCTCCGGTCGTATTGGTGACCGGCCCCTCAACCAGGTCGATAAGATTGCTCTGCACAACCTCCAGCACGCTCATCTGCTCCCCGACGCCCAGATTGCCATCGAACTCGCCAGTGTACCATTTCAAGCCGCACTGTTTCCCGTCGGGGCCGCCGGTGCAGATCCTGGCCGCTGCTGTTGCGGAAATCCGTAGCTTGTTCATGACCCAGTCGTGGCACCAGGGCGCGACTTTCGTGGACGCAGCCATCCAGCGCGAGAGGTAGGCTTTGAAGGATTTTTGGTCGACGTTACATTTGCCGTTGGGCTCGCAGGCGACTTCGAACATCACGTTTTCCACCTCGGGGTGGAAGAATATAGGCTCTATACCGTCGAGAATGCCTTGGGTGCGGACACGCCATTTCTCCTCCTGGGTCTATACAAAAGATCAGCTTGAGAAATGATGGACGAAGTGGCGGAGAGGGCGAAAAGTGTTAAGCACGGACGTCTGGAGAAGCCTTACAATATTCCACATGACCGCCGCGCCGTAGAGATACACTCCAGCATTGTAACTCCACTGGATGTGATTGACCTCTGTGCAGTTGATAGTGTCATCGGTGCCGTCATAGAAATAGTACTGCGGGCTCATCAAGCCAATGGTGGCCGTCCAGTCCCACATCCGCTCCGCCCAGTCCGAGTATGTCGTGTTGCCAGTATATCTTGCTAGTCGCGCGGCCATGTTGAAGAAACATCCGTTGGAAATCGTATTCTTGTAGTTGTATCCGTTGTTGAACGTGAAGATCTGCCACTTCAGCCCACCCCCGCACGTCTGATTGTCCCAGCGCGGCGCCTGCGTATTGAAGACTGCCATGGCAAGCTCGAGCCATTGCGGCTCATCCTCCGGGGGGTTTGGGAATTTGGCTTCGGCAGCAGACAAAGCGGCCATGCCCCAGAAAGCTTGATCATCGTTGCCCAACGTACGGGACTGATTGGGAGGCATGTAGTCGACATTCGGTCCGACCTGGTGGAGCATGGCTTGTGTGGTGATCTCGTTGTAGGTTGTGTCGCCGGTGTAGTACCAGTAGTCTATGAGGGCTCCGAACATTGCGCCAGCCTCCCACCAGTAGTAAGGGGCCGGTAGGTTGCCGGGCACGTCGCCTGTGTTGTTGCCCGTGTAGTACTTCACCATGCCATAAGCGAGTGTGCTTGCTGCTTGTTTGATCGATTCTGAGCAGCGCGGTTAGCCTCGCCTTCTGCCGGGGGACGGTTCTTTTGGCATACCAGCACTGGTAAGGTCGACCTCTAGGGCCTGCACGCTGGACGCTCCCAGCAAGAGTGCACAGGCCGCGCTAGACGCGGAGCGGAGTAGCCGCATGTTGACGGTCGATTATGTATTAGGCTGTAAGCAATGATGCTGCACCGGTGGTGATTGCGGATGGACGATGCAGTCAACGCACAGCGTCGAGCTGGCCGTAGGCTCCGGTTCAGTTCCTTCGATTGGAGTAGAATCTTCCGGCTCTTGTCCCTTCCTTGTAAAGGGAGTATGGAGCGAGCGCTGGCCGGTACTGCGTTGGTTGTACCTGAGCCGAAACGAGCGACAGGCGACTGAGGAGGCGGTACAAAGCGGGAGGTGGGCGTCCTCTATCGCGGATGGCAGCGGTGTGCCAGTACAGTCTATGGCGATGGAAACGGCAGCGAGGGCGTTGCGGCGGAACGAGGGTGTTTGGGCTGATGTGGTGCTGGAGGAGAAACCGGAATCGTGGGTCCAAGGCTTGGTGGTGCTGGGTCGTGTCGCAATCCAGGGGAGCGGCTGCGTGTGAGTGGGCGCAGGCAAGCACGACAAGATCGCCGCGCCTGCTGCGCCGCCACGCTTGCGCCGCCAGGTAAATGTCAACCAGCTCGTAGCTCAGACGGGCAATGGTTAGCCTGCTTAGGGAGATTTCAAACACATCACTTGCCTGATATGGCGGTTAAGACACACGTAACCGCATCTAAAGGTGTCGCTGACATCTCCACTGCATGACCGACGACGGGGAGGAGACGTTTTGCTCATGCCTCAGTATCCAGCTGCAATAGCAGTGGAGAACTCATCGGCGGGCACACACAACGCTTTGAAGTTTGTCTTACCGTTGCTACGCCTCGCCGTCGGTTCCCTCCTCGACGAAATCCGGGTTGGAAATTCGGGTTGCAAGTCCGGGTTGCAAATCCGGGTTGAAAATCCAAGGTCATCGGCGGATGTCTACGAGTCCAGGAGGCCACCCGAAAAGTCGGTTGCTGTATTTCTATTCCAGCTTGTTTAACGCCAGCTTCACGATTGAGCTGGGCTCATGATCTTGGCAATCATAGAGCAGCTAGACCAATTCCATACGATGGAGAGCCGAAGATGCTCAGCAGCTAACGGCTTTGATGCATCGACTGCCTTGGGTGTCTCCAATCTCTGGACTACGCTTAAGGGCTATCCATCTCTAGGGCTACGAGGAGCTTTTAATGCGGCAACCAGCTTCTCGGATGGCCGTTAGTCCTCTAATGTCACTTCAGTTCACACGTCAATCGTGGTAATCAGAAGCTGTCTTTATTCTCTAAACTTTTTTGTTTCCAATACAAGGAGCCAGCCAAAACTTATCATCCTCCGATTCCCAGTCAGAACACCTTTCTTTCATTGCGGTTTGCCAGAGAGTTGGACCAACGAATCGATACGAGCAATCAGATCCGCCGGTAGTGTGCTAGGGATAGGCTTCACTCCTCCGAAGCCCTTATTATAAGGATGGTCCGCACGAGTAAAGTCGTCGTCGCCATAGTTACACCGATAAGGGTCTATCGCCTGCGCTCCAAGGTCGAGAAGCGCTACCACGATGTGCGGATGCCCATATGCCAGGGCGCCGATCATGGGCCTGAATTCCTCGCTCGGTCCGTCAATATCGACGCCGCGATCGATCAGCAAACGAACAAGTGTTTCGAACCCCCCAGCCGCGGCACCATAGAGCGCATCGGCGGCCGCTCCCCTTTTCTCGTCCTTAACATTGAGGCCAGAATTCAGAAGCAACTCGACCACACGTCCGTGTCCATTCCAGGCGGCTTTAACCAGCGCCGACCACCGTCGGCTCGCCGAATATGCACCGGTCGCTATAAGGATTTCCGCGATCGCTCTATGTCCGTACATCGCGGCATAACATAGCGCTTGTTCGTTCGGTTTGAAGCTCGGATCATTACGCGGATAGATGGTCGGATCCGCCCCTCGAGCCAACAATAGACGTACGATATCGACATGACCGCGTCTTGCTGCAGCCACGAGAGGCTCTATGCAATCATTCTTGTAGACACCCGCCTTGTTGATGTCGGCGCCATGATCGAGGCATCCTTCGACGATGTCCTTGTGACCATGTGCAGCGGCCGAGACGAGTATCTCCTCGCATCTCCAATCCACCTGGTAGTGTTCGCAGAACAGACGAACCATCGAGGCGCTGCCTGCCTCCGCCGCAAATACCGCGAAGTCTTGGTAACAACTGTCGTCCAAGTCGATACTAAGAAGTAGGCGGACCATGTCTTCGTCCTTTCGGAAGATGGCATGGCGGAACGCTCGCAGTAGTTCCCACTCTTCGGCGAATGCTGGCTTAACTCTCACATCCAAAACCCTGGCTAGCAGTCCTTGGTGTCCTCCCGTAGCTGAGAGTATCATCGGCGAATCCACAAGAGCGGCTCCATGATAGGGGGAAATTCCGCGTTCGTGCGAAACGGACGCGTCGGCAAATGTTTCATCAAACATTCGAGGTATACCCAACAGCGCAGCTGCTCCCAGGCAGTCTCTGCGGAATGTGTCATCTAGTAACCCTGGCTCTTTCGTTTCGTCCAAAAGGTTCAAAGCTCGTTCAGGCTGACGATGCTCAACGACCGCAGTTGCGAGGGCTTCCATAGCCTCTCTGTATGTTGTTGTGTAGTGCGAGCCGATCTCTGGCAGCGATTCAAGAATGCGATGTAGTCGTGCTGATAGATTTTCATTTGTTTTCCCATCTGCGAACGCGCGAGCCACGATGTATTTTACCACACACCGGTGGCTGAATGACCTCTGCCGTGCCGGAGGCTCCTGCTCAAGAGCCCGGGTTCTGGATATAGCGCCCGGTATTTCGCGCTGAAAGACTCCTAGAGTTCGGTCAGCCTTTCCTTGTCCGCCCTTCATTGTCCGCTCAAATCTCTGCGCGCGTTTTGAGCTACTTACTGCACACCGATTGCAGCCTCCCGGCCTCACTGATACCCACGGCAAGGACTGTTTCCTCGAGAACCCTTTGGACGAGCTCCAGCGGCAAACGAACGAGTAAAGGTGAGTCGCCGCACATGTTGGAATCGGCAACAGTGTGAGTGGTACGAGAAGAGCGGTGTTATCACTTTGCGCTTAGATCTTCAGTTCGAAAGCGATTGAAGAGTCGTTTGGTATGTGTTTAACACTGGAGACGGCAACTCGAGAGAGAGGTGGGTTTAGCTCTGTGGGTTGAGTGGTGCTGAATAAGCCTCGCGTGGTGGGTGTGGTTGTTAATTGCTGCGCGCTGTATGGCGCCGCCCAAGTCACCACCAAGCCAAGACCAACACGTTCCGCTCCGAGTCACAGCCCAATTTCACTCAGCATGCGGGTGGCAGAACTCGCTAGATTTCAAATTCACCAAATGATTTTCATCTTCACCATGTTGCTGTGGATCTTTGAGCTCCGAATTCACTAGGATTTTTCGTCTTCACCATGTTTCTAGGGACTTTTGAGCTGACTGTTTCAGCTCCAGTCTCAATTAGCACGAGGGTGACAGAAATCGCGCGGCTCCGAAATCACCAAACGGTTTTTATCTTCACCATGTTTCCGAAGATTCTTGAGCTCCGAATTCACCAGAATTCTCCATCTTCGCGATGCTGCTAGAGCTCTTTAAGCCGACCGCTTCCGCTCCAATCACGGCTTGAACACGCTTATGAAGCTGTATATAGCGTTGCAGCTGCACGTGCGTCACCTTGTTAGTAGTAGAGTGAAGTAGAACGCACGGCGAATTCCACTGTTGCTAATCGTGTCGCCTTCAAGCTTCTTCCTCTTCACATCTGACATCTAAGTCGAGAAGCCTCTTCATCCGCAATGGCGTCCAAGATGCAGAAGCTCCTCCTCTGCGTCGTCCTTGCCCTTCTCATCGCTCTTTCCATTGTCATCTTGGCGCTTGAAATCTCAACCTTGAACTTCATGGACTATGCCTGGAACCATGGATTCCATATCTTCCTCGACCCCTCGAGTGACGACGTCACGGCCTACCTTAAACTATCGGGTCCGTACAGCAAGGGATCCGACTTCACATTTGCGGTTTCCATCATCTCCCTGGTCGCCGGCGCCGCCGCGCTGCCCTTCTCCATCTGGCTCTGGCGGACAGACAAGAAGGTACTCCGCTCCACCACAATAGCTTTCTCAATGTCCTAGAATCCCGATCGCTCACGTACAGCAGCTGAACGCCGTCAAACCACGCGAAGGCCCGTACACCCTCCTCGCAGCCCTCACAGCAACCGCGGCTTTGTCCCTAGCGCTGCTCCTCATGGTTTTTGTTTCCAACGCCCGTGCCGCAGGCTTCGACGTCGCAACCCAGGGTCCACCCCCGTACTGGTATGACCACGGACCGTCGGGGGAATTCTCGGAGGGCTACTTCGACCTGGAGGCCTGGGTGTGTGACCTCGCGACTTTTGCGGGAGTGCGGCGGCGCAGGGATCTGGAAGTACTCAGCAAGCAATGCGGGATCGAAAAAGCTGCGAGGTGGATTCTGGTGCCGTTTTTCGGGGTCTCGGTGGTGGCGGCTGGACTCGGCTGGTGGGCGATGAGAGGGGAGAAGGGAGATGGAGATGATGGTGTCACGCTCGACGAGTTGAGGAGCCGGATGACGTCTTTGGAGCGTTTGGTACCAACAGACAATCGAGCGGTAGTTTGATGAGCCCTGCGGCCGCATTGGCATTGGTAAGGTTGCGGAAGGAGACTGGATATCTATCACACTAGACTCAGCACGTTGGCGGGTGCAATTCGACATCCCTATAGCACAGCCGACCTATCATGCTTCTACTGGTTTCATGCTGTCTGACGCTTACTTGAATCGCCCTTGGCGACTTTCGTCTGAACAAAACCAGCTCATCGGCCAACGTATCCTCGACAAACCTTCAGAGCACAACGGCCCTGCGCCACGCCGCTGCTCTCGCCCTCTTACCAAAACCCCCCTTGTCCGCCTCTCCTTAAGTATCTTGTTGTCCGTGTATGATGCTACTTACATGGATCACTCGCGTTCACAGCGTTGTCATTGTTCGGCTTCTCGCTGCTGCTAAACACGTCAAAGGCAGGGGCCACACCAGAGTGCAAGGACTATCCTATACTCAGAATGCTAGCGTTTATCCAATGCGGCACCTTGGCGAAGCTGAATGCGCTTGCTGGACTGACATAATGGTCCCTCAACACGGTTGTTTCGCTGCACGAGACGGTCGCAGTGGTATGCAGGCCAAATAGAGCCTGCTAAAGAGACTCCCTTTTCGAGTAGCGGAAGGACGGAAAGATAGGCGATGTTGGTCTTGATCAACACGTGATGGCGAGCCTCGACTTACTTCCTGTCCGCTGTTGCCTGAGATCAGTATGCATGGCTTTGCGGGTGGAGCACAACAAAATGGGTTCCAAAGTTTACACGCTGCCCCAGCAATCGCACATTTGTAAGACAGGCTATTCATACATTCAATTACATAAGGGTTTTTAAATGTTCCATTCACATATCACGTTCCCTCACCCTCGCTCTACCAGGGCCTGCCACCCCTGCCATTGCCCTTGCCCCGTCCCCTGCCACGGCCACGGCCCCTTCCATAGCCCTGATCACGGTTCTTCATCTTGATAACGAAGCCACCCCTCTCAATCGTGTTGACAAAGATGTACCCGCTCCTGAAGAACGCATAGCTGCTCCAGCTGCCGACGAAGTCGACCACGCCACCAAGCGGCGTATTGTCATCCTCAGGATAGACATCAAAGAACGCAACCTCGCTAACCCCCTTACCGGTCGGGTCATCAGGGATGCTGCTCACATCCAACACCCTAAACCCAGCGCCGTAGTTGCTCTGGAAGCTGTAGCCATCGATGACGTACTGGTTATGGTCGACGCTGTGGGTCTTGGACTTGTAGATGCCGGTCTGCTTGGGCGCCTCGAGGCTGCGGATGTCCCAGATGTAGGTCACGGGGAAGCCGTCGGCGGCGGGCTCGACGGCGTCGAACTCGTCGTATTCGTCGTCCATGACGAGGAATTCCTGCCACTCGGTGTCGAGGACCCAGCCTTGGTGCGTGTAGGAGGCGCCGGTGTAGGAGGTGCGGGAGATGATGGTCGAGTTCTTCTTGTTGGTGACGTCGTAGCTGTGGAAGGTTGCGGTTAGCGTTGCTGGATAGCGAGGAGGTGGGGAGAAGAGGGGTCCAGATGGTAGACGTACATGGTCAGGGTGTCCTCGTTGTAGCCGTAGCAGATCTCACGGCCGAGGTACTTGGTATCTGGGCCCTTGTAGACCAGGCACTGCGCATCGTGCACGTAACCGTCGTCTGGGTTGCAGCCAGGCGTGGTCGGGTTTGATGGATCGGCAAGATCGATGAAGATGAGGCCACCGCGGCAGGAGGAGTTGCGAGGCGCCGCGCCAACCGCATACGCCCAGTTGGTCTCCTCATTGACGACTACATTGTGAGTGCGGCCGATGGGCAGGCCGGTGAAGAGACCAGTGAGATCCTGCTCGTTGCTGAATGTGACTGGGTTGGCAGGGTCGATATCGAGGAGCTAGAAACGTCAGTCTTTCAGGCCGCGGCGATAGGAGTTGTCCTCTCGAACCACGTCGGGCACGTACCTTTGTCATATCGAAGATCTGGATGTTGTGACCCAGAGCCTCACTGCCAATGACCATGTAGTTCTTGTACGCGCGGATCTCCCTCCAGATGATGGGCACCGAGTACTGCGGAAGTCTCCCCAAGTAGATCATCTTGCCCTGCTTGGAGATCTCGACAAAGGAAGCACCGTCGGACTGGCCAATGGCAACGAACTCGCGACCATCTGGGGACGTCCAACCCCACGAGGACGATCCCTCGCCGCCGTTGCTGCCCAAGGATGCATGGCTCCGGAAGTGATACAGATCCATCTGCTAGAGTCAGTATGGGGAAATCCTCTAGAAGCAGTTCGGATGTCGTACATCCTTGCACTTGAAAGTGTAGTTGGCATTGCCCGGGATGGCAGTAGCAGTGCCATTGATGCATGGAACCTTCTTGTCAATGTCCGGATACAGCGACGAATCGAAGAGTCCGGCATCACGCTGCTTCTGCCAAGTATCCTAAGGAGGGTCAGCTCATTCCCAGGCCAACAATCGGTGCACAAACGTGTTTCTTCGCCATGATGGCGCTGTGACGGACACCGGAGTCATACAGCTTGGCTGCCCTGACCGCGTCCTTCTCCATCTCTCTGCCAAAGGCTGAGCCGGCGAGCGCCAGCACGGCGAGCGAGAGCGAGTACAACATGGCTGATGGATGGCCCAACGAGGGAACAATCAGGAGTGATTGCAGGGGCGGAAACGGAAAACAAGAGAGCGGAGCGAGCGACAAGGAACGCAGCATCGAAGGAATGCCATTCTTTTATGCCGTGAGCGGCCTGCGGCTTAGCTACGACCCACCGTTCACAGTCGCACTGATTCGCACTGACTGTCCTACATGATCCCTACCTTGGGACGATAAGCGGACGGATGGTCAAGGGATCCAAAGACTCCTGCCCAAATGGAACTGGTGTGCGTCCCTGGACTCGTCGTTCGAGTGGCTCAGGCTGGAAAACATCAGAACGGGGGGGAGAAAGCAATCCAGCGGAAACAGGAAGGAGCGAAGGAGCAAGCATGTAGCGGCCTTGGCAGACTCGCCCACCGGAGGCTTAGCAACTACCTACTCGAGTAGAGATCCTTCATTCGACCCCGCAACACGCTGGCTCCAGGTACAGCTAGAGATTGCCAGGACGCAGAATGAGCAGCAGGATTTGCATTTCGTGCATGCCGTCTGCTGGCCATGGCTGGATGGATAACTACTCTAGCGTTGTCGCCTTGGTCTGTCAACCGGACATTGCTGGGACATTGCTGGGGGCCTCGGCACAGGCCTACCTAGGCAATCCCGTTGATGTCGGTCCCGCCGTTGCGTAACGTCTTTGTTTGTTCAGGCAGGCCCCGGAGTTCTCGCCGAAGCTTCGCGATAGGAACCGCTCGTGCGGTGCAGGTGGTGTGGAGAGACTTCTTGATATCGGCCTTTGTCACGTGGCTCAGGTACAGCTTCAAGGGGACAAGGGCCGACGTGTTTCCCAGATCTACGGCCTCCAGAGCCATCAGAGCTAACACGACATCCCACAGCAAGTGTGGAGGCTCAAAGGCAACGTCTGTAATCGTTTGTGTTGGCGCAGCACGAAGGATTGCGCCTGAAACTGACTGCCCAAATAACTTACCTACGCGGCCTGAGGCGCGTCAGCCCTACTTTTCACGTCCGGCCTGCTGAGCCACAACCCTCGAGTGCACATCTTACGCGGCCCGGGATACATGGGAGGAGACTTCTAGCTCCTCAAGAGCTGGAGAGATCGCCCTCGTGAGTGCGGATGACTATCCGGAGAGGAGTCTCCCTTGCTCCAGTTGCACTCGTCAACCACTGGGATGCTTCAGCCCTCGATCTCCATTAACTCCACCGTAAAGACCGTCTCACTTCACTCCGGTTTCTTCAATCAAAGGCATCGACCTTGGGTGTGCGCCTGTTCCATCCCAGCTCTAAGATTTACCTTTGCGAGTCTCATGCAAGCGACCAACCCCGTACGAGGGCGCTCTCAGTTATATTAGGAGTCAGATTAGGAGTTACATCTGCACGATCACTGTGCTTGTCAGCAATAAGCTATCGTACTACCTCTTTACAGCTCGAACGTGGGCATCAGAGATGTAAAATGTAGGCAAACTGGATGCAAAGCAGAACGCATCTGGATCTAAACAACCCATCACGCTCACGCCATGAGTTCACCCAACCTCCGGTTAGGCGACCCTCTGCGGCGGACATCAGGCGGACTCTCTACAACTTTGTCTTCTGCTACGGATGTCAGGCACGTGGGATACATCTCCAAGGAAACAAGCGGTATGAAAGCCTCTGCCGCGCTGCATCGACCTATATTCGCCAACCCGAAGCCAGCTGATACTTTGTAATAGATAGGTAAGGCATTGATCACAGGCACTTAGAACTGATGCCGCTTGTAACAGAGTGTAAGGGTTAGGTGTTAAAAACCTTTGTCAGATTGTTTCTGGAGTGTATGTGTGTGTGATGTCTAATTTGTTGTCCTCACTGCCGCTTCGGCAGCTCTCAACTCCAGAGTATCACTTCCAATCTTGCTATGTTCTTTTCTCACGATCTTTCAATCCTTTACATTGATTTCGGGCATTCGCCGGTGTGCTTGGCCGTGCTTGAGCTTGTACTGAGCTCTCATTGGCGCTGTACATATCATGTCTTGTCACCGGTGACCGATCCCCATCCTTCTGGCCCGCTGGCCGGTCCGTCGCCTCCGCCCGCAACAACATGGAGATCTTTCTGTGCCTCTCGGCGGAGACAAAGGAAGCGGTGGATGAGATGATTGCGAAGGCGGGGGAAATTTTGGAGGCAAGGAGGGCGAAGAATCTTGTGTCTCGGTCAAGGGTACGTAGTCGAGGCCGTATAGGTACCGACTACATAGCTCATCCCTTCTTCGCATAGTTCACGTCACTGCCAGAAAGCTCCGATATCCCCTGATCGCCGCTCAACTCCTGAACCTCGACGCTGTTCTTATTCCGGAGTTCCGAGACACCATGTTGAGATGGCAGTTCCTCTACTCCGAACTGGGTTCCACTTATCTGCCCATTAAATCCTCTCTGGGCCAAGCGCCGGCGTCGTCTCCGCCACAACATGAACCCAAATCCAGCGAGTACTGCCACACCCACTACAGCGCCAACACCGATTCCTGCACCTGCTGCGGCTGAGAGACCGCTCGGGAGGGCCGGTGGAGCTGTGCTCGTGAGAGACGCGCTGAGCGGCTGGGAAGAGGAGCTTGAAGCCGCGGCCGATAGATTTATGCTCGTAGAGACCGCCATCAGACCCTGGGTAGAGGAGCCCGACATCACAATCAGGGCGGTGACCGTGCTGTCCCCCCAAGTGGCAATATCCAACGAATGCGCTTGAGAAGATCTCATCGTAGCTGAGCTTGCACTTGTCTGTTGCGTACTTGTTACCGTGTTGCTTCCGGTAGACATAGTACTGATGCTCCTGCTTCCCGGTGCGGAGGAGGGCGAGTCGGCCGTCCAAGTCGTCGCAACCTCCGCAGCTTCGTTGAGGAACTCCCACACGACCGTGTTGCCCAGCGTGCTGGGTTCAAATGTCATGTGGCAGAAGATGCGCTCGCCGTCACTCCTGTTTGCCGGCGTGTCGAACTGGTAAGTTACTGGGGGTGCAATAGATTGCGAAACCCAGACGCCCGTCTGAACTGCTGCGAGTCAGCATTTTGCTGCCATCGGTTCAGCAGGACAGGCAGATACCATTCGACGGCGTGAGACAGTACAGCGCGACATCTGGCGTTGTTGACGGCGTCCAGCTGACGACTATCTTATCATTGAGATGGATTGGACCGAAGGAGCCCGTCTGTGCTGTGGGTGGGTAAGGCTCGCCGCCGGGTGGCCATACCCATCGCTGTGGATCCGGATTAGACATGTAAGTGGTGGTCTCGAGATGACCGGAGGAAGAATCACGTTCACACGCTTAAAGGTATTGACGCGGCTCAGAGAACTGAAACGTGTATACGGGCACTTGAAACAAGGCTGAACATGAGTAGGTAGTAAAGCAGAAGCCGAGGTGATTCTTGAACGTTTATTATGTAGGCCTGCATCGCGAGGCTTCATCTCAAGATTTCAAGACGGCCTCATCTTTAAATAGTTTGATTGAGGGGTTGTGATACGGCGGACGTCTGCATAACATCCATCCCAAGACCCCTCGTCGGGTTGCTGTACCGAAGTGCTAAGACGGATAGGGCTGATTCCGGCCCCCAAGCGGCTCATAGCGGCGGAAAATGGACGCCATTTCGGGCAGATCCTTGTCTCTACCTTTCGATTGGATCCCCTGTATCGCGTAATCTTGACTTTTTCCTTCACAGCCTTGATGTTCAGAACGGTAACTTAATCCAATACGGAGGTACCGCTCACATAGAGCCGCTGCTTCTTCAACACATAGTCCGTAAGAGCGGACCAAGCAATCAGAACTTATCACTTGATAAACAATGTCTTCCGTAGGACGACTCAGCGCGTAACCATTTTAGTCAGACTGCAAAGTCCCATTCGCCTTTTTCTCATCGTCCAGCACGCCGTTGTCCCGCCCTGCAACAACGGCACTCTTGTGCCGCTTACTGACCAGAACCTCTTCCCTCCACAGCCAAGCTATACCCACTGCAGCTCCAGGTCCTAGCACCAGGACCGTCGCAGCAGCAGCCATCACGATCTTAGTCCAACTCTGCTGCACCATGCCCGCACGCTTGAGATCGCCGAAGAGATATCCAAGCCAAAGCAGAGCGCTGCCAAAGGAGAATAACTGATCATACTGCAGGACGTTGCGTGCAATTGCCGTCCACTCACGTTCCGCTACCGAGGATTCCGGGATGAACATCGCCATAGGAGTGTATGGCGACATGGTGAGGGTGTAAAGCCACACAAGTGCCGACAAAGCTATGCAACTGCCGATCGTGAGACGGATTACTGGAACGTCGCGCTTAGGGTCGTGAATACGGTCCCGCTGGACAGTGTTCGGGAGGACTGTGTACGCGAGCAGACGCTGCCCTAGCATCACCCATACCGGAAACATCTGCCATATCCAGGTCCAGTCGTGGCGTGCTGCAAGAGAAGGGTGGAGATGAGACAGGAAGTGTGGAATGTAGTAGCCAGCGATCATCACTGGGAGGATGCTGCGTGTGTAGGCCAGATCAGTCAAGCGCATGTCGGAAGCCTGGAAATTTGAGATCTGGGCGCAGACGTAGTGGACGAAGAAGTAGATGGGGCCTACGACGCCGATGCCGAGGAGTTGCGCCGCGAGACCAGAAAGAACAGGACTGGTATAAGCGTCAGCAGGTGATTGGAGCAAAGAAACATTTAAAAAGCTTACAATTGTGCAAGTGTTACCAGGTTGGCTCTTCGAGCAGACTCGATGAGAAAGATGGAATACAGCAATCCGTAATCGGTTAGGAACGTGAGTGCCTGCCACCATGCAACTCGATCAATCTCTAAGTTCCATGCGGCGAAAATGGCTGTGAACGGCCGCCAAAGGTCGTCGAGCCAGCCAATGTAGTAGAATGAGCTGCGGATAGGGACTGATCCGCCATCCCAAGTGATGCTGCTCGATCGGAGCATGTTTTCGACGGCAGGAACAGCTCCAGTAATGTCCATGCAGGTCAAAGCCAAAGCACAAAGTCCGAGAAACGGAAGCGCCTTCAGCGCTCGTAAGACCACGCTCTCTCTTCTCCCCACTCCCTGGTCATGATTGAAAGGCAAGGTTGCCTGTAACGAGCGAGGCGGAGGTGGCAGGTATTCCAGTATTATGGCACCGACGATTAGATTAGATTGCATGTCCACCAAATAATCGCCGGCGTTAGGAGCAACATAAAAGGCGGTTAATCGATCATCCCACCCTTTCAGTGCCTGAATCCGTGTTACTTTGTTGGACACCTTCATAATCGCTGATGTTCGCTCGATGCGGGATTGCTGGTAGATCGATAAGCACTGCTGTACGGCTTCTAACGAAGGACGTGGCCCGCTTCGAATCAGCATAGCCCTTATCGAGTTGGCTAGGGCGGCTGCGCTTTCGATGGATGCATCTTCCCTGTGTCAGCACTCGCAGCCGAACTGTCGAACCCGACGAAGGAGACTTACTCCCTCCTGCCGCAGCATTGGGTGTCATTTTGTGAATTCCATCCCCAAGGCAAACGAATCGGCCCCATGTCCAGCGTCTGAGAATCTGTGTTAGCACTTGCAATTGACTTGTCACACTCGGCGTAGAAGGCTTACTTGTACTCCGCTTCTTCCAATGCAACGAGAGTGAAGCTCACTCTGTTGTTCCATACGTCTCCGAATTTGACATTTCCCCCGGGCATAATACTCGCATCTTTGCACTGTTCGCCAAACTGTTCGGCTTCCTCTCTTGTAAATTTGAGGATGGCCTCAGCTCCGTAGACTTTTTCCAGCCTCTTGAAGAGGAAAAAGTAGACCCTGTCTTCTTTGCAGGTAGCCACCATCGTTGAGAAGTCTTTTGTGTACGTGACATCAAGGCTGGTAGATTCAAGACCAGCAGTAGGCGACGAAATACCGAAGAGACACTTATACTCCGTTGTCATCGCCGTCTTGTCTTCGGTAGGTATGGCGCCCGGCTCCTCGTTATCAGCAACTCGCCACATCTCTTGTCTCACTGGACTGTAGACTCCGTCTGCACCTGCTATAATGTCACCTTCGTAGCACGTACCATCGGTACAATACACTTTGACGCTTCCGGGGCCATGGTCAACACTTGCTAGCCGCTTGTTGAGCAAGACTTTGGTCTTGTCAATGATGTGGTCGTACAGCACTTCAAGGACGAGTTGCCTGTCGAGGAAGCAGAACTCATAAGCATGTCTGCAAACACATCTATTAGCTTCTAAGTTCTGGTTGGATGTACAGCAGTTAAGATAGTGCCACCCCGCCCTCCTCACCCAACAAAGAGGCAAGAAGCTCTACTGAAGAACCGCGACTCTCCAACTCAGGAGCTGCTTACCGTTTCCCAATAAGCTGAATAGCATTCGACTTTGGGTAGATATAGTCCCCATTTTGGTAATGATCACCGACCCATATCACAGGTACTGTAAGTTCCCGTATATCGTCGTAGCAACCGAGTTGATCTAGGATCCGGCTACCATTCGGCGCCAACCCGATAGATGCGCCCACTTGGGGAGCGATGAGGGACCTTGCTTCAAGCAGCACGTAGTCAATGTTCGCGTGCTGAAGAGCATTGGCAAGAGTGAGACCGGCGATGCCTCCGCCGGCGATAATGACCCGAAAATGATCTGATTTGGTAGGTGGCACTGTCATTGTGAGTTTTCTCTTGGAAGCGAGTATGGAGAATAACATCTACAAGGGAGACGGATTCTCAGGTGGTGATATATCTGTCGCAATGCTATGTGAAGTGCTGAACCCTGCTCACCTCAGCTGGCGCTCGTATCACAACAGCTAAACCTGCGGACAGCGATCTGGCTCGGGATGGAGCAGAGACATCTGGTTAGCGCAACAGTCAGACGGGAACTTCGGTCAGCAAGCGTCTTGTTGCTGCCGTCTTGGTGCTGCGCTCTCGGCCGAGATGTTCTTGGCTTGATACCTCCAGGTTCTGCGAGGATGGCGTACTCCTCGAATGATTTTTCAAACACCATATCTAGTGGCAACACTACCTACCGCTTGTCACGGCGTGACCGCCCTACAAAAGCCGAATTCCTTGATGTTCGCGCTTTCTCAATATGACAACATGGACCCTAACTATGACACTCCGCATGCGTGGCGGTAAGGGGTGGCACATCTCGAACGTCTCAGCGCTTGGCTTCACAGTACGGAGTGAGTTACTTTTGCAGACTCCCATAGACTGTCAAGCTCCGCTGGCCTTGCTCTAGTTGATAGCGGACTTGCTTTAAGCTAGGTACAACCCCATCCCCATTTCAACGCTTCACCAACTTCTGTGTACTGACATATCTCAAACTTTCTCCGCATACACGGATTCCACCTGAGAAATGCTCTTCTTGCGCGCCTCCTCCGCAGCAATGCTCTGCCTGCGCACCTCCTCAAAGCGGACTGTCGGCTTGAAGGTTGAGCTTTGCCAAGCATGTGGAACGTGCTCGTACATCTCATCCACTTGCTCGAGAGTCAAACCCTTGGTCTCGAAGATGCAGAAGTAGACGAAGATGGCACAGCCAAGACAGCAGGTTCCCCAAATGAAGAACACCTTCGCCTTAAGACCCGCAGCGCCGGGAGTCTCGTCGACGAGATATGGAGTGGCGTAGCCAATGGCCCAGTTGAAGATCCAGTTGCTAGCGATGGAGCATGCCACTGATTTCGCGCGGAATCGTAGAGAGAAGTTCTCACCCTGGAGAGAAGTATTAGCCAATTGAAGTGTTGCTAGACTCGAGGAGATGAAACTTACCACAACGACCCAGCCGACTGGACCCCAGGAGATTGCGAAGAAGAAGATGTAGAAGCAGGTGAATGCAATCAAAACCTTGCTGGAAACTTCGGACCCAGAAGTAACACCCACTATCGCTACGATGAACTCGCAGACTGTCATCCCGATAGCACCGAAAAGAAGTATAGGACGACGACCCCATCGTTCGACAAGGATCAATCCCGGGATTGTCGATACCACGTTCACCAAGTTCGTGGTCAAGCCGATGAGGAATGGATTCTCAATGCCGGAGTTTTTGAAGAATTGAGTCCCGTAGTAGAAGATGAAATTGATACCCGTGAGTTGAGATCCTGCCATAATGGCGCATCCTGTTAAGAGGCGTCTGCGTTGTCTGCCAGCATTTTGGAAAACATCGAGCCATCCGGATTTGCCCAGCGCTAGTTCATATTCGTGATTTGCAACAATTTCAGCAAGCTCTTCCTGAATGCTTCGAGAGTCGGCTGGAAGGCGTCGAAGTCTTGACAACGAATGGGCTGCCTTGTCTTGATGGCCGCGCTTGACGAAGTAGCGAGGCGTCTCGGGCAAATATAGCAGGCCGGCGGCGAGGATCAGTCCCCAGAGAGCTTGGATAACGGTGGGAATACGGTAGCTTCCGGAGTCGTTCCTTGCATGTGTGGCGTTGTTAACGACAGCTGCGAGTAAAAGTCCAATAGTGAGCGCAAGTTGGTAGCTGTTGTCGCGAGTCAGCATACAGCTTGATGCGGACGTGCAAGGTAGAGTTCATACGCAGAGACGATTGTGCCCCGGATCCATTTGGGCGAGCATTCACTCTGATAAAGGGGAACCAAGACTGATAGCAACCCGACACCCAGTCCAGCAATACCCCGGCCCGCCGTGAAGAGTGGAATAGCGGTTGCGATCGTCTGCATGACCACGCCGATGTTGAAGACAATGCAGGCGACTGCCAAACCCTATTAGCATCGCCAGGACTCCAGGACTCTAGGACTCCAGCCATACCTAGTAGACCCCAGCGACGACCGATCCGGTCCCCGATACTTGCCCCACTGAGAGCACCAACGAAGGTACCAACGCTTAACATCGAGACAATCACACCCTGCTGACCGGTGGTGATGTATCTCTGTCCCTCATCGTTTGTTTCTGTCGCAAAAAGATCAACCCAGTAGTCTGTAGCCATAAGATTAGTAGAGCAACCCATCATAACTGGGACGGAGTGGCTGACCCATGGCGAGAATGCCGCCAATAGTGCCAGTGTCATAGCCAAAGAGGATACCGCCGAAAGAGATGAACAAGCCCATCAGAATGGCTGGTGTGGCGGAGCCCTCCATGTCCGCCGGGACTTTGATGAGAGAGAAACCCATGGTGATTGAGCTGGTTGAGTGTGCCGCTTGTCGTTATGATTGATCTTGTTCGAAGCTTGAATGGTTGCTTGCGTTGAGTACAGAGAAATCGAGGGGAAACAAGGAGATATTTATCTGTAGGGGTGCTCTAGCGTCCCCTAGAGTACAGGCTTCCAGACTTTCCGTGGTGTATGCGGGCCTTCCGTCGCGATGGTTCTTGGAGCAACTACCAAGTTGCGGAGAGTATCTAATGCAGAGATGCCGCTCCGCAATCTGCCATGTGGACTGGCGGACATGGGGACGCCTGCAAGTGAAAACTGCGGGGAACGAGTAGGTGAGGAAATCTAGAATGACGGGGTAGAGCGGCTCGGAACTGCCATGTGGTCGAGCCGCTATCTGAATCGCTCAACATACAAACAACTTTGGAAGTTGGGTGTGCGACTCCGGCGGCTTGCCCGTTTCTGGAAACTCCGCCCAGGTCGATCCGCCACTCCACCATGCACGGCGCACCGCCGACGAACCGGTCATGCTTCCAAGCCAAGGGTCATCTGGCTGCTCTATGACCTGCAGACATGAGCTCGAAACTCCATCTCACGTCAGTCAAACACAGACCTCGTATTTTTGGCCCTCACTTGCTCCCACAATTATTACTGAAGCGCTACATCTCCTCAGCAGTCTGGAAACAGCAACGGTTGACGTCTGGAGTGCCAATGTCGAAAAATGCGGCTACCATCTGGATCGGTACAGGCGATATGAGCGTGTATCGTTAGGGCTACGCCGGGAATGGGAAGGCTTTACAGCCGTGTCCGGGGTCTGAGGCATGCTTGGTAGATGATCGTCCTCTCGTATTGAGGTATGTCAGTGACCTTGCCGTGGCCTTGTAGATACAAGAGAATTGCAACGTTCGACAATTGGTGCCTCCGCATGCTAGAACACAAAAGACGGATCTTCTGACCGAGTAATAGTCGACACAGGACACAGCCACTCGTATCGCATACAGAAAGAAGCCGTGGACCGGGGAACCTGAGTAGAACAGCTATAGTACGCAGGAAATTCTGACAGTGCGCAAGACGACGTCCAAGGCGTGCCACAGTCACAACATAAAAGCGCGCAACATCCTCGCAGTCACACTCCAGCACCGGGTTCTAAGGTCGTTCCTGAGAGTCTGAGGATCTCAGTCGAAAAGGTCTCGAAAGTCGTCAACAACGAAGCGCCACAACACTTAAAGATTTAACAGGTCGGAGTAACCGTGCAGGATTCTGGAGAAATCGTGAGACTACGATAAGGCAAAGATATCATAGATATGTCCAGGACGAAACCTTCATCCGTTTTGCGGAAGCCCTCGGTGGACTTCATCGAAACCACTGACTGATGGACACAATCCGGCGTTGGTGTAGCAGTGGAAGGCAATGCCGCTGCTGCTCAGGACCAGATGGTGGTGATATACACTGGTCGACAAAAATATCTTGGGATGAGTGTACTCGTATACAGTTTCATGAGAGCTGGGGGACGGAAATGCGGCGTCCCGCATGGCTTGTACGAAGCGACAAAGCAGCGCTATTTAAGTGATGCGGCTTCATGTACAGCAGCTAAGCCGCAAAACGCTTCTTCTCGGCCACCATAAGCATGGATTTTTGTGACTGTTGTCATAGGAAAACGGTCCGTCATCCACCGCGTGCCGTTTGGACCAAGAGAAGCTCGGGATACTGCATGGTCTCAGAAGCCTAGACTTCAGCTCGCAAAGGTCGCAAGGCTCATCGGAAATGATGGATTGATATTGTCCCCCAACGCCGCATCAATCGCCCCAAGATCGAAGTCAGGGTCAAAGTGGTCGAAGATGTTGAGATCTGGCATGGTGTCGAAAAGTGATGGATCAAATGTACCATAGTCGTAAGCGAAAGAAGTTCGTGCATCCTCAAGATTCGGGGTATACGTGGCGTTCATGGCGTTAGTGTCTCCGTTACTGGGTGGAGTACTTGATGAATGTTCTGAGATTCGTGAACCGCCGTTCGTGACTGGCTCGCCGATAGCCTCCTGGTGTTGCGCGTTGGCCATTGATGAAAATGCCTTGTCCATCTCGCGAATCGTCTGTTCAGCAAGATCCGCCATGACCACAGCTGACCAGAACATGTCGCCGAGCTCTCGTAGTACCGAACAGTTGGCCAGCAGTAGTTTTCGTGCTCTTGTGTGGAAAATTGGCGTTTTGCTTAGCCGCAAGTCGCGGTAAGCCACGCGAAGCGAGAGTGACACTGCATACGGTACTATTGGTAGAAGCGACAGTTGACCGTGGAACTCCTCGCCCACGATAGAAGTCACCTTAGCTGCAGACAGACTTTGACGAACGTACGATGCGGAGGACCGTGGGGGTTCTTGCAAAGACTGTGACCGGCAAGACAAAATGGCCACGGCATGGTAGAGTGTTTCGATTGTTGCTGGGAGGCGATCAATGTTTGACGTGTTTCTTACGCACAGAGCGATACTCACCGAGCAGATGCGAGTTGACGCGAAGAGCTCCAGCGCTTTGCAGCAGATCTTCGAAAGCAGGAAACTCATCCTCCCATCCACGTTCAGAGCCGTCAACCGATGGCCGGTATAGGTTGATCACTTTGTCCAAGAGTAATACTGTACGCAGGAAAAGCTGAAAGCAGCCTTCCTGCTGTTGGAAGCATGTCTCCAAATCGCGACCAAAATCACGTTCGTGCATTTGAACCGGTCGTCCATGAAATGCAGCATTCAACCGGTCCAGCGCCCAAACCGAGCAGAACAGTCGCGTCACGTACTCGTGATCTTTCCGATTCGCTTGAGTCTGTAGATGGAGGCCAGCAGTATGTATGCAGCTAACCGCTCGTGCGCTCAACTCGGCCGACTGGTGCCAATCATCGGAAAGCTGGGTGAAGAGCGAGAGGACAGCGAGAATCTGAACGTAGACTAGTCTGTCCTTCACCAGGCCAAGGTCAACAGATGTCCGCATGGCAAGAGACATCTGCTCCGCAAACTCTCTATGGGAAGGTGCTGTGTTACTAGACAAGTTCAGAAACCTCTTTGCGCCGATATTAGTGCTTGCAGCCAGGCAGATGGCTTGCTTCAAGAGCACTTTGGCGGGCAAATGGTCCTTCATCGCGTGGAAAGCCTCCTTGTCTAGAACGGGAAAAATTGGATGAACCTCTTCGAAATAGATTCTACTCAGCCCTTCAAAGTCCTCCTGCTTCGGTAGAAGTCGCAAGCACTGATTTTCAAGATAAGCCAGGAGCAGATTTGCGACCAAAGGATCGGAGCTATACACTGAGCTTGATTGAGAGTGCCTCAGCTGAAGCCTGGGGTGGTTGCTTTGAATGCTGTTCATCGCTCTGCGGGATAACCAGATACCTACGCTGCCAGGCTCGGTAGAACCAGTAGTGACTTCGGGACTTGCTGCGGCTAAGAAGATACCCTCCGGATTCAGGTCGCCCACAAAGCGGGTATCCTCCTCTTCTTCCTCTTCTTCTTCTCCTTCTTCTTCTTCGTGACCTTTTTCGGCTGCGGGAGTCATAGCCGTGGTCACGGAGCCTGGAGTGGTTTGTTGGCCATTGGTTTGGTTTCTATACACGCTCGGATCGCTGGTGACATGCGGCTGTCCCGAGCTTGCCGCCACGGACTCCCCAACAGATGATGGATCATCGTTGATTGGAAATGTAGTTGTGATGGGCGGTACTTGCCACTGCTCTCGCTGCGCCATTGTAGATGGATTGTCATCGTTCTCAAGATGCTCACAGCGCTTCTGTACAGTAGGTTAGGCATATCGATGGGAAAGCAGGTCATCTGTCCTGCGGTCATCGTCACCAGTGCTTACTGACTTTGCGCTTTCGGCATCTTTCGCAAGCACGGTGAGATTGTTTGCGCTTCAGGGGAAGCCCATCCGCGCTGCTGGGAATGAACTTCAGCATCACTGACGTAGTAAAGCCGTTGAATAGCACTGTCTGCTCATAGCACGTCCGATACAGGAATATGCATGACGCTTCGTGTGTGTAGCGATAGCTATCCCGAGGTCGTGGTCGTCAGGTGCCGCTCAGGTGGTGCTTCAGATGAATTTGCGGGGAGCGGCCACTAGAGCAAAAGGGGTTGGCCCACACGTGCCTGTGAGCCCTCCATGCCTTTGACCATCTTCCGGGTTCCTCTTACCCAACTACCTAGGTACCTAAGGTAGGTATCCACATCTCGAAACCCATCTACGATGGCACCCTATCCATTCCACGCGATCGGCCTCCAGGCTGTAGTCCACTCCTTTCCCGGCTTTCACCTTGCAGGTTCAGTTACCGGACTTGTCCAAACGCCTCGACGTTGACGCTGATGTCCAGGCCGGACTTCTTCGGGAGTCGCTGTAGGCAAGACTCGGGCTAGTCGAGGCACCCTTGCCTTCAGCCGCACACGTCTTGCTCTCACGACCTCGCACATTCTCTGACCGATCGGTCGGGCTTCTGCTTCTGCCGCATGTGTACTGTACATAGTCCGACATGCTTCACCTCTGACAGTCTTTGTGTCGGAGCTACCAGATTGAGCTAGCGCCTCCCCGACTCCCGTCGCCTCCAGGGCTCCGCCGTTCCGCCATGCGGAGCCCCTAGATCCGGTAGGCGTTCCCCAGAATCCCAGTCATGCATGCTATCTTTTTTTGTATAATATACATAGATCATGGACCATGGAGGACTCTAAGCCCATGCAAATTACATTCAGCCCTTCGAACAACCTCAGTTCCACGCCTCCGAACGCTCCAATCTAGCCCTTGCTCCTCTCATTTGCCCTTCTATCCCGCGCCTTTGTCTTCGGCCATTACGAACCTCCCCGGCAATCCATCGCTTCTTCCTCAAAATGGAATATCTGAGCGCCTGGGATGTGATCTTGGTCAAAGTAAGCCTTGCTGGCTTACTGGTGGCTTTTGCGAAATCCTGCGCTAGCCACCTTTTCTTGTCGAGGAAAGAACCCGTCAGTTTTCCGTTACTTGCGGCTCGCAAGCAAGTCATAACGTTACCTCCGACACGGAGTATCAAGAAGAGACTCGAACAGACAGGCAAGAGTTGTATCATCTTTTATGGGAGCCAGACAGGGACAGCAGAGAAGTTCGCCTTGAGACTAGCCAAGGAAGCAAGCACAAAGTATGACCTCCGGAGCATGGTCGCTGACCTCGACGACTTCGACTTCGATGACCTTAACACTTTGGAGTCCGACCAAATTGCGATCTTCGTCCTTGCCACTTATGGTGAGGGCGATCCTACGGACAATGCGATTGCGTTCAATCAATTTCTCAAAGGGAAAGAACGGCGCGCCAGTCTGCACTCTGCCGAGCACGCACAAATGCAGCTTCAATACGCTGCTTTTGGCCTTGGGAACAGCTCATACCAGTCCTATAACTCGATGATCCGCCAGGCTGATACTATACTTCGGTACTCCGGCGCTATGCGAATCGGAGATCTTGGTCTAGGAGATGACGGAAAGGGCACACTCGAAGATGACTTTGCGGATTGGAAAGACACTACCCTAGCTGCCATTGCGGACCACTTCCATCTACCCGAGTTGGAATATACTTTCAAGGCTAACTTCGAGGTGACCGAGTCGGAGCTTGCCCCAACAACCGACGTGTTTCTCGGCGAGCCGAACAAATTGCATCTAAGGAACAAGATTCGTGGACCATTTACATCGCAGAATCCTTTCGCTGCCACGATCGTTAAAGCCGAAGAGCTATTCAACTCAAACGACCGGAATTGTCTCCATATTGAATTCGACATTGGAACTACCACCCTGAAGTACGACACCGGTGATCATCTAGCCGTCTGGCCCGTCAACTCTGATATGGAAGTTGAACGCTTCCTCCGTGTTTTTGGCTTGTATCCACGAAAAAGCGCTGTTATTGGCATCACAAGTCAGGATTTGACCGTGAAGGTTCCTATCCCAGCAAGGACGACTTACGAGGCGGCGGCTCGTTATTACTTGGATGTTGGGGCACCGGTATCTCGTCAACTGCTCGGGATCCTTGCAAGCTTTGCAAAGAGCGAGTCGACTCGATCGGAGTTGGTCAAGCTTAGCGGCGACAGAGAAGCTTTCCAGCGCGAGGTGGCAGACAAGCGCTTGAACCTGGCTCAGACGCTGTCAACAATTGCTCCGCATGACTCCTTCGAATCCGTCCCATTCTCGTTCCTCTTGGAGAACGTGGCCAAGCTGCAGCCCCGCTACTATTCGATCTCGTCTTCCTCGCTTCTCTCAAAGAACAGGATATCGATAACAGCCGTGGTCGATTCCGCTCAATCCTCAGGTAGCCAATTCAAAGGAGTGAACACCAGCTACCTACTTGCCTTGAAATCCAATTACTTAGCAGCGCCGTTGGATGCATCGGCAGCTGCTCTCCCATCCGTACCAGCCGTTCCACAGACGCACCAGATCAACGGTCCTCGAGGGTTGTTTTCGCAGCCGACAGCACTTATCCATGTCCGTCGCTCTAAGTTCCGTCTCCCAAGACAGTCATCGACTCCGGTAATAATGATCGGGCCCGGGACGGGTGTTGCGCCTTTCCGCGCCTTTGTCCAAGAAAGGGCTATGCGATCCCGTGCAGGCCAAGTACTAGGACGAACAATGCTCTTCTACGGCTGCAGGAGAAGTAATGAAGATTTCCTCTACAAGGAGGAATGGCAGGTATGTCCTGTTTGATCCCTTTGAAATTTTCAAGATGCGTATTCGAGAACTACCGCTGATTCTGTCTCTTGCTCAGGAATACGAGAAATCGTTCTCAAAGGGTACATTCTCTCTCCATGTAGCTTTCTCTCGGGAGCTGGAAAACAAGAAGGTTTATGTCCAAGATCTACTCCACGACCACGCTGCAGAACTGAGAAATCTCATTCTACGGGAGAATGCTTATGTCTATGTGTGTGGCGATGCGTCTCGGATGGCCAAAGACGTTTTCAGAGCATTTGCGCACATCCTCGCCGATGAGGGTGAGAAGGACTTGAAGGTGACAGGCGATTGGTACTTGAGAACCATGAAGGCAGCCGGCCGCTGGAGCGAGGATGTTTGGTGATCTACATATACTCAAACTTCTCTGATCTATTAGCGGCATATCTGGGTTAAGGCGTAAGGTCTGGGCGGAATAGACAGTTCCTTCTGCAGTTTTAGGTATGATAGCAAGGCTCGAATAGAGTACTATCAGTTCGAGTCTTCGAAACAACCGTCCCATCTGCCGTGTCTGACATCGTCCTATATGCGCCATGATCCGAAACAAATCTGGACTCCTTCCGCAGTGTTCGGCATCGCCCGACCGTCCCACGGACGAGGGTCCAGGCGTCCGTCTCGCTCGACACGCCGTTTCAACGATATAGACGATCAGGTAATCTGCTAGCTACTTTAATTAACTTATTAGCTTAATACAGTAAGAGTTTTAACTACTAAGCGTCCGAGGCGGGGCTCTAAAAGTCATGCTTAGTCTTTTCACTGATTTTTGGCGCAGAGACCTGCCTCAGTCGAGATTCTTAGCGCAACCAATCATCTACTTGATTACTAACATTCTTGGTGAAGAGGCGTGAGCGTTTAGTCGACCAACCACCACGATCCCTTTGCCAAAATGCCAGGGTCTAGTAGCCTGGAATGGCTAGCGGTCGTCTAAAGCACCGGGTGCCGTCCACGATCTAAACGGACAACTCGAAGACGAACGTCGTCTCAATGATATTGGACGCGCGATGCCAAACACTGCCCTTCCGAGGCCAGACTCACACGAAGAGAATATGCTGCTAACCGCGATGAAGCCGATAATTAACCGCTTCTGACGTGACGAAGGCGCGGTAGACGGATAGCGAAGCGGCGATTCGCTTACCTGTGTCTTCGCGCACTCAATCTCCGCAATCCACGGACGAGTTGTGCTTTTCCGCTTGGTTGTTGATCGATTCCCCCTCGATGCGATCTTGATAGTCTGATATTGAGGAATACCGAGGCGATAGACGGCGGTCACTATACCGTCATTTGTTCGACTGCCAATCATGTAGTTTCAAGAGCATCCGAGAGTATCTCGTTGGATGGGGAACTAGTTTCAATCTCATGCGAAAACAATCATGGATCACGATACCAGCGGCAAACCAAGAAGGGCATGTTAATACGAAAAGGTAGGGTGATAATTCTAAAAAGCTCAGAACATGTCTATGTAGATCTATGGATTCTCAAGACCCTAACGCCCGCTGAACCGCTGGAAACTGATACGATGAAGGTTTCCAGATTTCGTCCCGCTCTCTATTTGTGACCTTCTACACCATAACCCTCTTGCGGCACTTCAACACAAGCTCATCCGGATTCGAGTTGAAGCGTTCAATAGTCCGCAGCTGAAAATCCGGTGTTTCAAACTCAAAGTCGTACGACTTAACAAGCGCAGAGATGACCAGAAGCTGTTCGAAATACGCTATGTTGCGACCAATGCAAGCTCTGGGTCCGGTGCTGAATGGAAGATGTGCTTTGCTCATCTTTTCCTTGTCGCCGGTGACCCAACGGTCTGGGTTGAATTCGTCGGGATTCTCGAATGCTTCGGGATCATGGAGAAGAGTGTACGTTGGCACGGAGACAGTGACATCTCCGTCGATGAACTGGCCTGCAATCATTCGCCCTCCTTTGGGCACCACACGAGGAAGACCCATCGAGCTTGCGGGTCGGACTCGAAGCGACTCTTCGACACAGGCGCGAAGGAAGGGTAGCTGAGATATGGCCTCCCACGCTGGTATTTCGGTAGTACCGGTGGCTGCGTCCAGTTCTTCCCGAAGCCGGGCGAGGATCTTTGGATGCTTATAAAGGAGGTAGATCGTATTCGTCAAAGCTGCTGTAGTGGTATCTGTTCCGGCATTCATCATCACGGAGGCTTCCGCGAGGATTTCTCCAAGTTCTAGACCGACTTGCTCGCCCTTGTTGTTGATCAGGAGCTTAGAGAAGATATCTTCCTCTGCATCCAGATCTCTGAGGCGCTTGGCGGTGTTGTGGTAGATGATGTTCTCGTAGTCGGCACCAGCCTTCTTGAATGGATGCCAAGCGAAGACTCTTCTCGTGAAGGGAAGCAGTGGCGCTTCCATCCCAAGGACAGTGTTTATAATGGTCGAATCGTGAAGCGACTTAATGAAGGGCACCTGATAGACTTTGCCTTCCAGGGTTTCAGCATCGACGATATCGTTTCCACGCTCAAGACATCCCAGCGACTCGCTGTACAGCAGTCTGGAGAAAACATCGATGGTGAAGTAGTTTAGGTATCGACGCATGTTGATAGGCTTCCCTTCGGCTGTGAACTTCTCGACCTGAGCAATCAACGTACTAACGGTATCGCTAATGACCGGTTCCAGATTGGCAATTGTCTTCTGTGCAAAGACATGGGCGAGCATCTTCCTCTTCGCTTGGTGCTCGGCTTTGACTCTAGCATCCGCCATGTGTCGGAATTCGCCAGCACCGCCGTCATACCAAGCATCTTTGAGAAAGTTTGCACCATGGCCGTATATATCATTCATGGCTTGCACATCGGAGACCGAGATGTGGTTGGGAGCAATTCGTATATGCGTGCCGAGTTTCTTGTGGGCCTCGTGTACCGCAAGATAATGCTCGTGTTGCAGGTTCTTGATGATGCGCCATAAGGATGAAAGCCCAGCATAAGATGGAGCTGGGAACTTCCGGAGATGTTTCGAGTCCCTGACGAAGACGGCCACAGGCTGAATGAGGAGCACAACAACGGCCGAAGCAAGAATTACTAAGGCGTGGGTTAGACTTCTGAATCTTGTATCTAACATGGGAGACCTCGAAAGGCTTGCTCACCTTGTATAAGCATTGTTCCGGCAGGTTTCGGAGTAAGAGCTGATGCTCGATATCGTCACTCGTGAGGAATAGCTGCTAGTGATGGTAAGCAATGGCAAATCCGAGTTCTGCTTTGCACTGTGTTCCGGACCATCATCGCGTCTGTGAACATGTATATAGACCGTGATTCACCTGCAACGTGCGGAGGTTCCCAATGGGGAAAGTCCGCAGGCGGCGGCACACATCGATTTGGACTCCGCTCGCCAGACTTCGCCCGCCAATTCGGCGCAACCCTCCTCAGACATGTCCGACGCGACCTCTCCCAGGTTGTTGGTCTTGCATTCGGTGTCAAATTTGCTGGGTTACTTGCACGAGTGATTCATTACACTCAAAGATGCCGTCGCCGCGTCGCTGCCTCCTTAGTCATTCGTTGAGGGTGTGGTTCGAGAGAGGCTCTGTCTAGACGCTTCGATCCCTTATTGGGCTCATGCGGACGGGCTTCGGAGAGGGTCCAAGCATGAGGTACCAGCCCGAGCCGAGCTGAGAGCTGGCTTCGTGGCTTTGAATTCGGGATCTTATTGAACAATGGGCTGCGCTTCAAGAGATTCGGCGTAAGCGGATCGGTCCCTTCTTCATTCCTCATAGATTAGCACCTATCTTGGGCTGGAGAAAGCGTTACATAGCAGTATCATACTATGGCCCTGGTTGTTGTCATGAGTATTCCTTTGTGGCCAAGACCCGCTGTTGCCCGTTCCGCGGCTGAGGCGCGTGGTTACACGTGCATGCAGGGTCTCAGTCGCTTCCAAGCGACCTGTGCACGCACGCTTGCAGAGACCTCGGCTTCAAACCCAACGGCTACTCCAGCATCCACATTCGAAAAAGAGAGATGCTCACATGGTGCCGCCGTGTAGGCAATTGTGCCAACCAAGAGTTATCGATTGATGCCATCTCGGGAGAAGGTGTTCGCTCCCCTAGCGAGCAATAAAACCACGATGATCGAGCAATTTTTCAGCTCACCAGCGTATTAGAAACCAAAGGAGAGCCGAATGAGCAGCTAACATTGCCCTCGCTGCTCCTGGACATTCGATCTCACGAGTCAACGCGGTTTGATCCGAACAGCTCGCACGATCGCGATCTATAACCTCCTTCCCTTTTAGGCAAATAAACCGCCTAAGGCGCTGTCTAAGACTACCAAGCTCGGCGCAGACATGGACGGGGCGTTTTCGTGGCGCAATTTCTGGGGTTGAATGCATGTGTAGATCCGTCGCTTTGCTTTACCAACGGCTTATGAAACCCTCATGCGTTGAAAGGGGTAGCATACGATGGGGTCTGCGACTCGACTCATGCTCGCGTAGGCCTGGACGAGATCGACAAGCTCTGACATATCTACTTGGTAGGCGGAGGTGAGATTGAATGGATTTTGAGTTCAGCTCTTCCTCAAGCAGATACCTTGTCCATAAACACTCCATAGTAGGCACTTGCTGGCCTGGGGACGAAGCCGACTTCTCAAACTACAGCCAAAGCGACGGGCATTCAGGACTCCATGGCATCAACGGACTCAAAGATATCGTGCATCGCCTTCGGATTCACAATCGGATTCGGATACCTGACGGCGTGGGACGCATGGAAGATCACCGCAAAGCACCGCAGTCCGCTGCGGAGCTTGTTCGTTTGGATGGTGTGGTGCGAGATAGTTGTAAACCTTGCTATAGCTATCTTCGCCTTCCTTTTCCTTGAGGGTCATATCAAGCCCAGGTTTGTAGAACTTTGCTATTACTTATCTTCTTGTATGGCAGAGCTGACGGATGCTCGCAGCGTTACTACGTTCTTTTTCATGCGTACGTTGAACCCCCCGTTAGAGTTGCAAGGAGTGTCTTCTGACAAGGCGCTTGGCAGTTTTCTTATGGGTCTTCCAGATCCAATTCATCCTTCAAATCATCGTGAATCGGGTTGCTATCATCAGTATGGAAAGACGGAAGATGTCTTTAATCAGATGGGGCACAGTAGCAGCTATTACTTTGATACAGATATCGGTATTTTGCATCTTTATTCCTGCGAACATGCAGGTTTCGCAAACGTAACCTCCTACACAATCCTCCACTAACGGCTCGACACGTGCCTACCAACTTCGCCTGACTTTCTGCAGATACGTCAAAGTAAACAACATCTGGGATAAGATTACGAAGTTCCTCATTCTGTTCATTGACTGCGGACTCAACTACTACTTCGTCACACAAGTTAAGAGCCGCCTCGTGCGAAACGGACTGCAAAAATACAACGCTCTCGTTCAGTTCAACATGCGCATCATCGTCATCTCTATTGGCATGGACGTAAGCAAAATGTGCCTCCGGCAATGAATCGAGCGTTCACCTAACGGAGACTCCAGTTCTTACTCATCGGCACAATGTTCCTGAAGAACGGCGCTGTGTTCATGCAGTTCCACCCTGTGGTCTACATCGTCAAGCTGAAAATCGAGCTCTCCATGACCAACCTTATTACCAAGATTGCGCAAGAGTCAGTCCAAGAACGGATGGCTACCAGTTCCACCAATAAGCGCATGACGTTTGGGGACGAACGTGCGCATACGCGCAGCATCCATCTCAACAGCCACCTCGGCAGCAAAGGCAACAGCAAGTCGATCTTCCCCGATAGCATCAACACTAAGGATCACGGTGCTGTTGTCACGCTTTCGGGTGCCCGCCCGGCACATCATTATGACCATCCCGACATCAAAACACCTGGGCTCTCAACCCGTGTATCCACCGACAAAGCTCTTCCTGTTTTCCCAACAAACGCCGACAGCAACAAGATACATGTCAGAACACACCTCACTCATGATACGACTGACCGTTTGTCGGACCGCTCGGACGCGACGCGGGAAAGCAGCAGGGGAAATGTTGAAGACTTCGATGCCCATAATGATAGGGATGATAGGGAGATACTCTCGTGGAGGTAGCGAGTACGTTGTTTTGATAAACTGCGTGTGGCCGCCTGATGGGCTTTTTGCGGGAAGGGATACCCATTTGACTTCCGCGTTCTTCTTTCCTCCGTCATCTTCTTCTCTGTCTCGGCACCTCCTCTAACGATCTATCGTTTCTAATAACCCACTGTCTAATTATCTGTATACAGGCTCTCTAGCGTAGTGAAGAGTAAGCTGAATCGTTATGCGAACGTCTCCGTCCGAGGCGTGTCTGATGGCATACCAGCCACTTTTGACTATCGCTTACTGAATGCCGGCGCTTGATCTGGTTGCACAATCCCTTCATCTCCTTGTCTGAACAGTCTAAGAAGTAGCACTGGTATAGCACTCAACGCGGTTACATCCTTCAATTCTCCGTTATTGCGGTGCGCGAGCGTGATTCTTCACGAGAAGTGGCGGCCAGGCAAGGTTGCAGAAGTCGTGGGACACTCTTGGCGATCGCCTCACCACAAAGTGTCCCACGACTTTGCAACCTGGCCTGTGGGCTTGGCGGTCACGGAAACGGCTTGAGTGATCCTCGCATTGCCTTGCAGCCTTGTGGCGCTTCAGGGCGAACATTCCGGCGCTTCGTGGTCTTGGTCGGAAGCCTGACTCAGCCCCGAAGCGAACACTATCTTCAACCTCCATCAACGTCTAGTGGGTTGATCACTCATCCGTTTTCAGAAGAACACGAGCTCTGAAAGCGACATGACCGTGTAAACGGCTTTGCCTTGCATAGGCTCACACGGTAGGCGAAGCGAGGCTGTATCGTTCTCCTTTTTCTGTTTCCGCCTTGGCTGCCACCAGCGCCTCTGGTTACAGCCTTGCCAAAATCGCGCCACCATCATGGCGCAGCTGGATGGTGTTGGCTATTAACTGAGCATTCTCGCTCCTGATAACGTTTTCGTGCTCTCTTCATGCAGCTTCTCTCTCGTATCTGACACCATCAGCTACTTCCCTTCACAATGGCCCGAACAATCACACTTTTGACCGTGTTCGGGCCAGTTATTGTTTGCGCCATCCCTCAGCGCGGAAACTTCATAGGAATGGCACAATGCTCCAGCCTTCCCAGCATCATCCGCATGACCGTCGAACAATGCGAGCAGATTTGCGGGATAGGCTGGCACGCATACGAGAAATGGGAGGTCGTCAGTGCCCTCGCGACGTGGGTCATCCCGCTGTTCGTATTGGTAGGCAACATGCATTTTTCCAACTTCGAGCTCGAACTGTTCAGTCTTTCTTCACCATCAGTGCCAGCGTCTGGCGGGAGTGGGTTGGACGCTGCCCGCACAGCATGGAGCGTGTTTGTCAACTACGGCTTCGTGGCCTCACACCCTTCTTGGCAACCCAATCGATGTCATCTGGAGCCACCTCGAAAAGCTGGAGCATATGCATCGAACGCAGCAGGACGACGCAGCACTGGCCATCATACGTATAACTTTGGACGACTTCGACTTCGATCACGGCGCGCAATCTACCGCAAAGATTGAAGCCAGAGAAACACTGTCCGCAATCCTCATTAGGTACAAAAACAGCCTTGGTCATACCGAGCGGATTGGCTTTCTCGAGAAATGTCACGACGCCGCCTTCCTGCTCGCTCATAACCGCACCAGCAGCACGCGCCGCGCCGCCCTCGCCGTAATCGCCTACGCTGTCGCCCTCTTCACTTCCCTCGCTTCCGCTATGGCACAGAATTCCGCGGCTGTCCACACACCGCACACCCTCGCCCTGCGCGAGCTCTACTATTGGCTCATCAGCGCTATTGCCCTGAGCTCCGCCACCGGCGCTTTTCCGACCGAACACACCGCCTGGGCGGACTTGAAACCCGTTATCTCCGCCATATCAGATAGCCAGTTCAACCTGGCCCCACTCAAGCCGTGGACGGGTGGGAGCTACTGTTATCGGCCGCATAAGCGCATCAAGGGGCGCTCGATACCGCTCCTTGGCCTCTCAATTCTCGCTGTTGGGGGCGCATGGGCTATCTCCTTCACCATGAGCTGGATCACGCCTACACGCGGGCTCGGATGCCGTAGCTTCATGGAACTAGGCTTCTTCGCAGCATGGGTCATAAACTTCCTCGTCTCTTATTGCATCGCACGTACCGCGCACGAAAAATGGCCGAAAGGAGCGTTTGTTGCTACGTTCATCTGCGACATCATCATCGCAGTGCCATCGGTTCTGTGCTTGTTCCTTGCATTCAAAGGCATGTAACCCCCTTTTTCTTCTCCCCATCTGATCCTGCGAGCCCGATCCGGCGATGCAACGGTCACAAGGTAATCATAATTGACACGCATCATCACTTCTCAGGCTGGTTCAACAGCTGCAAGTGCTGGGCCGCGTTCTGGACCGTTCGCCGCGCCGCAGCGCACTATGTGCCCGTCGGCCTTGCTGCGCAGGAGCACGCCCTTGCGCCCACGTACTTCACGCTCCTCGCCTGCGCGCTGGGCGTGCAGGTCCTGCTCTCGGGTGGCATACTGGTGCACTACCGCCGAGAGCTGCGGCTTATCTATGGTGGGCAGTTGGAGGGACCTGCTACTAGTGAAGTACCACCGCATCATGGCCGCGAAGATGCAAGTAGGCAGGATTCCGACGGCAGTGGCTCTAGTGTGTAGTACATCGCTGGCTATTGCGGTAGTCACTCACAACACATCACCGGAGGCCCATATGCAAAGGTATTTTCCATATACTCCAGCCTTAACCAACTTTGGCTGTGCTCTATAGCCTCGGAATCGTCGAAAGCTGGACAACATAGTAAAATTACAGCGCCGTGTCGTGCCATCGGCCAGCATCTCAAGACAGCCGTCTATGCTTTCTACTAATGCTACAATCCATATAGAGGCCGGTACAACATCTTAGGCCAGATGATGCTGAGTAGCCGCTCTAAGCTGTGTCTGAAGCGCTCTTGGCGGTTGCGAAACCCTTATGAAACGACTACGCCTCCATCACTCTGTGTCAGAGGCACGACTCGTAACGAAAATCACAGCGGAAGGCGCCTCACCAGCGTTAAATTCATCAGACAAAATGGACGCTGTTCCCCCAGTTTCGCGTCAATAATTACCCTGTGATTTGCGTTGCGTACATACTCCAACCACCGTGTGTAGCTTTTTCACTAAGCCATAATCTTCTGCTCAACGTTCTATCCTATAAATTCCGTAAAGTCTCACATCGGATACCCCATCTCCTAGTGTTTATACAAGCTTTCTATCCCGAGGGAACCTACATACCAGAATGCGAGCCCACGGGATCATGCGTTATTCGATATTCGCGTTTCTCTTCGGACACTGCCATTCACAACAACAAGACATATCCCGAGGCTTTACCTCTGGATCTACAGAATTGCAGGCAAGCTTCGCGGGCGAAGCATCGGAGGGGTTCTCAGATGGCGCGCAGCTTAGTCAACAGGGTACGTCTCTTACCGTCCGTAACATGCTCTACCTCGACCTTGCGGACTAACCCTGGTCGAACAGAAACATCCTCATCACCTGTCTTCGCGCTAGGCGATTCTTCCGGAGTCAACACAGCTGCTTCGTTCACAATCATGATGGTTGACACTACCTCCGCAGATGAACAGACGCTCCGTTTCTTGCGCACGGGTTACAGACCCTCCGGCGAGAAAACTCAACTGCAATCATCCGTGGATCCATTACTTCCGTATCAAGCCCCAGGGTCTTTTGTGGAGACCGGTGCGAGGAAGTACATCTTCCTGTTGTACAGCGAACCCCGTAATTTGCGCATACGCAATCTACCTCAGGAAGGCGGGGCTTTTGATCTGGACCGGTTCCAGACTGAGAATAACTTTAAGAGCCCAAGGGCCGGTATCACGTTCAGAGTCAACATTGGAGACGGTGGGGACAGGCAACAACCCAGTGAATCAGTCCCCTCCCAGGGTTCCACGACAACCACTGCGGTGAGGACTGGTCCCGCACCGCCTAGCACTACCCAGCTAGCACCGACCAGTGCAGTGGCAGATCTGGAACCGATATCAACAAGGCCCCTCGCATCGTCGACATCGGTGCCCATTTCGATTGCGACTTCCCAACTTTCCGCGGTTCCCACAGTCACCTCTCAGATACCAACCCCGTCCGAAGGGCAATCAGAAGCGCCATCCACGCCGCTCGTGCCAGTTGTCAGCACTGTCCTTGCATCGAGTGCTTCCGATCCACCTTCAAGTTTGACGAGTTTCCTGACTACCACGAGTGATGTCCCAGCGAGCAGCGCTCTCGTTGAGCAGCCCAGTGCCTCCCCGACAACCCTCGAGATTGCTACGGTTTCAGCTTCAACAACCACACCGGCTAGTGGTGCTACATTAATCGCAACAAGCACACGCCCGTCGCCTGCGCTGCAGACCGTTAATGGGGCCATGGGTGTCAAGGAAGCGGGTCTCAAGTTAATCTTCCCGGTCATCCTTGTCTGGAGTTCTTTGTATCTGTGAGGATTGGCGGATGCTTTCAAGCTGTTGTGCATGTTACTCACGGGAGCTTTTGATTGATTGTACGAGCAGCCTTGCGGCACATTGTATGGCGTTGATGAATGAAGTTTATGCATGGCACATGACCGGCGCATGCATTGGCAGGTATATAGAACGCATTCTCTCCGCTTTTCGCTCATGACTGTTGTTTCGTCTCAATCTTTAACAGGATAAACTCTGTGCTTCTTCCGCAGTCGCTTCGGTGACGTGCCTGAGTGATAGCAAATGCCTGGCAACAGCGTTTTCGAACTTGTTGTTGAAACGGCAGCTAGCAGGATTCATGTCATATTCTGTCAACGATCGTCCATAAGTCTCTAGGCTACCTATCAGTTCATCACGTAGCGATCTCCCCCTCGTCCCCCTTCTTCCACCCCATCCCAATCCAAGCCTTCATCCCAATCCTCACCTCCCCGTCCCGTTCCTCAAACGTCCTCAACTTCCGCACTTCCTCCCTAAAAACCGGCCTCGCCCTCTCCAGCTCCTCATCACTATACCCCTTGAAGAACATCTCCTTGATCAGTAGCAAGTTGTCCACTAGCTTATCCAAAGTTGGCGCACTCGTGTACGTCAGGCATGGCCTGACTTCGGCGTTGTTACCGAACCCGGCGTTCTCGAGTTGGGCGAGGAGCCAGGAGCCGCGCATCCATTCAGGCTGTATGGCGATGCTGTTTTGAGGGGGCTCGTGCGGACGGATTGCGCATGCTGTGTTGCAGAACGCGGGGGGCCACACGCGGTCTTGTGGGTGTGTTCGTGAGCTGTAGAGCGCAGGAAGAAAGCGAGTAGGATTTGAGAGGAGAAGTCCAACAGGAAGAACACCAAAGGAAGAACACCACAGTGAAGGCCCGGAGACTTACCAGCCCACGTAGATATCACAGCAACACCCTCCGGCCTCAGTACGCGAAAGCACTCCCCCGCGACCTTTACCCCTGCCTCCGTGTCCCCCGGCACGAGCAGCCCGAAATTCGTGAAGATGTGCGAGAATGTGTCATCCCCGAAGCTCTTCAGATCCCGGACGTCCAGAACATTAGTCTCCACATTGCCCCACCCTTCCCTCTCAACTCGCTGTTGGACCTGCTCAATCATCGCTGGAGCAAGATCCGTAGCCATGATTCTGGCATCAGGGTGAAGGAGCTTGACCTGCTCGGTCACCATGCCCGGGCCGCAGGCATTGTCGAGGATGTAAGAGGAGGAAGTTATAGGCGGGAAGATATTGGAGAGCATTTGGGCGGCGACTAGGCGGGTGCAATTGCCGGTCATGCGCTCGTAGTAGGAGCTGTAGCCGGGGTGGGAGGGGGTGGAAGTCATGATGGGGACTTGGAGGAGTTCTGCTACTGGAAAGGAAAGCGGAAGTGTGATAATCTTGAGAGTAGAGTACGGATGAAGAGAAGATTGTTATAGCGGCGTATGTATTCTTTTAAGTACTTTGCATTGCGATAACTGTCTCGGAGACATATTCGAAGTAAAGTCTCCGGTATGTACAGTCACCTACCCGTTTGTGGAGGGGCCCATAGCAATGCTTTCAAACCGAACACACACTGAGGTCTTTTGGTGGCAGTAAGTCTCCGAGACAGTCATTGTAGTTGCTGGTAGCATGGATTGTGAGATATAATCCCAAGATAGACGCGAGGTTTGGGATTCGGTTATTCTTGATGCTGGTGGATCAATTTGAATCCGTTTAGATCACTGCCAACTACTGAGCGGCGTCTTATAGAGCTATAGACAGACCCGACTACTTCAATGCAAGTGTAGAAGATGCGATCTCGTATTGCCAGTACTCGACAGAGCGTTCTGCCTCGTGTTCTCAAGTTTTCCCCACGTGACTGAGGGGGGAAAGCAAGTGCCGATCCCCACATCCCAGAAGCCGAACAGCAAGCCCGCGCGGCACTGACCCCCGCCAGATCCTCCCCATCTTGGGGAACCCCAGGTCAAGCCATGCCAGATATGACGGCAACCTCGGCAGCTAGACGGCTGGAGAAAGCTGTCCAGATGCCGGCCTCTCATAAACTGCCAAACATGCCTTCCGTTGTTCTCTTCGCTGTCGTGATACCCGTTTTTCTGACTATACTGGCCCTGGCCTTCCTGACTACGCGGGAGAAGAAGAGCGGTAAAAGCGATTGATATTGAGGTTTCCGCCTGAGACGCGGGCAGTACAAGATATGGCGCTCGGTAAGGCTCCTCGAGGTTTGCAGTTCAACAGGATTTTGGGCACTCGGAGCTCAACACCACGTTTTAGAATCATTGGAAAAGATGTGGAAGCTGACTGCGCAATTGAACAGCGACTACGGCCGCAGCCGTTGCGGCAACGACCGCTGTATCAGCTTATCTTGACGCAAAACTCCACCTCACAAAAGACATCAAGACGATATGGAACAACAAGGCCGCGGAGTGGACGTCGCAGAAAGTTGGTATGTCCCTTCTGAGAATCTATCACCCACCAGTCACCCTCCGCATTCTGGGCTAGATGCTATATGGGATCGTTGAGTAGAGAGCCTAAAGCTGACCTAAATTCTTTCTTACAGCGAAGGAAAACCGCAATTCTCTATGGTACTTCTTCGAGACTCAAGTGAACCGCATGCCCACCTCCGAGCTCTGCATCTGGTCCCGCAGCGGCTGCTACACGTGGCAGCAGACGCACCAGCAATCCTGCCGGTACGCGCAGTTTCTACTCAATCAAGGGCTACAGCCAGGCGAACTCGTGGGCTTCTACTTGCAGAATTCGCCGGAATTCGTATTCTGTGCGCTTGGGAGCTGGTCCGTGGGGTCGGCGCCGGCATTGATAAACTACAACCTGAGCGGAGACGGGTTGATACACTGCCTCAGAATCAGTGGAACGAAATTACTATTAGTGGACGAGGACCAGGGATGCAGGGAGCGGATTGAGGAGTCCAGAGGCAGGATAGAAGGAGAGCTGGGCATCAAGATCGTGAACTTAGACCAGGCGGCCAAGGCGAGCATCAATGCGTTGGAGCCGAAAAGACCGGAGCGGAAGTACAGAGAGAATGTCAAGCCTGACTTCCCGATGTGCTTGCTATACACGAGGTTTGTCCATCCACCATGCCGACTGCTTCCACAACCGGTAATGTGCACCACCAAGGCTAACCTTAACGTCATACAGCGGCTCCACCGGCCTTCCCAAAGCCTGTCCCTTCCAACTCGCCCGCGCCCACGTCCTCGCCGGCCCCCGCGTCCGGGCCGTCGGCCTCGAGCCTGGCCCCAACGGCGACAGATGGTACAACTGCATGCCATTGTATCATGGCACTGGATTCACGACTGCCGTGACCTGCATGATCAGCGGCGTGGCGCTCTGCGTTGGCAAGAAGTTCAGCACGAGCAGGTTCTGGGACGATATCCGAGACAGCGACAGCACTGCATTCGTGTACGTGGGCGAGACGGCACGATATCTGCTTGCAAACCCGGTGAGCGAGCTGGATAAGAAACACAAGGTCAAGGTCATGTTTGGGAACGGGCTGCGGCCGGATGTGTGGAGAAGGTTTACGGAGCGCTTTGGCGTGCCGTGTGTCTCTGAGTTCTTCAACAGCACCGAGGGCGTGTTTGCGCTGCTCAATGTGTCGAGAGGTAAGATTGGGCCGTCTCCTGTGTCCTCAGCTCAACGCAGACTCCTTTCGAGTCCGACCGCAGTAGCGAGAAAGCATGGCTGACCACGATGGGCAGGACCCTACCTCCAAAGCGCTGTCGGCCACCATGGCGCCATCCTCCGCACCCTCCTCCACAACACCTACGTCCCCGTAGAAATCGACCATGCGACAGGCGAGATCTACCGCGATCCAGTCACCGGCTTTGCGCGCCGCAAGCCCTACGAAGAGGGCGGCGAGATGATCGTAGCCGTGCCCGACAAGTCCGCTTTCGTCGGCTACTGGCAGAACGAGAAAGCGACGAACTCAAAGTTCGAACGCGACGTTTTCAAGAAGGGTGATCTGTATTATCGCAGCGGGGATGCGCTGAGACGTACGAAGGATGGAAGGTGGTTTTTCATGGATAGGCTTGGGGACACGTTCCGGTGGAAGAGCGAGAATGTCAGCACGGCTGAGGTGGCGGAGGCGTTGGGCCATTTTCCGGGGGTGGAGGAGGCAATCGTTTATGGGGTTGAGGTGCCAGGTATGCTCCATATCCATCTTTCATTCTCCATGGAAAACCTCTCAAGAGGCGCCATCACGTGATTGGGCAACGAGTGCTGACTTTGTGTCTCAAGGCCATGACGGACGTGCCGGCTGCGCAGCCCTCTACATCGCGCCAGACCAACGCGACAAGTTTGACTACGCCGCCCTTCTCGCCTACGCCCGCAAGCAGCTGCCCAAATACGCAGTCCCGGTATTCCTGCGTATTCTAAACTCGCAGGAGGGCATGCACAACAACAAGCAGAACAAGGTTCCGCTGAAGAAAGAGGGCATTGATCTCAAGCTGATAGAAGAGGCGGCGAAGGAGAAGGGAGTCCAGCCGGACAAGATGATGTGGTGTCCGTATGTGCTGGGGACGCCGAGGCCGGAGGGGGTGGGGGAGAACGAGGGATATGTGGAGTTTAAGTGGGCGGATTGGGAGGGGCTGAAGGTGGATGGGCATGGGGAGACGGCGAGCAAGCTCTAGAGGAGTGATACGGTGAATAGTACGACCTTGTACATCGGAACACACTGATTTTTGCTGCATCATCATGGTCAGAGGAATGACCCAAGGACAGGTTCGCTCGATTGAGAAGAGAGGTCAGCAATCTGAAGGATCGTGTTGCGCCATCAAAGCGATGTCTTCATCATGCCTACATCTGGGAGCACGGCTTGGAGCTTGCGACTTGGGAAATCAACATGTGTCATAATTTTGTTGAAGTGATTCGTGTCGCTGTTGTCGTGATATCGTCATCTGTGAGGGACGAAGCTGCTTGTGGATTCTGCTTGCAGGATAGCTAAAGATCAGGGGAAGCGCTAAAGTTAACCACTCAGCACGATGTGTATGGCAGATTCGGTGCCAGGCTTTGCATAGATGAGCCAGAGTCGGGTGAACGCCCGAGGGTAGAGCTGAGGTAAGCAGCTGCCAAATCCACCTGCATGTTCCGCGCTCGCGTTCCGTGAAGCTATTCGTCAGCAGCATGCCGGCACGCCGTACATATGTAAGCACGACTTAAGCTTTGTTGACGTCTTGAAGTGGGGATATGGCGAGGTATGGCTCGTATAAGAGTGTCCGCTGTCTGGGCTGGAACAGTATCTGATTTCGTCAATTGAGCTCTTCCTTTGATTTTAGAACTGCGACTTGACTAGTCTCCTATATTCCACGCAGTTGTCGTCCTGCTCAATCACAATTAAATCTCTAAAAGCAACTTAATCCTCTAACGCGATGTCAGACATCAAGAAAGTTCTACTGGTTGGTGTATGTAAAGTGCTTTCAATATCCATCTCCACTTCCACTGCGTTGCTCTCCATAGTCCGCCTCCCTGGAACGAACTTCCATGTCACGTCACGCCAGCTCCTCAGCCTCCACTGATCTGACGTCCCCTGTTCTACGTATTTGAAATATCTCGCCTCATCCCCCATGCTTAAACCACCTCTAATAGGCAAGCGGCAACCTCGGCCCCTCAGTCCTCTCCGAATTTCTTAAATCCCACCTCACCGTCTCAGTGCTCAGCCGCCCGTCCTCAACCGCAACCTTCCCCCCCGAAGTCAACGTCATCAAGTCTTCGTACGAGCCCTCTGAGCTCGTCCCCGCGCTCAAAGGCCAGGATGCAGTGATTTCACTCGTCGGCACCGCGGCGTTCGACGAGCAGCAGAAACTGATCGATGCCGCAATCGCCGCAGGGGTGAAGCGGTTCGTGCCGAGCGAGTTCGGGGGCAACACCGCAGACCAGAAGGCGCGGGAGTTCGTGCCGTTTTTTGAGGTGAAAAAGCAGGTCGTGGACTACCTGGCTGGGAAGGAGGGAGAGATCAGCTGGACGGGGGTTGTGACTGGGCCGTTTTTGGACTGGGTATGTGGAGCGCCTCTCTTTCATTCCTCTCTGCGCGCCAAAGGCCACCCTGGCGCTCCAGCTTCCTGGTTTGTGTAGCCGCAAGCGTGCTAAAGGGACGGACGATAGGGCCTCAAAGTCGGCTTCCTCGGCTTCAACCTCACCGCACACACCGCCGCCATCTGGGACGACGGCACCGTCCCCTTCAGCAGCACGAACCTGTCGACTATCGGGCGTGCTCTCGTGGCCCTCCTCACTGATCCCTCCGCCTACAGCCAGACGGCCAATAAATACATCTACATCGCCAGCCACGTGACCACGCAGTCCGAGGTGCTGGGCTACCTCGAGAAGGTGACAGGCAAGTCCTTCAAAGTCACGCATGTGAAGAGCGAGGAGGCGGTGAGCAAGGCTAGGGAAAAGCTGGGTAAGGGGGACTATTCCTCGATTCCGGACTTGATTCTGGGCGCGATGTATGGGCCGGAGAAGCTGGGGGTGTATGAGCCGACGGGGAACCAGCTGCTGGGGTTACCGGAGGAGTCGCTGGAGGATACTGTTAGGGCGGTTGTGGAGGGGAAGAAGCCGTGAGGAATACGCTGGACGGGGCGGAAAATTGGTTCCTGGGCTTGGGCTAGGAGCGGTTGAGACTGCTTAAGCTGAAAATCCATGATGTAGTTCCTGGGACGAACTTGACGGATCTGCCGCTTAGTAGGGATTCAATGATTACGGCCACAACACCAGCAATGTCATTTTCATACAGATGTTCCCCAGCTGCAAGAAACGAGGATACCACCAGCAAGAACATCGAACACATGACCCGAATCACTCGCCACCCTCCGTTTCACTCTCCCCACGTCCCCTTGAACGCAGTCAGGTTCCCCCCAAACATCCCCCCTCCTCGCCAACATCGCCAGCTTCGACGCTGGATTCCCGCATGTCGCATCAACACACATCACATGCTTACAGTACGACATGATAACACAAACGCCGGCACCCTTACAATCAGCATAAGACGCGCAGTCCTCCAAGCCCTCGCATTACTGCGCACGCGCGCAGAACCCCTGCCCATCAGTAGTCCTGTGGCAGTGATGCGCTCTCCTCACCACCATAGCACACCAGTTCTTCGTAACACTGCCCCCTGACATTACGAACCTGAGCAGGCGCCGTTCTGGCAATGGTCCGATGGGCGAACATCACCGCACGTGCCGCAATATTTGGGGCTGATAGGACATGATTACAGACAAACGCCTCTGGCTACCCCATCCGTTGGCCGAAGCATCTCTGATACTGCACTTTCGACTGCATTGCGATCCGGATACATGTATCTGGGCTGATCCAAGCCCAGATTGATCCCCGAGCTCAGGGGGAAAGCGCAACATTGATGACCAGAAATGGGAGGAGATATGTATTAAGTGTAACAGGCGACGTTGATTGAGCGTACAGGGCATTCTTCGATCAGGCCGAACTCGAACTAGCTCCCGCCGTAGGGGTGGCAGTCGTGATAGTCTCAGTAAGTCTCATCGTGCCAGCAGGGCACGTGATCGTCTTCGCAAGGAAGCTCACGTAGTCAGGTCGAGCGGATCACTGGAAGGTGGTACCCCTTACTGCACCTGTGACTGCTCTGGCACAGCTGTCTGTATTGCAGACGCGGTGCTGGGTGACGGTGGTGAGGCCAGACATCGCAAAAGTAGGAACGGGGAACCAGAAGGATTTCATGCTTGGGTCTTATAGTACGACATGGCACAGAAAGGGAAGAGAAGATGACGTGAAAAGAGATGAGATCGAACTGGTGTATATCGGGTGGGATGTGGAGGAAGCTTCCTCGTTCGAAAATTCTTGAGCGAGCTGCAGGCAAAGAATGAAGAGTCCATGACCAGTGCATGGAGAGAGATAGCATCTATCTGTCTTCACGGAGTAGAGAAGCACAAGCTATACTGATGTGGTTCAGGAGCAAAGAAAGCAGTATGCTGAGCCCAGCGGTCGCTCCAAAGGTGTTTTAAACTCCATCCTGGCAATAGCCTCATATCCACAAAGCTCTTATGGCTAAAAACAAACTATAGAAACCAACTCTTCCTAGCAGGATGTAGAAAGCAGAGCGTTAGAGTTTGACAAGTCATTTTTACATAGCAAGCCTCCTCAATCTCACTTGCTTACTAGTGATAGAGAATGAGAACACTAGACCTGAGCATTATTCTTGAATATTAACATAAAATAAAACTGCCGACAGATTGCAAAACCTATGCAAAACGGCTGTACGCAGTGTGTATCTAAATCAGATCAAATGCACATATCTATACAAAAGCATTTACACCACACCCCCATTACCTACCTCAGCCCTACTTCAACCCCTCCTCCCCCCCACTCCCACTCCCACTCCCCCGCCACCGTCTCGGCGTTCCCGGACTCAAGCTACTAACCCCCTGCGTCCCCGGACTAACCGCCCCGCCACTCCCCGGACTACTAACCCCCTCGCTCCGCGCCTCCTCCTCCGTAATCTCGACCCACCTCGGACTAACGCCCGGCGTAGCAGGCGAGCTTCTTCCACTAACCTCCCTGCTGACCCCGACGCCGGAGCCGGGGATCGGGACGTAGTACTCGCCCGGAAGCTCGTGGATAACCGGCGTGTGGCCGGCAGGCGACGGCAGCGGCGCCGGGAGTTCGTGCGCGGAGGAGGGGGAGAGCAGGGATTCTTGGACTAGCCCGCCGTGCTTTTCGCTGAGCTTGTAGGGGCCGTAGCCTGCGGGCGAGGTGGAGGAGTCGGGGAGTTCCTGCCGCATCTGGGTTGCGTCGACTTCGTGCGGCTTGTTCTCGTCGTCGTGCGCGGGCGAGGAAGTGGCCGACGGTTTCGGGCCGGCGTCGACCTTGGTGTACTGCGTGTCGTCGAGCTCGGCGAGGCGCTGTTTGCGCTTCTTGTTGCGGATGAAGAAGAAGATTGCTAGGCCGGCACCGAGGATGAGGAGGACGGCGCCAACGGCGATGCCGATGGTTGCGCCGGTGCTGAGGCCTGAGGAGTCGGGCGAGGCGGCGGTGCAGCCGTTGCAGAGGATAGTGACGATTTCGCGGGACGGCATCGGGTCTTTGAAGACGGCTTGGGAGACGCTGAAGTTGCGGCGCTCGTTGTCGACGGTGAGGTAGGCTTCTTGGAGGAAGGTGCGGCCGAGGGTGTACTGGGTATTGTTTGCGGCGCGGCGGATAGGGAAGTAGTTGGTCGAGGTGTTGTAGAGGGGGTATGAGGCTTGCAGGTCGAAAGCTGCGTATGGGAGGTCAATGGTAACGCTCTGGCCGTCGGGATCAATAGTTGCTTGGTTGCCGAGTTTGAATGAGATCGTCGGGTTCAGGCTCTGTAGCTGGGAGTGCGTGGTGTCGTTGACTAGATACAGATCGGTGGTGGGGTCGTAGGTCAAGCCGAACGCCCGCTCGAAGACATCGCAGACCGCTTGGGGCAGCCATATGTGAGGAACAGTACTGTCGATGAAGGAGAGATGGCCGGTCGATGTCAGCGAGGCAACGCCGATGAGAGTGTCCTGGGCCACGATCGATTGCACTCCAATTGTAAGATCTCGAGTCGGGTCGTTGGAGAAGGTGAATGTTGTGTTTGAAGGCTCGAAGCGGGACTGGTCGTAACCGCCCAGAACGAGAGATCCAGAGACTCTCTTGAGGCCTGCAGATGCACGTCAGTATGAGCAAGCGGAGCTGAGGAGCGTAGAACGCTTACGGTATGATGCCCCGGCTGTATACCCGTATGAAGAACTCGGGATGAGGTTCTTCGTCTTGAGGTCCGTGAAGAAGCTTGGGATAGGGTCGCTCGTGCTCTCAAAGCTTATCGGCCGCGTTGAGAGTCCCAAAACCCCCAGAAAGTGATCCTTATCCGCAATTCCGGCCACCACTGTTCGATTCAGCACCAACCCGCCCGTCTCAGCATACGTGCCCAGTCCAACTCTGTCGTACCCGAATAACCCATTCCCACTATAACCTAAGTGCTTCTCGAGATCCAAGCTGTACAGCCCTATCATGTCCCATGTTGACGATTGGTTTGTTTCAAACCCAGGACTGGCCGCGCTGTTGAATATCTCCGCTCCTCGAGCAGTCGCGCAGTCGCTTGGGTCGGTGGGAGTACATCCTTCTGGCGCAACCACCCAGGTTTCGTAGCCCGAAGTGGAGATCAGCACGCGAAAGTCCTGTCCCGGCGTGCCTACGTTGACATTGAAGGTCGACCAACTGCCGTCGTTCCCATCCCAATCTTGGCTGGGGGTAAAGACGAAGGGTGCTGGTACTGTCGTAGGTTCGGCGCGCGGTGCCAGAGCCATTGCTGCCACGCGAAGGCATGACGGAAGGAGGAAGAAGGAAACGGCGGACTTCATTGCAGTTCAAATCGCACGACAAGGAAGAGGTGGTTATGTTTCACGGAGAGCGGAACACTTGGTAGACTTGCAACTCAGATCATTGAGCCGTTACCGTGAGACGCAGCATGAGGAACGAGGAAGCAATACGTTTGAGGTTGGTGGATTGTTGAGTGGTACGGGACAGACTGGCGTATTGATTGCTCGGATATGGGGGAGCAGTAGGGTAACATGACACTTTCAAGGCCCGCACTGCGAGTACCGACGTAACCCCAAGGTGGAAGAGCCAAGTGCAACCAAGCATCATGGCTGATGTCGCTAAAGAGACTCACCAAGGCATGTGATTGGCCGTCAGACAGGCCGACAAGCGGCTTGCGAGGCATTGAACGCCGTTGGCAGCTGGGGCAGTGAGTGAGCGAGGGAGGAGTCTGCAGGCTTGGAGCTGAACACGAGGCCAAGGATCAGCAGCAGGCAGCGCGGCTGGTTCAGATAAACATTGTGGCGCCGTCCGCTCGTTTAGCGAAGTCGTCACAGCTTCGAGAAAGTCCCGGGGAATCAATGTTTGTGCCTTTGGGCATACCCTCTCAACACTGAGACGGGTTCTAGCAGACACGGTGAGTACTCTCGGGATTGTGGAGAGTTACTGGACTGCCCAGTCACGGCCACGACCTTTGGTAGCAACTCAACCACACATCCAGCGCATTTTCCTGTTCGGAGCAAGTCGTCGACCGGAGCACACTTCCTAGCCGGTGTCAGCTAGTACCCGTACCTTGCGGGGCACTGGCCTACGCGGACCAAGCCTCCAGCCTGCGCGAGTACAACACGGGCAGCATAGCCATTGGCTCCGACCAACTGCTGGGCTCAGCTGCGGCTGGATTAAAATAGCCAATTCAACAGAGCCGTGGATCTGTCCCGATTGGCGTTCCCCGGCATTGCCAGGGACAGCACAGGGCTCAAACGCGGAGATGGGACAGGTGCACTTCCACTGTTAGCGTGTTTGTAAAGCGATGGAGGAAGAAACGGAGAGGAACAGAGATGGGGATGGGGATGGGGAAAGAGCAGGAGAAGGATCTGCTGTCCCTGCGAAGTTGAAGTGCGAATCTCTCGTGTCTGAGACAAGAGTTAGACTGTCGTCGGCATCGACTTGCTGTGCATGCTTACAGCCCGCAGCGGCCGCCCGGGATGCAGGAGAAGCTTGGAAATAGGCGTGTCAGGGTCGCACCACGTCAGCGCAGAGACGAGAAGCCTCGATACAAACGGCACCACTGCTCGAGATGGCGGCTGTGATCAGTTGACGGACTGGTTGCGCAGCCCTATGAGCTGATTGCCGTTGGCTGATGGCTATGAGGGGCACTTTCTCTGCGCCTCTGGGGGCTCCTGTTCCATGGTAGCAACATCCCCGTCTCTTCTCGCTGTGCGGACCATCTTTACTCTATTGCAGTCTCACCCACCACGCGCTAGTCCGGGCTCGAGGGCCTTGATCGGCAAACGCCTCTTCTTGTTTCCCTCTTGAGTGTCCAGGCCCTGCTATCTGCTGAGCCTCTTTCGCCGTGTCCGCCTTTTCTCTGCTGCTTGCGCTGTCATATTCTACCGACTATCCTCTGTCTCAGAGCGCATCTTCTCGCCTGGGTTCTGATAGTTGTTATCCTCTCAATCTTCATAATCTACGACACGCTCGTTTCATGGTCGCGTTCGCTCGTTCTCGAGTGGTTTGAGGCACCAGCCATAACTGGCCTTCGCTATGCGTGGTCTCACCCTCGTTTCCTGCCTGCTTGCAGGCTATGCTCGCTTTTCGTACGCTCAGAGTAGGCGCACTGTTCTTCACGTAGCACGTCTCATACTGAATATCCGTACCAGCTTCAGCATCGGTCCTTCCATTACCTGGGCCTGTACCGCCAGCCATAAACACATTCAGTGATCCAGCAGATTTTCCATCCACGGAGTCTTCTGCTTCCAGCTCGAGCTTCTCCTTCACGCCAAACGCCACATCATCCATAGAGGGCCTCCCCGAGACAACTCCACCGCCGCCAATCTGTCCGCAATGCCTCCTTCAAGCATTGGATCCGACTACTATCGCGTACTCCGAGTCCGACAACATCAGGAACAGCACCTTAATCACTACCGCCATCGTCACCCCTTGGTATTTTATGTATAATGATGGAGAGACTTTCTCTACAAGCTTTGAAACCCGCATCGTAACCATGTTTGTGCCTATCGGCAACAATCGAACGAACGGCACCGACGCGACGGTTTTGGCGGACGATTTGACGTGGGATTACAGTGGCGTTCCTCTGTAGGTGCCGCGCAAGAACACCATCACGCATGTAGCTAACGAACTCAGCACCTACCCGACGCAATACGTAATATACTCCCAGTTCAATATCCAGCCAGACTGCTCCATGACGGTAACACCGTTGACCATCACGCAAACGGAGGTCACGAAGGTTATCTTCCCTGTCGCCACAGGCGGTCTGGATATCGGCACTGATGTCATTGGGTTTTTGGAGGGTTTGCCGGAGTTTGCGGCGCAGTTCAACGACACAAACTTGAGCACATGCGAGCAGGAGATACAGGGTGGTCAAACAGTCGAGTTTCCGGTCCCTAGCGACGATGCGACGGCCATCGAGACAGGACCCGCAAGCGCTTCTGTGATCCCAGAAGCAACGTCGGTCCCAGCTGAACCGAGTTCACTACCGCTCATAAAGCCTCGACTACCCATCCCGTTCGGACCAAGGACTGCAGCTCTTGAATTTCCCGGAGCAGGCAACTACACGCTCTATGGGCGTCAGGCAACCGGAACCGGCGGAACAGGGGGGACACCATTGCCCACTCTAAGTTCTACCTTCTCTAGGTCCCTCGTATTGTCCTCCATAATCACCAGCGATCCTGCGGTTCCTCCTCTTCCGCCTCCGATATCTGACGAACCTCGCACCACTACCGCCGCGTTTACGACTCCCGGTGGAAATAGCGGCGCGCGCGCTGGCACACGCACTACCGTCGCCGTCCTGACCGAAGCTACCGCGCCGCCTTCGACAAGTACCTTCACCAGAGGCGCCGGTGGCCAGCCTCCCACTCCAGTTCCGCCCATGCAGGTGAACACTCCGCCGGGCAGTTCTGTCAGACCGGTCAATCCCAGCCAGCCCCCTAATCCGAGCCAAAATCCGAACCCAAATCCGAACCCTGGTCCATCAAATCAGCCGGACAACCGTCCAACCAACCCTGGAGGAATTATAGGCTCAATACTGAACCCTTCAAATCCACCGGATAATCGCCCGACCAACCCCGGGGGAATCATAGGCTCTTTGCTGAATCCTTCCCCTACTAACGGGGGCAACTCTCCTGGACCGACTGCAGGAGGAAACCCTTCAAACAATCCTAGTAACAACCCTGGCAACAATCCCGGCAACAATCCGAACAACAACCCGCAGCCCGGGCAGTCCATTACCATCGGCCCCGGCCCACCCGTAGTCATCACGCCCGCGCCGACATCTCAGGGCGGAAGCAGACCGGGCGGCATAATCCTCGGACCCGGATCGACACTACTACCCGGCCAATCGACCAACATCAACGGCGTGCCCGTCGTCCTGGGTCCTTCTGGCTCCAACCTCGTCATCGGCGGAAGCAGCACTATCGTCATCCAACCCGGCGCTCCCGCAAACCCCACTCCCGCCCAAACCGTCAACATTGGCACCGGCGCTCCAATCGTGGTAACCCCTGCGCCTTCCTCCAACGGCGCTCCCGGCGGCATAATCCTCGGCCCCGGCACAACCCTCCAACCAGGCCAAACAACCACAATAAACGGCGTCCCCGTCGTCGCCGGCCCCTCAGGCTCCGCGCTCATAATCGGCGGCACCCGCACCGTCGCCATCGTCCCCGGCCCGGGCGCAACCAGCCCACCAGTCCTAACCGTAGCCGGCGCAACCATCACCGCGAACCCCAGCGGCGCCTTCGTCATCGCGCCCGGCACGACCCTCACGCCTGGCGGCCCCGCCCTCACGGTCTCAGGCACCACGCTCAGCCTCGGGCCCTCCGGCAGCGTGCTCGTCGTCAACGGCGTCTCACAGACCCTCGCCCCGGGTGCAGCCATAACGCCCGCCCCCGTGCTGCTGACGATCGGGACACAGACCCTGACAGCCACGACCATAGGCTCGGCGACGGGCTTCGTCATCGCGCCCGGCACGACGCTTACCCCTGGCGGGGTGGTCACGGTCTCGGGAACCACGTTTTCGCTCCCCGCTGCCTCAGGCGCGGGCGGGCCGACTGTGGTTGTTGTAAACGGCCGCACGTCGACACTCGGCGCCGCCACGGGCCCTATCACGGCCGCCCCCGTGCTGACGATCGACGGCACGACGTACGCCCCCACCATCGCGGGCGGCTCGACTTTCTACGTCCTCGACGGGTCTACGCTACGGCCCGGTGGGGTAATCACGGTGGACGGCACGAGGATTAGTCTGGGGCCCGAGGGGACGGTGCTGGTGATTGGCGGGGTGACGAGCACAGCGACTCGGCCCGCGAGGAACAGCGCGAGTCCGACGGCGACGACGTTGGCGAGGAGTGAGGACGTGGGCGATTTTGTGGCGAGTGGGATTGGGATCTCAAGCGCGGATGTGGCGGTGTTAGCTAGGCGGGGGATGGCGGAGGGGCTAGTGGAGGGGGTTGTGATGGGGGTTGTGGGGATGGTGATGTGGATGTTGTGATGTGAAGGTCGGGTTTGGTTGGAGATGTTTGGAGCATCATAGCGACTTTTTGGGGCTTCTTTGCTTTGCCCTTTTGGGATGAGTAATGTGACTTGCGGCATAGATCAGCGCGTGGAAGTGCGTGCATATTTGTATACCCGGCGGATGGCTAGGTAACCTGGCGGCGGCTATATAAGATACATTAGGACGTCAAAAGGTTGAGGCTAGTGAGTGCAATGAGATCAGTAGAATAGATTCTCCCTATAAGCCTCACCAAATGTTGGACTCTCGACGAAGCTTTGCATAGGACGACCGTAGCCGGATCGGTCGATCAATGAATCTTAATTTGACGTCTTCCAGATTTCGAAGAAGCCATTATAGACTCGGCGGTGTAGAGTGCCTGACCTCGCCCAAGAAGGCGTAACACCGAGTTCTCGAGCGGCGAGTAGGACGTCCGGGACAGTGAAATGTTGTACGTTAAAGGTGCCTGCCTGGGTCTTGTCCACTCTGGCTCAGGAGTGCGTGAAGCTGGCCCGCTCGCGCTGTCGCCCACCTAGATGGATGGGAAACACATGTGTCATCCTGTGCAAGATAGGACCATTGGAGAGATGGCGCCGATATCCGAGGACCGAACCTCTCAGTACGCAAGGGGAAGCCAGAGCTTAATAAGATGCTGCGCACAGTAGAGTGGAATATACCAATTCTCTAAAAGTTCGAAGCAGGCCATGAGTCGAGGTTTTTATAGACTGTGAACAGAGACACACAGATGTACACAGACTCGTTTAGGAAGCACAAGGGGCTAAAGTATACGTAACACATCAGAGAGCTATATCGCGTCCCCCATTACCGGACCAGGTTCGTCTGGACATGCAAAGATGGTGTCGAGAGTGTGTCTTAGCAAAGGGAGCTGCTATGTCTCTTTGCAACAGCCCGTTCTTCAGACAGTAAAGATTTCGCACGAGTTGCTCCACCTACACAAACTCCCATCTAGCTAACCTGCCGATGCTCTGTCCAGCCTCCCGGATGATGCACAGCGTTTTCGTGTGCTCGCTCACCTTTGGGACATTCTCCAGCTCGGGCGCTGACCCATCTGCTGGCTGTTCCTGCTCAGTTCCGGCAGTAGGAGAGATAACCTTCTCCAGAAGCAAACAGCCGATTCCCGTAGCCCGGCCTTCACCCAGGTTAAAATTCCCGGTGGTGACGAAGCCGATTAGATCTTCCTCATCCGGAACACATGGGTAATCTGGATGTCCCAGCTGGATCGGCTCAGAATTCAATAGAGACTCCGCGAGGCGGGCGACGCGGACATGGTCGGGCGTATCCTTGGGTAAAGGAGGAGGCCATCTCTGATTAATGGGCTTTTGTCTAGTTTTGGCCTTTGGGGTTGGGAGTAAGGAAAGCCATTTCTTCCGCAGTTCGAGATCCTTTCTCGGTAAGCGGTAGATACGGGCGCAGGTTGTTGGGACGCCGCGGGTTATAAGAGTCAGTTTAACCGTTGCAAGGGCACCGGCGGCTTCTTTAGTTTTAGGGCTAGGGTTAGTAAGAAGATCTTTTGCGGTAGGAGCGGGAAGATGGTGAAGCGTGGCTGGTCGGCTATCGGTCTCTGCATATCAGTCAGCTGGGGACCGTGAGATTGGAAGCGGTGTGAAATTGGAGCACACCTGTAGCTGGCTTCGCTCCTTCAGCAGGAGGACCATCAATCAGTCGTTGCCAATCACATGCCCAACCCGCTCCAATCTCCCCTTTGCGTCCCAGGCCAAGGTCTACGCTAGTCCACTCGATCCTCTTGCCTTTCGGTCTTCTTGTCCACTCGTCCTTCCTCTTTTGTCTCTCGCTAACCTCCCACTCCCATCCTGCCGCTGTCCCAGGGTAATCTCCGGGGAACCATGGCGCGCCCGCTTCGAACGCAATCTGCCGTTTCTCCTGGAGACCGCCAAAACGAACATTGCCTCCTGTAGAGAGAGGATAGTACATCAAGCTGTACCAGACAGGCTGCACGCACTTCCAAGGCAGGAGGACTGTCCAGGTGGCTTGCGAAGCAGCCACAGCTCTGCTGGTATAAAGCAGAACGGGGATATCTGGATCAGTTGGACGAGGCTCAGGCAGCTTGCCAGGTACAGCATCAGTTTTGCGGCGGTTGATAGACTTTTGGCTTGGCAGGGCGCGGGAGGCTGAGAGGCGGCATGATCGGTCAAACAGCGCGGGCGCTGGCTGAGTCCTGTCGAGTGGCCAGTCTGCAAGAACAGCCATAAGGTCACTGTGGCTCTTCGCGTCTCGAAGCAGCGGCACGGCGGTAGGTGGATGATGAAGACGTGGATCAGAGATGTTGAAGCCTAGGACAACGTCTTTAGGAAGGCTCGCTGGGTTCGTGACCGAGCCCAGAACCGGCCATAAGCCTGAAGGAGTGTCTAGTGGGTGTTTCCGGTGGTCTCCAAGCTGCGTCGGCCACAACGCGCCCACGAGAGCTTCGGCCGACCCAGGGCCAGTGATCTCGATGCTTCCAATTTCGAACCGGATGTCCTCAACATTAACGTGAGGTTTTTGTACTTTTGCTAGAGGTACGATCGTCTTCCAGAGCTGCAAGAAGCCGGCCGGATGGACTCTGACCAACGCCTTCCTCCTCGCTTTCGCCTTCTCCTCGCTCGTTCCTGGAATGTTGGAAGCCGTCATCTCGACATCCTCGCTCTGCCGTTCCCGGGCACACCAGATGACGGTAGCAGGCGCAATGGCTTTGGAAGCCGAGTTTCGTTGATCAAACAGCCAGCCTTCCCAAGCTCTAACCCCACTCTTCCATTTTTTGCCCCGCGTACCCCATACGCCTTGCGCAAGGTCACCACCGTCTAGACCTACAGCTTTGAGCAGTCCCTCAATACTCTTCTCTGGCCCTTCCAGGCCAATCGTGGACATGTAGCTCATGTCCCATGCAACGGCTCCCCTCTGAGTACTGGATCTATGCGTTGGGCGATAGCCTTTCATTGTTGGCGTCAGGGGGATCGCAAACCTCCATAGAGGCTCTTTTGGCGGGGTCATGTGGGCACGCTTAGTGAGGAACATATGAGTGGGTAGCCAAGTCTTATGTATCTGCCGTTTCCGGAATTTTGCTGGTGGATTTGGAGGCTTCTTTAGAGCATTCTGCTTGACGCGCGGTTTTCGTGGCTTGATGGAAGCCGGCTTCTGAGCATTCTCACCGCCGCCCGCAGCGGTATCTTGGATACCGTCCTCCGGCGGATCTCTTGTAACTGTAACATCTCCTTCCAGGGCAGCTTCCTTTTTTGCTTTTACCTTAGCGCTGAGCTGCTTCAGACGTCTAGCAGTTTCGTCCCGCAGCCGCATGTGCCCAGTCTTCTTCCGGCTCCTGGCGGTCACCGTGGGCGTATTGTCTTCTGCCATCTGCGGTCTCAGTCAACCTCGATCCGAGCTGCGAGACAACTACGGCATACCTCTTTCTTGGCCCGCCTTTGCAGCCGCTTGGGGACCCTCTTTGCATTGTGGCTTGCGGTCCTCCTTCTCAGATCCCGAGGGACCTCCTGAAAAGCTCGGCTGGAAAGAGACTTCTTAGACCTCTTGAGACCATTTTCCAGAGCTTGAATCTCGAATTCCCGCGCTTTGACGAACGAAGACAGGTCAAGCTCCCCGTTGTTGAAGGCTTTGTCGGATGACTGGACAGCGATTGAGCGAGCATCTCGGGTTTTTTGGCGTTTCTGTTGGCCTTGGGAGTTTCCAGGAGTGGGCGCCTGCTTCCTTTTAGCCATTACAGCTCTCATATAAGTTTGACATGGAGCTGGCGTGGTCAAATCGATGAATGCTCACGTGCTGCGAGAACAAGAGGTGTGCGGTGACGTGCCGGGGAAATCTTCGGCCGTCGCGCGTCCACGTGATTAAGCATCCTTCTTCTGCCAGCTATTTTACATGCCTCACAGTAAATTCACTCCCTCTGAGACTGGAAATCATGAAGCTACGCACGAAATAGACTATCACTATCCAGCGCGACTTCTGGATCATCAACGGCTGAGGCTATTAATACAAATGTGCTCGATATATCAAGCAGCTTTCAACATGACACTACACCACGGCAAACGATGCCTACCTCTAACACACGCAAGCCTGCCAGCTCTGCGTCAAAACTCCACGCTATGCTCATCAACATCTATCCACACTCATCTATACATCACCTCCATTCATCGCGTTTCCAGCTTGCGCCTTATCTATTTCTCCCATACGCCTCTGATTTCCATCTCTCCAAGAGCCTCTACCCCTATGCCCACCTCCATAGCCCCTCCCTCTGCCTCTTGCACCGTCATCTCGGGGCTTCCGGCCCACGGAAAACGGTATTTTAATGAGCGGCTCCTCCACCCACTGCAGACCCTTCAACTGGTACCGCTCCTTGTCCGATTCAGACAGCCGCCACGCTTGGAAGACCCCCATCAGCTTTTCCTGATCAACCAGCTTGTCGTTGTTGTCCCTGCGGACGTCTATGGGCCTCAATTCCGGGACCCACGCCTTTGTGTATTCGCCCCCCGCGTCATAGTCCAGGGCCTGCTTCACAGGGTTGAAAGTTCGGCCCTGCCGGGGGTCATTTCCTACACCGCTGACGTACTGCCAATTGCCCCAGTTGTTGCCCACATCGTAGTCGATGAGCAGTGACTCGTACCACTCGGCGCCGAGTCGCCAGTCGATGCCGAGGTGCTTGGACAGGTAACTGGCCACGTTTTGACGCGTACGGTTCGAGGTATATCCCGTGAGGAACAGCTCTCGCTGCGAGGCATCAATGAAGCCGGTACCAGTCCGCCCCGAGCGAAATCTGTCAAACACTTCTCTTGTTTTTGCAGGATTGCCTGTACCGTCTGTGTGACCGCGATCAACGTACCTCCACCTCTTCTGGTCCTCGCCCAGCTCGCGAAAGCCGGAGATGTGGAATGTCTTGGGCCCGAACTTCCGCACGCAAAGGCGCATGTAGTCCCGCCAGAGTAGCTCGAACCGTACAGCAGCGGTGCCCTTGTTCTCGCCTTTGCCGTATCCTTCGGCTTTCGTCCAGCTCTCTTCCTCTGCCGTACCATCCTCGAATTTCACCATCTGTGCGTGAACTTGTCGAGCTGTGATACAGCCCAAAGCGAGCCATGCAGAGAGCTTCGTGGAGAAGTCGGTTCCCAGCAATCCATTGCGTGTATCTTTGTAGTTGGACATCGCTCCAGAGGCAATTAGATGGCTTACGCGCTCCTTGCCGGAAGTCTCGCCTCCTGTGAAGGGATGAGCTGATTTCGTATCTGGCGGCCATCGCGGTGGGGTTTCAAGGCCTAAGGAGGGCTCCAGAGGTTTGAGGACAGCGTCCATGATCTCGTCCAAGGTAATTGGTACGGAGAAGGGCGCATCCTGTGGCGGAATCCGTGGAGGTAGGGGTGGCAAGGAGCTCGGTGTGCAGAGAGGCAAGCGGGGCCTGTCTCGCAGCGGCTCCAGTGATTTGCGGAACGTTGTATATACGTCTGGAAGATCCTTGATGTCCGAGAATGGAAGATCTCGGCTGGTAGTATGGCAAGTCAGTATATACGCGAGCGGTTCGTGTCAACGCAACAACCCACTCATCCATGAAATATTTCTCGTCCTTCCATAGACGAAATTCAATGCCCCCGGACTCGACAACTCGCCGTACGTCGCGCTCCTCCCGCTTCTCTTCTGTACCGTCGTCACTGGTCATCCAAACTCCAGTGACTTCGCCCTTTGGTTCCTCGGGTTTTCCATCCCCAGGGACACCAACTTCACCCTCACCATCCTCGCCAGCGCTCTTGTACCATTCCAAGATTTGCCGGATGACATCGCCGAGCATGCCCACACGGATCTCCAGGCCGCTATTCACCCTTTGCAAACCTTGCTTCAGGTCCCATACACTCTCGGTCATGAACTTCGCACGGTGGGGGCCGCATCTCCAAAATCCACCCACTTGACTCCGCGCCTCAGGGTAAGGTGACTCAGCTTCGGGACTCTGAAGAAAACCGGAGACCTCTATCTGCTGCGCCGGGAAGACGTATACAGGCAGGAGATGGGTAAATGGAGCCTGCGGCTGGGAAGACAGCCGCGACACTTCAGAGAGTATTGGGTTGTCTGCTAATCGGAGATCACGTCTGAGGAGATGTATCAATATGCGCGGCGCAGGTGCCTGAGGCATGCTGATATGAGTAGGGGATACGGGTGCAATCGCCGGGGAAAGGGTTCAATTCAGATATGCAGGTATGACGGAGTGATATGGAAGAGACTTCGACGTAAGATCTTGGAACGGCGGGCTCTAAAACAAAGCGCGTTGCAGATGATGCAAGTTCAGTCCCCAAATCAGGTACGCCGGCTCTCCACGTAGAGTCAGAGCTATCATGTGGATCGTACGATAGTCTAAGGATCCGCAGGACACTTGCCACGCTGGAAGACATGAAGGCGCGCGATTGCAGCCATCGCGCCTGCGTCGGCGTCGAAGCCTGACCGGCGGCCACTGACCGGACGTCGCGCTGAGTTTCGGAAGGCCCAGGTCGGGCTCGTTCACCCCTGAGCTCGCTGTTGCGACCTGCATCGAGCTCTCATTTGGACAGAGAGGATCCGATGTGATCTCCAACGAGGTGCTCTAGTACATCATCGCTAGCTCCTCGTCATCGGGTCTTCGAGGCAGAGCGGCAGCGCTAGAAGCCCTGCAAGTTAGACAAGTCCTTAACGGGTGAAGAACATGCAAGCCCAGTGATGCACGATGCGGTGGGGAGGTCCCGAGATCTGTAGAGAAAGTGGTAAGATCCATCATCGGTGGAGTGTCGCTGCTGTCTCGGGACTTGTCAGAAGCTTGTGCAGAGGCACGGCGGCTGAACCCTGGGACTGGCATGTGAGACGTATCTGATGAACTTTACAGTAAGACTTCCAATCAATCAGATTAGTGACGAGTACGGAAGGGAGTAGATTCTCAGAACTCCAGTTGATACTCGGTTGGTTCCATCCATCAGGTACTTAGCGTTAAGCATCCAGAGATCTGTGTCCGAATTCTCGGGAGATGCCGAGTCAGCTTGCAGCCCACGCCGGGCGGAAGTTGAGTGGGACTCCAAGATCGCAAACGTAACAATTAATCAACCTCAGCCCCCTTTAAGCACCTAAAAATCTGTCTAGCGGAGCAAGCAAAAGTCTAGCAGTCTAGATTATATCTTAGAACAAAAATGCGACGCAATTGTGTGGTGGTATCTTGTCGTAAAGGCGCTGGTATTGGTGAATTCCCAAGGTTGGAGACCCGCTTAATTCCCGCGCGACGTGCAGCCCTGAGGCAGCCGAATGCCATGGGCAGTTTCAGCATACGCTGCTAGTGCGTACGAACGGTTCAAAATACTTGACGAGCGCAAAAGTTTCAAACGGGCTGTTTCAGCCCTTCGCTCCCGTCTTGTATTCAAGGTTAAGTCGAGCCGTGATGCCGGTCTGGGGTGGATGAAACCACCGCTTCTCTCGGCTCCATCCGCCCGCAAGAAACAGATGGAATCAATGCAGGAAAAGCGAGGTGCTTTTCATGGATATCTGCCTTGGAAGCGGGAACCTGGTGCCATGATACTCAACCATACACATTCGGCCACTGTGAGTTCGTAGAAGCGTTTGCACATATTCATTGGTTTGGAGATAATATCAAGAAGCCAGCATCACAGGCGCGGGAGCATCCCGACTACTCAATGAGTCAAATCGCCTCTCTTACATGAACGCCAGGAAAGAGTTCATGGTAAAGATGTAGAGTCTAGCGCAGTTTACGTTTCAGATGCAGATAATGATGGGCATCTCGGTGATGGCTTTTACCGGTATCAGACGGTATACTGGTATCATTTCCAAAAGATTAAGCATTCTCACAGCAGGGCCACGTCTACGGCAGCATCCCCTGCGATTCGTCGAAGCAGCAGAAGCTCATCAAGCGAATACATGGTCAACGGGCCTTTATTCATCTGGCACACCATACTCTACAGCCTCCACTGCTATGACCAATTCATCTCTGAGCCACTACGCACCTGGCTCTCCAAGTCATTCAAAGCCGCCGCTGGGTACCAGATTGAGCCAATAGATTAGTGGAGCCAGGGTATGAAATGGCTGCTTCTTGATTCTTGATGACAACGGTCAGCAACTGAGAAAGGAATATGGCAATGGAGGTTGCATGGGCACTATTAACAGAAAGGTAATTTTCTTCTACTCTACAGCCTTGAGGTGACCTTAGAAGCTACATTCTGCAATATCGACTTTTGCAATCTCTCCGCAATGGCAGTACCGGCAAGCCGTCCGAATGTCAGCGATCGGAGCACAGATGTCGCGGGAGGGTATTCTACTGGCAGTCAGATCGCGGTTCTACAAGCCAAGTTTCACAGCCACACACCGTTGTAATATATGCCGGTCATCTCGCCTGCCGCCCATAAACCCGGTATTGGGACGTCGTTCGTACCCAGCACCTGCGCGTCTGTGTTGGTCTTCACCCCGCCATAGGTAAAAGTTAAGTGAGAAGTGACCGGATAGCCGTAGTAGGGCGGCGTGCTGATCGGGTTGGCCCAATTAGACTTGTTGGGCGAGAGACCTGTCGTGGCCTTGCCATCAAGCTTCATGAGGTCGAAGGGCTTGTCGTTACACGCGGCGTTGAACTCAGCCACGGTCTTTTCCAGTTCATCGGGATCGATGCGAAGCTTAACCGCCAGATCATGTATGGTGTCTGCTTGTTCAGGCTCTTGGTCCGTCGTGTCATACACCCAGCCCGGCCGGAAGCGTTTCATGACTGTGTCGTCGGTGATGAAGTAGCCCTTCTGGTTCTGGTCACGCCACAGCTCGAGGGCTATCATCTCGAACGTAGCGAAGAGATGCCTCTTGCCCTCGTCATAGAAGCGTTTGCAGTGCTCGTTGACGACGATACCATAGTTGTGCCCCCATATCACTGCGTCAGGTTTGGTGGCTCGAGTGTCTACGAGCTCGCAATGCATACCATCAAAGGATCCGGCGGTGGCGGCTCCGACTTCAAGGGCCATGTTCAAGCCTGCGCCTTTGTTGTGCTTGATGCCCGGCGCGATTAGAGGGAGCTCGTGGGTTCTGCGCCCGACGTATTTGGCGAGCATTTCTCGGTTACCTTCGAAGCCGCCACAGGCAAGGACAACGTTTGGCGCGTACCTATTGTCTTCAGCTTGTGGTCTTGCTCCAGATGCTTGTTGAACCACTTACAGCTCGTGTAGCAAGCCATCTTTCTTCCGCACCAGCAGACCTTTGATGGCGCCTCTATTGGTGGTGATGAGGTGTCTGGCTTCCGTTTCCCAGTGAATATCGCAGTTGGGATATTTCTTGATGTGATCCATCAGACAGGTGATGATCGCGTTGCCACCACCATCCGGAAAGACAAAGTGCTGACCGGTCTTGAACTCCAACAAGACCTGGGCTGGATTAGATGCATGGTCGTATCTCAATAATACGCTCCGACAGGAGAAGTGTATTGAGGTTCTGTACATACGTTCTGCTCATCATGGTGTACGAACGTTACTCCGTGATCCTGCACGTAAAGTGCCGTCGCCTGCGCCTCCTGACCGAGTTTCTCGCAGTATTCTTGGTCTGCCTCGCCTTTGCTGACCATCTTCATCTCATGTTTCCAGTCCTCGTCGAAGCGGAGGTCTTTGTCCAGCCGTAGATAGGCCATCGTCCACCGCGAAGCGCCGCAGCGTTCGTCCGATTTGCCTACCTCGACGAGAGCCACGCGGCCGCTCTTGCCTAGCTTTTGGCAGGTCTCCAGGAAGTTGAGTGTTGCCATGGTCCCAGCGAAGCCGGAGCCGACGACAATCATGTCGTAGTTGTTCGAGGAGAAGGCCATGTTGGTGATGGGAGAGTCGCGAAGCAAGCAACGACGAAGAGAGAAAGCAGCAGACAACGAGGAGTAGAAGTCAAAGATGCCAGGAGAAACAATACAAGGAACTCTGTGTGATCCACGCTGTGTCTACTTACCTCTATCCGCAAAATGCGGGGTGCAAGAGGGGTATGCTTCCCCAGACGCAGGGCCGGTGCAACTGCAGCGTGTTGATCTTACCCAAGGACAAGACTTTAGCTTGAGCTCCTGAATATCTACTCTACATCTTGCGTCTTCCCAGCTCAATCACATCCAGATTTCGCAGGAGAATGCAGCTGGCTATACTAATGATAGAGACTCCTGACGGAAAGAGAGAGGGATATAAAGTTCAACGGAAGTGAGATACCTGAGAGGCTTGCGCGGCATGAAAACAATGTGACGTCCGCCATTGGAAGGGGGCAAGAGTCTGGACATGATGGGCCTGGTCAACTCTGCAGATGTTGAAATGGATGAGGATGAGTTGGCTGCGGGACGATTCGCCTCGGATGTCAACCGCAAGCGAGTCTCCAGATCTCCATGCCTGCCATGCAACTTCAGCTTTCCTGCCACCCCACGTGCAGCTCTCCAGCTGGAAGTGCTCAACACACAATAGGAGACACTGAGGGAATATCACAAGACCATTTCCTGCACACCGACAATCAGTGCATACAGTTTACAGCTGTCCGAAAAGTACGAATAACTCTGGGTCCGATTTTTCACCCCCCGAGACGTGTCTGAGGCTCCAAACTCGATGTCGGACTGGAGGATGGGAAAAGATACGTTACGCCTTTCCAGTTCTGCATCAGTTGGCCGAAGCAGCCGCGTAAAAGAAGCTTCCTAAGCTTCCTAAGCTTTTCCAACCCTGCAATCATCGGTGACTGCCCAGCCATGTGTACCTTAAGATTATGCACGCATCATGTCTAAGACCGAGGGGTCTAACACAGCTCGGCGTCAACAATGTGGGGCGCGCATTGCAGAGTCCCATAGTTGCAGAGTGATGACTGTGTAATCCCTCTTGTGTTTTGTTTCACAGTGATTATCTTAAGTCCAATGTCCATCAAGTCTCCTCGATATCTTACCAACTTCAGCCGCCCTTGACATTCTCTTTCACGATCATTCTAAAAGCCTTCTTACAAAACGGCAGGCCTTGCAAGACACGTGAGATATAAGTCTGCTTCTCGACTCACTCAAATCTGGCTGAAACAGTCCACCTACAGGTCGACCCCAACGAGCTGATCAAAACCCTCCACGGCGCCCCTCCCCACCACCGCGGCGTGCACACGAACCAAGCGATCTCACACCACACGGCCCACTCAAGCCGATACGCCTCAGCAACCGAGCTCCCCGAGTACAAGATCCCGCACCATGGCGCCCCAGCAGACGCGGTGCACCAGCTGCTCAAAGACGAGCTTGACCTCGCGGGCGGCCAAACCTGAACCTCGCCAGCTTCGTCAGCACGTACACGAAGAAGGAGGCGGAGCAGCTCATGATCGAGAACCTGGCCAAGAACATGAGCGATGCGGACGAGTACTCGGCCATGATGGACATGCACGCTCGATGCGTCAGCATCCTCGAGCACCTCTGGGGCGTGCAGAAAGGCGAGAAGGCCATGGGCACGGCGACGACGGGCTTCAGCGAGGCGATCCGTCTTGGTGGCCTGGCGATGGAGAGGCGCTGGCAGGAGAAGCGCAGGGCGGAGGGGGAAGATACCGGCAAGCCCAACATCATCATGGATGCGAAAGCGCGGGTTGCGCTGGAGAAGTCTGCGCGCTACTTCGAGGTCGAGGCGCGCATCCTGCCTGTCTCGGCGAGAATCCCGCTATAGGCTGGATCCGGAGCTGGTCCGGGAGGATACTGATGAGAACACGATAGGTACGATACTCTGTTGGTTTTTCCCGCTGTGCTACGCTCAGACTTCCTGAACAGGAATGTTTGCCATACTGGGAAGCACACATACCGGGCACTACGAGCCTGTCGAAGAAATCTACCGGCTCCTCGACGAGTACGATCGGAAGACAAACATCGACATCCCCATCCACGTTGACGCGGCGTCCGGCCGCTTCATCGCGCCCTTCACGCACGCCAAGGTCGGAGGGCCAAAATGGAACTTTGAGCGTGTATTAGCGTGGTGTTTCCTTGAACATGAAGGGACTGTTCTCGACTCAGCATTCGACGCGTCCATCGAGAAGACGCTAATGCAGCCGCCTATGTGAAGGGCCTGAGCTCCTGTAGCATTGTGTAGGATTGCCGTGTAGGATGCCGAAGCTCCTAATGCCGCTACGTAGCTGATAGAGAAGAGAAAAAGCTTCGTAATAATCTTCTTACTTGCTACGGTGTTTGGTGTTCCAGGCGGATGCGGCTGGCCCGGAGCTTCTTCGCTCTGGCTGCCCTTCTACTTACAGTGGCTAACTCACGGCTTATGCGTTTCCTATCCCGGCAAAAGGCAGAGCCGAGCACTCCATAATGACAGGAAGCATCCCAGGCTATGACGTTGCCAGACATCTCAGATCGCGATGGCATTCTCTTCTGCAACGATTCCCTTCCGCACAAACGGCATGTGCGAGAGCATGTGCGCGATCAACCGAGGAATGGTGCTGAATCTCCCCTGCTTCCTTCCGCTTCCAGCAGGCTACAGCAAGGTTAACGCGGCGTCGAATTCGTTTTGCCTGGCGCTGTGACGTCGCGTGATGGATAGTACGGCGTCTGGACGCTGTTGGTGCAGCGAACGGCGCTCGACGAGCTGAGCAGCCAGCTGGATCTGAGCAGCTCCGACGTGCCCCGACTGCTGGACGGTGATCAAGGACAGAGTTCCGCGCCAATAAACGCAGCAATCCCTGCCCAGGTGGAGGCTTCCCGTTTGTGCGGCGCTTTTCATGTCACGCCTCCATGTCACGCCTGCCTGTCACGCCTTCAGTCACGGCTGTCAGTGTGGAGCCATGGCGGGGGTCAAAGTGGCTGAGCTGCCTGCCAAAACACGAAAACGGCGCTAATGGAGGGGCTCTTGGCATTACGTCAGTCACGTGTGAGGGGTAGCGCAGGCAAGCGCGAGCTGCCATTAAAACCTTCTTCTCGTCCCTCTTCCTCTTCTTTTCTTTACAACACACACACACATCAAACTCTCCAATTCCAATCCCAAAGCTTCAACAACCCACACCTTCCTCACACGAACCAACCCCCTCACTCAACCAACATGTCTGACATGGGCCGCAAGTCTGTCGGTGACCAGATCTCCGATAAGGTCACCCCCGACTCCCAGAAGTCCACTCTCGACCAGGCCAAGGAGTCCGTCTCCGGCGCCGGTGACCGCGTTGCATCCGCCGTCCAGCCAGGTATGCTCACTTTCTCTCCACCCGATCGTTGACGTGCCCCGCTAACATCGCTCGCAGAGGGTGACAAGTCTGCCACCCAGAAGGCCTCCGACTCCGTCCGCGGCGGCTCTGACGACGCGGAAAGCCAAGGCAAGGGCGTCATGCAGTCCGTCTCCGACACCGTGAGCGGCGCTGCCAAGTCCGTCCAGGACACCCTCTCGGTTAGTTTCACTGTCATGTACACTTCGTGGCCGGCCGCTGACTCTCAACAGGGCAACACCAACAACAAGTAAATGTCTCCCACGAACGACACCCGACACCTTCACGGCACACTTCACTTCTTGAGGATGGATGACTAGGGTCGGATCATTAGGGCGGTTGGCAATTGTTGTATTATACCCAGCAGCATGGAATAAGCTTCGAGCCGAAATGCAAGACACCTCTCTTGCGTACAATCTGATCCACATCCTTGATATCGTGATGACGAAACTTCTCAACCTTACATGCCTTGCCTTTGTTGGTGACCGTACCTCTTGTTTGAATAAGACGTGACACTTGGTGGCTCGCGTCTGAATTGCTGTGTGCCCCGGGAACTTGCTGACGGGTTTCTCCAAGCGTTTACCCACACTAATTCCTCCACACATTCATTTTTCACCGAGCGTCCCAAGGTCAATTTTGTACAAGTCATGCAGGGCGGCGAGTAAGTTGAACACATCGCAGCCTAGCCTTCAAGGCCGAGCTTTTTGCTCTGTGTAAAGCTTGAGCATCTTGCTCAGAATTGTGCCGCGTCTCCAAAACTCGCGATCTGAGCTGTATCAAAAACATCATAGACCATCGTCCTCCACATCCTCCACCTGCACCCTTCTCCCTCCACCGCCGCCTCCCCCTTCTCCCTCCACACCCACACTCCCACTCTCAGCCTCCACCTCCCTCAACTCCCTCTCAAACGCCGCCTCCTCCTCCGCCAAATTCGCATCCCCCATCTCCACCTCAGCATCCATCATCCCACCCCCCTTCTCCCTCTCCGCCTCCTCACCCGCCCTCCTCGCATCCCCATATCCCGCCCTCTCAAGCCTCTCCAGCTCCTCCGCCTCCAACAACCGCCCCTCCCCTTTCGCAGCCTTCATCTTCTGCGCCACAGCCGCCGGCATGAAGCGCGCCGCCTCCTTCCTCAGATCCCGCACGACGGGCGCGGAGGCGTAGACGGTCTGGGCGACGGGTTTGGGAGGCAGGGCGTGCGGCACCCGTGCTCCACTGCCACTGCCCAGCGGTTCCTCGTTCGGATTCCTGCTCCGCTGTCTGGCCGAGACGGGGAGGGGCGGAGGCGTGTCGCGCGGCATTGGTATGCTCCTCACGTCTTCGTCGGTCTCGGAACTGTCGTCTCTGTGCGCACGACCGACGGGGCTGCCGTCGCGTCGCCGTTTGCCGAGGATGGCCCTCTCTCTTCCTCCTCCTCCTCCTCCTCCTCTGCCGCCGCGGAAGCCCTCGCCCTCACCCTCGCCCTCCCGCCGTGGCGGCCGGGTCGAGAACGTCGGCGCCGCATCCCCCAGCGCCTCCCGCGCCTTCTGCACAGCCCTCAACTCCTTCTCGAGGCCCTCGAGCGTTTGTTTGTCTCTGGGCTTCAGCCCGCCGCTCTGCTCGAGCTCCTTGAGTCCCTCGATCTCGCGCTGTAGCCGCGCGGGGTTTTTCTTCGCGAGGCGCTCATTGCGCTGCGCTTGGACCTGCTGCTTGCCCTTCTTGAGCGCTTTTTGTTTCTCGGCTTTGCGCTGGGCGGCGGCGGGGTTGAGGGTGCGGTCTTTGTCCTTTGCCATTTCGGTGGGAGGGTGCAACTAGTATGTTTTGGGGCGCCTGCTGGGGATTGAGAGGTTGGAGTGCTGAGGGGTGCTGAGGAGTGCTGTGAGGGTTGATGCTTGACAGGTTGGAAATGCGAGATGATGACGGCGGGAGTTGCCGGTGGTGGTGAGGGCCTGTGCTCAAGCTCTTGTCTAGGGACACTGGAAGGGGTCTGTCCTTCGCTGCTGAAGGAAGATACCTAGGGAGTCAGCAGAGGGTGGTTGAACTGTATGCTCGACTAGTCTGTGGGTGTTGGAGTGCCGTCATTTGCAGATGGTCAAGTCAGTGACCACATCCCGCCATGGTGTTGAGCGCTACCTACGCAGAGCGTTGTTCTTGCGAAACAGATGGGAATTCTGAGTGAGCGCGGAAAATAAAACTGCCCACAAGAGTACGTTAAAACGCTCTGTCAGTGCTGCCAACTTCCGCATTCACCAGGCGGACGGCATCGATTGCCCACCTCTCATGAATCCGATCCGTAGACGTGATGACAAGCGGCAAGACCGAATATTCTCACCTCGCCAGCTGAAATATGAAGGGAATCGCACCAAAGATCATCACTAGCCAGCATAGCGACTTGCCTTTGGCACACCTCACATCTCGCCGGGCAGTTCTACCACCCAAACTCGTAACAATAATAACCCTAAATTTTACATAACCTCATCGGGCTTTTTCCAAAACAGCCCGTGTCCAGCTGCATCATTCGTTCATGCGTTCCCAGTGAACCCATGCCTTGTACACTAGTTTTTGAAGTTCGGTCGTCAAGCCGACAGTCCGTCTACAAATCCAGCCGATCGTCCTGCACGAACGGCTCGAGGCGTTCCATGAACTCCTCCACACTCATCTCCTCGCCAGTCCAGTACTCGACCTGCGCACCTCCCAGCTTCTTGGGCGGAATGAGCACATCAGACACGACTTGAATCACACCGTCTTTGGCAACGCCGTCCTGGGCCGTGACGCGGCTGAAGCCGTTGATCTTGATGGAGATGAAGGGGCCGTAGCGGGCGACGTCGACCTGCATGATGATTGGGTAAGCACATGCCTTCTGGCCAGACAAGGCGCAAGTAACGCACGAAAAGGGAAATAACTTACGCTCAAGGACCGGTCATCAAGCAGTGTGGGCAGATCAACATGAAAGTATCCATTGCCGTCATGATGATCCATTGACTCCTCGCCCGTGCTCTTGTAAAATGCATCCGAGTAGAGCGTCTGGTTAACCACAACGTGGTACTCCAGAAGGCCCTTGAGGTACTTGAGCCCGTACTTGCTGAACAGGAAGGCGTTGATCTTGGGACCGAGCTTCCTAAACGCGAAGTTCGAGGGAGCGAAGAATGTGCCGCCGGCGTGGGCGGTTGTGTTGAGCGTGTCAAGGAGGCCGGTCTTGCCGAGGCCGAGCTCGAGGGTGGAGAACTCGGTTGGGAAGAGGTCGATTATTTCAAGGGTTTTGGGTGGTGGGATGATAATATCGTCCAAGCCATGAATCACGCCATTGGTGCCGAACTAGGATCGTGGTGTGTTAGTGAGGAGGCTTCGCGCAGTGTATGCGAACGAGAACGGGTTTGGTAACATACAATGTCGACGGCCACAATCCTCGCGTAATAGTTCAGCGTCAGGCCCCTAAGGGTGAGCTTGACGGCGAGGCGCTGCGGCATTGGCTTCTTGCCCAAGCTGGGTTCCCCTAATATAGTCGGAATGGTATGAGTCTTCAAGACGCGGCCGGCCGGATAAAAGTCGGAGCTGACGTGGTAACTGAGCAGCTTCCTGATCATCTCCTTGCTCGGCTTAGGCGCATGCTCTGGGATCTTCTCGAAGGCGTGGTCCGTTGGCGCAAAGACGGTAAAATTGGCCGTGGTACCATTGAGTAGCTTGACGAGGTCTTCGTCGTCATTGATGAGCTTCGCTAGCTTGGTCGTGTACTTCGACTCTGCAATCAATTGGTATACCGTCATGTTGGGCTTGCCGTGGTGCGGGGGATGGTGTGGGCCATGATGGGGAGGGCCGTGATGAGGAGGTCCGTCGTGTGGTGGCCCATGATGTGGTGGGTGTTCGCCGCCACTGAAGTCCTCGAACGGCAGATGGCTGTTGAACCAAGCATCGACGTTATATGCAGTATCCTGGAGCTTGTCGTTGAAACTGCTGCTCGTATGAGAAAGTGAGTCTAAGGCGCTGTCAAGCGCGTTCTTTGAATTCTCGACCGCATTGGAGAAGCTCGATTGAATTTCCTCGTAGACAGACGAACTGATCTTACGGGTCTCTGCGGCAACTTCACTGAGCACCCCCTCGTCTGGGATAACGAGGGCGGCGCCGAGTGCAGCGAAGTGGAGTATAGGAGAGAGCTTCATCTTGATTGAAAGGAAGTGATTGAAGATGGAGAGGAGGTTCAAGCAAGCACAGATAGAGCAAGATATGTATTACGCGTAACGGAGCTACGCGCCTCCGAGGTCTCCGCAATAGGCAGAAGTCGATGACGATAGCTCTGGCTCACGAGCTTCGGCCAAGACGGAACGATTGGGAGCGAAGAGGCGAAGCTTTCCTGAGCGAATGCTTAGCTCTAGGACGAGTTCCTTTTCTCTTCCACCATAGAACACGAAATATAGAGCTTTCTAGCTAGTCTACCTTTCTACTCTGTTACTGCAAAGTATCGCGGTCATCTGCACTGCGTATTCGTATTCCTCTTGCCTCACAAGGACTCGAGCTGACGTGGACTGGAGCTCCTCTCTGCAGTCGATCAATCTTGCCCCGCAGTCTCGGCGTCGGGGAATGGGTTGTGCCGGTTGCCGACCTAGCAAATACCTCTTCAATTGACAATTGGCTTACGATTTCTCCATGAGCACGTAACGTACGGCGACTCACAATCAGAATGATGGCCCCAATGCGATCAGTAGCTTGAGAGCGACCTGTGTGCACTACCTAAGCACATCTCGCAACTCACTGACTTATGAGAGTGCCTAGAGTGCCTGGTACGCTAGCTATACTTGTTGAAAGGTGTCGACACACTGCGAGTGAGGCACGCGATACTCACGCGAAGGGTTGACTAAGTCCAGAATCACCCTCGTGCCTTTAGGAGGAGTATGTTGATCCTGAGAGCAACTCCACTATACGTTGCTCTTTAGACGAAACACTTGCCCAGCTAGTGGCCCTTAGTAGAGAACAGGCTGCAAGACTGGCTAGTTGCTACTAACAGCTTCTCTCGCACGGCTTCATAAAAGCCTCGCGGATTTACGCTCGCTGCCGGAGCGAGAGTGCCTCGCTGCGCACCTAGCTGGCGGGAACGAAGGAGGGCGGCAACATTTTTGATGAGCCGTGTCGATTGCTTGGACAAGTGTTCTCGCTCAGCATAAACCGAGGAGATATCACATACACGAACCAGAGTGGCGTTTGTACCAAGACTGGAGACCTTATAGGAAGCAGCACGTGGCCATGTTACAAGCGACAAATTGGTGTTCAATCGAATGACTAAGTGATGGAAAATTAGAATGGCAAACATTGTTTCTCGTAGCTCAACGCAGCGAAACGTTGAATACATATGGCTTATGAATAAGGGAACTTGCTCAGGACGCACCTACTTCCTTATCCGATATTCAGACCTAAGCATTCCTGATCGTATCTGACGAAGGCCCGCTTGATACCGGCACCGTGATGCAAGTCGATTTATGGTCCACTTTACATTACTACAGCCGCTTATGGGTATCATCCGAGCAATATACGTGACTAGCTTGTGAAGAAACGACAAAATGAAAAGCTGGCGCTTTGCGCTCTATGACTAAAGGACTGAGGATTGAGAATTTCGTGAAAGCACTTGTGCGCAGCCCTTCGAACAAGTAACCAACTTACGGTGAATATGAGAAGAACGAAACATGAACAACAGAGCAACAACATAGCGCAACTGTTACCTGAGCTCCTTCCCTTGAGAAGTGTAACACAACCTGAGCAATGACCTGGCCGGAATGGAGGTTTCGGGGAAGAACGGATCCTGAGCAACCTAGTTTCCTCGAGTCCTCGCACTTTCCGCTGGTATTTGTCATTGCGTCACAGGCTCGATCAAGATCTTCCGAGTCACCAGAAGGAGCAAACAATTGCGTTGCGGCTGTACAGGCGTGGCAAGGTTCGGCGCCCCCAGTGCCCATTCTTGTTTTAATCAAAAATAATGCACCACCACAAGACGTCCTCAAGTAGCAGATAAGATATCGCGTTTTTAAGGACCTAAACTTAAATCCTACATGTGAACATAATATCTCCGTAGTACCAGCTTATTTAAGGCTTAGTTACAGCATTCGAAAGCGTTTGAAGAACTAAATAATAAAGTGCGTGCGGACTTAAGCACCATGCACTACAAGCGAGAGATTAATTTTCATCAAGACAAGAATTGACACTGGGGGCGCCGAACCTTGCCACACCTGTAGATGTAAAGGATTCAAGTCTCATGTTCGAGAACTGGAGGTCATACGATGCTCCTGCAAAGAGTGGACTCGTATCCTTCTCATTGGGTTACGGCTCGCGGTTTGCTTTCCCCGCCCATGGGGCGTGTGAACTCTCGGGGAGATGACCATGGAGTTCGGGTAGGTCACCATGAAGCCCTACAATACTCGGAAAGAAGCTCGCCTTGACTTGCCACACATCCCCGCATTTTGCCCGCTTCGGCTTACCTTTTCCAAGCTATATAGTAGACACAGATATAATTTACATGTGTGTGGCTTCTCGTTAGCTTTCTCTAGCGCGTGAGGCTCTTCGCTAGCAGGCGGCAGTGTGGTAGGTCGGCAGCGATCGCTAGCATTCTTGTTAGCTGCCCACCTTCTGAATCCGTTGTGGGCTTCGGACCGCGTCGAAGCGCTGGTGTTAGGCACAGAATCCGATCCCTACCGACCACCACACTGGAAAGTTGTGAGCGAGACGAGTCAGAGAAAAGAACTGTCAACGATCTAGACCGTGGTTTTCAGGGTTGTGCGACTCGTCACCCGGCATAGGAGCTTGATCGTCGCTGCAAGTCGACCACCTGCAAGGGACCGACTCTCTGACGGGTGCCGATGTCATGGGAGCGGATTGTGAAGGCACTTCCGGAAGACCTACCTGGGTATGCCTTGAGTGTGCGGCGCTGAGATCGTTTGGCAGAGAATCTTCGAACCGGGGAGCTCACGAATAGGGGCCTCCGCTAATTCAAAGATCGTCCCTTGAATGTCACCCTGCGGCTGAACACCATTCCGATTCTGGAACGTTGATGTCAGCGAGCCTTTCAGCCCAGCTTTGTGGCTTGTACGCCACCACCGCCTACAGAACGTCTTCGACCACCTCCATGTTCCGTTGACGTGCACGAGCGCATGCATCCATGAACGGCTATGCCGTAAGCTGCATGGGTAGCGCCTGTCACCGCTGAAGCAGGCGACAACTCTCGAAGCCCTAGGGTCTTCGCGAATTCATTTCCACGGACTGATGAGAGAACTTACTCTAGCTCGAACTTTGTGGCTGCACAGTACCATAGCAAAACACGAAGGAGACAAGAAACAACGCGTATACTACAGCCACAATACCACAGAGTCCGCCCGGTGGAAGAGGGAATATGTGACGACTGCTTCACCACGACAGGCATCCCGGACTCTCCTACTCTACGGGCGCCGGCGGAACCGTTGGGTGAAATCGGAAGGATCTTGCGGTCGTTGCACTTTGCCTATCATCCAAGATCGGTATCTGAAAGGTCGTTCAATGTTACAACAAATCATCTCCGTCCCACGTTTTGCTCTGTCAGGACGTCTGCGACCCTACCATAGCGACATGTCCCAGTTGTAAGCACAGGATCACGCGAAGAAAAAGAAAGACAGACAGCAGGCCTCTACATGCAGATGCCAATACTCGGGCGAAAGACCGGCCAATTCCTACCACATATCGGCTTTTCGCCGCTCTCGATGGCTACTTGTTGAGAGAGCTTGATTACAGTATTTGTGAATTCCCATGTGCCCTGGTGAGACCTCCGACGGTGAGGCGCAGGCAGAAGCCACTTTGTGGTAACGGCGTCATGGTAAAAGCGCCTCTAGCGCCCTAGACTGTGTCCCTGCCACACACCAGTCGTTGACCCTAAACCTAGAATCTCTAGTGGCTTGCCTGAGCTGCCCGGTGTTGGCGAAGCCTTCAACGACTAGGGTACATGAGCCAATCAGCAGCACCGGACGTAGTTCTGGAAATTGATCAACTCGAAGGACTGCCAATCTGCCACTGCTGTTGCCACAGACGCTGTCCGTTTCGAGAAGAACTGGGAAGACTTTGCTCGGTGGGGAATTTCTTTTTCCTGGTCTTCCCATCAATTATCTTGACTGCTGGATGATTTGCTAGATGACCGCCCAAATCAGCAGCGCCTTGCATCAACGGCTCTTTCGAACGACCTAGACGTCAGAACCTTCACCCTTCGCTCTAACGCTCGCCTCAGCGGATTACATTTCTGTACCCGGTACATAGGCGCTGCCCGCCGAAGCCCTTGCACTGGAGGCTCCTCCGATGTAGCTAACAGCCCCCGGCACTGTCGATCGCCGTTACCCTCCTCCAAATTAAAGAGCCGATCTAGGGCCCGTCCCAGACCTCCGGTACGAGCTCAAGCATTTCCGCCGACGGGCCATCTTTTAGCCAATGATCAAGTCGTGTTAATGGACATTGCCATTGCATATCAACAGCTCATAGCCTCTCACTGACAGCCTATTCTGACTGCGTGAAACAGCTTACAAGTCATCTACGTACGCATCCCGTAATCGTATGTATGGGAAGCGGCTGAGCAACCCTGCGTATGGCGGTTGTAGCACGGCACCAAACGATAGACAGTTGCAGACTTGATCACGGATTGTCCGAGGGTCTATTGCACGGGATGTCTTTCGATCGCTTTGCGCAACCGGAAACCCACATCCAGGATGGTCTACCTTCTTCCACATTCTTTGAAGATGTTGACGGTACCACTGGAGTCCTTGTGGACGGGTCAGCCCCTCAGGTCCACCCAAACAAGAAGCGAAGGTCATCGAAGAGCAAGGTCCCCGCCGAGATCAGACGGTCAGCATCGACACCTCACATGCGCTCTCTTGGTCTGTCAGACGGAGTTCCATTATCACCAACGGACAAAAGACGGAACAAGCTTGGCTACCATCGAACTTCTGTCGCTTGCGGTAAGGCGGACGGTAGCGGACTCGTGGTGGTAGAGCATCCGGGCTGACGAGGAGCAGGTCATTGCCGGAGGAGGAAGATTAGATGCTTGGTCGCAACCGAAGATACCCAGGGGCGTTGCTCCAACTGTATCCGGCTGAAGAAGGAGTGCAATTTCTATCCTGTTGAACAGCAACCACCATCTGAATCACGGGCGCATCCCGCGAGCAAAGCGGATCCGGGCTCCAGTAGACCATCAGGATCGACTCCATCCTCTCCCGGTGTTCCGGCCATCCAGGAACATGAAAATTTCACACCGTATTCACAGCTATCTCCTATACCCTCGGCGCAGGTCGCTTCTCCCTATTTGGACGGTGACACACTCACGCTTGTACATTCGAACGAAGGTGCGGCTTAGCCTTAACCATGCAAGCTGTACGACGACCACTAACGTGTCCTGCAGCCCCGGGCCTTCAGCAACAAACGGTACTCGGATTCTCACACGGATTACCCGATGGTATGTCATGGCCGCCAGGCTACCAACAGCTTGATGGAGAAACCCCCCATTCAGACTCGTCTTCGTCTGCATATTGGAGATCCGCAGATCCGTCCATATCCTCATCATATCACGGCAAAGCAGGCCCGATAGACGGTTACCGAAGCACACCGGACAACAGCACAGGATTCACCTATGTCGGCCTGCAAAGAGGAGAGCACGGCGGTGGTCCCATAAGGTCGATGTCGTTCGGCCATGTCGAAAGTATGACACTAAACTTCTCCTACGAACACTCGGTCGTACAATCCAATTTCTCTGACCGGACCACACCATATAACTATCCACCAGGCAGCGAAATGCCGTCGAGCTCAGCATCCCCAGGCCTGCACGCGGCTCCCGCACCCGCCGCATACGGATACTATCAACCCTGGACCAGTCCGTATGCGGCCCAGAACCACATGGCTGATGGCGCGGGACCGAACACGACGGTATTTGGCGGTCAATGGTACCAAGAGCCGGCGCCGTTGGGAAAGGTCGAGGAAGAGGGCGCAATGCCCGCGTATTACCCAGATTCTTCGGCACCTTGATAGGTGTGGAATCCCTCATCTTTCTGGGCCATGGACCGTAAGATACTGTCGCACTCTGTTTCGCAGTTATTTGCATGGCTGGAAAGTGGATAACGTATAATACCATTCGGGAGTTCGGCGCTCACGGGCTGGTAGGATTTGGGTGGAAGGGGTTATTCAGGATAAGTCACATTGGCGAGGTTCTCAAGCGTTGCTGCAACCTGTGACTAGCCAGCGAGCTGGCGTTCTGTGGCTGTGTCCTTCCATGTCCTGATACCTTCGCCAGCAAAGCCTGGGGCGGCGCGAAAGGCGCACGAGGTCGAAACGCTGGGAAACGTAGGCGTGCGGGCTCTCCCGAGACGGATCTGATTATACCCGGGACCAGTTAGGAACGGAGATCCTTTTCCGAAAGAAGTCTCAGAATCCCCATCATCGCCCAGTCTGAACATGCTTCCTTTGCGGTATCATGCAGCCAAACCTTCGCAACTGCAGCGATCGCAAGGCAACTATTGATGTGTGCCTGACTCCAACTTACCGGTAAGCGGGGGCCAGTTCAGCTGTCCGATTAGCACTTGCCCAATGTCTGAACGCGATACGCACGGGCAAGGGCGCAAAACGCCATGCATAGGCCCCCCAGTCAGGGAGCAAGCCCTAAGGATGCCGGCCGCACCCAGCCCAGGGAGCCGGAGCTGCCTCCTCGCCGGGTTTCTGGACTGACGGCCGCCTTAAGCCATGCAAGCCATGGCTGTGGATTGGTCGCCGGGTAAACAATACCTCCTAGCGTCCAAGTCCAGCGGCAGCTGAACTACCTACTTGTTTGTATGTACATTACTCTCCACCACGCCCGCTATGCAGTCGTTCGCGTACTGCTGTATGCCCACAGACACGACGATGTGTTGACTTGCGGCAGAGCGGTCTGCGCTGCATTTAGCCGTCCACACGTGGCTTCGTCAGCTTCTAGCTGCGCCATGGCAGTCAGCCAACGTGGGGCCGAGGCGATAGGGCACCTAATGCTGGGGGTGTCGGTGACTGACTTACAGCCAGAAATACCGTTACCGACAGCACGACTCCGCCTTCATCGAAGACCTCGGGAGCGTCGAGATCCAGCTGTCGGTACGTGAACACAAGATGCTCGCTTAGGGAAGAGGCTTGTTCCAAGGCTCCAATTGCAGTCCACCCCGCTGGGGCTGAGCATTTGGCTGCAGGAGGCCGCAAGGCTGAAGGCCTGGAGTCGACAACCAGCAAACAATTGCAGGTCAGACGATCCAAGACCCCCAATCAGATGCGTGGGGAACCGAAGATGCAGCACATCGTTCGGCTTCATTGGTCTATTTGCAACTGCGTCGCCAGATTGACTGCGGTCGAAGCAGAGAAGCTGAGCTCTCGGCTCAGCCTTACTGCATATCTTCCGACCATACCCTCAGCCCAGGTATTAACCCCAGGCAAGCACCCGCTCGTTTCAGATCCAGCCTTCTCACGTCTCGTCTCAGTCACGGCGAGGACATCAAGCGTTCTAGCCAAGATGTCCAGCAGTCGCATCATGCGCCTTTGCGCATTGGGCGGTCTCTTGTTCTCAACATGCAATGCCCAAGGCTTCGTATCTGACCGGCAATGCTTCTACGACAGAGACAAACCGGCCGGTTCAGTAATCGTGCCTTGTTCATCAGATGAGAAGACCTGGTGCTGCAAAGCCGGAGACGTGAGTGTATAGCTTAACCTAAACGCATCAGACTCGCTGACTCCTATGAAGGTCTGTCTGTCGGACAATGCTTGCTGGAACATGGAGACGGGCAACACCTACCTCTATGGGTGTACGGATGAGACGTATCAACATTACACATGCCCTAAGAAGTGCGGTTTCAACAGTGAACTGTCGAATTGGGTCGGTATGTACTGCTATACCGATCTGCCTTGGTGTGTTCTCATAGTTACTGCTCCGCCGCTGACTCGATGACAGGACTTGTGTACTGCAATGACACTGCACTCATGCCCAATCAGAATTCCTGGGTCTGTCACCATCCGCAGAGCTGTGCCGACAACTGCCCTGCGGACCGCCACACACCCTGGCTCTTGACACTGGAGAAGCTACCACCGATCAACTGCTCCGAGATGACCCCGTTAGTTGAGGCATTCGCAGGTCCTACATCGCTCAGACCTTTCTTGTGGTTGCCCTCTGCAATGGGAGAGTCTACTAGTTGGTTTTCGCCCACCAATGCGACGTACGTTCTCCGAACAGACTGGACCCCGAGCACGGCGTATGCTTCTACGGCCACAACTAGTTCCTCGTCCAGCATCACCAGCTCCGTGACAACCACAACATCAGCCAGTACCGGCAGCGTACCTACCAACAGTGCTGCACCCGCAACAGCAGTACCCAGTGCCGCTGCATCAGACGACGGCGACTCCACCGTTCTCAAGGTCGGTGTCGGCGTAGGTGTAGGTGTGGGCGTCCCACTGCTAGCTCTGCTCGCATTTCTGGCCTTTTGGATCCGCCGGCGAGGGCGGAGAGATTCTCCACCTGCCCCCGCTCATCCATCTGTCAGCGAAGCCGAGCACGCTCGCCCGGTGTACTACGAGCCAAAGTATGATCCGAACCCGGCGTACTACTATCCACAACAGCCCCAATACCAGGCGTACCATCCGGAGCCTGCACAGGCCCCTGGAGAACCGGGCGGCTTCTATCAGGCTAAAGCCGAGCTTCCGGCTGATCAGAATGTGCCGAGACATTCGATGTCGCCGGTCCCGCTGTATAGTGAGTTTGAGGCGCAGTCGAGGGATAAGAGCATCCCGGGTGATGTGAGTCCGCAAGGGGACACAAGTCCGCGGAGGCCGCTGTCCCCGCGGCATGAGGTATCCAATGGGATGTGAATGTCCGTGTAGTTTGTCGGGGTTCTGTTTCGCGCCTTACAATCCGCTGCCGGTACTGAACTCTGATGACGTTACGGTTTATATAGTCTTGCAGGATTACAGTCGTTTTCTGTGGCTCTTGTGAAATATGGAGTATGCTGTTCATGACATTGCTTGATGTGTTGGAGCGAATGTTGCTCGATAGGACTGACACATCAAAATGTACGATCCGAAGGTTGAAGGCTTTCGTTTCCGGAATTTTATTGTGGCGCCCTTCGCCTTCGCCTGTACTCTTTGCCGTCTATTTTTACCATCGACCCTAGTTTGATCCTACAAAGGAGCTATTTTTTTAGAGCGAGCGCGCAGTAAGCGGCTCTGCAAAACACACGGGTTTTGCACTAAAATATAGCAATAGAACGTTGTTCTTTAAGATGCTGAGATACCTAGATAAATTTGTTCCGATGAGAACCTGTATTGCCGTAAGCATTTAGAAATTATTAGAGCGTGGTTGTGGAGTCTGTTCTACCAGCCGCTTACTGCGCGCTCGCTCTAAAAAAACTAGCTCCTTTGTAGGGTCTCTTGGTGTTTTGGATGTGGAGATGCCTCATCACGTGAGGACGAGATTGACTCGGATTAACCCACTCGCAGCAGCCTTAAGCACGCCTCAAGATCTTACCACTATCGACTCGATGTCTACCTTATCCGGCTGAACGCCAGGAGACTTGCTGTCAAATATCATCATGCGGCTAAGCGCTCTCGCGAACTGTGGCTCTTCTCTCCATTCAGAGATATCCGGAGGCAGTGGCGGCTAGCTATCCAATGCCATGGCAGTTGCTGGCCGGGATGCCGCTCCTTTCAGGACCAAAATAGAGCCGATGAAATTGAGAAGGACGAGGCTGTGATCTAAGGCATAATAGCCAGGCGACAGCGAAAACACAGCTAATATAGCAAAGGTAAGTCATGTCTTCCTTCGCTGTGCACCGTAACATGGACCACCTCCCTCGCCCTCCTGACTCGGTTGTTCCTTTAATCGAAATACCTTTCGTAGCGTATATTCCCTATGATTTCGACTTCATCAATTTTCCAATCCGTCATGGCTTTATTACTAGGGACGGAGAATTGGAGTCCGGTAAAGAGCTCGCAGATACTGCATCGTGTTTACAGTCTTGGCTCTTTTTCGGGTTGATAGCGGAGTTCGTTAGGCTTCGTTTCAACACCGTCTTCAACATCTACGACTACACAAACACTGAGCGCACCTTGATCTCTACGGCCAATCTAAGAGCGCTACTCCTCCAAGCTGAGCCAGATCCTGAGAAAAGAGCGAAAAACACAGACATGGATCCCTACCTTAAAAGAGCTGTAATAGCATGTGCGTTGTTTGACCAGAGTCCTCATTCCATGGCTCCGCCGATGCCACAGATATCACTATCTGTCAAGGTCCTGATCAACAGTCTCCAGATTGAGGCCGGTCGCGGTATGTACCCTCTACCTGTGCCGGTTACTCCGTCTACGCAGCTGTTGATAGGTCAGATGAGGGCATCTGGCTGGTGTCCCTTTCAGATTATTCAGCTCTGTCGGCTCTATGACTACGTCGTACTCTTGTATATTTCTCGATTAAGGAGAAGATTGCCAAAATATATCACTCACCGAAACTGCTCTTTTGAGCAATGCATTGGCAATAGCGTAGATATGGCCAACTATCAGACTCGACATATCCGAGACGAATGCAATTGTTTGGATGTATCCATACCTGTTGAGGAGATGACTAGAATCGTCACGGAAGGCGACGTCCCACTTGTCTCGATCCATCCCCAGGCGCACGGAATTATCGACCTTTGTGTCAGCAGAGCTACAAACGCAACCGATTATGTCGCCTTCTCCCACGTCTGGTCGAACGGTCTGGGCAACCCACAAGGAAATTCACTACCACAATGTCAGTTGGAGTACTTCGCAGATGCATTCGTAGAAGCAGGCTGGGACCGGGCTCGACTGTTCTGGATAGACACTCTCTGCATACCTATCAATCAAGCTGCGCTGAAGACGAAGGCTATCAACCAGATGGGCCTCATCTACTCCGCTGCATCTTCCGTCTTCGTGCTTGACGCCGAGTTGCAGCAGATCAGAGTCAGCGAAACCGCTGACCACAGCCACATGCTAGCCCTGCAAGCACATATCCTCACATCAGCCTGGATGGGAAGGTCATGGACCTTGCAGGAAGGAGCGCTGGCGAAGGCATGCTCTTTTGCCTTCGCGGACGGGATTCAGCACATGAGAAGCTCTTTGCCCGACTTGGAGCGTAAGTTGAAGAAGTTCGCCAGATGGTCCAGAAGGAGAGACCATCCCATTCTCAGGCTACTCGCTCGCAACAAAGAAGTCGAATGGGGACCGCTTGGGTATGTTGTCGAATCTCATATCCTCTCGCGGCTTACAGGAGCCTTAAAGAGTTCACTACAGAGAGACTGGGATACTGTAGATGAGGAGAAACCTGGATTCTGGCGCCCACACTACCACAACTTAGCAGGACTGGCGACCCCTCGAGCTGAACTTCACGATTTCGTGAACCTTTGGAATATCCTTGGTGCCCGCTCAACGACTCAGCAAGAGGACGTGCCTGGCATACTCGCCACGCTGCTTAGGTTCCGTGCCTCTCAAATCCTGGCCTTTGAGCCCCAGGAGCGGTTGCGGCAAATTTTTTGGAGTATGGAATACATTCCACTTTCGATGCTGTATAATCAAGGCCCGAAACTGAGGGGAAATCAACTTCACAAGGATGGGTGGGTTCCAACCGTGCCAAGCGGTTGCATGTTACACGAAGAACCATTCATACAACGCGGGGATGACCACTTCTTCCTGGAGAGTGATGGCTACTACTCGAACGGGGCCCGGGACGGTTATATGACACCGAGAAACGTGTTACACCGTTGGACTAGTCTACCGACCGTTGTTCGTACACGCGCTTGTGTGTGTCTTGTCCAAAAGTTTTTACTGTATGACTCGCAGACGGATTGGACGTTTATTATCGAGTTTTCGGGGCCGCGTCAACAGTCTTGCAAGCGAGTGTATCCGGCGGGAGCGACAAGCTGCGAAAAGGACCCGCACGAGGAAAGCTGTTTCCTTATCGAACGAATAGCACAAGATGACCTTCCTGTGAGAAGCGTCAAGCTACGTGGCGCATGCCTCCACCCTGCCGTCTTCAACCAGGTCCAGAGAGGAGGCGCACCTGTCACCCACATCCAAGCGAGATATGAATGCCCAATTCGCGTGCGATACTTATCCAAGACGGCGTTACGCGCCCAACCTCCGGAGGCGCTTCCCACTATACGAGGAGAGGCCATACTGGCGTGGACACTGGTTCTAGAACGAGGTAAGTCAGCCCCACAGCTCGATGTGTGTTCGTGTTACATGTTGTTTGAGGGCTCCAGGCCTGGCAGGAGATTGCGGGCAAAGATCTTGCTCCACCTACCTGACCAGATGCCTGAACATTTCCGCTGCAGAAGATGGCGGGATTTGTTGAGTATAAGTGCTGATATTCCTTAGAATCGACCAACTTTAACGGGCCGCATCCTCGCCGTCCCATAGCCTACGATACCATGCTCGTTCTTTTGGATTTCACTACTAAGCTCTGGATCCAGCGCGTTGCACTTTTCAAGGGTCTCTGCGATGGATTCCTTTTCCTCTCCCTCCTTGGAGTTATGATAATAGACTCAAAAAGCTACGCGAAGATAGGATGGGGATTGTACATGAGTGCGTATCTGTGGTTGGTACCAGGGTTTATCCTGAGCAAGGCCTTCAAGCCCCGGTGGCCTCTTGTCTTTCTCGGCTTCGCTGTTGGCCTTCAGTCGCTCGGAGCTATGGTCTTGCTCATCGTATCTCTCGACATCAGAGGGGCCCCTTTCCGGGGCCTTTTCATCACGGCGTGCTCGATGTTCTTTACTTGGTTCACGCTCTGGTTTGTATACGTGCCGTTTTTTGTCATTTTTCTCAAACCGGCTGTGTACGCGGCTTGGCTGGCCACTTTTGAAGACTGCGAGAAAGAGAAACGTACGTGGAAGATGGTTTATGTTCTTATCTCTGTTTTCACGTTTCTCACACCTTTCCGAGACTAAAGAGAACAAGGTGCTATCTCCTGTACAAGACTCGAAACGGATTAGAAGTCACAACGCGGTCGGTCCTTGCGCCTAGTACAGTGTGGTACAGAGCGAGCACGATTCCGGACGCCGAGTTTATTCTTACGACGGCTTGGTCTGTTCTGTTTATCCGTCGCAATATGTATTATATAGGCCAAATCATGCACCTTCAGAATGTCCATCCGCATTGAGCTTATTGTAGCATGTACCGGAGATTTCAGCAATGAAGCCCTCAAACGGCGGAGAACATTAGGTGCTTTGGATATCACTAACCCGAATCTCTGCAACACTTCTGAGTAGAACAGTAACATAACTCAATGGCGGCTTTCCCTCACTGTAGTGTAGAGGATATCCATGGATGAGGTCGGGCTGATGGAACTGGAAGCTGGGCAAAATGAGGCTGAGCAGGGGCATTGCGGGCGCTAAAAGCTGATCGTGACGCTTGGCCCGACAGGGCCTGGAGTCCCCGCCACCCGTCATTCCTGGGGCATCTGCACCGCCCGCGTCTCAAACACTCAAGTGTTTCAAGAAGAGCAATCACCCATCGCTACCGTCGTGTTAACCTCTGCTGCTTTCCACAACCTCGTCTCCTGATAGCCCAGCGTGCCTCTCTGCCCCGCCATTCTCAGGCTCATCGCTACTAATTCCTTCAACCTACACGCTCGTTTCGATTCGAACAACTAGCATTCCGCGCGCCGCTTACCCAATATCAGCCTCACATTCAACGGAGTCTGTCTAATCTGCGGAAACGAACCCCCTGGAGGTGTGTTTTATAGGAGACACTGCGCGTGCGAATCCGATCACTCCGACATTGGCTTTGCGACGAAGGACAACAAAGATGGCAACATTGCTTGCGAGGCGAGACATCGCTTCTACCGTCGCAACCACAAGATCCTCATGGGACCAGTGCATGACCAAGGCACATTGCAAGTGCGCGACCTTTCTTTCCATGTACTCCATGTTATACTGTTACCTGTCGCTAACCTGCCCTGCCACAGATGGCCCATCATCGCTGCAATAATCGTCGTCTCTATAGTAGTGTTCTCGGTAGTCTGGTGCCTCGTCCGCTGTATTTGCTGCGGCGCGGAATGTTGCTGTAACTGCTTGAGCTGCTGCAACTCTTGTTGTCCCTCCGGTAGACGCAAGGGCGGACATCAACCGCTGGCTTCCGCGCCGTCTAAGTCCTACGAAGGACATGCCGCCACACAATACAAGTCGCATTCACCACCTATATACCGCGGACCGCAAACCGCGACCTTCGACTCGCCGAGCAAGCCGGTCAACGAGGATGCACTTCCCGCAATGCCAACTTGGGAGCAAGCGGGCAAGAAAAAGGTGGAAACAATCGAGATGGACGACGTGGAGATGGAGAAGCTGGATGCCCAGCCTCAGGACCCGAGAAGCGCGTCCGCGCCAATGCTGGTAAATGCCGCATGCGCACCCATGTGGTCTCCCCACTCACCCCCACGCTCTTTGCGCTCGCCACCACAGCGCTCACCCTATGATCCTCCGGCGCGTTCGCCGTTTAGATTGCCGGCGAACGAGGGCTATGGATACGCTCCACCTCAGCAGGCTCCGTTTCTGGGCGGCGCGCTGCCATCTCCAGGCTCATACCACTCAGGGCAGGAGACAGGCGTTGCTGGCAGCAGCGATCGGAGACAGCATGGCACCGTTTCTCCGGCGCCATACCCGGGGTATAACAACATGCCTTATGGAGATGATCAGTATACTGACTACAGTGGCACGACGTACGCTCCATCCAGATCGACTAGATACGAGCCGTCGATGAATGATCCCTATCAGCAATCACGAGGACAAGCACAATCTCCGCAAGGCTGGCAGGACCAGCGCTTGGGAAGGAAGCCTGTGCAGGGCTCATGGCGGGATATCTAGGACAGGAGATTTATGGCGTTCTAGCGCGTGTTTCTTGAAGGGTTGGAATGGTGTTTTGGTATATGGTATGCTGAAATTCGGATCCAAAGCCCTCTTTTTCTCGGCTTAGTGAATATTGACGGCATAGCGACGGCGTACGGTAGTTTGGGTGTGGGTAAGCTGAAGCATATCGTTGGAGGAGCTTTCAAGATGCAGAGCAACCATCTCTCCAGAAGTGGGTTTTGGCTTAGAGAGTATCGCTTTTGACATCACTACAAGCTTTGTCTCAGCTCGATTTTTCACCTCATGAGATTGAGGAATGTTTAGCATTAATTCATCCAGTCATGATACTCCAAATATTAATTCATCATTTGTTCCTCCTGCTCACTATCCAGAAGTTCAAGCTCGTTCCGAGCGTCTCATTGATCATTGCTGTTTGCTACCGTTCGCTACTTCCGGTTTACTTTTCCAGTCACGAGCACGTCGGTCAGACTATCACACTCGCTTCCTCGGCGTCGAAAGCTGGCTTCGAAAATGATCAATTCATTCCCAATCCAAAAGATCAACTGCTTGGTGGTTTCCATGGTCTGCGTAGCTAATATCCCCAGATCAACGTGTCTTCTGGTCAGGCTTTCAAGTCACAGATCCTCCATCAGCAACATGGACGCACCAGATATAGAACTCCTACCGGGAACACTCGGTAACATGCGTGGCATATGTGTTGTCGCCCACACGACATGTCATTGTTGCAATATCCTCAAAGTTGGAAGGCAGCGCTACTTGCACTCAAGTCCTTGAACTGAAAGCCAACATGTGGACATGGAGCTACAACTCAAAATACTTAGATCGCCAAGAGGCGCCTGTGAAGTAATCAATAGCATCATTTCGCACATTCTCTCCCTTGGCAATGATGATTAACTCCACTACTTATGGCTTTTGAGGTTAAGAAGCACTGACAATCCACTAGCTGCATGATCGAGTAGGCCCGAATGTCAACGCCAAGCAAAGCAACTTACCTGCACGAATAGACATGTTATACCTGCCGGATGACGTAAGACACAGTCTTGAATTCTAAAAGCTGCAGTCGAAACCTACGAACTTTGGATATAATGGCACGTTCCTAGAATTCTCATGCATCCCAATTATACATACAGACCGCCGCACAGCAAGGGACGGATACAAGAACATCTGGAATCAATCATGATGCTGTAGCTTCAACAAAAAATGTCGTCCGCCGGTACACTCACTCCCCAAGGCAACACAAGCGGCTCTCGTGGCATCATTTCCCGGCAATACGGCATGTCCAAGCACAGTAGTGAGACTTGGTCCGCATAGGTAGCCGCTAGGCAGACAATCGCATCTAGCATCTCCGTGGCAGTCCCTCCTCACCACCGTCATATCCACTTCGAACCCGTCTCTGACTTACCACATATAACACCCGCACCATTCCAACCTCACACCCTCCGTGCCCACACCCTCATAAGTTCCCACGGCATCCGCAAGCAACTTCCAACGCCGCCTCTCTCGCTCTTGCCCCATCCACCACCTCCCCAACACACTCACCAACACCCACCCACCAAGATGCGTCCTACCACCGTCCTCGTCGCCCTCGCCGCCACGGCCCTAGCCCTCCCAGTCCCCCAAACGGAGGATTCCTCCTCCTCGTCCACCTCGGTGAGCGGCGGGCCCTTCTCCGGCCTCTTGATCGGCAGCGGTGCTGCGTCGAGCGCGTCGGGGGGGAGTGCGAGCAGTTCGAGTAGTACTTGCAGTATGGCTCGCCTTTTCGGAGCCGAGACCGAACATCTCGACTAACGAAGTTGCAGATCTGGCGACTTGCGCTTCGGGCGCGTCTGCGGGCTCGGATGGGAAGGCTTCGAGCAGTGCGGCGGCGGGGAGCTTGATTAACATCGGTGGGAGGGCGGTGCGGGGGGCGGTGGTGGAGATAAGGAGGATTGTGGGAAGTTACTGGGAGTAGGGGCAGTGAGGTATGGGTATACTGAGGGATTCCGCCGTGAGGTGTACGTGTATCTTTAGCGTTTGGCAGGAATAGCGCTGTGTTTTGGCAATAGGTGTAGCCGTAGCAAGCTGGTGCTTTGATAAAGCCGGTTGATACCTATAATTCTAGTGCTAAATCAGTTGTCTGATGGAGTCCAGCTTGTAACGCCTCATGGCAAGTGCTAAGAAGAGACGGCAATAGTGTTCACTCGGAGGATTGGTCGAGCGCAACTCCCAAGGTTAAAAGCGCGCCTCTCGTCAGTATTATTCTGCGAGGATGGAGTGTCCGAAGGAATGTAACTGTGGATGGCAGCAACCACTGGAGATCCTGATCAAGCGCCAACTGACTGAGTCATGGCAAAGGTCGTACGTAGTCACCCTTGACGGGATTTGTTGTGTCTTTTTATGCCAGCACTTGGACAGCGCAGGAGCTTGAGAACTATAAAGGTTGTATCAAGATCACACAGCGTTCGAGCCCAGAACCGAGAGTACATAGCGAGACATTTGTATACAATTTCTATGTTGCAAAGCAAGACTTATAGACGGATAGGGAAAATGACGGAGCTTGGGAAAGACAGGATATCAACGACAGCCTACACGCCCTCGAAGACAACACTACGCAGGGATCATAAAGTTGATGTTGAGATTTCAAGCCCGTACAAACCTGCAGGACGTCCTGCACCTTTGCTGTTATTCGGAACACATAGATCGTGGCGTTGATGCACGTCTCTTACAATTGGATGCCTCAAATCGAAGCTCGTGGCAGCATCCAGCCTCTGAATCCTTCCACACCGTGTAACTGACCACCGCTCCGCCTCCAGCAAAACGCCAGCACATAGACACAGCTCGGGCGCTCTTCCAGCGTGCAAGTGCCGGCGCGATGAGCGTCAGGTTTTGAGCATCGAAGCATGCGATGGCCTTCGGTGCGCTGAGAATGTCAAATGGCCTCCCCTGCCCGCTCCATACCCGACACCCAACTCGGACTCTCCGCCGGCGAGGTCCAGCTCCTGCGCCAGCACCAGCAGATCGCGCTCTCTCAGCATGGAAACTCGGCATCCTCAAGGGCCGCCAGCCATGCTTCAAGCCAGGGGCGCGTGCTGCTGGATCCGAGCAGCCTACAGGCTCTCAGCGTCCACTTCGACCGGTTGATGTATTCGATACAGCAGCGATGGCAAGCAGTAAGCACGGCCTACGCGTATTATCCTGTGGCGCACAGATAGAATCAAGCAGCTAACGCGTAACTCCTGCTATAGCTAACCGCGCAAACCCAAATGGCGACCCAGATCCAATACGACCGCGCCGGCAACGCAATGCAGATGGCCGACGCGGAAATCGCGCGCTTTCGCGAGCTGCTCCGGCAGATAGATGAGCTCGAAGTCGAGTTCGACAAGATACGGCGCATTGGAGAGATTGTTAAGAACTTTCGAGCGCGTGTGGAAGCGCTTGACCGGAGGGTGCGATGAGAGATGCAGCAGCATAATCTGTTTACAATTTCGCGACACCAAGACATAGCCGTCCTCACGGACTACGATGCATTCTTACGACACAGCATTGTCAAAAATCCAACAAGGAAAGCTCCAAAGCGAAAGCGTGGTGCCTCACAATTTCAGGCGTTGTATCGGATCGATTATCGGTGTTTCGGGAATACCCCCTCGCGTTTAAGCTTTCTCTTTACTCTAATTTGGTGCTTGTCCTTTTCGATATGAGCTCAGATGATATGTGTTTTATAAGCTTGTGGCAGTCGTTGCTAAAGGCTTTTGGTAGAGTCTCAAAAGTAGCTGAATTAGTCTCAACATACTATATATTCTCACCTTTCCAATAACTCTTCATCAGGTCTACTCAATCCCTTCGTCCTGTATCTGTCGCAGTATGCCTGAAGGGCATTCAACATACAAGAGAGGCATGAGATCACTTCGAACTTACGCCTGGGTGGACGGAGCTGACTGCACCCTGCCGCCTTCGCACCACCAACGTTCCGTGTTGGGACGGGGCGAAAACGTCTCCGATTAGAAGCAATTTACCCATTCCCTAAGCTCCTATCAGAACACGCTTACTTTCTCATCATTGTTCTTGTAGAGCCTGCATTCGTCATCTGAATCTACTCGTCTCGTTCAATGCGGCCAATCTCACACACTGAACTTTTATTGGTCGCAGCTCAGCCGCACCTGTGCATCTCGTATTAAGGAAACATTCTCACCTCAAGACTATTGTCTGACATTTCAACAAATCAACCATGTTGAAGAAACTCATAAAAACGCTGACCCGCAGACGACACAATCCGTCTCCGACAGACAATTCCAATGCTTCCCAGCAGCAGCAACCACCGGCTACTTCTGAGTCGACACAAAATGCTGGCAGAGACATAGCCCAGCTAGAAACGGCCGATGTTGTCGGATGTAGTCCCAGTGCTTTGCAGGCCGCCCTGCCATTGCCTCTCGTACACCTGGGGTCCTCTGGTCAACAACGAAGACTGCATCAAAGAGTACGCGGAAGGTGAAGAGTCAGTCCTGGAATCTGACGGCGGACTACAACGCATCGGAGTGACAAAGAACCTCTACTATGGTCTACGGCTGGTTACTAGGACGAAGAGGTGGGTGAAGTACATCTGGATCGATGCCTTGTGCATCTGCCAGACGGACCTGGCTGAGCGCGCGTCCCAAGTTGGATTCATGACGGAGATCTATTCGCGGTGCGGAAGAGTCATTGTCTGGCTCAGCGAAGGCGGCTTGATGGCCCCTGGATTGGCCAACTTGTAGATGCTCCACAAGATGGTTCTGCCGCCGCTGACGGAGTACGTCACTGCTCACGGTAGAGAGTCCTTATTGCAAGGGGACTGGGACGAAGAGACGTTCTACAAGCGTTTGAAACTAGCAGATCTTCATGAGCGGCTGGACTGGAAGGGGTATGCACGGTTTCACCGGGAGCGGAACTGGTTTCACCGCGCATGAGTTTCCCAAGAAGCTGCGTTGGCGTCAGAATCGGTCATCCATTGCGGCAACCATACGTCGTCAATGGATGATTTGACTCTGCTTGCAGGATTTCTGCGCGTATCCGGTCTCGCGACTACGTTGACCACATGGGGCGGCTCTCCGCTTTACCACATTCCGGGAGTGAATATGGACGTCCTTTACCAGTTACGAACGAAGTGCAGTGGCATCGGCTCCGAAAAATGGCTGACGAACTGGGCGAGTGCAATAAATACCCCCGACCGTGAGTGTGCCAGCTACAGGTTTTCCTTCTACTGCGTCCGGGAGCTCCGTCGCTCCCAGGCCACCGATCCTAGAGACAAGGTCTTTCGCCGCGTATGGGTTTCTGAAGAAATGTCTCCCCGCCGGAACCACTTCAAGGATCCAGCCCGACTACACCCTGTCCGCAGAGGACGTATACACGCTGACAGCGGCAGTGTTGCTGCAGGTGCTACCTGAGCTTTCACTGCTTTTCTGAAGTAGAGGATCTGTCCCTACGACGACTCCGATCATTCCCGTCATGGGTCCCCGACCTCAGCGCGCCAGTCGTGCAATCCTTGCAAGTTGGCAGCGATCCCTACGACAGATACAGCGCCTCTTTTCGCTCTAGAACCGGTCCCTTGAGGTCGGTTTCATTAGAGTGGAAGGCTCTACGCTCACATTGCGTGGCGCGCGCCTCGAGTCTATCACTTTGATCCACCCCGGGGCAAGTGAGATTCAAGCCGACCATAGAGATTCCATCGAGTTCTTGGCCGAGCTAGTCCCGACCTGGCTTGCCCTTATTGGCTATGCGACCGCGTACAACGAGCCTTGGCTCGAAGTCGTGCGGCGCACGCTTATTGCCAACAGAACTGATTGGGAAGGCCGCACTGTCTTTACCCGCGAAAAATTCCACGATTTCATGCTACACTGGTTCGCCTGTTCTCCACAGAGTGTGGTCGACTGGGCCTTGATCAGTCTATGCAGCCGGGGAACCATGTCTGGCTGATTCGCGGTGCCAGATTGCTCTTTGTGCTGAGGCCCATGTCCGACGAGGACTGTTTCAGGTTGGTAGGGGAGACTTATGTGCATGAGTGTATGAATGGAGAGGTGGTTGATATGTTGAAGGACAGGATGGGCGCTGTCACACTTGTATGACGCGTTCCGCGAGGGTGTCTAATAAGTGTTGTTGGGACATAAGACACGCAATATGTAGAAAAAGATAGTCGTTCATGGCTATTGAAGTTATCTCCCCAGCAAATACCTGGGACTTCCATCTGTACGGATCCGATATTGGCTTGAGCATGGCAAAATGAGACGTGTGGTACGTTTGAGCCCGGCTTGGCAGTCCTTCTTGATGTTCAAACATGTAAATAGAAGCAAAAGACACGGAAAGTCTAGTGCTCTACTGTGACACTTGTTCATGAACATGAAGTAAGGTTTCTAGATACCACGGCTCTTCGGTGCAACGACACTGCATCCTAGTAGTCACACACGCTAGGTTGTGCTTGGATTGCAGCCTCTTATATCAGTTATCACCGGTCTACGATTCTACGCACCAGCTGCGTATCTACATGGCATCGCTCAGTTCGCGGCGGCCTCGCGGTGGCGGGAACTTTTGACTAGAAAGTGTATCTTACTCTACCCAGCCGCCTACCCTCCATCTACCATTAGCAAAGTACCACCAAATGAGTGATATGATACCCAACGCTTCCATTGATTGCAGGTGCCTCTAAAGCCTCAATCCTCCTCCTATAAGCGCCGAAATACTGTATTTGAAAGCCTCGTGATCGCACGCCGCCAAGCGTCCGCTTCCTTACTCATAATACAGCGTCGTGCCACCTCCGGCGACTCGTCTGCAGCAGTGTCTGAGCGGCATCTTAACTCCTTCATCGGCTGAGAAAAGCACTCGCGCCATGCAGCATCCGTTCCCACGAGAACGAGCTTGCAGTGGTAGTTACCGGAGGTGGCAGGGCGCTGTACAAACCCTGTCCTCGTACCTCGTATTGATCACCCTGACCGTCCGCGCTAAGCTGAGTCTCACTGGCTGACGCCTCTTGCTGTCGTTTTCATATTATAAGTTAAAAACGCACGGTTCATTACCTTCTTTCGGTTTCTTTCCAACCAGGGTTCAATAGGCATTAGATTAGTTAGATTAAGTTTTGTAGTCAAGGCGGAAAGCCTTAGTAATTATAATAGAGTGCTTACTTAAATCTTAAAAGCGCTTCATTTTCTTATACAAAGCTTCTAGAGTAAAGAATTATATATATATAATCCCGTATGAATTTCAGCTAGACTTAGTAGAGTAGTAGAGTAGTAGAGTTATAATATTGCTATAATCTTGATAAAGCTATAGTTTTTATCTACACCGCTAACATTAGGAATAGCAAAGCATGCTAAGTTTAGAAGCATTGCATAGTGTTTTAACATGTAGTATAGTGTTTTAATATACAGCTAGTATTTTGATTCTTAATTAATAGTGAGAAGCTAAGCGCTAAAGAGAGTAACATGCGAAGCGTTCTATATATAAAAGAACTCAGGCATCACTGCATCAAATCCCTCCAAACCCCCTCATAAGGCGTAACTCTGAGAACTTGGCTTCTCTTCCCCTTGTCAAAAAAAACCTCTAGTCCATATCCAGAAGTCTAATAACCGTGGCTCATAAGCTCTATTCTTCATAGTTCTCGACAGCGATTTTAACTCCGGAAAAGGCGTAAGCAGCGCAAGCTAGTTATCGGATTTGGCCAGGTGGCGTGAGGTGGTCGAGGTGGCGTGAGTTGGTCGCGGTGGCGTGAGGTTGTCGCAACGTTGCAGCATAATCGGCAAAGGCGGGGAGAGAAACTTGAAAGAGGTTTGTGTTAGGAGCGCAGTGATAAAAAGCTTTTACAACTGCAACGTGCACCATGAGAGTTCTCTGGAGGCATTCGCATATCAGCAAGACTACCCAATCGGGTTACCGCCAATTTTCAGTCAAGACGCACGCCTTCCTTCCCAAAAGGGTTGAAGCGATGTCAGAACCGCCTTCCTTTCCATTCTCCCGCGTCTCAGGCCTCGAGCCTCCGGCTGAGTATGCGAAGCTGCGTTCTACGGAGCCTGTCTCCAAAGTCAAGCTTTGGGATGGGAGCCTGGCCTGGCTGGCCGTTCAACATAAGGACGTTTGTGCCGTTGCCACTGATGAAAGACTTTCCAAGGTGAGAGTTCGTGGACCTGGTTCGAAAGGAAGAACAGCTTCGCTTATGCGCGCTTGGTAGATCCGGACCACACCGGGCTTTCCAGAGCTAAGTGCGGGTGGGAAGGCGGCGGCGAAGAACAAGCCGACGTTTGTGGATATGGATCCTCCCGAGCATATGAAGCAGCGGTGAGATGAACCCTAGCTCTTCCCTTCATAGAGGCTTTCATTGAAGCGAGAGTCTGATTCCAATTGTGGTCTGACAGGAGCATGGTTGAGCCTTTCTTTACCCGTCAGCATGTCGAGAGTTTACGTCCTTATATCCAGAAGACGGTAGATGAGCTTTTGGATGCCATGATTGCGAAAGGATGTGAGAAGCCGGTCGACCTTGTAGAGAAGTTTGCGCTACCAGTGCCATCACACGTGAGCCTCCTAGGGCGACACAGGCTTCTCCTTTGAGTGGCTAATGGCTGCAGATCATCTACACCATTCTCGGAGTGCCATTCGAAGATCTTGGATTTCTTACAGAGCAGAACGCTGTTCGCACTAGTGGAAGTTCTACGGCATCGGAGGCTCAGATTGCGAGTAACTCGCTTCTAGTGTACATTGGCAAGATGGTGGATCAGAGGATGGAAGATCCCAAAGATGACCTAATCAGCAAGCTTGTCATCGACCAGGTATAACGCACTTTGTGTCCATCACGCCCTTAGCACTAAGCGGTTCTATTGACATCCGTATAGATCAAGCCGGGCAACATAGACAGAACGGATGCCGTCCAAATCGCATTCCTCTTGCTTGTCGCTGGTAACGCCACGATGGTCAACATGATAAATCTTGTACGGTTCCTCTTCAGAAACTGCACTGAGCGAGGACTTACCGCGCCCCTAGGGCGTCATCACTCTCCTCCAACATCCCTCCCAACTAGCCGACCTCAAAGCCCATTCCTCCCTGGCACCCACCTTCGTCGAAGAGCTTTGCCGCTACCACACCGGTTCCGGGCTCGCTATGAGGCGCGTCGCGAAGGCCGACATCGAGCTCGGCGGGAAACAGATCAAAGCCGGTGAAGGAATCATCGCCTCGAATCAGTCCGCCAATCGCGATGAAGCAGTCTTTCCCAATCCAGACAAGTTCGACATGTATCGGAAACGCTGGGAGGAGGAAGCGCTAGGTTTTGGGTTTGGCCCGCATCGCTGTATTGCGGAGTGGCTTGCGAGGGCGGAATTGGAGATTGTGTTCTGTGAGTAATCCAAGGATACTAAGCCTATCGAGCGGTGCTAATGGTGCTATGAAGCCACTCTGTTCCAGAAACTGCCAAATCTGCGATTGGCGATCCCTTTCGAGGAAATTGAGTATACACCGCTTGATAAGGACGTAGGAATTGTTAAGCTGCCAGTGGTGTGGTAGGACAGCATAAGGTACACCTGTTCCCGGAACTCGGCTTGACTGATGTTCCGGGCTGCAGGCTTGTCGGCGTTTGGTCTTTCTTTGCTCCGCACACGTCACGTGCAACAAAATACAAGGCTAGCAGGGCGAGCTCACCAGCCCGCACCTGCAATACCCTTGTAGCTGTATCGCGTTCCGCGATCCCGAGGCTCACAGTGATCTGCAATGCTTGTATCCGGTTTCTTTCCCCGAGCTCCTAGCAGTCACTTCTGAGTCCTCCCCGGGTTGGTTTCCTTGTGAAGCCTCCTGTAGCAAGCTGTAAACAGGCCATCACAGAAAACAACCACCGTCATGAATGCAATGCAAGACCAACCCAAGCCTCATCCCGAGGCGCGCAACTACGGCGCATTTCAGAATGAGATCTACCGGCGGGGAATGTTTGAGAACGTCCTGCCTACAGTGACTACCGACCCCAACAAGCTGGAAGAGCAGGCCAAGAGGGCGATGAATGCGAAGAGCTATGCATATGTCGCTGGCGGTGCTGGCGAGAGAGCCACAATGGATGCCAACCGTTTAGCCTTCCGGCAATGGAAGGTGTGTTAGCCACCACCCGAGAGCCCCAGACTCCGATGGAGCATTGGAAGCTAGCCCCGTAAGCTGCTATACAAGCTGAGGCTAACCAGTCCTCCGCAAGTAGCTTGTCCCCCGCATGCTCCGCGACACAACCCACCGCGACACGCGCGTCACCCTCTTCGGCAAAACCCACGACTCGCCCCTCCTAATCGCACCCGTCGGCGTACAGCGGATATTCCACGAAGACAAGGAGACAGGCGTGGCCGAGATCGCCACCGAGCTCGGCATCCCCTACATAATGAGCACAGCGGCGAGCAGCACCATCGAAGAGATCGCGCAAGCAAGCGGCGACGGCAAGCGCTGGTACCAGCTATACTGGCCGCACGATGACGAGGTGACGATCTCGTTGCTACAGCGGGCGAAGAAGAACGGGTTCGAGGTGCTCGTCGTGACGCTCGATACGTGGGCGCTGAGCTGGCGGCCTTGGGATCTGGATGGAGCGTATGTGCCGTTTGTCAAGGGTATCGGCGACCAGACGGGCTTCTCGGATCCGGTGTTTAGGCGGAAGTTCAAGGAGAAGTATGGGTGTGAGATTGAGGAGGATGTGCTGCATGCGGCGCTGGAGTGGCAGAAGGATGTTTTCTCGGGCCGCGCGCATACGTGGGATCAGTTGGAGCTGCTGAAGAAGAACTGGGATGGGCCGATTGTGCTGAAAGGGATACAGCATCCGGAGGATGCGCTGAAGGCGGCGGAGGCGGGCATGGATGGTATCATCGTTAGCAACCATGGTGGTAGGCAGCTGGATGGCGCTATTGGGAGTCTGGAGATGCTGCCGGAAATTGTGGAGGCGGTGGGCTTGAAGCTTACGGTGCTGTTCGACAGTGGAGTCCGCACCGGTGTAGATGTGATTAAGGCGCTATGTTTGGGTGCGAAAGGCGTGTTAATAGGTCGGCCGTGGGTCTACGGACTGGGCATTGCTGGGAAGCAAGGCGCAAAAGATGTTCTCAAGGGCATCCTGGCGGACCTGGATCAGAGCATGGGCCTTGCGGGGATCAAAGATATCCAGGGTTGTGACAAGGCCATGGTGAGGAGGGTCCAGTACGGTGCAGACAGGCATTCCTCGAACTAGTGCTTCTTGTCAGCCTTGCTATAGACAACATAGATCTCGGTTCCTCGAGTTGCCCTCGGAATTCATAAGCGCGTCATGTGCCATGTTACTCAACAGTGAAATCCCTTAGCTGACCGTTGGACTAAATTGTGTTCGAAAGTGAAAACTTCCCTACGTATCCCGAATCGGCAGAAGGCATTATTCTTATAGGCGACTGCTGGGTTTTACCACTCCAAAAGATACAACGGCGCAGTGCTGCCAGCGGCAATGAAACATATTTATTCCCATCCTCTTAGCGCCCCTTCTCTTCTCCGCTTCTGAGCTTGCAGGCCGACGCCTAGTGGTTTAGGTAACCATACACCGTGAATACCGACATAACAATCCTGTGCACGTTCTATTGTACTAGAGTAATACACTCACGCTTTTAAATCGCTCAGGGTATGACTCGGCGAAGCACGCTTGTAGAACAATGACGGACTAAGTTCCCTAGACATTGCTCTCACTCTGAACGTGTAAGTTGAAGGATGCTAGACGTCCAGCTGAGAGCAAACACAGCGAGATGGAGAACACTAAGCCCGAGCGTAAACAGGACTTTGACTGAGTGGTGACTCTGAGTGTATCATGACCGTTGTCACCGCAAACGAAAGTCTAACTACACTTACCTGAGACAATCATCCGGGAGTTTGCTTGATGCATCCTCCCGGGTCGTGGAGCGACGCGCAAGCTGAAGCTCCGTCTTACGACGAGTTTATACCTGGAGAATGGTGGCGTAGCTCTCCTCTAACTTGAAAGGCTCCTTGTAGGGATGAAAGCAATGCTACCTGTGCTTCTGTGAGAAGACGGACATACTGCTGCGGTGTTCTTGCACCGGCAGAAGAAACCTTACCCGTCTACAATATTGAAGAGAGAAAAGGAAAGTGACGCGAAGCTTTCGAGATGCGCGTCCTTGGCTGGCAGTTGCCGATGAAACGCCGCGCATCCTGAGCTGTGGCATCACCACCAACAATCCCACACCAATCTCAATTGCACTCAAGATGCTCGTGTCACTCACTGTAGGAAAGGTAGATGCGGGTGTCGCCGTGCTGCTGACCGAGGACAAGCGGCTGGTAAGCCCATACTCTCAGTTGCAACTCAATTGTAGCCCCAAGCTCACCACCAAACCCTCAGATCGAGTTCCCTTCCATACTCCTGCCCCCAGACATCACCTCCGGCAGCATCGTCGACATCACCGTCTCGCGCAACCTGTCCTCCGAGTCCGCCGCCGCTGCCGCCTTCGCCTCGCTCCAAAACGAGATCTACCAGACCTTCGGCCAGCGCACACCCTCCGCCCCAATCCTCCGCTGCCGCAACGCGACCCAGACCTCCGTCGTGCTCGAATGGGATCCCATCCAACTTGCGACCGCCGAGCTGCGGAGCCTAAGCCTGTACCGCAACGGCAGCAAAGCAGGCAGCATACCGCGGCCGCTCGAGATCACGAGCACCAAGATCAGCGGGCTGGCCGTCGACACGGAGTACACGTTCCACCTGGTGCTGCGCACCTCAGCGGGGACCTATACGTCGGAGAAGCTGACGGTGCGCACGCACAAGATGACGGAGCTGTCTGGCATCACGATCACGCCGGGCATCATGCCGGGCCAGCTGCGCGAGAGCCTGCAGAAGACGGTCGAGCGCATTGGCGCTAAGATCAGCGAGCAGGTCCGTATAGACACCACGCACTTTGTGTGTACGGAAGGGAGGGGGCAGAGCTGGGAGAAGGCGCTTGAGATGAACGTTCCTGTTGTTGTGCCGGACTGGGTCAAGGGATGCGAGAGGGAGGGCAGGATCGTGGGAGTGAGGGGATACTACCTCAACGCCGATCCGCGGCTTAGACAGGTCGGACCGGGCGTCAGTGAGCAGCGACAACAGCAGCAGCAGCCACGGACGCCAGCACAGCAGAGGGTGCAGAGTCCGCCCCGGCGGATGGAGAGTCCTAGGACGGAAATCACGCCACCGACGCCTGAACGACCTACGCATGCGCCGACACCGACTCCAACGACGACAAACGGCACGGACGGCGGCGAGAAGGAAGCGCCGGCGCCTCCGCCCAAGAACAGTCCACATGATGAAGACCCTCCAGAGCAAAAGTCGGCGGCAGATAATTCGAAAGCGAGGAAGCAGGACATGAACCCCACAAGCCCACCGCCTGCGGACGACGCCAGTGATACGTCTGAAGAGATCGAGAAGGGAGATCCGGAGAAGCACATGCCTCCAGCAGACGGGAGCGGCGAGCGGGCACCGTCTCCTGGGGCTGCTTCATTCCACGAGGTGGAACTTTGAGCAATGCGTCGTTCGTCACCATCGTAGTATACCATGTATGAGTATCTCTTCTGGTTCTAGAGGCGCATGTCCGAAAACTCGAGTCGTGACAGCCTTAAGATTGCATGTACCTCACATTCCCTCAGCTGGATATATACCGAGCGTTATACCCTCTATTAAACTGAGTGTCGTATGCTCATTCCCAGGCCAACATTTGTACTTGGCTCTCCGCTTCGTCTCACCCGCCAAACTCCAAACTACGCGCCCCCCTCCTTCCTCTGCCCAGTATAGAAAGCCAACCCATAGCTCTCCGTTGTGAATGTGATCTTCGCGCCAGCGGGAAAGTAGAAGACGTCCCCCCGAGTGGCTCTCACTTTCTGGCCCGTCTCATCCTCGATATCGAATTCCCCCTCCAGGATAATCTTCATCTCGTGGTAGGTGTAGGTGTAGACGAGCGGCGTGCCCTTCTCGAGACGGTAGAAGCCGCAGGAGACGGGCTTTTCGGGGTCGTTCTTTTCGCTGGAGGGTGTTAGGAGTTAGAGCCGGGTTTCAAGAGCGAGGCAGGGCAGGTGACTGGGTTGGGGTGACGGAAGGGGAGGGGGAGGGGGAGGCACCTGGTAAAGACGTCACCCAGGTAGGCGTTTTCGTTGGCGATGAGCGGGGGCTTGAAGTTTGATTGGGCTTTCCGGTAGTAGTTGAAGGCGATGGGTTCGGACATTTTGGGGGTTGGCGGAGGGAGATTGTGGGGGCGGGGTGGGTTGCTGTGGAGGTACCAGATGTTTAGAGTGGAGTTTTTGGGGAGAATACAGGTGATCAATTGGACATTCAAGGTGGAAATTGAGGAGTATCGTGTTGTGGGAAGTAAGAGAAGGCAAAAGGTACAGCTGAAGTTGATGCGTATGCGCGAAAAGCTTACCTTGTATCAGCCTAGGAGGATTTGTTCAAACGCGAGGTAGTTTCAAAGTATTGTAAGGTCTGCAAATGGCGAGAAGGACACCCGAGAAAGAGCTTAAGGTATGTACGGACTGGCTGGAGGAAAGAGATACTTGGAATGTATCTCACGGCAAAGCCAGATATGTATCCTTACCTACTGTTGATCCACTCAGCAAGCCGCAAAACACGCGTCCAGAGGTGCCCCGCAATACCCCTCAATGCGTCCGAAAGCGCGCTGGCTTGGAGGGATCATTTTGCTCCAAGTGGAAGGACTTATGAATCATCAAGCAAAAGTGGATATACATGAAGGCTAAGGCAACGAGATAGCAGGTCAAAGTACCACCCGCTGACAGAGGGGCCGTAGTTTGTTGCTTATCACCACAATTTTGAAGATAGCAGCCGCAAGAGCTATGACTGACGGTTCCCTCTCCGCAAGGCAGTAGTGCCCGTCGTCGCCTCGGGGAGCTCCAGTCAACCTGGGAAACACTGCCTAAACCGGAGATCGCTCCCCTAATTTCTGCCGCCCGTTTCCGCCTCCCTTCGGATCGCGCCAAACGTGACACCACGAGGGTCCTCCTGCGTGTTTGGGAGAGTTTGTCCGCAAAAGAAATGAAGTGACCAGGCTCCCCACAGCTTGCCGCCCATCTGCAGGCAATCTGTACCTGGGCTTGGCGTTCAATAAGGCGAACGGTTCCTTCAGGGGCAAGGCAATTCGAGAAAAAGCCTCATCAGGGCGGAGAGATACCTTTACATAGCCCGGGACTCAAGTACGGTAGCCATGTGCACGCTGAAGACTATATCATAAATTGAGCCAAGCCTCAGCTCAGCTGTCCTTTTGAAAATGACCATAACGCGCTCGCTTCCCAGCCCGCCCATAACAATACGAGACGCCAGCTCATCATGATATCCGAACAACCATAAATCCAAGGAAACATCCAGTTGACTCATATCCTAATACCTTACCCAAATACGACGGACCAATATCTATATCGATCCGGAGATCATGACCGAAAGTGCGGTGTCTTGGAAGCAACAATAACTGGACATTCATCCCAGAAGCACTGCAAAAAGCACGTCAGCCAAACGACCAGTTTTCGACGGGAGAGAATCAACGAACCTTCCCAACCCCAATCCCTCATGACGCCGAGCCAATGCAACCGGCCCTTGATGGTAAACTCGTAATCAACCTCCCCAGTCGCAAGATCCGTCGACGTCTTCCGCGGGTTCAATCTAACAGACCTAGGCAGATCAAAAGCACCAGCAGTAGCGCGCCTCTTCCCCCCACCAAAGTTGCTTATCCAGTCGAAGCTGCTCTCGTCGAAGCCTTCCGGCATGCTGAACCCCCGCTTCAGCGAGTTGGTCTTGCAGGCCAAGACAGCCTGCTGCATTGCCTCGTAGGCGTCCCGCCGATTCCAGACCTCCTTGACGACGTCGAACGCCTTGTCGATGATGCCTAGCTGCATGCGCTGCGCCATGGCCTGCCACCGCTCTCGGACCCATTGCCGGTCTTCTTCGCCGACGGCCTCGCAGCCGGCAGCGGTCAGCGGGTAGATCTGGACGACCACTGCACGGGACCGCATGGGGACAGTGGCCAAGAGGACCAGAACCTTTTTCGCGAGATCTGAAGACGACAACGAGGGTATCTCGGGCACAGCTTGGTGGAGATACAGCAGAGTCGCCCAGCGATAGGCTTCCGCCGTCTGGATGCTGTGCTGAACTTCTGTGGTTGGATCCTCAGGATCTTCGAAGAAGTCGGGTGGCTGCCAGCTTTCTAGCCTCATTCTGAGCTCTATGGCCTGCGATATGATGGCCGGAGAGTTGCTTGGGGACCGCCTCACCCGCCGTACCAAGTTGGCAACACGCCCTATCACCGGGAAGAGGGTAGACGCGGCGCCCATGAGAGGATCCAGCTGCGACTCCATCTCGAACGGCTCGCTCAGCACCGACGAGACCACCTCGAAGTCGTTGGACTCGTTATCGTCAACCGACGTCAGCCGAGCTATGACATCCATGTATATCCACGAGTTGCACAGAAATTTTATCCGCGTAAGCTCTTCCCCACAGAACGCAGACCGCCGATGCTGTGTCAAGGCTTTCGTGATAAGAATCTTGGCGCCCTTGATGTGGTTGATGCCGGTAGAGATGTGCTGGTCCCAAGACTCGGAGAAAGCGAGCGCCAAGGTTGTCGCGATGGCCGTCTCAACCCTCATGTTTTGGATACCAGATGCTAACGCTTCGATGCTACTCCGCATATGGTCTATTCCCTCCACCCTTAGCCGAGGGTTGTATCTTGAGGTGTGAAAGCTAGTCATCGAGGCAAGTGCATGAAAGAGTGCCGGGCTATCTCGAGCAAGTGGCCATATTAGAGTCCTCCATGGATTTTCCGTCGGCCCGTCCCGGATCGACAGAATGCCACACGTTTGCCGGTCGAAGCTTAGCGTTAGCATCTCTGGGCTTCCGGCTGAGAACCGCGGCTCTTGAAGGAACATGCTATAGGGATCTGACTTCATTACTACGGTGGACTCATCTGAGGATGATGAGCTAGTCGAAGGGCTTGGGGACGGCAACCGCATGACCCACGCTTCATGATCCGGGTTAAAGGGCGGTTGCCGCACGACCTCTTCAATATCCTCGTCTTCTTCAGCATACTCCTGTGGCTGGGGAGTGAACGCTGGCTGGTAGAAAGAATCTGGATACTGGGACCGGAAGCTAAGATATTCCGGAGGCGTGGCACTCAGATCTGTACCGGGTAACAAAAGGTCCACGAGCCTGGGAGACTGTCCGGAAGAGATACTCGACGCAGCTGTCGTCTCCGATCGCAGGGTATCCACTGTAGATGTGTCGTTGAACATGCTCATTGTGCTATCCATAGACGCCGGTTGGAAGATATCTGGGCCCGAATGTGAGCGCGGCGGCATGGCGTACATGTCCGGAGCCATAGTGTACATGTCGTTAGCTGACGACAGAGCCGGGTCTAAGAAGGCTGGATTTGAGACAGGTAAGGTGTGTCTCTGTGGAGATATGGGAAAGTGTGATCCGTAGCTGGCATGCCCGTTGTGGAAGTGATTCGAGGGCGTAGGAGTAGTTGCATGTTCAGGTGAGTAGGGAGCTGGGGCAGAAGAAGGCGTCGGAGATGCTGGTAATATCAGCGCAGTTCTAATGAATACATCCACTTTTTCTCCACGTACATCTCCTCTGCTTCCCTCCTGAAGGCTTCGTGACGAAGCTGGCCTCTTCGAAGGGCCGCCATTTGAAGTCCTTTTTATATCCTCCACATGTTACGCCCCGCCTGTTGCACTGTTGACAAGTCGGCTTCGTCTCGTCGCACTTGAGTCTTTTGGCCTTGCAAGTAACACAACCTGCGAAAAATACTGTCAGCACGGGATATTCCTCCAGCGTGTCCTGTGTATAGCTGAGCACATGCTACTTATTACGGCCCCCAAATCAAGAATAACAACGAATGTATATCCGCACCGTTACGACTCTTCGACTGCTTTCTTTTTGCGACACCGTCTGTCTCGCTGGGCTTGTTTGCAGTGGCCTTCGATCCTGATACCGGTCGCCGATGGGTACGCTTCGTTGGCTGCTTGGTGGGACCCGTCTCAGGCGAGTTTAGGAACGCGGACGGAGACGGTATGGTAATCGCCTCTGCCATGTGGCGCGGCGAGAGCCGAGAGGACGGCCAGCACGGTCGAATATGAAGACGAGGCTTCAGTAAAGCGCTCTACTGCTCTGTAATTACTGTAAGCTGAATGGGACAGGCGATAAGTGATTATGGCAGCGGCGCCATGCGAATGAGCCGTCCGTGACCGGCGAGGCTAGGTGGTTAGCAAACGTGGAGTCGAGATATGCTAGCACGTAATGGGCATGGCTAGACTCGGCTGCGGGAGCATCGGACCCACGTTTATCACTCGGCCAAGGCGCGTCAAGCTTGCGACTCGCCGATGTTCATTGGCTAGTTTTCAAAACGACGCTGTAAAGTTTCGCCGCCCCGAAGCTTGCCGTCCACGTTGTAGCCAAAATAACGTGCCTACCAAGACGGCATCTCCACCAAAATCACCCTTTAGCCTAGAGACAGAAACTTCAGTATATACTTTAAAGTGACAAGCAATCATTAAAACATCTATACATACAGCTCTTACAGCAGATATTGTATTGTTCTATGGAGCTTTGAAGCATTGCAAAGACTGGAAGTTGGTGGGGACGCGTCTTGGTAGGCAAGTTTTTTTGGCCGCGACGTGCCGTCCCGCTGACGAAGACCAGGGTACGCGGTGCGCCAAGACTGATAATCGTTCGCGCGATGCAGTCGGCGTCTAGCACACACACTCGAGTTTACCATCTTCGAAGAGGTCATCGTACTGGAATTCAGCGTGTTTTATCTCGTGGTGGCTTCTCTTTACCTGGCCGCTTGATGTCCTGTGCTGGCAGCTTGTAAGTAGGGGCAATGCCAAAATAACCTTTCCCTAGCAATCAACGACAATCGAGCTTGTCAAGGTCATGTAAAGAGCTATTTGAAAGCGTAGTATTAGTGCTATAGAGGGCCGAACCCAGTCAGGATTTGTGTGGCGACCCTTGGAATGGATATAATCCAAGCCCTTCACGCTCCAGCCCGAAGGCTACAGCGTAGAGCACGGAATGGACCTGGTGGAGAGGACGAATGTGTATTGCCTGGGTGTTATTGGAAAAGGGAGTCTCATTGTTTACAGACTGGTGAAACTCCGCAGTCGTTCTACGATAGACAGACACATGCCGGATCGGGAAACGTTCTTTCAAGCATGGTTCATTCCGTTTCGGAGGTGTCATGGCAATGTGCTGTCGTGTGATGCATGGTCAACAAGGTACAGATGAACTTCACGTCCAATGCTGGTGGTATAAATACTGGTACAAGAGCATAAGCCTATTTTTCTACAAACGTCTGATTCAACGTCGTTCCTCAGAGTCATTGCATTCGATCTCCGATCTCTTCTTGTCGCACGCCCGCGTCAATCGTAGCGCTAGCTGAAAGCGGTGCAGTCTGGTAAAGAGACGTCTTGCTTCATTACGCCGCTAGACCTCTATCTACAGCCTGTTACATGTCAAGGCTCTTCTGGCTCTCGTCAACAAGTGTGATCCCGAACCAAACGTATCTGGAAACTGCTCAAAGTGCCATCAGCAGATACGTCTTGGCATATCGGTGAAGGACCGCAACCGCAGCTTAGGGGGCCAAGCTCTGGAAGCCATGTCCCAAGCTCATGGCCCACTACGCCATCCGACTTGGATGGCGCGGCAGACATAGAACAACAGCACTCCAAAGACCTTCTCACGGCCTGCTAGAACCGAGGAGATAGGTTCCGCACGTCATGGACACACCAGGAGGCAGTGGCCTTGATGTTGATGGACAGAGAATTTCCGCTGAGGCGGACATAAGGATTCTCAAAACGCCATTATCCGAACAGCTGCCACAAGGACGTCAAACAGACCACTAGACGAATGGGGCTCACAGCGGTGTCGACGACCGCAAGGACGATTACTCGAGAAACCTCGTCCGTAGGCCTGATGCTGATCCTTTCAGGATCGAAAGCTCAGACCGACTTTAAAAAGCGTTACGCACAAACACTCACTACAGCTATCATAATCACAACGTCCCAGCCAACAAGTGCTCGCAAACAGCCGTCACGTCACCAAGTGTTCACCTCACTTCTCCGGCCGCCGACGCACACCACCTCGCACCAGCAGTCCTCTCCATCAACCAACCCGACCCTGCTACCATCAGCAACCCTCAAAATCCCCCAAACACTTTCGCACCCAGAGGAAAAACAGACCACGACAACCCTACCATGTGCCAACAAACCCACTACACCTACTCCTGCGGCCACACCGCCACCACCCTGCGCCGCTGCTGGGATATCGATCACCAGAGGGCCCGTCTCCTGCCACGCGGCCTTTCCAGCGCCTCGATGGTGCTGCCGCCAGCAACCACGTCAACGACCGCATCAAAGAAGACATCAACATCGAAGAAGATACCGATATAGCCAACAAACCATGTCATCCGCGTAGGCAACTGCGCGGAGTGCGAGCACGTACAGGCGAGCAAACCGCGCCGTGACCTTGGGGGTTGTAAGGTTGAGTTCTGCGTTGAGGTTGAGGAGCCGGAGCGGCACAGTGGAGGGGCGAGGGGAGAGGAGGTGCGGTGATGGCGCGATGTGAGGAGAAGGGAGCGGTATTTGGAGGGAGTGGCTTGGTTAGAGAATGTGGCTGCCGCCATGAAGGAGGCTGTGGTTGGAGCGAGGCTGATGGATCCGGAGCTAGGGGTTTGTGGAGTGGAAAGTTGTTGCTGGCGTTAAGCATCTTTGGGAGTATGCACCACACGGGTCTCGGTTGCAACGATGATTGACGCGGTGGCCTCCAATAACATGAGGGATATGGACTTAGGGTCAGCGTACAGAGTTGCCCTACTACTATGGTTACAAATCTACGCCCGAGCCCTTTGGAGTCTACATGGTGCAGTCACATGATCTATCCACAAAACCAATCTTTCCAAAACGCCACTACTCCCCTCCGCCAATCCAACCAATAAGTACCAAAGAAAGCCGTCTACATATTATAGTCCTACCCTTTATGGCCCTACCCTTTTATCCCCCCTATATCTTCCCAAAAAGTACCAAATCCCGACTACTCCATCCCACCGCGACCTCAAACTCCCCTTCCGGCAAGACCCAATTCTGCCGCCCCACATCCCAATAACTCAGATCCTTCCTCGTGAGTTTAAACTCCACGCTCTTCCTCTCCCTTCCCCCCTTGCCACTAACTTTATCCACCCCATCCCCGCCTCCCGGCTTTACCTCCACCTTCTCGAACCCCCTCAGCACACGGACCGGGAAGTCAACCGCCTCGCCCGTGTCCGAGTTGGTGTAGTTGGCAGGATACGAGACATAGAGCTGCACGACCGCAGCCCCCGGGCGGACGCCCAGGTTCGTAAGCTGGCATCTTACGGTCGCTATCGTGGCGTAGAGGTCGGGATTCCCGCCCGGCCCGGCGCCAGCTGGTGAACGCGCGGCCGGGTCCTGGACGGTGGTGTAGCCTGGGGGATAGGGATAGCTGCCCTTCTTTATCGAGGACAGAGATGTGAGATAGGGGTAAATATACTTCTTCAGCCTCCTAAAACCGTCCGGAAACAACGCGGTCGCGGGATCCGGGACCGTGGTATCATACCCCGGCGGCTTCGGAAGTGCGTCAGCGTCCGGCCTTGGCTTCGGCAGCGGCGTCCGCACAAGCGACTTGGTCTGCAAAACCAGGCTGCTGAGATGGAAGCGCGTGTAGCTCAGCCCGTGGCCGAAGGGGTACCGCGGCCCGATGTCCTGCTTGTCGAAGTGGCGGTAGTCGATGTAGAGCCCCTCGCTGAAGTTCTGCTGCGGGACGACCCCGTTCGGGTAGTACAGTATCTTCGCCGCGGGGCCGTAGTCCTCGGGTTTCTTGGCGATGGTGTAGGGGAGGCGGCCGCTGGCGTCGACGTCGCCGAAGAGGACGTCGGAGAGGGCGTTGCCGGATTCCTGCCCGGGGAGGTGCGCGAGGAGCACGGCGCTGACGGTCGGCAGGTCGATGTAGTTCTCGAGGATCACGGGGCCGACGGCGTGGATCACGATGATGGTGCGCCCGGTGCCGCCGCCGCAGGAGGTCCCGACTTGGATAGCGAGGTCGTCGCCGCCCTTTGCGGTGTACAGGTCGTTGCGGTCGCCGCGGATGCCGTCTGCGTTGATGAAGCCCTCGCCCGAGTCGGCGTTCAGGAAGACGAGGCAGAGGTCTTGGTCGTGCAGGAGCTCGGCCTCGTGCGAGGGCGTGATCTTCTGCGTGGCGGAGATGGTGAGCTCGACGGAGGAGCTATTGAACTCGCGTTGCAGAGCGTCGACCGGCGAGATCAGGTAGGGCAGCTCGACGGCGCCGGAGCCCCAGCCCATGGTGAGCGTGCCGACGTTGCAGCCCTTGTCGGCGCAGTGGTTGGGGCCGTTCTGGTTGACGCGCGCGTCTTCGCCGAAGATGGCGATGCGGTATTTCTTGCTGTTATCTGGTCTCTCGGTGTCGTTCTTCCAGCCGTTGCGGGAAAGGGGGAGGGTATTATCCTCGTTTTTGACCAGCACAATGCCTTCTGCAGCGATCTTGCGTGCCAGCTTCCCATGAGCCTCTTCTCCTTTGCCCTGCACGTTCACGAACTTGTTCACCACGCCCGTCGTCTTGTCGTCGCTGCCCGGATGGAGCAATCCAACCTCCTCGTTCGTCCAGCTCGAGAAGTTCGGCCCCCCATCTCCTTCAGGCGGCGGCAGAGGCCATTTCTCCCTATCATCCTGTCCCAGCTGATACCATGCGGCCACAATCCTCGTCGCCATATCGTTGATGCGCTCCACCGGCACACTCCCATTCAGCACCGCCCTCGTCAGCTCCCCACCCCAAAGACTCTTCCCATCCATCCACCTGAGCCCATCCCCCGGCATACTCATGTCAAGTCCCGCGAGCGCACTCGCGACCCCACTCCGTTGCGCAAGCCAATCGCTCTGCACAAATCCCTGAAACCCCAGCTCATCCTTCAGCACGCCATTCAACAGCTTGCTATTCTGGCACGCATAGCTATTATTCACCTGATTATACGCGCACATCACGCTCGCGACGCCTGCTCTGACGGCCTCCGCAAACGGCCACGCGTAAAGCTCATGTAACGCCCTGTCCCCGATGTTGCTCGATATCGCATTCGGCGTCCCCCACTCAAACGCCTGCCGGAAATGCTCCTGCTCGTTGCCGACCCAGTGCTTTGCCGTCGCCATGACGCCTTCCTCTTGGATCCCCCGGATCGTCTGCGCGGCCCCAACGCCCTGGAGAACGGGATCGGCGCCGAAGCCCTCCCAGTTGCGGCCTCCATATGGCGACCGCCCCAACGGCCCCATCGACGGCCCGAGAATGACGTTGATGCCCTTCATCCGCGCTTCCCGCCCATGCGACTTGCCGCGAAGATACATGAGCTCCTTGTTCCAGCTCGCGCCGACGGTAATACCCGCGGGCCACGCAGTCGCGTTATCCGCGAACCTCAATCCCAGCGGGCCATCCTGCAGGCACAGACTCGGAAACCCGAGCCGTGCCACCGGTCCCGTGTTCCCGACACACATCCCCATCGTCCAGCCCGTGCCGGTCGTGATGTTTACCTTCTCCGGGAGCGTCATCTGGCGTACCAGCGCCGCGGCTTTGGCGTACGCGGCCTCCCAGGCGGCGTCGGTGCCCCCCGGAGGGGAAGGGTAAGTGGAGGGCGAGTCCCCGTCCCTAGGCGCGATGCGATACGCCCAGATGCCGCCGACGGAGAGGAGGAGCACGACGGCGGCGACGAAGAGGAGGAGGAGGTAACAGCAGAGGCGGGTGGGGACGAGGTAGCGGCGGAGGGCTGAGCGGCGTGTTTGTGCGGAGGAGGCATGATTTGCTTTGGGAGATTCGCCGTGCGGTCGTTTTGGTTTCTTGCGCTTGAGGGTCCCGCTGTCGTAGTTTAGGGGGTCGAATTCGGAGAGGTCTTCCTCGGAGGAGGAGAAGGAGGCATCGAGGGAGGCGCGGGAGGGGGGAGAGTCGGAGGGGCGGTCGAGTTTGGAGTACTTGCCCCGGAGCTCGTAGCTCTCGGGCGGCATTGTGGGGCGTTGTCGAGGGTTAACTGGGGGTGAGGGAGTGTGCGGCGGTGTAGGTTGGCATTAAGGTAGCAGTATAGATGAGAGATGCCAGACAATGGGGGGCTCAGCACATCACAGCAGTATGGCGTAACATGAGACGAAGTCGTCGAAGTTGCTTCTACTGGTGATGATACAGTACAAGTCTAGCCGTGATTGAGCATCGACTTCATGATGCGGCCAAAGCTCCCGTCCCGGAAAACTTGGCCCTTGCAGATCGTGGCTGCGCGATCGCCAAGGGTCCACGAGCTAAATTTGGGCATTGGAACATGTTGGAATCTCATCCACAGCATTCTCACGAACATGCAATTAGTCTGTCGATGATCTTGGTTGCTATCATTCTCTATGCGCGCGCTGTATAAACAACAAAGGTCACGGTTACATCACATCCCAAACTTTTACTGGCCCTCAACCTGCTTCAGTATCCCCGCAAGGTTGATGCTCTTCGGCCGCTCAATCGGCAGACCCAGTGCCCTATCCCAGATCAATTGCGCCAACGGACCGAGACCACGGCTGACACCAAAGGTCGCGGTGTAGTACAACGTCTCCTTGAAGCCGAAGTAGTGGAAGAGAACACCGGAGGAGGAGTCGACGTTCGGGTACTAGCGAATCTGTCAGCACAAGCATGTAGGCGAGCAGGTACGGGAGAAAGCGAAAACATACCGGATTCTTTGTCTGTAGCATGGATGTTAGCATAAGGAACCGCGTGGGGGAATCGCGTAGGGCCATACCTTTCCATGCTCCTTCAGCACACCAGGCGCAACATCCGCATTCGTCTTGACGAGCTTGAAAACAGGATCATTGGCAATTTCCGGCCTAGCAGCCGCAAAGTCCATCAGCGCCTCAAACCTCGGATCCGGTTTCCTGAGCACAGCGTGGCCGTATCCAGGGATCACGCGACCAGATTTGAGCGTCTTCCACAGGTAGTCCTTGACGCCCTGCTCGGAGAACTCCTCGCCGACCGACTCCTGCATCTGCAGAATGAAGCGCAGCACCTCCTGCGCGGCGAGCCCGTGTAGCGGCCCAGCGAGCCCCTGCAGACCGGCGCTGTAGCTGAGGAACGGGTCGCTCAGCGCGCTGCCGACCAGATGCGTGGCATGTGCCGAGACGTTGCCGCCCTCGTGGTCGCCATGCAGCGCCAGATACAGCCGTAGCAGGTCCTGGAAGCCTTCGTTCTCCTTGCCCGCCTTGCCGAGCATGGCTGCGAAGTTGTACGACCAGTCCTGGTTAACATCCACCTCGCCGGGAAGGGCTCCACCGCCCCGGTACGCGTTCTGGTAGATCTTGGCGGCGATGGTGGGCAGTTTCGCGAGCAGCGAAATGCTGTCGTCGAAGGTCGGCTCCCAGTAATCAGCCTTGCTCATGCCCTTCTCGTACATCTTCGCGAACTGGCTCTCGTAGTTGAGCGCAGACACCGCGCACGCGAACTGCGTCATCGGGTGCAGGTCCGCGGGGAAGTTATCGAGCATCTGCTCCACGAACTTCGGGATGCTGGCTTTCTCGGCCAGCTCGCGGGACAGCTGGCGCACTTGCGAGGTTGAGGGCACCTCGCCCGTCAGGAGCAGCCAGAACATGGCTTCGGGCAGCATCTCGGTGCCGGAGGTGCCTTTGGGGAGCTCGGCTTGGCAGTCTTTGATTGTGCGGCCGTGGAAGCGGATGCCTTCGTTGGCGTCGAGGACGGAACCTTCCCAGACCATGGCCTTGAGACCTCTGTGAGGGAGTGAGTCGCGGGCGTGGGCGCATTTGGGGGAGTTGAGGGATTTTACCTCATGCCGCCGAGGGTGTTTTCCACCTTGACATCGCCCAGCTTCTTATCTGCATGGCTCTTGACCTTCTTCAGGAGCTCGCGCTTGGCTGGAATGACCTTCTTGAGGGTTTCCTTAAGGTCTGGCTCGGACGAGGAGGAGTAGGGGCAGGACTGGACTGCGAAGGTCTGGTCAATTGCTGCTTCTGATAGGACGAGTACTGGCCAATATACCGGAAACCAGAGGCTTAATCACAGAAGGCTACAGCACGCAATGTCAGTTCTGACATGCTCATGTCTTCGGCCAAAGTCTACAAGACTCACCCTGACAGCTCTGAAGGCTCTCGAAGCCGTTCTCGCGCTCAATGCCATCTTCACCAGCAGAATGTGGGGTAATGCAGGGTCAAGATCTCTTACCCAAGCACTACGATGCTATATTGACTCTCACTTCTCTGCAAATTGGATTGTGTATAGCTCGAGTATGTCACAAACACTGGGGAATTGGCTGGAAATACTTGTGTGCAGCGGACTACGCAAGAGCTGTGCGGCGGGATGGAAGCTCTCAGCGAAGACCTCGGCCCGCAATCCCTGCGCTGACGGAATGGCGGGCGGATGTGCCTGCGTGCCTTTACCCGGCTCTGCCGAGTCCACCGACTTCGGGGCTTGATGAAAGAGAGTCATGGACGACGTTCGGTGTGAAAATATTTCTGTAATCGTGTTTTGACGATTAGGCTATTGTATGTACGGGCAGCAGCGTGTCAAGCATACAGAAGTCCAGACTGGAAAGAAAGACCTGTTCAGTCCCCGAGACATCACCGAGGAGATCGGACGGCAGACGTAAAGTATTGCTAAGCATTACTCTGCTCAGAAGAAAGAGTTGAGCATCTCATCGAGCCTGTATACGGCCTGTTGGCCTTTCTAGTGTCAACTCCGAGTCGTTGTAAGAGGAGGGCCACGACGGTATACGCAATGCTACGGACAATATCACGATCTGCAGCACGGCAGAGCCGCACATTTAAAACCAAAGCGCCTCAAACCCTCCTCCGCCCCTTCTCGACGACGGTGTACCGCATGTCCAGCTCAGCTCTCCCGCCGGTAGATCCTCCCGTGTCCTCCGCCCTCCCCGCAGACGCATACCAACTCCTCCCCGAAGCCTCCAAAGCCGGCGAGGCGGAAGATGCGCTCTTCGACGCGCAGGTACAGCAGGTAAAAGACTGGTGGGCCTCGCCTAGATATAAGGGCATCAAGCGGCCATACTCGGCCGAAGATGTCGTCAGCAAGCGAGGAGCGATGCAGCATACCTATCCCAGCTCGCTGATGGCGCGGAAGCTGTTCAATTTGTTCGAGGAGAAGGCTGCGAAGGGGGAGCCCGTACATACCAGTCAGCCACTGCCCCCCAAACCCCCAGTTAGCATTGGCGGAAGCTGATTGTTGCTCTTCGCCGACGACAGTGGGCGCCATCGACCCCGTCCAGATGACACAACAAGCCCCCAACCAGCAGGTCCTCTACATCTCCGGCTGGGCCTGCTCCTCCGTCCTAACAACCACGAACGAAGTCTCCCCCGACTTCGGCGACTACCCCTACAACACCGTCCCGAACCAGGTCCAGCGCCTATTCAAAGCGCAGCAGATGCACGACCGCAAGAACTGGGATAACCGGCGCAAGATGAGCGCGGAGGAGCGCAAAAGCACGCCTTATGTAGACTACATGCGACCGATCATCGCCGACGGCGACACGGGCCATGGAGGCCTAAGCGCGGTGTTGAAGCTCGCGAAACTGTTCGCCGAGAACGGGGCCGCGGCCGTGCATTTCGAGGACCAGCTGCACGGCGGGAAGAAGTGCGGGCATCTTGCTGGGAAAGTGCTGGTGCCGACAGGCGAGCATATCAATAGGCTTGTGGCTGCGCGCTTCCAGTGGGATCTCATGGGCTGCGAGAACCTGGTCATTGCGAGGACGGACTCGGAGAGCGGCAAGTTGCTGAGTAGTGCTGTCGATGTGCGGGACCATGAGTTCATCCTTGGCGTGACGGAGGAGACGGACCCGTTGGCGGAGACGCTGCAGGCGATGGAGCTGGATGGGGCGCCGGGGGCGCAGATCGATAAGTTTGAGGCGGAGTGGGTCAAGAAGCATAAGCTTGTTACCTTTGATGAGGGTCAGTCTGACTCCATCCATCCCCTGAATCGGGATGTAGTGTCCAATCTGACCATGTTCTCTAGCCGTCGTCAAGCACCTCGAATCCGAAGGCGGCTTCCCGGACCCCTACCTCTCAGCCATAAAGGAGAACCCCAACCTCTCCCTTACCAAGCGCCGCCAGCTCTCCGCCCAACATACCAAATCCCCCGTCGTTTGGTCGTGCGACATCCCTCGCACCCGCGAAGGCTACTATCACTACCGGGCCGGCATCGCCGCGGCCACCAAGCGCGCCATCGCCTTCGGGCCCTACGCCGACCTCCTCTGGCTCGAGACGGCGGACCCGAGTGTGCAGAAAGCAGCCGGATTCGCCGCCGAAATCCGCGCGAAGCTGCCAGGCAAGAAACTCGTATACAACCTCTCCCCGAGCTTCAACTGGATGGGCCACGGCTTCTCGCCCGAGAGCCTGAAGAGCTTCATCTGGGACCTCGGGAAGGAAGGGTTTGTGCTGCAGCTTATTTCGCTGGCGGGAGTGCATAGCACGGCGACGATCACGAATGAGTTGAGTAAGGCGTTTAAGGACCAGGGCATGCTGGCGTATGTGGAGTTGGTGCAGAAGAGGGAGAAGGAGCTCGGCTGCGATGTTCTGACGCATCAGAAGTGGAGCGGTGCGCCGTATATTGATGGCATTTTGGGCGCGATCCAGAGCGGGAGTAGTGGGAGTAAGAGTATGGGCGCGGGGAATACTGAGGCTGGTGAGTTGAGGTTCCTGAGAAATCCTCTTTGGGTGAGCGTGCTGACAGTTTTACAGGGTTTTGAGTGTAGATATAAGCGAGAAAAGTGTACCGGCATCGGATCCTGATTCAAACAGCGAACGTATCAGTGATTGTTTCTTGAGTGTCAGGCCACCCAGGAAATGCTTCCACGATCAAGCGGACATCCTAGCGCCTATAAGTTGCGGTCATGGAGTTCTTTGAAGAGTATGAGCTGCGCGGACCTGCGGCTTTGCTCACTATACTTCCTCCATTGTCGTCGCACCCCGTTTCGAGGCTACCACGGTATAGAACAACGAGTCAACACATATACCGCCGTATACGGCCCTGCGATGCAACCCGGAATGCAACGAGCAGCGTGTAAAGGCACATTCTCGGCCCTGATAGTGGTCATCCTCGGTGTCTGTCACATAGCCGCCTGAACAATGGCTTTATTTGCTAGTGAGGGAGGCTTTGTCCAAGTCCTGCGCCCTTTGTGAATTATCATGTCACGTCCATCCTACACCCACTCACAGCTGTGTTTGCTCCGCGTCTACCGCGTCTGCATCGCGCTAGCCCTCTGTCACGTTCTTGACCATAACGCGGCTCTCGTCCATCCGCAATCTCAACCCTACCTCTCTTCATAACCAACTCTTCATCACCCCCAACTTTCTCTGTCATACAACCTCTTCATTCATCCGCAGCGACTGCCTTCAAGAGGAGACCCGGTTCCATCAACTAAAGTTATCTGCGCTCACCGTCTGTCCAACAAGCGTTGTCCAATCCTGATTCGGCTTAAAATCCATAGCCATCAAAGACCAACAACTCGATATCATCCCAAACAGTCATCAGCCACTTCCAACACTATCCGCTGGCCCTCTCCCTCCACTAAGACACTCGAACAGTTTAGATTTGCTCTTTCTCGGCGCAATGGACGGTGTATCATCCCGCCATCGCCAGGATATCTCAGACGGAGCACATGCGATCTCCAACCATCTGGGATGGATGATCCGCTCCGCTAAGGACACCCTGGAGAGACTGCAACGCCCCAGACCTGTCCCTCGTCCCGTGTTACACGCCTTGCCAGCTCTTCATTCATTCGCTGATGAGCTTTATGAGAGGAATCAGCCAGAATACGATAGGCTGGCTAGGGAGCAGGCGGTGTTATTGGAGGAAGCAGCAGCTAGGCACGTTACTGCCGACCTCACACAACCTCACCCCAACAGTGTACAGGACCATCTGACAGCGCTCCCGCGCTCCGGCTTTGGAGAAATTTCGCCAAGTGCGAACAAGGAAAACGAACAGCCTGCTGTTCACTCAACCCCGGAAGCCGCACCCTTCCCGATCTTCGAAGACCAAGAGGAACAGCTTGCCAACTGGTCTGGAGCCTCGACTATCATTCTTCAAGACGGACTCCAAGGATCTCCTCTGCTCGATCCCTCACTCGCACTAAACAGTGCAGCTGTAACACTGATCAACAGCGAGTTCGAGCAACAGAACCAGTACCGCCCCAACTTTCTTCGCAACAATTCTCCGCACCCAACGAGTCCACAACATTACATCCTAAAAGTCAACGAGTCACCCCAGCCTCCAATCATGGCACCATCCTCTCCTCAGGCTGGACCACCATTCTTCGAACCAGCTCTTCGGGCAACAATCATCGATGAAGACTATGATGATCCCTCTCCCCAGCAACCTGACCACGTGCACGAAGATGTGCCTGCTCATGGAGTGCCTGCTCAGTCCTACCCTCCACATGGATTGCCAGCTCCAGTGTTGCCTGCTCCGTCGCCCTTGAGACTAGCAGATCCGTATGCACCAAACCTGCCCAGCATCGATCGGGCTGGGCGAATCTACTTCAGGGACCACCAAGGTCAGGGTAACGTGCGCCGCATGAACCGTCCCAACTACGAGGGGTACCTGGCGAGTGAAGCACTCCGTCAAGTCGAGACGGAGACCACACCGGTCGTGTCACCCACTCCGTCACCTGCTCGCGCACCATCGCCGACAGAATCGCCGCTGGCTAGGCTGTCGCAGATGCGGGCGGCTAGAGATCGTTCTGACATTCAAGATTGGTCTTCTACTAAGATTTATCCTAGTATTGAAGAAGATCACTCTACAAACGAGGGACCTGCTGGATTGAAGAATATATCTACAGCTCAAGATCTTTCCGCCAGTCGAAACCTCTCCACGAGCAAAGACCACTCCGCAACCAAAGGCCTTTCTCCTCCACCGAAGCTAGTCTCGAAGATGAGACCCGCTCACCACACGGTTTGCTATTGCGGTCGACTCAAGACCTGCAGGGAGTGCAAAAAGACCTGTACGCGTGGTGAGGACGGCGTGCCATGCATCTACGTTCAAATGAGCAAGCAATTCGGTAAGTTTTCCCTCTCTCGCTCAATGTCCTATAGCTCTCTTCATGTTCCCAATTTAATAACACCTCTCCTAGATGGCTTCTTTTGCAAGCGCTGCGTCGCTCTCCAGCACATTAAGCGTCAGTACCTCAAAGAGCGTCCAGCTGCAGAATCTGAACCTGAAGCGACTCCACGCTCCGACGCTTCAGAAAACGAGGAAGAAAACCGCTCCCCTTCCGACGACGGCGCTACAACCGCATCCGACGACGGGACCACGAATCACCTCGTCAAGTCATGAGCAAAAGTAAGCGCCGTCGCCGCCCGCCTCCGCCGCAACGCCCAGGAGGGCACTCACCAGGCCCCCCGCCCTGCCGCTCCACTGGCAGCGGCACCCGCTCTGGAGCGAAACCCGGCTCCAAAGTCCTCACCGCGCCTACCGAAGATGGGCTCCTTCGCTACTGCCGGCACCAAGCGCCGTCATGAAGATGAAGATGAGGCGGACAACGAGGGCAACCGGGCCCAGCAGGGGCGAAGGAAGCTCGCGAAGACGAGACCGCCCACTGCGGCGACTGCGGATTTCCTACCGATGCCTCCGGCACGAGAGTCTACCGGCCTGGTAAGCAAGCGGAAACGGAGTCGCGGTAACGAGGATGATGAGACGGAGGAGGAGGCTGAGAGCCATAGAGGCCGGAGGAAGATGGCGAAGATGAGGCAGCCGACTGCAGCGGTTGCATCATTCTTTCCGATGCCCTCGGCACAGGAGCCTGCTGGCCCAGTGGCCAAGCGGAAGCGCAGCCAGGGTGAAGACCATGAAGAGACTGAGGAGGAGGTTGATGGCGGCAGGGGCCGTAAGAAGATCGCGAGGACGCGGGCCCGTCGCACTGAGGGCGGCAAGGAATAGACGACGCGTTCTCGAAGAGTGAAAGGTGTCTAAGTGGTAGGGTCTCTCTTATGATCCCTTCTCATCGGAGGAGTTACCGAGTAGTGCTAACGGGACTAATAGGAAGCCAGTGGTCTCACCACTACATCATCACGAGGAGAAGAGCGAGGAGAAAGACCTCTACCACGTCTTTCCAACATCATCACAGACAAGAAGAACAGAAAGAAAGATGCCATACATAGCCCTGCAAGGAGGCCGAATGATTGCAGTCGAGGGAAGCCCCAACGATCTGCGGGAAGGACACCAAATGCCTCGAGCACACCCTCCGAAGCTGTCTCGACAATCGACCTCACGAGATTATCATCGTAACCATAGATCGCGACATGGACATTCTCTCTAAGTTCGCAGAGTCCATCGATGCCTCAATCAAGGTTATGTCCGTCGCCATCCGAGGCAAGCGCATACAAGTAGCCCACGCTCTTCACAGGGTCAAGACTAGCATCACTATCTTCGCCGACGACGAAAGAAGTCCTCGATGAAGAACGATTCAACACAAAGACCATCTACACCTCACCAAAGATACAACCACCCTCTGCAATGCACATCCTATAAAAGCGTTGTTACGGTCGCATCTTTTTCTGCTTTTTCGACATACTTACGACTTGCTTTACGTCTCAAACCCTTCTGCTTTTCCGGGACTATGGATTTCACGGCGCTTTGAGATAAAAGCATGGAATGTTACTCCACCAGCACTTGGCGCTCCAGGGGCGGAGCAGCTTAGTGGAGGTGAACACTCTCGAGCACACTTGCTGGAGAGGGGGAAGAGGTCCCCTTCTTCATGCTTGTATCTGGGTATATTTGGCGCTGCCACCACGGAGCAGCACATTGGGGACGACCATCTACGACCACGCTTTCCACAAGAGGGATATAAAACACACCTCTTGACGCTGGTCTCTTCGACGTACCTGGCGCGTCCACAGTTGAGCGGAATACTGGCGCTGCTCATTCTGGATGGCATTTTCTGGCGAGTGAGAAGAGATGCCCTTTCTGATGCTGGGTTCTTGGTTGCATTTGGGGCTGCTACTGCGGCGCGATACATCGGGGGAAAGCGTTTTGATTCATGCATTCTAGAGATGGAAACGAGATACCCGTCCCACGCTGGTATCTAAATGCTCTGGGGAACTAGATACGGTTAGGAAATGTTATGGCTGCTCCATAGCAGCTACTTCATCTTGTCTGCAAATATTCCGTTATACTCTGGTGCTGCTATCCTCCTGCCCAAGATAACCGAACAACTAATCAGAGAGCGAGCGATCAAGCCGTAGTATACGTCGTGGAATCCCAGGCGCTGTTTTGGTGGTGCTCTGGGGAATGGAGTCACTTGCTGTTCAGGATCCCGATCAGCTTTGCGACCCTGGGTTTGGTGTACTACTGCCACTGGAACCAGAATCGAGGATGTCATTCTATTGCCTCATTTCTTTGTTTCGACCTCAGCCTCGTGCGGAAGCGAGGCAACGGCGAGGCAGGATCATCGTACTTTAGTGACAAGGCTACTTATGTGCAGCTATGAATTCGATAGTGCGTATGCCTCTTAAGATTCTGGACCAAGATGCAGAGCATTGACAGTGACACATGCAAGTACGCGCAGTTCTAAAACCCAGATCATCATCACTCCAATCGCCAGGGGACATCACCCGCAGTAGCCCAATACCGATACCGGCAAGGCTGAAGTTTCACGCCAACAGCACACTTGCCGGCCTTCTCCTAACCGATGCATTCAATCCCGTCGTGAGGCGCATGGCCGGCGCTTCCGTCTATCGATTGTACCTCATCCGGCTGGTGCTCGATACTCGCCTCATTGAAGAGCGGCGTAGCGTTGGCCGGGCTGAGTGGAGCTCGTCAATCCTGAGTGAAGCTTGTTAACCTTGAGTGGCGCTTGTCAATCGTCAGGTACCCGGGCTGCCGAGTATTGGCGGCGCTGTAGTTTAGGGCTTGCTCGAGGGGAACGCAAGTATCATAGTGCGTAACAGTCACTAGCATGAGATAGGAGTAGGGTGTGGTTGGAGGCTTTCCAGACGCTAGGTGGTAGAGAAGTTCCGAGAGTGCAGTATGGTAAGAATGTTGGGGGATGGGCGGATGGCAGAGGTTTACGTCGGATACTTTGCTGCTCGGCTGAGGATTGAAACTCGCGAGATAGAGGATGACCAGGCTTGATTCGCTTAAATGTTCAGCTGGAAGTTCTGCGCAGAAAGATATTTAGCGCTGGAGACACGGAATACTCGCAGCGAGACTTGGCGGTAATCCTTCAGCCGTAGAAAGGTGCACGAGCTTCGTCACTGATATGCACGATCAATGCAGAGATTCTCCAAGCAAAATATGCTCGAGCAGCTCGCCTGTTACTGACTTAAGTTTAATGAGACAAACTAAGACGAGCAAGGATGATGCATTGTACGGATATGCAGCCTTGCGTTCCTAAGGAGACACTTGTCCCTGCAGGACGGGAGACGTGACTATTCTCGCAACGCACAAAGGCTGCGTATGGGGTCGAGTATATTTATCGACGACAGGCCATGACGGTTAGAGTACCCACACCCAACTCGATGTCGTTACGAACATAAACTTCGCAGTGGGCTATGGTTAGCGTGTCATGTCGCTGTCCGCCAGGCCATGCTACTGGAATCCGCGTGGCAGCCAGAGAAGCAGCAAGCCGCTCACCTTGACAGTTTGATAGGAAGAATATCAACCCGACCAGCTCGGGCTGCATGAGCCGATACGTCGGGTCTGGCGGATGTTCGGTCCGGTAATCGTAGTTCTCCCGATCCATTGTGGAGGGCACGGGGTCGTGGTGGAATGCCAGTCGCCGTGCCAGGTGGGTGATTCCCCTGGATACAAAAAGGCTCGACGTGTCTCAGAACACCGCAACGATCCGTGTGCATGGACGATAGAACTCGGACCAGTCGAGCCGGCACGTTGGTGGCTTGCGTTCTCGGAGTTCCCGATGTGCGCCAGGGTGCTCTTGCGCGCGAGCGCTAGGCGCCGCGAGCTAATGTGCGTTGTTTTGAAGGGGACACGCTCAAATGTTGTAGATTAGCATTTCTTTGTGACTCGTCGTTGAATTTACATATCCAGTTCGATGTCGCAAGATGGCTGGTTGACGGCGGGGTAGCCTGCATAACTGTGCAGGGATAAGTTAGCTGAGCATGGAGGGCGGTAGTGCAGAGCGCGGGTATCTGAGAATTGAAGGGAGGGAGGACAGATCTTTTTGCAGATGCCTCAGCAGCGTGCAAATCAGGAGGTTGGATGCGAAACGGACGGCGCTAGACGGCTGAAGCAAATCAAAGCGTTAGGCGACGAGGCAGCAGGCAGCTAGGAAGGAACAGAAAGCCCTCACGATACTCGGACGATCCCCACCTGTACTCGCCTACCTGCGCTTTCCATTGGTGCTCCCGGCCAGGATGTGGATGTTAATCCCAGCTACTGCGGCTACACGAGGCTAGGGCTCCTGGAACATGCAGCTTGGGACGGTATGGGCATGAGGCTACGGGATTGTACGACTCGAGAGAATCTCTGTTTCAGTCGGCTACGAGAAGACGTCACTTCAAGCTTTTCTTATGAATGGCATTGGGAAACAGAGTGACGAAGCTTGTGGTAGGTGGGTTCTACGTTGAGACGCCATAGCGGCAAGAAGCCGCTCGGTGGAGCGCCGGACGGCGTCCTGGTAGTCGGTCGCCTTCGGGGTCAGATCTGAGCGACACAGGCATGCGCGCGCTCGAACGGAGCGTGCATGCCTCAGGGAGGGTTTTGACACGCGCATAAGCTCCGGTTTCGCGGGAAAGCCCACGCATGCTCCTTGCAGGGCTTGCTGCAGGCTTGAGCTGGCTTACCAGGGCTGGCTGCGAGGCGCTTGTGTGGATCGGCGTGGCTGTCTTCCCCAGCGCCAGCCCGCCAAACCAGGCCTTCGGTAATTTGAGGAAGTTTGATGGACATGGCTGCCGACATGCCGCCTCGCGGTCTCCCGCCCATTCAATAGCGCACCATCACGGGGTCGGGGGCGCCTCGTGCCTGCGGCCGGCCATTGATATTGCGCTGTGCCTTGTCTGTGCAGGACACTTCGGCGGATCACAAAACGAGAGATCGAAGTTCCGTCTGCAGTGACCACGTGGTTGGGGAAGCCTCCCGCGGACGCTTCGGCAGAGCTGTTGCTTCAAGCAGTTCGGTGTCCGCCTCTTGTTCCACGTTGCGGTCGGAGCACGGCGTGAGATCAGATCAAAGGGCTGGTCATGCTTTCAGGTCCGTAACCTGAAAGCGATTGGAATCAATTGCCCATATGATAGCAGGCCATGCGGTGCTTACTCGATCCATACGACGAGGCAACTCCAGCGGAGAACCGAAAAGTAAGACCTCTCCCTGATTGGGAAGCATATCGGCCAATGAAAGCGGCAAGGCTAAGCCCAATAGGGCTAGCCGGCCGAGTATTATTGGAAATTTTGCGCTGACTGATAAACTCACATCGAGCCGTCTTCAAATGACATTTACCAGAAAGTAGGTACCCGGGAGAGGATGATGCAATTCCGGTGCTAGTATAGAATACTGATGCGTGCTGCTAGCAAGGACCTCATCAGCCGGCCGTCGGTGAAGCTGCCGCGATGCCAGGGCTCGGTGGAGGGTCGGCAAGACGAAGGGGGAGGATTATCGCAGCGACTTGTCACAAGCAGCAGCAGCAGCTTTGTCCCAGAAGCGAAGGGGGTCTGGGGGTCTGGATCGTGGTCGAGTGAACAAAGCAACTCGCGCTAGACCCCGAAGTAAGCCGTGCTCTCTCGCGTCCATGGATCTTAGCTCTGTCGCGCCAAGGGAGCATCAAAGAAAATGGCTTCCGTGCCCCATGAGCTTGGGTCAGGAGCCGCACTGTCCTCTGCGAAGCCTTGAACAGCTAACAGCGACGAACATTGGCCCGTCGTACGCAGGAGGCACATCGCTGCCGGATTTGAAATAGAGATCGCTGAGCGTGCACGCCCACGCACACACCCTTTGATACCCACCCCCGGCCTAGTCTAGCGAGTGCTCAAGCCGTCCCGCCAATGGGCGTCGGGGTCCCAACGCGCAGGGTCTCGAGAAAAGACTCGCTCGGCGGCTTTAACCCCGGCAGTCCGCAGTTCGTGCATTGCTGTCGTCTCTGCTCACCTCTGCCGACCCTCGCGCTGTGATTTAGCGTTATGGTGAGTGAATTGAGTTGAGCTGCAAGAACGGCGTCTCTCTCCTTCGACCTTCTCTGCCTGGTGCTCCGTGCGGGCTTTGCAACACTCGCTTTGCTTCTTCTGACGCGTGCTCGCCAACCTTTTCCGCTTGCGTGCAAGGCTGTAGGGCCGCGAACTGGTCCGTCTCCTCATATTGACTTTCACCTGAGCACCCTCACTCTGGCTCACTCTCTGGCTCCGTCCAGCCGTCCGATCCAGATCCTTGAAAGCCCCGACGGGAACCCTATCGCCTGGTGATACCCCTAAGCAGCAGCCAGTCAGCCACGCGAGCTGTCTACCCCGGCTCCGACGTCTGGCGTACATATACGGGAAGGGGCCACCGTCCCCACTCACAAAGCACGACAAAGCCGCTGCGTGTGTCAATCCAGCCTTCGAGTCCGCCATCCGCATCCTGGGCGCGCCCAGGCACCTGAGCTTAACAAGGGATCGCCATCTGCCAGCCCACTCCGCACCCTTCACCACCCAACAACACCCCTCGACAGCGTCCGAGGCTGTCACCGAGTACGCGCTCGTGCTCACTGCCTCACTGCCTCACTGCCGCTCTCTCACGCGCGGATTCCATCGCATCGTTGTCGTTGGCCGATTGTAACTGACTGTCCTTTCGCTGGGCGCCTAGCACGCAACAACGACCATCTCCCGGGACGGCGCCTTAAGCGTGGTGATCGACGGATTTCTTTCTCTGCACGGCCGTGTATCAACATCCGTTCTCTTTACCAGATATCAGATATTGCACCGCTTGTACGACTTCGTTGTCGCACAGCATCTGCACGACCAGCTTTCCGGGTTCTCTCAAACTCTTGTTGTATCGACTGGGACCGCTGTGCCACCCTCGGCCGGTCTTGCACTCATTGTACGCCCTCTTGCTCCGACTCGAACTTGTCAGCATCCACTGATTACTTGCGTAGCCTAAAGCTTTCTAGAAGACTTCTGGATTTGCCTGCATCTGTTGGTATCACCATTCTCCAAGTCGGCGCAGTAATCGAGTAGCGACGTCTCTACCACCTCCACTTTGCAAGCCTCGAACTCCAGATTGGTGATAGACGACTATCCGGGAAGACGCTTTTTTAGTATCGCTCTGTTCAAGCTGCCAGTTTCAGAACGCGGATGGTCCCTTAGTCGCCTCTCGCCGCTTCTTGTCGCTCGAGCCTGCTCTGACTTAAGAGAAGCACTTGCTCTTGTCTCTGATCATCGCTTTATCATCACGATAAAGCGTTCTGCCCTTTGTGGATTATTCTCAGATATATTCTGGCCGGTCGTGGCCTGTTGCAAGCGTCCAGACTTCTCAGCTGGCGACTTTTCACAGGACGCCTTTTCCTACTCCTCCATACCCTGATTCGGATCGGCCAACAGGCCATACAGAGGAATTAACCGCCAACGTGGCTGCCGCAGTCGCTCATCCGACCCATATGCATCCTGGGCCGGATTCCTTGGGTGCTCCTCCCAGCTTTGCGACGAGGAGACCGAACGCGTCCAATCTGCCTAACTTCGAGCTGCCACCACCTCAACTATCAAGCCTGCATAAGTATCAGCCCTTTGCAACAATCAGTGCTAGCCAACCGTCCGCAATACCTTGCTCAGTTGCAAGCGTCGGCAATCTCTTGACGCCTCCAAGCAATCTGCCAGGAGATGGCCTGAGTCCAGTCTCGGGAGTTACCACCACCAGCTCCAACTCAACGCAAAATATTCCACCATATACGCCTAACGGCTACGTATGGTCGCCGCCAAACCCGTCAGGGCACACACCGTACGGATTCCACTCCGGATCTGCACCTCAACAATATATGTCCTCACGAGGTTCGTCTTGACTTTGACACTGACACTGAGAGATGGATGAGAAAAGTTAGACTGACAATGAAAAGGCTTGCCTCCACCACCATACGAACTGAACTTACCTCCATTTCCCGCGTCCGGTGCGATGTCGGCTCCGTCTTCTCTGCCTACGATGTCAGCCCAGCAGCAGGCCATGAACAATATGATGAATGCTCAAAATTCAGCGGCAACGACCTCGGCCACGCAACCATCTCCTATTCATGCGCACGAATCCTTCCACCGACCTCCTCCAACTCCAACTTACTATAGCTCCCAACCATCGACAACACCTCAGCAATCCCACTTCCCTTATTCCACCGGCCCCTCTCCTACTCAGCAAAGCCCCTTGAGCGCCGGAGGACCCATGAGAATGTCCCCACCGAATCCGTCTGGCTCGGTTCCATCGATGCAATCTCAGCCCTCGGCTTCCCCTCATCCTTACCAGCGACCATTTGGCGGCTACTCTGGACATCCTGGCCCAGTTTTGTCGAATATGAACAACCCGAACGGTCAGCTAGCCCTAGTCGGCGGTATGCCACATGGCATGATGCCTGGCTTCAACAGCGGTCACGCTGCAAACATGGGTCACATGTATGGTGGACATCACCCAGTGCAACAAACGCCTCCCAACGATCGGCCGTTCAAGTGCGACCAATGTCCACAGAGCTTCAACCGTAATCACGATCTGAAGAGGCATAAGAGGATACATCTTGCGGTCAAGCCTTTCCCCTGCGGTCACTGCGACAAGAGTTTCTCAAGAAAGGACGCGCTTAAGGTCAGTGATTGATGAAACGTTAGCAACAGTCTGGCGAATGGAACTAACGAATCGACAGCGTCACATTCTTGTCAAAGGTTGCGGCAAAGCTGCAGCAGCCGCTGCTGAGGCTGAGAAACTGGACGGCTCTGTTTCCCCGACCGAGTCGAAGGGCACCGTGGTCAGCGACGCTGAGTCCAAGCCCACAATTGCAGCGCATTAGTTGCACTTCGCACCCTCCTCCGTCAATTTCATTCTTGCTTCGCTGTAGAAGCTTTGTATTACTCATACATTTTTTCTCTCCGGAGAGATTTCTGCCGCTAATGATTTATGTTTTGTTGTGGATATGTTAGCGATGGAACTAAGGCTTTGCAGCTGCTCGCGGCCTCGGATATGGAACTGGAGTCTGATGGGGGTTATATCGGGTGGTTTTGATCGTCGAAATGGACGTGCGGATACCTCTTTGTCGTTGCTGTTTAGTCGGGGTTTGCGCTTTTCCTAAGGCTTCTCACGGGTCTCCTAGGGGCTGGATGGTTGTCAGCCATGTTCTTACCGGCCTTTTTTGCTGGTTCCACCGGCCGTGGACTTTCCTTGCAGGTTGTTGTCGCCATGGTTGTCTTGCGGTCCTATCGCTAAAAGACGGAGGGGAAAAGTGTTATAGGAGATAACTCAACATGAACATACCTCATGCCACATTGGTCACCGAGCTATCGCCTGCCTGCCTGCTCAGTCGATAGCAGAGCTGATATCACTCACGTGATTACACCCGCAAGGGTCTCGATATGCGCCATGCGGTTTCGGCATGCTACGACGGTTCGGTAACATCACTCTGAGAGACCTCAGGCAACCTCTCTCGCAATCTCATGGTTGTCGGAACCCCGTAGACGTTGGAAGTGGCTTCTCCGGGGCATGCAAGCGTCCGGCCAGCACATACCCTTGCTTGGAGATGAGCACGTGATGAGGTTGAAGGCGTTGCAGGGATGTCATCCAACACCACGCAGCGCTTTACTGGGTCTTTCTATCACCCCCCTTAGCCTGCGCGCTGCCCTCTTCGTCCTTGTGAAAGTCAGTCCATGTATTGTGCTGACGCATCTACCACGCCCCTCTAATCTCTGTTGACAAGCTGCGTTCCGGCTTCGCAACCTCGCGCTCTTCAAGCCGAAAGCCTGGTGCTCTGTAACCCGACATCTGCTTCCCTGGCTGTGCCCGTATTCTGCCTCTGGAGACTCGTGTTGCTGATGGAATCCTAAAGTCTCCCAGGACGGCAGATGCAAAGTGGTCCCTACAAGCTCTTGAACCATGGAGCAATAGCAAATGCAACGGAATCATGGGAAACTGCTAGAGCCCTTGGTGCATAGGTAGCAAGCTTCATGATCATTTCATCCTTGTTTTTAGCACTCGTTTGATGGCGAAGAGATGATGATATGCAGCACCATTCCATTGATGCCCACCTGGCGACGCATTCCATTGAATTCCAATCTTGGCACAACACATACAAACAATATCCCACAACCAGCGCTAGCCCCATTCTCAGTGACCACTCCAGACCGCAGAGATGCAGTGAGAGCAAGTACAGTTCCGTCCGACTCTTCTTCCTTCAATTGGTCCGCCGCTTCTCGAATTGTGTATCATCTCTTCGTTCGCGATCTCTTCGTTCGCTCTTTCCAAGCAATTCCCTTCTACGATAAGCTCAAGCCTGGGCAACGACCACCCGATCCCTCCCACGCTCTCTCCACAGTCCCCCCGACACTCCTTCTGCAAAACGTGCTGCTGCGCTTTTTAACAAAGTCTTTTGGCCACGGAGCAGCACTGCTTCGCAAGACCGTCCTCTCGTTCATCTATCATCTCAGTCCATTTCCTCGAACTTCGCCTGCAAGACATATCGAACGCTGCCTTGCTCCAATCCTTGTCCCCACGAACTAGGTCTTCGCACACCTGATCGCCGCCAATGCACGAATAATCAGCAGCAACCACGCCATATTGCACTCACCGCTATACGTATCAGCGTCGCTCACGGGCAGTAATTATTTGCAAGTGCTCTGATTCCACCGCCAACAGTCTTCGTCAGCACGTCGACTGGCAGTAGTGATCCGCTGCAAGCAGTCTTCCTACTGTCATGGACCGACGTAATGCCCATGAACGCCCACCTTCGCGTCGAACACCGCTTGGTGACGCGACATCCAGAGCAAACACCTCAACCCCAGTCCGAAGTCACGTGAAAGGACAGTCTCTCTCACCGTCACCGGGCCTCCCACCCCGTAATGAGTCGATCGTGCCTGCGGCCAATGGCACACTCACAGTCCGCAATCCCACAGTGTCGCCGGTCAACAAGCGTCTATCCAACATCATCGACAATGAGCAGCGGGACACCAAACGAGACTCGGCCATCTCTAATGCATCAACCAACGCGTCGGACACCGGCAGGCGGCGTAAGAGAAATATAGGCCCATGGCAGCTGGGGATGACTGTCGGGGCGGGGGGATGTTCCAGAGTCCGACTCGTAAGACACACGGTTACGGGCCAATGGGCAGCTGCGAAGATTATATCCAAGGCAATGGCAGAGACTGTCCGGGCTCAGAGCCTCGCCGACTTGGTAAAGAGTGCGGAGCATGACCCAGGTTTAATCGCCAAGGGCAGGGTTATACCATTCGGACTCGAGAGGGAGATAGTAATCATGAAGCTGCTCGAGCACAAGAATATCGTCCGCCTGTACGATGTGTGGGAGAACCGAAACGAACTGTCAGTAATACCCGCCAGATGCGTAGCGCATGCTAACACTTTCCTCACAGCTACTTGATTATGGAGTATGTGGAGGGCGGCGAACTGTTTGGGTACATCGCAGAGAACGGAAGTCTCAACGAGATGGAGGTCGTCTACCTCTTCCGCCAGATCATTGCAGCGCTGCTCTACTGCCACAGAATCCACATCCATCATCGTGACCTGAAGCCCGAGAACATTCTCTTGGACCGCAGAACGATGGAAATCAAGCTCGTCGATTTCGGCATGGCGGCTCTTCAGCCCGAAGGCCGGTACCTCAGCACTCCTTGTGGTAGTCCCCATTACGCGGCGCCAGAAGTCCTCAGGGCCGGCGCATACGATGGCGGTCAAGCGGATGTCTGGAGCTGCGGTGTCATTCTCTACGTAATGCTGACCGGAACTCCTCCCTTCAATTTTCCTGGCGACGCACAACACCTTCGCAGACTGTTCGCAGCAATTGCAGTAGCGGACTACGCAATGCCGGACGATATTAGCAGAGAGGCGCAGGACATGATTTACAACATCTTGATGCCGGATCCGAAGCGGCGCATCAGCATCGAGGCCATATGGGACCACCCTTTCTTGAACAAGTACAATGCAGAGTTCGGTTACAATGCAGAGCAGTCAAGAAAAGAGCACTGGATTGGGCCAAGGCCGCGCATCCAGGACTGGAGGATACTGAAGAAGGAGGAGATCGATCGAGAAGTTCTAAGAAACATGCGCACCTTATGGCATAGCGAGAAAGAGGAGGCGCTGATCCAGAAACTGACAAGCAATGAAGCGAATCATGAGAAATACTTCTACACTGCGCTCATGAAGCATCGGGACGAACACTTGGAGAACTTTGCGGGAAATCCGGGCGGCGTAGGCTATTCGGCAAGCGACCATCATCATGCGAAGCCAATGCCTGGCGAGGAGGACCCGCCTCCGCTACCCACGGGCACACACCAGCGATCAAAATCTGCCTTCTCCATCTTGAACGACGAACACTTGCAGTCACGACACAACTTACATGAGCTGTTCCCATCCGGCGCGAGCTATGACCCTTTCAGAGCTTCTAGGGAGCCTAGTTTGGCGCCCAAGAAGGGCTACATGAATGTTACTGTCCACCGGGGATCTTTAAGTGGTGCTAGGAAGCGCAAATCTGCCACGATAAAACCGGGTTCGCTAAGAGTCGAGGCCTTGAGAGCGAACAGCCAGCGGAACTCTACTCTCTCCGGTACTCCTGGATCGACGAGGCGATCGACAAAGCATTACTCGGGAATAACGCGCAGCTCAATGTCCCGCAGCTCGTTGGCAAGCTCTATGTATCCGAGCAGCCCGCCCATAATCATCAGCGGTCCGCACAAGCGCGGTGTGAGCTTCTCTCATCTACGTCGTAGCTCGACCGCCAGCGCTCTCACGTCACGTCTGGACTTCGACGCCACGCAAGATACGCCGGAACAACTGAAGCACCAACACATTTCCAAGTGTGACCTGACCATTGTGCGTCCAGGCGAAGCCTCAAGCCCAATTACCCAGCCGAAAGGTATCGTTCGCTCTCGAAAGCAGAAGGAAACTGCACAAGCGATTACGCTAGGCATCCGCCCACGAAAGCACCCGACAGAAAACCGTGTCCTAGAACATGAGGCACGTAAGGCAAGCACAGAGCTCGAAAAATTCTGTGAGGAAGCTTTCAACCGATCGTCGGTTGACTCTAGTGCTCGAACATCTGTCACTGACAGGCCTACACCATACTCGGACTGCGATACACCTCCTTCCTCAGTGGGTCCGTCGCCGTATGCAGCCAACAAGCTTCTGCGACCCGCCGATCAGAATCGGCCTCTCCCACCATTGCCTGTCGATTCGCCCAACACTTACGCTCAGCGAGAGCTCGCGCAGACTCGAGAGCGACTTGCAATCCGATATGCGGAAGAGGGTGGTGAGACTCTGGAGGGCATGATCTCACAGCTGGACAACCTTTTGCGTCCTGCCGGCAAGTTCTCGGTAGCTGACAAGCACCGCATTACGTCTGCGTCTCACGCAGAGCACTTGCGCTATCCGAGCCACCTACCTCCGATCGAGGAAGACGGCAAGTTCTCGGACGCTGACGAGAGCCTGCTGCCGAAGGAGAAAAACAGGGGCCACAGGGCCGTCACTGAACCGTTCAGCAGGCGGCCGGCTCAACCTGCTAGCAAGTACGTTGATCACAATACTATTCGCTTAGTGGACCCGTCATCTCCTACGCCCATAGCACCCCTCAACATTCGGAAGCGCAGTGCAGAAAACACCATCCCACAGGCCGGTCAAGACGGCAATCGGCAGCCGCGCAGAAATATTGTTACTGCCTTAGGCTCTGTCTCTGCTAACGCACGGAATTCGTACAGGGCGAGCCAGGATTTCTCTACCGCGTCCGCTGCAGCAGCCAACAAGGAGAACGCGAACCAGAACAATTCAAACAAGGAAGGCCCCGCTAGCAAGAAGCGCAGCTGGTTCAGGCGGAAGACAAGCAACCCCGAGGAGAAGGACGATCCAAAGTCAAGGATCCCAGAACCATGGCGCATCTCACCCGACCGCACGAACAAGCAGCAGCCGCCCGTGCTGGTCCAACAGAGCAGCCAATCCTCTAACCGAACGAGCACAGCCAGCAGCGAATTTCCGATCCATCCTGCAGAGGCAGAGAAGACCGAGAAGAAGGGTTCGCTGTTCGGGAAGATGTTTGGAAAAAAGGGCACGGAGAAGAACGACTACATATCCAACAAATTGGAACTGGGATGTAAGTAACCCATCTTAACCACTAACCCAACTCCTTCCGCTGCTCTCAATACTCACGCCCCCTTTCCTCTAGCACCGACCAACTGCTCCACCTCCTCCCTGACCTCCGGCTTCGACCTCGCGGAATCCGACGACCCGTCCACCGGCGCCCGCCGCATCGAAGCCCAGAACTGGCTCTCGCGCTTCCTGCACATCAAGCCGGCGAGCAGGGTCTTGTGTTTCCAGGTCGGACGCGGGCGCGCGCGCACGGAGCTGGTGCGGCTGCTGAGGGACTGGAAGAGGTTTGGAGTCAAGGACGTGACGTTTGATCGGAAGACGAATGTCGTGCACGCCAGTGTTGACAAGGCGAATCGTGAGTTGTGGTTTTTGTTTTTGCTGTGGTGCTTGCTCCGCATCTATCTCCCACCGCTCTCATTCTCTTTTTCTTTCTTAATCCTTGGCTCCTTTGCCGTTCTCCAGCCTCTTCCCGGAGTCGTGTCCCCTTCCTTCCTCGCCTCTACCCGGCTCCCCTTCCTCTCATGCTCAAAACACCCGCTGACTTCCCCACCTCCCAGACCTCAGAATCAAACCCGTAACCTTCGTCGCCGAGCTCTACGTGGTCCTCGAGCACGGCCGCCGCGCCCAACTCTGCCTCGCGCGCCTCACGCAGACCAAAGGCGCGGCCAGCAGCTTCAAGAAGGTGGTCGAGATCGTGGAGGACGTGTTCAAGGCGCGTGGGTTGCTCATCGAGGAGGAGGATCGGAAGAGGGCTGTTGCTGAGGTTCTGGGGGGTGGTACGTAGGTTTGAAATGGGGTTGGGGACATGGGCTGGGTGGGAACGTTGGGTTGTTGGATGAGGCTTCGGGTTTCTGGGGGCTTGTGCAAAAGAATAGAGGGGAGATACGGCTATGGGGTATCCATCCCGGGTACCGGTTGGTGGGCGGTTGGTTGTTGGATGGGCAGGCTGATGTTGGGTTATCCGTCGTGGTTGGATTTCTTAAGGGGGGCATCTTGCATCTTGCGTTTTGCATTTCACACTGGCATACCGGATGCGTGAAAGGTGGTCGTAGCACCCGGCTCTACCATCTGCAGAGTACGGGAATGATTACGACTTTTGATCATGGTAAGGTCGTCTTTTCGATGGTTTGCTAGCATAGGAAGTTGCATGTAACGGGTTGAGGCTTACGGTCTTCTCGTAGCGTAATGGCGCAGATAAAAAGTTGGTCATTATAAAAGATTGGTCCCTCCCGATGATGTTGTTTGAGTGAGGTGAGGTCATTAGATCTCAAGGGCTTAGAATGTTCTGTCTGGAAATAGGATACTCTATGTCAAAGTGCGGAGGATTGGTCTCGATACTGCCAAGTTGAAGGCCAGAGATGCTCAGACATAGACACCGTGCCAGAGACCGCTCAGGCGAGCATAAGTATGCTTGTTGATTTGAATAGCCTGGTGGACTTACAACTGGTCAGCGTCGCGGCTAAGCTTCTGATATGGATTACCGGCGGAAGTTGACACAGGTACGACAAAGCACTGGAAGAAGCAATGCATTGCCTGAACAGCCGACCCTATCTGGCCGCAACGAGCATGTTGCCTCAGCTCGCAGTGACCATTATGCCAGTAACATGAAACCCCACGCCAGCCCCCGATTCTCCTCTCAACGAGTCTTCGCCTGCACCTTCGGCGCCGCGCCCTTCGCGCCCTGCTTGCCCACGATCTTCTGCACCTGGCCCCGTGCCGCGCCGGCCGCGCCCTTGGCCTTCTCGAGCTTCTTCTTGCTCTCCGACGCCGTCTTCTTCTCCTTGCCCTCCTTGATGGCTGCCTGGCGGGCGGCGGCGCGGGCCTCGGGCCGCATGTTTCGGCGCTCCTTGATCACGTCGAGGGAGGCGCCGACGATGGCGCGCTGGTGCTTGACGGTGCGGCGGGTGCGCTTCTTGGCTACTTCCTGTTGTTGTGGATGAGGTCAGCCCTGATCGTTGTCTGGTTCGCAGGTCTGAGACGCTCTAGCTACGCCGGTGGCGGGGAGCAGCACGCTGCCTGTTCTTGTTCCATGGCTTCGCGCTTTATCCCAGGCACTGCGACTTCATAACGTTTTCCCCTCCCGGTCTACCTCCACCCCCAAGAACAATTCCTGCGAAACGAAACAGGCCGACTGACCTCAGAGATACCCTTCCTGTGCTGCCTCCGGAACAGCACCGTCCACGCAATCCGACGCGGGTTCTTGCGCTGGAGGAACAGGGATTCGGTCTTGCCATTCTGGAATCTGAAGATCTTGCTGTCGCCGCGGACGTAGAGCTTGCCCTGAATATCGCAAAGCCATGATGTTAGCCCTCACAGTCCTTCCACGCACGCCTCCATTCCCCAATATGTGATATTGTCCTTCTCGAATGCCCGCAGTTGGCGCTAGTCTCGGAGGCTGGGAGGGTGCAAGACGAACCTTGCCCGGGTAGATCCTCTGGCCGCTGAATGTGTCGTCGTAGGTACGCATGGTGGCGGTTTTGGTGCGGTACCTGTGTGTTCGGTGGGTGGTGTTATCGTCGCTGTCGTCGTCGTGGGCTTGGCCGCGTCAAGCGAATAATTCAGTGTGCGATGTCCTGTCGGATATGGCGCACGTGATTTGGCCGGATCAATGACAGGCCGATACGGGGGGCTCCCCCAATGCCATCATCTTTCTTCAGCCAGTAGGGCCGTATGAGAGCCTGAAGGTAATATACGGTTCTATGCCGATTTTTGGTCTCTAAGCAGCATTTGGGATTTCGTTGTTGCATCACGCGGTTTTTTTTTTCAGATCAAGATTGCGGAATTTGGAATACCACGTAACTGCTTCAACGCCCGAAGAGGCGATATCCTGTCCGTTGTTTTTAATTGTAAACTATACGTCCGTAAAAGGACCTCTGTCGGAGTACTCTCTGGCTTGCTAAAAGTATATCATGGTGGTAGCTGTCTCTTCGCAAGCCTTTCAGACTCCATTGAAGCAATCACATCAGAAAGACAGACGAACCCGCAAACAAAGCTCTATCTTCAACCAGCCATCGATCATATCGGAGGTCTTCGAAGTCGTCCTGATAGTTTTCGGATTACTCCCTCATTTCGCAGTAGACGTGTACACATACATAATGGCGTGGTTCGGCGGCAATACCTTTGAGCCGGCGAAGGATATACCCGATCTCTCGGGGAAGGTAATTTTGGTTACAGGAGGTATGGGATTACTCGTCCTTAACACAAGGCGCCATCTTCTCTCTGAGCCGAGCGACAACCGTTAACCCTCAAACGCAGGCAACACAGGCCTGGGCCGTGAAACGATCCACCAACTCGCAGCCCACAACCCCAGCGCCATCTACCTCGCCGCCCGCAGCGCCTCCAAAGCCGCCTCCGCAATCGCCAGCATCAAGTCCACCCTGCCCAACGCGCGCATCACCCACCTCCCCCTCGACCTAACCTCCTTCGCCTCCATCGCCGCCGCCGCCGCAACCTTCACCGCCCGCTCCTCGCGCCTCGACATGCTCATCAACAACGCCGGCATAATGGCCGCGCCCTTCGCCCTCACCCCGCAGGGCCACGAAATCCAGTTCGCCACCAACCACGTCGGCCACTTCCTGCTGACCGCGCTGCTGCTGCCGACGCTGCAGCGGACGGCCGAGCAGCCCGGCGCCGACGTGCGCGTCGTGAATGTCAGCTCCGCGGGGCACGCCATGGCGCCGTCCAGCGGTATTGTGTGGGACCAGGCGAGCTTGGAGGGGTGGTCGACGTGGCGGCGCTATGGGCAGAGCAAGCTGGCCAACATCCTTTTTACGCGGGAGCTGGCGAGGAGATATCCCCAGATCACGTCGGTGGCGGTGCATCCGGGCGTCATACTCACGGAGCTGTATAAGCCGAACGAGGAGACTAACACGCTTGTTCGCTGGGGGGTTGGGCTGCTCGGGAGCTTTGTCATGGGGACGGTGCAGGAGGGCGCCAAGAACCAGCTTTGGGCGGCGGTGGCGGGGAAGGAGGAGGTTAGGAATGGGGCGTATTATGTGCCCGTGGGGAAGTTGAGTAAGGGGAGTGAATATGCTGGGGATGAGAAGTTGGCGGAGGAGCTATGGCGGTGGTCGGAGGCGGAGGTGGGGAAGCATGGGTTCTGAGACGGGGCGTGCATTGATGGGTTGTGTGGGGGAGTTTATTGTCCTAGATTTTTGTATGAAGACAGGCAAAGCGGCTTCCTGTTGCGATGATGTGTGCCAAACTCTATCCACATGCCATAAAGGCGTCACCCGGGAGCACAATGAGCCTCGATGCGGCGTTCATCCTACAAGGAGTTTCTGACTGCAACGCACACTTCAGGGTGTTCCAGTGTTGAGCCTGAGTGAGACGGTAGTAGCCTACCGGCGAGTTCACAATCGTGGAAATAGGCTTTAAGCAGGATACTTTTCGCAGCTTGCGTCTACCTCTTCCAGGACAATCTGGTTGTGCTTTTGGCAGAACAGAAGTTTTCTAGCTTTCAGCCTGCCTCGAAAATCCAGAGCAACCTCTCCCCCCTTCCACCTACTCCCTCCTACAAAGCAGCCAACCCACCAATGACACCAACAGCGCCCATAGCCCACGCCGCCAGCGTCGCCCTCGGCGCAGCTAAAGCGCTCGAAGCCGCGGTGGCAGAGGCAGAGGCAGCTGCACTGCTCTGCGACCCAGATGCGGAGCCCGACGGAGCCGCAGTATTCGAGGACGTCTCGTTCGGGCTGCCCGCGTTCTGCAGAGCCTCGACCGTGACGCCGGAGCTGTTCCTGCAGTTTTCGCTGTACTGCTGCTGGCTGAGCGGCTGGGCTGTGAAGGTGATGTCCGCGCACTATGTTCCGTCAGCTACCGTCTTCTATCCGTTTTCTGCTGGATAGGATGCAGAGGAGAGCGGATGGAGAGCGGGCAAAAAAGGTGAAGAAGGGCCCCGAACGTACCTGATACAGCCCCCCCGCAGGATCCCCATTGGTAACAACCTGCACCGTCGCCCTCGTCCCCTCCGTAACATTAACCCCCTCAGGAATCATCACCATGCCAAAGCAAAAGTCCTCCGGCCCGCGCTCCTGCACCGTCGGCACCAGCACGATATTAAAATTCTCACCAGGCTCGTCGCCCAGCGCTAGCAGCACCTGCACGCGCGCTTCCGTGTGCCCCATCTCGAGCTGGATGGGCCCGCCGGATAGCGGCCAGGGCGTGCGCGTCGCGCTGGGCGTGTTGAAGCCGCCGCAGGGGAACTCGCCGGCGCGGCTGTCGTCGAAGCCGCGCGCGGGCGGGTAGACGAGCTCGAAGTGGGCGGAGGCGAGGGGGAGGAGGGCGAGGAGGGCGGCGGGGAGGGTGAGGTGGGTGAGCATTGTTGTGGTGGTTGTGGGTGTGTGGTAGGACGATTGAGATGTAGATCAGGTAATTGAGTAAATAGAGGTGCGATGTGAAAGGTTCCAAGTTGTTTGGGGGTTGACGGAGGTTCAGGAAAGACGATCTCAAGACGAAGTTCGGCACACAGCGAGCTGGCAGCGGGCGTGCTTATTCATCATTCCATGGCCGAGGGTGGGCGGCTTCGCTGCAGCCACTGCATCCATGACCGCTGTCGAGGAAGCGTCGCACGCCAATGCGCCGGTTGTTCCATTTCTCGCGGATGCATGACGCATCTGAGCGCGCGGGAATGAGCAAGTTTCCAGGGGCGGGGCCTTGGCGGAGGCGGGGATCTCGCTTGGCAGGGCCGGCGAGTTAAGCCGCAATCTGATATCACTTGATGAAACAACTTTTCGTTAAATGGCTTCTTTATTTGAGCTTTGCGCTTCTAAAGTATGTATTGGTGGAGAACTGGTGCTCAGTCGCTCCATCGGCCCGTTTTGCAGCGCAGACATAAGCTGCGGCCCAATTCCCATTTCTACAACCCAAGCCGGCCGCGCGTGCGCGCCGGTAGTAATGCATCGATAGATATGTCTGTAAATGCCCTGAACGCCGTGCAATATGCTGTCGTGAGACGTGATGCAAATCGAGTCGATCAATGGTGCTCCGACAACACCTGGATGTACCTACCCACGGCGAGTTCTCCAACGAAAGTGCCTGCCAGGACCGACAGGAAGTAGCCCACATTGAGCGTCATGACTGCCAGCATGCTGCGAGAGAATCAGCATCGCACCCCTGGCGAACTTCCTAAGGGACACTTACAGCAAATACCCAACGCCAACCATCACCGTAACCAGCAGCGCCCTCGGCAGATCGACGCTGAACCGCCACGGCTGCACAGCGTGAACCGGCGCATGCACCATCCTTACATTCTCCTCGACGCCATTCGCACTCAGCACCGCCAGCTTACTGTCGTCGCTCGTGCGCACCCTCTCCGCTTCCGGCATCTTGTCCGCGACAACCACATATCGCCTTCTATACGCCTGCTCTGACCACCGCTTCTCGAGCAGATGTTTCACCGCAAAGGAGGCGCGGTAGACGACCGAGAGGATGATGAGGAAGATGCAGGTGCCGGCGTATTGGCCAGTTGTTGTGGGTGTCCATTGCGTGGAGAAGAGGGGGGTGTTTGCGGCGTTGAAGAAGACCATGCGCATGTCGGCGGCGTCCATGGTCGTCGTGCTTGAGGAGTGGGGGTGCGACATGGTGTGTCGCAGCTGTAGGTTTTTGCTCGTGGATAACGGCGTGGAAGTCCCTGAATGTAGGCACCCAGGCAGTTTCCCGAATACTGACAGGTCCCTCTTACTTGTAGCGAGCGGAGCGATGAGTTGTCGGTGGGGGCAGGCAGTGTCGAAGCGCAGTGAGCGGTAAAGAGGCCGTTTGAGACGTATGAAGCACTTTCGCGATCAGGGATCCAGATTGCGAGTCGGGTCGAGGACGGTGGAGGATGGAAAGATGGCGGAGGCCACGATCTGCCTGCGCGTGCAGTCTCTTACGCGCATAGCGGCAGCCGTTTCCCTCTCATCCATGGCTGGTTGTGGGTTCTGTTCGCCTTCGCCGTTGAAGCTGCATTAAGGTTGATGCGGTCGATTGAGCACGTTTCCATTGGCTGGGGACTGGCTTGGCGGGGTTCTGATTGGCGCAATGGCGCAACTCCAGATCAGCAATTGCAGACTTCGGACAAAGAGAGCAAGAGACGAGCCCACCCGACGGACGGCCGCGTCTGGAGTCGGCAGAGTCGAGTCGAGTCGAGTCGAGTCGAGTCAAAGTCGCTCCCAGTGATGATATCGCCGCCATGCCGTAGCCTCCGTGACAAGGTAAGGCTGTGGCGTCCGCCAATTCTCCACTCTGGTGGCATGCACGTTCAATTTGCATCTTGGTAGACAACCTTCATACATTCGCTCTTCCACACTGCTACCACTGTCCTTCTGAGCGTCTACCTGTCCTGTCATCTGTGACACTTCCGATCAAGCATCGAGAAGAAGACTGCTCCTCGGCCATGAGATAGCGCTTACCTCGTGCCCTTCATCACTTTCCCCTTCCAACCGCTTGCGACTCCGCGCCTGAGCGGACACCGTCAGCATGTCTCACGACCACTCCAGCATGAGCTCGGGGCAGGGTTCCGTGTCTACAGGTAGCGGCGTGCCCACGAACTTTGAGATACAGGAGTTGTATTGGGCTTTCGTTGGTGCGGGCATAGCAGCAGCAGCGGCGGTGAATCTAATAGAATACGCGATATATTATCAGAGGCAGGGCACAGTACTACGAATCCGCGATACGCAGCTGACATGACGACACAGACTTTACTCGGCGAGACGCAGACTTCCCTTGCCCGCGAAGCCAAAGTCACTCCTACTCAGGTTCAATGCCACCATCACTGCCATAACGCGCGAGTTCGCCAATGCCTCTTTTGCGCCGCTCTCAATTCGACGGCGCACAATACCAGTGCCAGGGGTAGGGAGGACAACCCTGGTGTTGGCAAACCTGGTCCTCCTGATCGTCTTATGCTTCTATGGGCTTGATACCAAAGACCGATGGTCATACGAAGATATAGGGTATCGGACGGGATTTGTCTGCATAGCACAGCTCCCTCTGATATTCTTGCTGGCCGGGAAGAAGAACATCATCGGTTGGCTGACCGGAACGAGCTATGAGCGACTCAACTGGCTACATCGCTGGACGTCTCGCTGTCTCTTGCTGACCGCTACTATACACGGGGGTTACTGGATCGCGGCCTGGGCGCCGTACGGGGACTTCGCCCTGAAGAAGATCCGAACGGACCATCTTACACAGACAGGTGTCATCACATGGGCTATCCTCGTGTGGATCGTGTTCAGTTCCTCGCTGCCGATCCGCGGCTGGAACTACGAGTTCTTCGTGCTGCAGCACCTCGCCTCCTTCGTCGTATTCATGTACTTCGTCTACTCCCACACACCCGCAGAAGTGCACATCTGGATCTGGATACCCGTCGGCATCTTTGTTTTCGACCGCCTTGTCCGGGCTCTGTACGTCATCTATACCAACCTCTCCATATTCCACCCGAAGCAGCGCAAGCAGGGACAAATCTCAGGCCTCTGGGCCTGCAAAGCCGACTTCGCGCCCCTACCGCACGACACCACGCGCATCTCCATCGCCAATCCGCCCATCAGCTGGTCCGCCGGCCAGCACGTCTTCCTCTCCTGCCATTCCGTCGTACCGCTGCAGAGCCACCCCTTTACAATCGCCTCCATACCCTCGGACGGGAAGATGGAGTTCATAGTCAAAGCAGGCAAAGGCGGCACCCGCCGCATCTTCAAGCACGCCGAGAAGAACCACATCCTCCCCACCGCTGCGTCCCAGGTTGTTCTCCGCGCCAAAACCGTCGCAATCGAAGGACCCTACGGCCGCATCCGCCCGCTCGAACAGTTCGACAGCGTCGTCCTCTTCGCTGGCAGTAGCGGCGCGAGCTTCACGGTCCCCCTGTTCCGTGACCTTGTCAGGAGATGGTGCACCGCCGTGGCGGTCACCCGCCGCATCCGCTTCGTCTGGGTCGTCAAGTCAAAGGGCCAGCTCAGCTGGTTTGCGGCGCAGCTGTCCGAGGCAATGGAGGCGGTGCGGCTCCTGCAGAGCGCCGGGAGGGACGTCGAAATCAGCATGAGCATCTACGTCACGTGCGACGAGTCGTTCGCCGAGGAGCACAAATCGCTCTTGACGGCGTCTGAGCCGTCTCCGGCGCAAGCGACCCGGGGTCGTGTGGAAGATTCCGAAGCCGGAGAGCTGGACGAGAAGGGCTCGCTGCGGAAGAAAGACACCGAGCAAGCGCACGAGGTCCGCGAAATCGATCCGCGCGCCGAGAGCCAGGCTTCCAAGGCCTGCGGACCCGACGGCACATGCTGCTGCATCACGACCATCGACTCCGAGGACGTCGCCATCGCCGCCGCCGACTCCATCTGCACCTGCGACTGCGGATCCTCCTCCCCAGCTCCAACGGCTCCACAAGCTAAACCAGAATCCACAGCGTCCTCGTCCTCCACATCCGCTACCCTAACGTCCTCATCGAAACCGTTCTTGGACCCCGCCATCACGGTCCTGAGCGGACGGCCCCAGCCCCGCAACATCGTCCGCAAGGCCCTCGAGCAGGCGCTCGGCGAGTCGGCCGTCGTGGTCTGTGGACCCCATGGGCTGGTGGATGGTGTTAGGAGGAGCGTGGTTGCGTTGAGCGATGAGAGGGCTGTGCATAAGGGGACGGGGGCGCAGGGGATTTATTTGCATTGTGAAGCTTTTGGGCTGTGAGGGCCTTGATAAGGTGGGTTGGGTGCGGCGTTCGGGGCTTGTAAGGGGGTTATGGAAAGGAGGGCTCATGATATTGAGGCATTTGTAGCGCTTATAGTGTTTACAGATGGATTTGTTTTGGTAGAGCGACGGAAACTTGGAAGTTCGTTTAGTGGTTTCAGCGATAGCAGGTAGACGCGACAAAAAGGGAGTCCATAAAGACTTTTAGCTTATGGGACATCTGTAATGAACAGTTCCTCTCACTCTTGAATGTGCCGCGATGGGAACCATTACCAGCTAACCAGCGATAACCGGATAAATTCGAAGGTCAAGAGACAGACACTCCCCAAGGCGCATGCTTTCAGATGTGGTGCTTGCTCCCTTGATCCCAGATTCAGTGCCCCAGTAATACAAAGCACAGCCACGAAATGCCTCGAGGACCCCACCACTGCGCCAACGGCGTCCACCCTCCAATGCCCACTCTCCAATATCAGGACTAAGAGGGCGCAGGAGAGAAATGTCGCACACCCCATGTGCTACGGCTCTCCATGCGGAGAATAGAGCCGTTGTCGGAAGCTTGACTCACAACGGCTCAAGGAGGAATAAGTACGCCCGCCTTCCACAGTATCCGTAAATCCCGAAAGCCATGGCGGCGATGCTGCGCCGACAGGACCGCGGCCCCGGCTGGCGGTCAGGCAAGAGCAGGGGGGGAGACGTCGCGCGGGGCGGTTCTGCAGTTGACTGTAGAGCGGTCGCGTTGGGGGGATTCACAGCTGTCTGAACGTCAGAGCACCGCTTGAGAGGCGGGGTTCCTGGGTCCTGCCGGATGAGCGTCGCCTCGTTGAGCGCTTGGCGCGCTGGCGGCATCTGCATCGCAGAACACGGCCATGGGACTCGGGACGTGCGGACCCGTGCGGCTTGGTGGAGGTTGAGGGGATGGGTGAGGGGGAGAGCGATAGCCGTCAAGGCGGTGGAGCGCTGCTGGATTGTTATACTGGAGGCCTCGCTGGGCGAAGCGGTCGGATGGGAGGGCTGGATGGGAGACTTTTGATTTCTGGCTCAGTGCTCTCGACGAGGGTTGTGTTTGGGGGGATACGCCGTTCTCGCTCCGTTGTGGTTAGTTCAGGACGTGTGGCTGGGCGGAGGGGTTGGTGCATTCGCTCTCGAGAGCTTGATGACATTGGGTGTGACAGTAGTGCTGGATAAGGGGACGTTCCACAGGAAATCAATCTTGATCTCCTCGGCCTCTTGTTCAAGAGCGGCCTGGCGACTATCATCAGGATCGTATTCTGGTGCCGGGGCACCCGTTACGCCTGCTTTGGGAAAAGTGCAGCACGAAGGACATAGATGTTTTGGGTGCTACATCTCCTATGCGGCAGTGCGTTGCAGCAGCAGAGCGCCGCAAGCCACTCAGCGAGGAGCTGAGTATAACGTGAACTCGACTAAGATGCGATTTGGAAGTGATCGTAGAACGCGTAAGCACCTTTGTGGGAATCGGCTGTCATGGCTCAGATCCAAGCTTGAAGATCGTCGGACTTTCGTACCACTACTGGAAGAGCCGCCTTCTCGCTCCTGTGCGGCTTGCCCAGTAGTCTTGGGAAAAGGTGCAGAATGACAACACCGGTTGCGACTGGAAGCCATGAGCGGCATACGAGACGGAAAATAAGTGGTGATCACTAAGGGACGTAGGAGATAGAATGAAATGGGAGAGCAAAATGCGAGCATAGGTACAGCACGATCGAACGAAAATACCATTGACCCGACGATCTGAATGAACGGCGTATCATGAGTCCACGTGGGAGACCATTCGAGACTCTTTTGATCCAGTTCCTTATCTGCGCTTGGAGCCTTACATAGAGCTCCGGAGTTGCAAAGTCCCAGGTCAACAATTGGAACGAGAGCAACGACCAAGAAAAGGGCTGAGACAAACGGAACTATTGTAAGCACACAGCTCGAAAGGGAGAATCAAGTTGATTCAGCTCGTATTACTACCGTTCAGTGGCTCACGCGGCACAGCTTCAAGTCTTGCGTTCCTCCATGGAGTAGAGCGACTGTGCGGTCATATTAATTGAAAGACCAGCTGACAATTGTCTCAACGACCTCTCCGAGAGTGTGTCACTCTGTTGGTGGACGAAGGCGTGGTGGAGATTGCATGGGAGGAACACACAGGCCTCGAAGCCCCGTGCTATCTTCCGTTCCCTAGTGCGTGAGGCGACGGGAGGAGAATTTGGAAGAGGCATGCACGGACGATATGAAGCGGATGAAGTTGAACTCAATGAAAAGGTGCCTGAGCACTAACCACAACGGCTGTTGGGGGGATCTCCGCTTGGTATCAATTCGAAACGCTCTACGGAAGGAGATGCGTTGAAGAGAACAGTGGCTAGTCCTTTTAGTCGTTACAGAACGCGTCGCCTTTACTTGTGGAGAGCGTCGTCCGAAGTCCTCAACAACAATGTGAGCCGCGAACCGCGAACCGACTCCCGAGGTGGACCTCAAGTAAGTTAAGGGGGCTTAGCTAACTATTCCGAGCACCGGCGGTGTCGGCAGCTGCCGAAGACGCAATACCCCTAAATGACTCGCTTCACACGATAGACAAAACAGCAAGGAACATCCTGTGCACCCAAATTGCACTCCGGCCGAGCTGTGTGCTGTGTTTCGATTGGTGCTTCAAGAGATCGCTCTGTAACCCGTGCTGTTAATAAGCATATCTGGCTTCCAAATACCCCTTGCTAATTGAGACAAGTAAGGCTGCTCTGCCAAACGGGAGGGGTACATTAGCAGGTACTCCTTGGGTTACTTCAGAACGCCGAAGAAGCGGTATCGTAGCATATGCTGTTCTCGTTTGTCAAGACACGAGGCTATTGAGAAGAAGGGAAAGAAAGGAGAGGCTCCACAGCTCGGCGTCTGGAGGACTGTTGCTAAGCCTGAAAAGCAGCTTGCTCAGTCGGTTCGGCATCCACTGCTGCGTGAATGCTATTGGAGACCGGGACCACGACCATAGCTGGCCGAAGAAACAACCTCAGGAGAACCCGATGCCGAAGCAAGATAAGCGAGCGCAAGCTCCAACCGCAGGAACAACAGAGTTGTGGGTGATTGCCAGGGCCACCCGACAAGCCAATCCGAGCTCGCGGGCTGTCAAGCCCTGTGATATCGACGGCGTCTCCCGTGGCGCCGGGGTGGAGCAGAATTTGAATTCATTGCAGCAGCGAAGCAGGGATGGAGGGCTGATGGCTGCATCCTTGACTGTGCAGGAAGATGCGCGTATCACGTCGGCGGACCTGCTCGAAGCGGGACAGCGCAGCATCTCTTCCAAAAGCTGCAGCTTTCTGCTGCTGCGTGGCTGTCTGAAAAATCCTTGGCACGCCGATCACCTGGGATTAGCATATCGTGCTTAAGCGAGGAGCTTCTTGGGACAACAAGTCACGGAAAATGTTTTGGGATATCGAGCTTCTGATGCCACTCGAGATGGCCTCTCGAGATAGCCTCCACGACTACTTACGGAGAGCGGCTACGAGCAAGCCATGAGGCATGGTTCCACATCTTATCCAACACCAGCAAATCTACGGATGCTGAAGCATTTGCTTAGTCTGCAACTAGAGCCTCAGAGGATTCTGCGCTTGGCCGGATGCGTATGGGTCGATGGCTTGGTCTCTCCGACTTGGCATAAGCGGAGATCCACGGGCGCAACGTGCAGTCCATGCAAGCTCCATGCGTTGCACATAGCACGAATCACATTGTTATCGGTACTCGGATACGAAAGAGCTGAGCTGAGAGCAGCTGAAGAGCTTTGGGCGGACGGGAATCAGCTTCGCAAACACCATGAACTTGCAGATGCAGCATCCATGCCTGCCCCTTGCCGGACCGCTTTGAGAAACAGCGGCGTCCTTTTGACAACGTCATGCGAGCGAGCTTCCTAATGCAGTAGGTAGCTCGGACGATGGGCCATAGTCGCTACAAGGCGAACTGGTTGGTCTGTATGATCTTTGCTAACATCTGGCAGCCACTGCATGTCTCTCAACGGAACACATGTGCGTCTCCAGAGAACCAAGGTCGAGCCACGGTGGAATTGCAGGCCGCGCCTTAAGGCATTCTACGGTACAACGACTGGTCTCGGCGAGTCTGGCAAAGCCTGACAGGTAATTAGCGTACCGTTGCGGACGGCAGCTGTGGATCGAAAACTCAGTAGCATCGCGGTTATCGTTGCACTTGACGAGCAGCGATTTACTCGAGTATCACTGAAACAGCTAATTCGAAGCCCTGAAATTGTGCAGCATCAGCTCTGCTCGAGCTGCTCAAGGATGTGGAGATGCCGCAGCGGCTATCAGGGATCAGGCGGGTGTCGTCAGCTGAAAATCCCAGGATGTTGCCAATCAGAGCCGTGTTCGAACCGTGGCTCGTGAGATGCGGGACAGGGTCTCCGTGTTCTGCAGCAGCAAGCCCTATCGCGCCCCCCTGACTCCCAGGTTCTGCGTTCCCAAGGATTTGGAAACAGCTGTCACATTACGTTTGTGGCAGACAGTGCCTGTCGGTTTACGTCTCTGTGCAGTACACGACTCCTGTCGGCTCCAGCGCTGGACTTTGTAGAGCGCAGACCCAAAGCGTAGGCTCACCTCATGGTGGGCGCCGAGTATGTCCAGTTTCTGAGGAGACATCACTGATATCGAGTGTGAGCCTGGGCTATGCTGCGCGTGAATTGGCATACTCGTGCAGCAGTAGAGCTAGTAGATATTCTCCTCCCGCCAACGTTCAGCCACGACCTCGGACTGTCCCTCTAGCCCAGTTCGTGGCGTCCCACTGCCAATCCACGTCGGTAGAATCACCGATCAAACCAAGATAGGCTACTGCTTCGACAGTCTCCCGCTGCAGGACCACATTTATTTCTACCTCAGCTCCTCCACGTTTTGCACGCGGATCTTCCTTCACCACCCATCTCCTCTTCCTTCACTCGCTGCACTTTGTCTTCCACTTTTCTACCGTGAACTAGCCGGTTGCTCAACGCACCTCTCTATCACTGCGAACCCGTCCAACCCAAGCTTTGCAGTTGCATATTATTGTCAGCCGCCAAGATGGTCTACGGCCTCACCTATCGGCGGCCTGCTCATGTTCCCCCACCATCGCGTGATTCGATCAGTGGGGAGGAAAAGCAGAAGTCAATCGATCACTCGATAACTTCGTCCAGCTCTGGAATGTCGCACGGCATACCCGATGCGCTGTCCTTCGATAGAATCCTCGCCGGCGGCGTGTGCCCGGTAAATATGCACTCTTCCACTGTTACACGCTGTTGTACCACTTGCAAGGCTCTTTGTCTACTTGTCTATCAGTCTTGGATCCATTTGGTGAAGCATCAGCGGCTAACGAACTTGTCAATAGCCCTGCACTGTCCGGGACTTCATCAATTACCTCAAGTACATAGAGCACGCTGCAGAGAACCTCCAGTTCTTCCTCTGGTATCAAGACTACTGCCAGCGGTTCGACGCGCTACCTGGAAGTGAAAGAACCTTGTCGCCGGAGTGGACGGTAGCCCAGGCCGAGGCGGAGGCATTAGCAGCTCAGACAACGACCAAGCCGGTTAAGGTCAGCCCTGCTGCCGCCGCCGCGTTCAAAGGCACGGATTTCGACAGCACGCCGAAGATCACGGACTCAGAAAAGACAAATCCATTCTACACCCCTCCGAGGACGCCATCGGACGACTCGAGGCGTGATATCGGTTCCGCTGGCTCAAACAACGATTCACACACAGATTGGTCAACTGGGAAGACCGGCTTCACCAAAAAGGCGGAGGGTGCGTTCGAGGACGCTGGTCTGAAATGGCAACCATGTCAGTAGAAGTTCTCAGAAACCCCGCAAAAGACCTGCTGGCTGACCTTACGCACAGTCACCGTCCAGCCATATCGCGAGGAGATCAGCAGGATCATCACCATTTACATCGCTGACGGCGGTGCCCGTCAGCTCAACCTGTCAGCGAGGGAGCGCAATGCGCTCCTCCACGCCCTGGAAAACACGACACATCCTTCAGCCTTCCGCGACGTCATTTCAACCGTTGAATGGTCTCTACGTTGCCAGGCGCATCCCAACTTCATCCGCTGGACCATTTGCAACGGCAACCGTTCTCGAGTCATCTTCGCTCGTGGTCTTGGTGTCGGCGGCATCGTTGGCGGTCTCATCGCCGCTGTCCTCATCACCCTCAGCAGCGCCAGCCGGCCGTGGCGCATTCTCTCATTTCTCGGTTTCTTCATCGGTATTGCCACTCTGGTAGCTGCCTGGAAGGGCATGTGTGTGGTAAGATCCTCCGCCGAAAAACTCTCTCCGCTGCTTGCCTCCTAACACAACGCAGGTTCTGCACGGCATGCACCATCGTCATCTGCGTCCTTGGGAGCTCTTCGCTACCGACGACGAGCCGCAAGAGATGGACCTGAAAAAGGAATCCTTCGAGAGCATCGGCTCGAGCAACAGCTGGGAAGACGAGCCGTGGGTTGCCAAGTACGAGAAGCGCAATATTGTCCGCAAGGTCTTCGACCGCGAGGTCTGGATCCAGGAGCCCGCTCTTCGGCAGATTCAGGACACCATCTTTCTACAGGCTATCCTCGCCGCTTTCCTCCTCTCGGCTGTTATTGTCGGCATCTTCTGTGCATTCCCGAGTGGCAGATTTTACTAAGCCACGCAGCTCTTACTACATCTTGTACTTTGTCCCGCTGGGTGATTTCATTTGTTGGTTGACCGACGCACTCACATTTCCGCTCGATACCCTGCTTCGTTAAAAAACTGTCCCGACGATCTCTTCACTGGCGTCGCATGTCCTTTTGTAACATCGTGGCGCTTGGATAAGGGTGCTGAGATCCGTACGCAAAACTGCTGTCCGTCTTTCTCCTTGATGATGGATATACTGGTACGCGTGGAACAATTTCGTTTTTCAGTGCTTTGTGCTTTTCCACTGAAAGCTCTCTGTGTCTGCGGGAAACTTCCTAGGAATCTTTCGGCTTGAACTGTAATGCTAAGAGTTGCTGAGGAAACGAAAACTTTGCTCCGAGACTCCAGTTTTCCAGTCATACCTCGGAGACTACACAATGATGAAGGTCTCGCTCTTTACCTGGCCAGCTTCAAGGCCATGTAAAGCCTCCCCATCCATTAAGCCGTGGACATAGCACTCGCCGATAAACTCGTGATGTCCGTTCCTGATGTCTCGTAGAACATACAGAACCTGTCCGCCGAGAAGCGCGCAAATCTTGTCGCCGCGTCTCATGGCTCCAGGTCCAATACCCATGTATCTTTCTGTAGTCCAGAACAAACTTCGCCCCCATAGGGTTATCATGAAGTTACATAGGGCGAGGGAAAATGCGATAGCGCCCTCCTTTGGCAAGGCATTGATCTCGTCCGCCGTAAGGGACGAGAAATACATATCAAAAGCATAGCCACGACAAGGAACACTCCCTTGTGCGTCTCACGTCGGCCACGATAGTCGAGAGGAAAGCTTGTTGGATTGTGCCTCCTGCTGTATAGTTTTGTGCCGAATCCTTGGGCACCCACGTCTTCAGAAACGCCAATGCTTCTGCGGGTGGGAACGGGTGCTGATAACACGAAGAGGAGATCTGGGAGACGACACCAACGGACAGTCCGAGAACACGCAGCTGGTTTCCAACAAGAGAAGCCTGCGTGGGATATGTGCCAGCTGCGTTGTATAGTTTAGTGCCTGGTACAAGTCCATTGGAGCTAGAAACCTTGGGTAATGCGTAACAAATGACGACCCTGTTCCAGTCAGGTAGCCATGAAGGGATACTCAATCGCTTTACCGATACTGAGCCTGTGAGCTTCTTGAGCTTGTTGTGAGGCCATTGCAGGTGTACCGCATGCGCGAGAAAGTCAAGTCTGTGGCCCTCTAGATATCTGTTGAGAACTGTCTTCACCACATCTATGTACACATCTTCGGCAGGCCTGGTGTAATCCGGGATAATGTGTTGACTAGTGTCGCCGGCAACAAGGCCTAGCCCGGCGTAGACTTTGTCGCGTGGATCCGTACAAGTCCATGGACGCACCTTCTCTAGAACTTCCAGCAATGTAGTGCGAGAGCCTTCTCGACGTTGCGTGGTGAGTAGCTGTATGTTGAACGGAGCGTTAACTCTGGGGTCGTCGTACACAAGTTTTGCAACTTCCAGGGCGAAGGCAAGTACATCAAACTCAATACTGAAAGTACCCCAGTACAGATACCGCGGAGCAGTGACAGTAGATTCCTGAAGGATCCAAAGTCGAAACCACCAAGGTCTCGCGCACAGCTGCTCAATGGCTGTCCAGTATCTGGCGCCGGGCTTAAGCTGGAGAGGAGCAAGCAGCTGAGGCGAATAGATAATTGCTTCCATCGAAGCGACATCCAACTGTCTGCCTCAAGATTCAACCAGAGGAAGCAGATGAGCGCTCCATCTTCGCAAAGTCTTCATAGCAAGGTCGCTATCGCCACTTGAGGGACCAAGCCAGAGTCAACCCGGCAGGCAAACTCATAGATCGACTTCATCAGTGGAATTTGCGAGTTTTTCTCTTTAAGGTTGCACTGGTCAATGCAGATGGCATCCACCCAGATCGGCTCCTTGGACTCTGCCAGCCTCTGACCATGATGACGGAGAAAACTGTGCAGATTCCTGGTTACCGATAAGGAGTCGGCCATGTAGTTGTATCCGCCGACTGAAACGCGGGGAGTCCCACGTATACGACAGCGCCACATATGGAGGGGCGTTTTGCAAATCCGTATGCACCAGCTCGCCCGCTAAGGCTCCGCCAGGTAGCAGTCGAAGAAGTCGAATTTCAGTTGGCTTCAGCGGCTCGTATGCGTAGCGGGGTGGAAGCGCAGCGCGAAACGCCGCTTCGAGATCGCGCATGCTGTTTCCAAGCACCTCGAGTAGCGTGTCAACGTGTTTAACCGGGAGTTCAGACAGTACGGGTTTGTGGCCACGTCGTGGACAAGAAGTTATGAAATGGAGTAAAAGTAGGGCCATCTACTTGTTCAAAGAACAGGAACTAAGGACGATTTGACAGACTCGCTAGCAAAGGCACAGTTGCAGCCATGTTGTTCAAAACTCTGAGGAGATGAGGCTGAGCATTTGGGAGGAGCGTTTCAAACATGTCAGAAACAGAGGGGGATGTTGGAAGGCTCCGCACATGTTCCAGGCAACGAGGTGATAGCTAAGAAAAGTGGTTCCTCTGATTAGATCGGACAAGACTGGCTATATTGAAGCCAGCTATTCTGCTCTACTCGCCATCGTTCATTGTTTCAAACGGTGTGGTTTGAGACTGTTGTCTAAATATTGCCTTGCGGCTTGGCAATAGCGGCTTTCTCCATGCCAAGACTTTACCTCATTTAGATCTCTTATAACCTCCACATCCTTTCTGCGCTACTTCGGCGACGCGCTTGATCTCACAACACGGAAATCTAGAGATTCGTGCAGGGGCGGCAGTTCATAGTTATGCCAGCCTCACCGGTCTCCGCAGCTAAGACCAGCCCTAGAAAACTCGGGGCGTTGCTCAGCACCTCAAAGGCCTCAGCGGCAACCAGGGCAATGTAAGCAACATCTCACTCATAGTTGGAGCAGGGGCAGCAAGCTCAGTTTTGGTATAGCTCAAAGCGAAATGCAATCAAATCGCCGTTCTTGCGGCTACCAGCAGAGATCAGGAACTGCATCTACGAGCATGCACTTGGCGGCCGACTGCTACATATCACAGCTCCACAGGAACGCGTAGCAGCTGAAGGCCGGCATATACACGGTGACCACTTCAGCGATGCATCCGACTCGGAGGATGGATCGGGCTGGGATCTTGATTACTCGGAGTCAGATTCAGAAATGGCGTCAAGAGAGTCTACAAAGTTCAGTTACCGCGTTTGCCGGGCTAAAATATCCGAGCAGGAAGCCTTCAGGCGGTCCCAAGATGCATCGCTGGATGAGCGTATCAAGCCTGATTCAGGACAAGAAGTGCCATGGGAGATGCGGACTACCAATTATTTTCGATTAGGTGACCGGCACTACATTGATTCATGTGTCATTCGGCATTCTTGCTGTATGGCATTTCCTCCTTCCACCAACTTTTGGCCAGAGGACCAGAGATACAGCAAGAAGGTGCCTCGACCATCGTCACACCACAAGCTGGATATTGCTCTCCTCCGCGTCTGCCGCCAGATATACAACGAAGCTCGTCTGATTCCCTACTCCACCAATACCTTTTCCTTCGCCCTCGCATCCACTTTTTCTACCTTCCTGACCTCGCTTATCCCCGCTCAACGCCGAGCCACAATATCCCTCCACCTTCTCGTGCGCAGCGATCGAATTTTCCGTATAGACGACACATCCTATCTTGAACACGCCACTCAAGGCGAAGGCGCAACGGCCTGGACCCGTGCTCTTACCGTTAGAATGATCACGACTCTTCCAAACCTCAAAACACTGCATCTGTCACTCTGCGCGGAACCGTTCAACGCCCTCAGGACTGTAAAAGAAGGCATGACTGAGCCCGAAGCCTACCTTCCCTTTCGTAGGGCCGTGTCCAATTTTCAGCGGCTACCGCTTGAAGCGGTGACGGTGATCCTTAGTGATGACCCGGATACGTTTGTGGGCGAGGTAATCTTCAGCGAGGCGCTGAGACAAGCTACGCCGCATAACGAATGGGAGTTTTTGAGGGAGAGGATCTGTCTGACGGCTGAGAAGAAAAGGGAATGGGCGGTGCGAACAAGGAGGAAGTTGCTGCAAAGTTGGGACCAGAGCCAAAGCCCTGAAGCTGTGAAGGCCAGAAGGCAAGAGGAATGGGCGAGGAAGAGAAAGAGGCAGGAGACCAACCGAAGCACTGAGGTGCGGAAGCGGTACTGTTTGAGGGGTGGCACAGAGGCTGAGGGTTAATGGTAGCGTCGTGCGGCTTTACGATCTGTCTGGGCTTGAAGTAGCACTGTATGTCACATGCATCAATCCGGTACGACTCCTGCAGCGTTCAGGACGTCTCAGATCTTTTCGAAGAAGCTATGTATCAGGGCACTGGCGATCTGGAACGGAAGACCGGGTACGCAAATGTTGTTCAAGTAATTCTACGCTAAACCTCATGTTATAGTCGCGTCGAGTTTGATACGTGTGATTGCCGCTACGTTACTACGACTCCAGCGTGGCCTTGGCTCTGCGCTGAATACGCTATCCGGCGGTTGGAGTCGTCTTCACACTTCTTACCAAATTAGACAGAAGTAATCACAATGCCAGACGATCGGTGATCTCCACCCACTCCTCCGACTGTTTCCATAGGCCTGAACACTCACTTTTCCAAGGCTTTGTTGGATCCACGATTGCGAAGTCAAAGCTGCGAAGGAGCTGGTCGCAAATCTTTAGCCGAAGCCCCGCGCGAGATCCTAGGAAGGGGCATACAGTTACCTCAAAGAATACTTTGTTTATCTCCATCCAAGCGATGTTCTTCCCCAAGCACTGGTACTTGCCCCAACCAAACGCTAGGTCCGCCGTCTTCTCCATGTAGCCCAGTTTCTCTCCCTTAGCCTCGAGCCACCGCTCTGGACGGAAGGCGTCGGCATCTTCCCCAAAGACGTCCTTCCGGTGATGCACTCCCCAAGCGTTATAGGCCACATTCGTGCCGCCGGGCAGGAACACACGCTTACCATCAATCTCCACCGTGTCGCCTTCCGGCGGCACCACCTTGGGTATCGTTCCTATTACCGACGGATGAATCCTCATACCTTCTCTTATCACGGCATGTAAGTATGGAAGCTCTTGTACCTCTGACGCTCTAATAACTGGACTTGATGCTCGTCCAGACCTGACTGCGGCGTCGATCTCCTCTTGAACCTTGCGGTACGTGGACGGATGGCTTATCAAATACAGCATCGTAGCGCGTATTACTGTAGCTGAGGTGTCACTCCCTGCAAGGACTTGTAGGAGAGACTCCGAGACGAGCTCGTCCTCCTTCACGCCGTGACGGATAAACGACTCGATCATATCCTGGCGTAAGGCCGCCTTGGGTCCGAAGCGCTTCCCGATAAGCTGTTGTGAGATGCTGAAAAATCATTGTCAGCAACCGACGCGTCCATCATCGTTAGAGAGAGGCTTACGCGATCAATCTCCCCACGCCTGTAGCTTCCTCTCCCGACGGGAATGCCATCTTGGCGACCCAGTCGAACGAGATGAGCCAATTGAAAGCTGGAATTGTTCCCAGGAAGATGATGACATCAAGCATCTCCTCAGTGCTTTGAATGTAGTTGTACATATCCTCGTCATGCTCTAGGTCACCGAATGCTTCGCCAAACGCGATTTTGGTGATGACATCGAGAGTGAAGAATTGCGCTTTGCGGGCAAGATCCATCGGTCTGTACGATTGCCTACTGGACATGTATTTATTACGAACCAAGTTGACAAAGCTTTGGACTTCGATGTCAATTGAGTGTTCTAAATCAGGATTCTCTTTGCCAGAGTACTGTGTTAGTCACTACAATGTTAGTGTGCACTACTTTACAGATTAAAGATCACGGAATATTGTTGCCTACACCTGATGCCAATTGAGCCCTTCTTCTTGTGTGGCGCTCTTCATCTATTCCGCTAAAGACATTGTCTCGGCCGGGCTGGATTCTTGACCCAGTGTACCAATCTCCCTTCGTGTAGGGTGAACGTGCGGCGCTCATCCGGAAGAGCATTTCCGGGGAGCTGGTGAGCAGAGTGTTGGTTCCTATACGTGCAAGAGAGCCTACGAAGTGCAATACAGATTGTTACATTTGGAACCTTCTACGGAATAGAGAGCTATGAAGCTGAAACAGTGCACTCAAGATGCCCCTCAGGGTTCAGCAAACACATTCTTCTATAATAGGATCCAGCAATGTCTCCTAAAGGGATATGCTCACCGTATTTCTCATTGATATGGGCATACTCCAAGTGCATCCTCTTGGTCCGAACGGCATAGAGCATCCAGAGACTGGAAAATCCGCTACCCCAAGGTCCCTTGAAGGCTCTCAGCCTGTAGTACTGTCTGAATAATCTAAAGGCGTACAACAAGATCACGACACCGATTAACGGCCAGCGCGCTACGAGCACTGCATCAATCAGAGCCATATTTGCGAAGCTTTTTTTATTTTGGAGGTCTAGCCGCGATGCGTAGGCATCCATCAAGGTACGCTGACACCGGTACCAGGGAGGGCTCGTGGTACTCATATTCTACTTGGTGTTGAAGATGAACCCCTCAGACTTCCAGCCAGGTTGCTGCATGGTTACGTAGTACAGTAAGTACTAGTAGCTCCCGTCCCGATTCCCCCGCCGTCCCGTGCCGTCCATGGTGATCTCACCTTCAGCCCTGGCTCCTTGTTTTGACGTCCAGCCACGGACGCGGGAAACAAGTCAACCTGCCAACCGCATCTTCGAGCAGAAGGGATGAATGAGGTGGCACGTCGGGCAGGGAAGAACTCGCACCGCAAATATCAACTTTAGTATATAATCACTATTTGTAATTCTAAAAAAGTGCTTAAACGTGTGATAGGGCATAGAGAGTATCTTAGAGCATTTTAAACCTTAATAGCTTATAAGGAACTGCGTTGATGGTGGTGAAGAAGGTGGTGAGGAGTGATTTTGCGGTGCAAGCTCTTCCCTGCCCGACGTGGGTGGTAGGTCAATTGGAGAACACCGAGACTTGCACGTACCGTCCCAACATACGATGGATTTGCTTTCCGTCAATGCAAGCGGGTCTGCGCTGCCATCGGAAAGCCATCCACATTCAACGCAGTCAGTAAACACCGGCAGTCTGACGGGCGTCGGCCACCGAACGACGTCCCCACCAACATGCGGATATGGAGACTGCCGTGAACCTTTTCGGTCGCAAAATGGCTCCTCTTTAGTTCTCCATTGCGTCAACCCCCATCGCCTGGCTGTGAGTACCTAAAGAGCTTATCCTTGTATCGATACCTCATGCCAACGTGGCTAACGAAAACCAATCACGCACGCTCGTGACTGAAAACGGATTCCGCTTTCGTAGTGGTGCACGGTAAGGTGCAATTCAATCGCATGCCCGGAGCGTTCTCCCTTCTCTCGCAGCGCCGTTGAACTCACTGCCGGTTCGCCAAGCTCCGATACACCTTCCCAGGATGCCCAACGCTCTTCGATTGTTATCTTTCTCCTGCCACGCCAAGCTGGTACGCGGGAGATGCAAAAGCGTTCATGCGACCACGGCAGGATCAACAAGCTCACTGGGCCGTTGCGCAGGGCCTCACTCCATACCGGTTATCTCTCCCATTTGAGCCGATATGAACCCAGGATGAGGACCCCCAAACGGGCGTCGGCCTTGTGCATGTCATTGGTTGGGGGACCCTGATGCCATGCTCTTCAGATCGATGCATGACATTCGGCTATCCTAAAGGCAAGATGAAATCATCTATGGATACCAACTAAGGACCGGCTGGGATGTCTGCCGCTGCTACCTAGGCACCGTTAGGATAAAGCCCTTACTGCTCGACGCCATGTCCGCGCCTTGGAAGAACCAACTGTTCTAGCACTCCAAGACCAGTCCCTGTGCTGCTACCACTTCCTTCAACTCCTAACTGGGTTCGCTTGTACCGTTTATATCAAGCGTTGCTTCGCAGAGTGCGCATCCTATGCTAGCACAACGCAACGTGCTTGTGCCAAGCTCGACATAGCATATACCTACCCCTTCTAGGGCTTTGGCGTAGTCAATCAACAAACCTGAGAGATGGCTGAAGCCCAGCTACAACTATCAGATTCGAGATTCACGCAGGATCTCGAGAAGAGACGCACTGCAGAAGACAACGACGGCCGTATGCATCTCCCCGAGCAGGTCTCCCACACCACACTAACCCATTGCCAGCAAACACGCCTGCTACGGCTGGGTCTTCGGAACCCGTTTCGGAGGACGAGCCCTCCTCTCCCCCAATCTTTCGCTTACCTACGGACCCGGACGTAAAACTGCTACGCCTCCCCTCCCACCGCCGCTGGCGCGCCTACCTCTTCCAATCAGTCCAACAAGACATCTTCCTCGAAGCCGAGCTGCTCATCCTAACCCTCGCCACGGGCATCCTCGACGCCATGACCTTCGTGTGGTACCGCACCTTCGTGTCCAAGCAAACCGGCAACGCCGTCCTCATCGCCCTCGCCTCGCTCGAGTCCAAAGCGGTGGTTCAGACTGAACCGCACGTCGCGACCTCGCTGTGCGTATTTGTCGCTGGCGCCGCTATCTTCGGACATGTTGGCCACCTCATTGGCCAGCATCGGCGTGTTTGGCTGATTATTAGCAACGTGCTGCAGACGGCGCTGGTGTACGGCGCGACTGCGCTCCGCTTCTGGGGCTCCGATCGCAGCAATGGGCCCGAATCTGTTGGGGTCGTAGCACTTTTGGCGCTTTCGTAAGCACTCGGGTTGTTGTTGTTTTGAGACCATCTAACGTTCTCTAGGTGCGGCGGCCAGATAGCGCTAGCGCTCTGTGTCAAGATGCCCGAGCTCAACACCACCATGATCACAGGCGCGCTCGTCATGCTCGCAGTCGACCGAAACATCTTCAAGCGCAAGAACCTGGCTCGCAATAGGCGGGTGCTGTCCTTCCTCACCATTGTAGCTGGAGGCTTCATTGGTGCCGCTGTAGACCGATACTTCTCGCCTACGTTTAGCTTGCTCCTGGTGGCTGTCCTCAAGACCATTGTGACGGTTATGTTTCTCTTTAATAGGGGGACGAAGAAGAGGAGGATCAACTTGGAGGGGGCGACGGAGAGTGCCCGGAGCTCGGTCACTTTCTTGAAAGCGATTTGGGGCGATTGAGTGTAGAGGGCTTCCGAACAACTTACACCGGCATGCGGACGTGGTAATGCTTGTCTGGGCCCTGGACAGCACTGTCTTAATGGGACTGGAGCTTTTGTTTTGTGTCATGATGGACGGTTTTAGCGTTCTACTGCATATTCGCATGCTTCTAGATCGGCCTCAGAAGACTTATGTCTCGAAAGCCAAGCAGGACATGTCACAAGCACCATAGGAGTCGAGGAGAAGTAGTCTATATTTGCGTGCGACCCGGGTCGCTGGGTGCCTGTTGGTTGCACTACGAGCTCATTCGCGCCCCCTGCTGTCGCTTCAGCTTTCTACGCGCAAGCAACGCGCCTACAAGCACCAAAAGCATCGTGATAAGTGCCGCAAGCAAACCACTTGAGTTCCCGTTTGAGTTCCGTTCCGCCGCAGCCTCCAGTCACAGAGTCTGCTCCTTCTCGAGCGGCGGTATCCGCTGATTCAGGTATTGCTCCAGATGATCAATCTCCACGGGATCAGCCGAGTGCGGGAGGTTACTGCGAGTTTCATTGGCGTCAGCATACCCGTCGTCTACACATGACCGTCGTCCTTGGATCCGATGCAATGTGCACTATCTCACAAGCGCCAGCATCATGGGCCACCGCCGCCGGTTGTACGGCGCGCAACGCCGAGCGTGAACGGGCTACGAGGTCAACACGTACTGGTATGTCCTGAAATCGACAGTCCACCCCCACTCCTTCAGCTTCTCGGCCGTGCGCTTGCCCCACTCGTACCGAACGACTTGGTCGGCATCGCCGTGGCCCATGAAGATGGGCGTGTCCTTGTTCGGGTTTTGGGCGGGCACCATGTCCTATCAACCATCAATCAGCCTTCCATACATCTCCCAGTCCCTGCTTCCATCCCTGTTGAATTCGTCGTCTCTTTTGGGGGAGAGGTTTTAGGTACCTTTATCCGCCCCTGCAGCAACAGGTAGCTCGACAGGCCAAAGATGCCGCCGAGCTTGTGCGGGCATGTCAACCCTGCCATGAGACTCATGGCGCCGCCTTGCGAGAAGCCCCCGATGACGATGCGTTCGCTGGGTATGCCCTTCGCCATCTCTTGGTTTATGACTTGGTGGAAGTAGCTGCAGGAGCGGATGATGCCAGGCTCGTCTTCGCGCTGGGCTATGTCTGATAGAGACAGCTGGCGGCGTGTCAGCAGTTTGTCCGACATGGGCAGACTAAGCGGGGAGGGGCCAAGGCGAGATGACGGGTGGACGACGGGTATGACACAGGCAGATGGTGGGACAGGCAGACGGCGGGCGGACGGAAAAGGGAGAAGGAGCCCGGACGGAAGCAGTGACGGCGTCGCGCGGTCTTACAATGTCGTACCACCCCGGCATGCGCATGCCAAAGTTCTGGTTGCGGGTCAGCAGCAGTCGCTTTGACATGGCGAGGAGCAGGGGCAGGCACCAGCGTGATGGGTATCTGCGGCGCATTGGGGAAGATGAACTGGACTTCCTCGAACTTGTTCCGCCGGCGCCAGTTCTCGGCGAGCCAGATCCTGTGGTGTTGGCATCAGTGCTGCTGAGGCGTGTATGGGTGTGTTGGGCGAGTTACCAGCCGGCGCCGCTGTTAAAGTGTCAGTGTATTCTTCGCGACGAAACTATGTTGATGGGGGAGACGGTACCTGTCACCCAAGCCATGCGCGACTATGACGGTGGCAGTGTGCCGCTTGAGCGCGGGGACAACCAGCGCTGCAGGGCCTGACATGTTCCGGTGGAGGGCGACGTCTGTCAGTTGTGGTGTGGCTTTGGTAGGGCTGCGATAAGGTTGTGGAGGGGCCGAGGGCGGTGAGGTGTAGTGGGCGGTAGTGGCAGCCGGTCGATCGGGGATTTATCTATACCGCTTCTGCAGCCGTTCGGCGTGTGATTGTCTATTCTTGCGCTGAAGTAAGTCACATGAGTCTACAGAGTAGCACGCTGAAGGGAGAGCATCATTTCACCAGCTTCAATGTGTCGACTTCACTAAGGTAGCTTCACCATCACGATCACCATCACGATCACCAACGTCACCGCCCTGCACGTGCCTTCGCGCCCGGTTCCTGCATGCCAAGCTCCTGCGGCCTTCCCGCTGATCTGATCTGATCTGATCTGACACGGGCCTCAAGGGGCGTCGGAGAGGACGTCATGAATTGAGGCTGCTACGCCAGTTCATAACCTGACCTGGATGCTGCTTGAGAGCAGCCGTGAAAACTTGTCCTTTCCTCAGTTTCAAAACGTCACTGAGGACCGTACGCAAGCTTCGCATACAGCCCATTGTCCCATTTATAACACGCCCAGACCTCATCTTGAGCGCTCTTCCTCACAGTCATCCTACACAATCATATATCAGCCATCCAAACTCACCTGGCCAATTATATTTCTAAGATTCAGCCGTCTTTCACCTATCTGCGTCTTTTTTCGAGGTTCGCTACTCCTAAAATCAAGGTTGCCTGGAGCAGTCTGCTAGCAAGCCGTATCATAACATTGAACCCCATTCAAACTCATAAGTTCTTTGCGCCTCGTTTCGCCATCATGGCTAGAACCACTCGCTCTTCGGCTGCAAAAGCTGGTGCTGCTGCTGGTACAAGTGAAGTCCAGGACGAGCCTCAGCAGCTTTCCAGCCCTCCGCCAAGTCCTGCGCTCGCGGAAAAGCAGGCACCCAAGAGAAGAACTCCTGCCCGGAAAACTGCGCGAACCGACAAGAAGGACCACGTGAAGAAGGAGCCCGCCACGCCAAATACCTCACGCAAGCGCACAAGAACCGCCGCCAAGGAGGAGGAAGAGGCGGACGAAGACAACGACGAGCTGCCTCACAATCTTGGCAAAGCGGCAACAGCTCAGGAGTCGAAGGTCAAGCAAGAGGCCGAGCCAACGCCTAAGAAAAGAAAGACGCGCAACGCGACCAAGAAGGCCGAGCTCTCATCTGCACTCGAGGAAGCCAAACCACTGGTAACCAAACTCGCTCAGCTATCGGGGAAGAACGACATCGGCGACCCTACTGCCTCTGCCGCGCCCGAGGAAACCCCCAAGAAGCGGACGAGCAGCGCGAAAAAAGAAAAGTCGAACAACTACGGCCTGAAGAAAGGCGAGACGCCCTACCCCGACTGGCCCCACCCCACACCTGCGGAATGCCAAGAAGTCGTCGACGCACTCAGCAAAGTGCACGGCAAAGTCACCGCCCCCAAAGAGATACCAATCCCCTCCCTCACCGTGTCCGGCTGCGGCGAGGTCCCCAGCGTGCTGGACGCGCTAATCCGCACGCGTCTCAGCGCCGCCACAAACGGCGCAAACAGCAGCCGCGCCTTCAAAGGCCTCGTCGAGCGCTTCGGCGTCCTGCAGTCCGGCGTCGGGAAAGGCTCGGTCGACTGGGACGCAGTGCGGCGCGCGGACCTCGCGGACGTGTTCGAGGCGATCAAGAGTGGAGGCCTCGCGGACGTGAAGAGCAAGGACATCAAAAAGATCCTCGACATGGTGTATGCCGAGAACCAGGCACGGCGGAAGGCGTTGACCACGTCGTCGTCTGCAATGCCCGCCGGTGCAGAGAACTCGTCCAAGGAAGCCACGGACGCCGAGATCGCGCGTGCGGACGAGGGCGTCCTGAGCCTCGACCACCTGCACCAGATGGAGAGCGAAGACGCGTTTCAGCACCTCATCAAGTACCCCGGCATCGGCCCCAAGACCGCCAGCTGCGTGCTGCTGTTCTGTCTCCAGCGCCCCTCCTTCGCTGTCGACACGCACGTCTTCCGGCTGTGCAAGTGGCTCGGGTGGGTGCCGCCGGACAAGGCGACGCGCAACACGACCTACGCGCATTGTGAGGTTAGAGTCCCGGATGAACTCAAGTACCCGCTGCACCAGCTGCTGATCAAGCATGGCAAGTCGTGTCCGAGATGCAGGGCTATCACGGGGGAGAGCAGCGAGGGCTGGGGTAAGGGGTGTCCGATTGAGCATTTGGTTAAGAGGGTTGGGGGGAGGAAGGGGGGGAGTGGTGGGCCGAGTCCGGCGAAGAGGAAGGGGAAGGCGAAGAAGAGGGGGAGGCAGGAGGAGAGTGAAGAGGAGAGCGAGTTGAGTGATCTTGGGACTGAGGAGGAGAGTGTGGTTGAGGAGGAGGTGGAGGAGATGGAGGACTAGTAAGGCAGGTCTACCAAGCTGTCCTTAACCTTTCCAGCATTATTGCTAGCATCTCATCACTAAGAAGACTCTTACCATCCTTCGTCGTCGTGTTCAACGCTGCATGCCTTCTTTTCGGAACTCTTGCTCGGCCAGAACTCCCAGTTCATGCAGGACCTCTCTCTGCATCTCCAGCTGGCGCAGTCTCCCTTCTCACTCCATCGCAAACCACCTCCACTATCACAGCTTACTCCCAATTTGACCACCACCATCCTCCGTACTCGCCGTGTGGTCTTTCTTGCCCTGTGCCGGCCTCCACAGCTGTGCAGCCCCCGCGAGAATACTCCCCGCCCTCGTCAAGCCGTTCACCGCTCCAGCACCATAACCCCCCATAGCAGCACTCTGCGCAGTAGCAAAGACGCCTCTCGCTGCGCCGGTGCCGAATGTGCTCATGATGCCGCTCGCTACTGACGCTGCGAACACAAAATGAAACATTAGCAGTGGCTGTAGGATAGGTTGGGTGTGGCTTACCGGCACGCGGCCCCTGCGACGTGAAGCCTAGCAACGAGAGGACCGGGGAGGTCAAGGCGGCGGGGGTGAAGTAGACGATTCCGTTGGCGATGTGGAAGGCTGTCTGATAGGGATGCTCCTTGATGTAGGTCGCGATATAGTCTCTGGCCTGCTTTGGCAGTTCTTCGTAGTCGACGGCCACGAGTTTGTCCTTCAGATCTCCAAGAGCAGTCTGAGTGGAATCCTTCAGCGTTTGGGCGCTGCGAGCAATGGCGTCAACACTGTCTGGCATATCGGAGAGAGCCTTCACCGTGCCGGCTGAGAAGCCCTTGAAGAAGTTGGCTATGTGATCGATCGGCGTCTGGAGGAAGTGTGCTGAAGGGGGAACCGAGGGCGGCATGGTGGGCTCATCAGCTGTCGCGGGCGGGAGGGTTGCTACCGCTGCGATGGCGAAGAGCGAGATGATGAAGTGGTGCGCTTTCATTACGAAGATGCAATCAGGACCAAGTAGCAGAGGTAGGTAGTTTCTTTGGAGCACAAGAAGATACCAGTGGAAATGCGGCGTGGACTGAGACAAGGCTTAAGTGAAGTGCAAACGCAAGGCTGATCAATCAGGCAGCAAGGCTATAATCATTGACCTCGCGGAGAGCCTTATATGAAGCATGGCACACCGAATTGAACCTAACGCAGCTGCGTGCAGCCTGAGCAAGGCAAGCTGGGCGCGTAGATTGAATCTATGTGTCGCCTTGCGCTCCGCGCCTAGGCGGTACCTATCATGACTGTCACGTGAATACACGTTTTACAGTTTTCAATACAAGCTTCGAAATCTCGTATCAAAACAGCATGAGAAGTGTTATTGGCGGTCCGAAGGACGTGCCGAGAATCTTCACCAGTAGGTATCGACGCCCTTTGGGTGGTCGAGGGGGGATAGCTAGCCGTCATCATCCATAATCTTCGGGAAACTCCCAAACAGAGCGCTTTCATGTACAAGGTAGTAGCGATCATGAATGATTGATACATAATGTTCGTACGGCAAATTATCTACTCCAAGCATGTCCCGATACAGATCCCAAGGGTTTTCTCCCTCTGTCCAACGCCAACGTATCGGTGCCGTTCTAGGCATTACCATCGAACAAACAGAAGGGGTCGGGTCTTGGGATTGAACTGAGGAACTCAAAATAGTGATAGATAGACTCAAATATACCTGGTGAACATAAAGCATGTTGTGTCTAGTAAAAAGACTGCGCAGACATCTAATCCACAATTCGCAGAAGCCCCGCAGTTCGCACCTGTCTTTGAACGTTGAGAGATCAAAGTATGTCCATACCCCCTAGTTTTCATTCCCTCATACGGTACCCAGTTTGCCCTTCGAAGACACCATGATTTATGGCGCTCAAGCCTTAATCGGCGCCTCAGCCTTCTTGACCGCGCCCTCAGGATCCTTAACAATCCCCTCCGCAATCTTCCCCTCATGCTTGGCCGCCTTCTTCGCCTCCTCTGGGAACGTGCTATTCTTAATACTCTGATGATACGAGAGGATGCGCCCAACCTGGGTAGCCCCGACGCAGAACAGGAGGAAATTCACAGAAGCCAGGCTGTAGTTGCGGAGGTCAGATCAGCCCACTCAGATCCTGCATCGCTTTGTGTTGTTTCCAGGCGGGGGCGGGGTGATGGGGCAGGGAACGTACAAGATGTTCCTCGGCTTGATAACGAAGCACCAGCGCGTCCAGATCGCGCCGGTTGCCATCAGGGCGAGATTCTGGGTCAAAGAGAGAGACTCGGCGGGACGCGCGAAGTCGGATATGCCTGTGAGCACGACGCCCCACTATTGAGGCACGGGAGGTCAGCGCAAAGTTGTTGGGGCGCGGTGAGGCACTTCGGAAGTTCTAATAGCTACGCGTAGGGGAGTGGGCGCAAGGATGTTCGGGCGCAAAGATGGTAGTTGGAAGGGAAAGGCTTACTTTGAAGATTGGCGCCCTGTAGGAGAGTGGGACTTAGCAATTATTTCTTCCGTGTTTGCATATACGGAGCTGTTTTCTCCCCTCCGTACGTCCGTCGCAGCATGGGCTTACCAGAAATGCACCGTCTTAGGCCCAATCGGACTCCGCCATAGCCGCTGGAATGCGTTCAAGTTGCTGGGCGGCTCAACAGTGGTCTCTGCGGTGGTGATGCGGCGTCGGACTGGTTGGCGGAAGAGGGACTGGCGGAGGGTGCGAGAGGTGAGCTGGAAGGCGCGGAATGGGGATTTCGGAGCCATGTTGGCAATGCAGCTGGAGACTTCGAGGAGGATGGGCGGAAGAGTGGAAGCACAGAGAAGGTGGTCGGTATACGACAGTCAAACAGATGTCGCTCCCAATGCCCGTGCCGACAGTTGAGGCGGAGGCCCGCCCGGTTGATGTCCGGCATCGCAGGCCTGCATAACTTTATGCAGCCGGTTGACCTCAAGCTTCGGACTGAAGCACTGCTGCATCACCGTCGCCGACACTGCCCGTGTCACCCTGCCACGATGGCCAGCAAGTACGCCTTCACGAAGAGCTTGAAGGAGATACGGTTCCTGCTATGCCAGTCCTCGGAGCATAGCGCTGCTGCGCGGTACGCAATCCCAATATCCAGAGCCCTCCGTTGCGCTGCTGTTCCAGGACCTCGCAGTATCTATAGCAAGAACTTCGCTAATGGAGGATTCGAGCAGGTCATTCCTCACACGAACGTACCCCACGATGAAGAAGCACAACCCACACACCCCGATCATGATAAGAGAGGCACTAGGCGTGGAGCCAAAGGTGTATGCGCGGTACGGTAGGTACATCGAGTGCGGGATAGGGAGCATGCGAGTGCTTTGACAAGGCTGACCAACGATCCGGTAGAGTTCGGCAAGGAGAAAATGGTGCCATTGAAGGGTAAGTGGGCTGTGCCGCGCTGCCTGGAGAAGCAAGCGCTGACTGGAGACAGGACTGGACGACAAGGCGATCGAGGGCAAGATCACAGAGCTGGTTCAGGCGGGCGCATAAGATCAACAGCGAAGCAGGGCTGCTACACTGTATACACGTCGACTTCACATCCATATGCGACCCGGTTCTTGCGAAATAACATACACTCTATTGTTACTGTGCTTCTTAGTCTGTCGACCCTTTCACCCAGGTCTCGAGCTCAATTTCTAAGTGTTTGTGCCCACGCCACCTTATCTTGTCATCGCACATGCGGCCTGTGTGCCAACCCCTCGATGTGCGCCGGACTCAGCTGCAAGACGCTCCACATCCCTTTTTCCCGTTACATTCGATGAATGGCCGTATGGGCGTCGGGGCTTTCGGGCCTTGTTTTCAGATGTTCGTAACCATGGCCCGCCGCAATGTGCGGCGGAATGATCCCAAGCGGCTTGCTGCGGCGACGCTGGGGATGCAGCCAGGAGCCAGACTATTCAAACCTGGCGGAATAGTATATGTTCTATCAGTTGTCATCATTGTTCCTGGAATGCCTTTCGCTGTGATGTTCGTTACATGTCGCCTCTGATACGGACTGTTGGAGGCGTAGTTTTTTCACACTGATTTCGCAACCGCCAAGAGCGCTTCAGGCGTGACTTGCAGCAGTCGCTTCGCACAGCCTGACGAAAGTTGTTGCATCGAGCTCGATTCTGGTTGCGGAAACAATGAAGCGCACGAGTGGTTGTCTCAGGGTGCTGGTTGCTTCGTAAGAGGCCGAATTCTGCGGTGATGTCCAGCTTTCGTCTGCTTCGAGGTAGGAAACACCAATGTTCGGACATCGACGCGTTCAGAAAATCGGCTTGTTCTTCGAACAAATATTACGTGTACGACACGATAAGTTCCCCGAAGCGCGCGCCCGGCCGCTAAGAGCCGCAGCTCGAGAGAGCTGCTTGCGATTTCAGACGTTCCGTAGTTAGAGAACTGCAGCGTAGGCTCACACTCCTGCAGTGTGGAAGTTCCGTACAGTGTGAGCAATAATTCGCGGCAACGCAACATGTCCTTTCGTCTTGCCGGTGAGAGGAAGGCGTCCATAGCTGGGTGACGGAGTTGCAGTCACCCTCTCGAAGAAGATCCGCGCTTGTCGTAAGGCGAATATCTGGCGTATCCGCTCAATCGTGTGATCCTGGAAGTGTTTGAGCAGATGTGCCCCCGATAGTCTGCCTTTGAATCTTGACACCAAGTTCCTCGATTTGCCTAATTGCCTCTTCATCGGATGAGTACGGCTCGGCCAGTACCTCCTTCATTCTTTCTGTCCAGTAGCCGTCCAAGAATTCTAGGAGTGGTTCTTGCCGCTTCTCGAACTCAAAGCTGAATTCCGCTACAAGATCTTCCAGCTGCGCGATAAAGATGCGCTGCTCCTCCTGGATCTCGTCGATCTCAGTCTCGTCCGGCATGGGAGGTTGACTCTGCCGCAAGTAGTAGATCTCTCCCTTACAGCAAGTGTGTGTAAGCTCTAACTCTTCAAATGTCTTTAGACGGATCAGCTCGAGAGCAACCCTCGCTGAAGTCTTCTTGTCCATTCCACCTGCAGTAACAAGCATCTCGGTCAAAGAAAGTTCGAAGTCTCGAAGCGGTCTAATGTAGAGTTTACTGCCGAGTTTCAGGCCGATTATGAAACCGTTCATGAGATTTGCTGCAGGACTGCAACCGCTCGTTGAACACGCGCATCGACATGTGTCGAAGATGCTCGGCCTTAAAATGATGGCAAGTAGGCGTTCTACGTCATTACCGAGATACAATCCTGGGACAGCTGCTCTGTTTTCGATTCTGTAGACGAGCCGGTTGTTCACATGGCGGGCCAATCCCCTGCCCAAGCCTGATCCAATTACATGTGCAGCGGTGGTCCACGGCCTCACAGTCGACTGTTCTTCAACATCCGCTCCGGAGCAGTCTGGCAGACGTCGAGTCAAGCTTGCGCCTTTCTCCAATAGCCAAAAGACGAATCTGATTGTATCCAACGATCTCCTAAGATCACCGAAAAGTGTATAAGATAGAGGTGTCCAACCATCGCAATCCGGACTGTCGATATCATGAAAGCCCGCTTCGTAGATTTTATCCGCTAGATATTCCTCAAATGCCTCTCTACCATGGTAATTAAACCGACCATGGTAGACAGTCGTTCCGAGCCCGGAACATTTAATTGCGGCCGGGATAGGAATACCGACTACGTCCAGAGCTTGACAAACATCGTATGCTTGTCGGTCGAGAACTGTATGGCTCTGCAGGTTAAGCTGCCACAGCTGCTCCTGGGAGGCGGATCCCAAGTGTTCCAAGGTAAACTCTGAGAGGCGTTTTCGTCTGTCCGCCAACGTATCGATTAGCAGGTGAAGGACGTCATCGTGCCAGGAGTCCTCGATCGCTGTATCCAAGATATTGACGTTGAGTGCGCAGTCAGCATCGAGAAGAAGCCGCAATGCCGGCAAGTTGTTGCGAGCGCTAGCATGAAAAACGGGAGGGTATCCGAACTCATCCTTCGTGTCAAGAACCGCTTTAAAACCTGAGTCAAGTAGCAGAGCTAACAGCTCAGGCTGATCAGCGGCTAGGTGAAGGGGCGTAAACCCAAGTGCGTCGCGCTCATGGAGTGGAGCTGGAAAGCGGCGAAGCAGTCGTCTTACTTCATCCGAGGACCTCGAGAGGATTGCTGTACTAAGCTTCCCGCACTGCGCGACTGGCCCGGCAGGCTCAGTACTTGATCTAATAGCACTTATGATCAACTCACCTTCTGCCATATCTTCAAATCTTGCGAGCCAATCAGCAACATGCAAAGCATCTACAGGGCTACCACGCCAAGCATGGCAATTGACCCAGTCCGCCCCCCGATCACGCAGCGAGTTGGCGATAGAGTATATGCGCGACAGATCATATTCACCGTCGGCCCTAGTAAGCCAGTAAGGGGCCGTGTAGCTGACGAAAAGATTATCCAATACACTCCTACGTTGATCAGTAAGCACATCCGGAGAATAGTGGGCGATCCAGCAGACTGACCTTCCATGTGAATCTACAGCGTCAAGCGGTACACCTATACGAATTAACTCCAGAAGGAACTCACGATAGCTTTCAAAGACGTCGCGTTCCCAGCGCTCGACCATAGAGGCGGAAGAGCAGGCTGAGAGAGCATACTGCGTATTAACGTTAGTAATGGCATATCGATAATGCCAGGAAATCGCATACTGTCAGCAAGGTCTCTCCATTCACATCCTCTACATCACCTGGCGAGGCCCCGTCCTCCTGGAAAAGCCTTCCTAGTTGCCGTATGGTGTTTTTGAAATCCACACATGTGAGTTGACGGCGACCTCTATAAAACAGACTATCTACGAGTTTGAAAGCAGGAGAGTCGGACGGGACGGTAGCACGGAAGATCAAGGCGGGACTAATTGACAGCGCTCCAGCTCCCTTAGAGACCGTCATAGTAAATTGTACTATTTTGTTCAGCCAGTACGCGGAGAAGGGCAGACTCAGTCCAAGCGTCGTGGTACGCTTTGCCGTTCTGAACCAGGGACAGTCGCGGCGATGTGTGACCTCTGTGGAGTGGAAGATGGTTATTGACCGCGTTAAGCCTTTCTGGTTGCGGCTTCGAACACCTGCTCTGCAATTACAGAGCGGCTCACCGAACGACGAAAGTGTTGTGTTGCTGCTGCGACCCATGAAGTCCGGATTGGATCGCTGGACAGCGTCGCAAGTATCCTTGAGGAAGCTGGGACTCTGAAGTAAGTGCCGGCTGGTTTCCTGCATGTCTGACTCCTACTTCGGTTAGGTAAGATAAAACAACCGTGACCGGATCGGCTACCTACCAGTCGACCGACTTCTTCTAAGCTTGTAGCTGAGGTGGCGGACGGCATCAAGCGTGAATGGATGAGCTGCTGCACACACGTTTCGAATGTGACCAGGATACGCTCCTGAATTTGATCAGGCAACTGATCAATCTTCGTCTCAATACTTGGTAAGCGAGAGTTGAAACCGGTGTGTAAAGATTGAACGGCGCAGCTAACGTCCTCTAGTACCGACGTATGTGTGTCGGCCTTTTCCAGCAGCCTCAAGCCGGTTTCCTCTACTCTCGGCAGTTTGTTGCGGATCACTGGTGCAATGTCTAGTATTGTGCTCTTCACCGGTGCGAACTCTGCTTGAAGATCGTCTACTTGTGTCCCTGTGGCTGCCAGGCGACGTTGGAGCTCAACAGTATCATTTGCGGTCGACGCGGCGGCCTTCAGAAGACGGTCCAGATCAGAAGATTGCTGGCCACTGAGGGCTCTGTGTCGTCGTTGTCAGTGTCTGCTAAGCAACCTTGGGGGCGCTCTTACAGTTGGAGAATTTCCACCGCCAACACCAAGTTGCTGCGCAAGCTCTCCACATTGTCCCTCAAGGCATTCAAGACCGGCTTTCTGAACGGAAAGAGCCCTCTTCTCCACGACTGTTGTAGCTTCACCGAACCACCAGGTGAGGGAGTAGCGCGGCATTTGTCGAGATGAGTATCTAAAGCCTTGATACGGCCTTCGGACGATTGCATACAGCTCTGCACCTGGGTAACTAGGAGGGCCTGTTCTGCAGGGAGTCCTTGAAGCACATCCCTCAACAGGACGAAGAGGCCTTCAAGACGACGTATCAGTCCGACAGTCTCGGCGATATCGTCGTCGTACGCTGAGTAGGCTGTATAATAGCGGATGAGGCCTTGACAGACCGTCAGTCCAAGGGAAGTAACCCCGACAGCACTCCCAGCGATCGAAAATGGATCTGTCATTGCGGACGAAGTAGTGCCTCGTTGCTGGAAGCTTGACACAGGTCCAGGAGACGGATGAGAAGAAACTCAAGAGCAGGGCGAGAAAGAAACGGACAACAGAGAAGTTGCGGGGAGCTTTCTCTCCGCAAGGCTGTGCTGACACCCACACTCCGAGCACAAGCTGGTCCTATCAGCCTTGGGTAAAGTTCATGGCTGCCGTGCAGCTCGAGGCTGAGCACGCGGCTGTGTTGTCCCACAGGACAGCACAATGGCCGCAGCCCATGGCTTCCCTACAAACAGCTTGGTTCCGCTTGTGGAGTACTACAAGCATTGAGGTATCCTTCATTCTCCCATACATAGGTATATTAGAAGAAACCGCGGCATCGCGCCCTTGGTGTCTAAGGTTCAAGCGCCTGAAAATGCCATTCTTGTCGTTGCGTATACAGCACGTGATCTCTTGTATACATACCCTCCCCAGATCTAAGGACATTACCCACGCCTCTATGCTGATATCGAGGCCCCGCCCCTGCCTTCTGCAAGCCATCACCCTAATAACAACGCCGCCAACGCCGCCGCTAGAAGATACTCTATCGATACTATTCATACCAAAGCTCATCATAATGCAACCCAGCCGCTTAGACAACACCCCATCTTTCTCTATTCTATCCCCATACATCACCGCCGCAGCAACGGCGCCTCTTCATCCTCTTCCCTCAAGCTCCCATGACCAGACCCTTCCTCGTCCTCATCCTCACCACTGCCGTCATCCTCACTTCCCCCCTCCTCACTCCCCTCCTCCTCATCCCCCCCATCCGCCTCCAAATTCTGGCCCCTGATGCCATAACACAGCAAAAACCCCACAAACGCGATCCCGCCAAAGACGCCGAAAGCAAGCAACTCGCCCTTGGGCTTGACGTGCGTCGCGGCCGTGAAAAGACCGCCAGAGATGAAGGGACCGACGGCGCGGCCGGCGGCGCCGAGGGTTTGGGCGAGGCCGTTGAGGGTGCCGAGGACGGCGTGGTTGGGGGAGGAGTTTGTGAGCTGGGGGAGGGGGGTTAGCTCGACGGTTCGCGACGTGTCCCGAGGCAGTACAGTTTCTGTGCAGAGGTAGGGAGATGGGATGGTGGAGGCGCTTACTAATGGCAGGAAAGCAGCAAGCCCGCCTACTGAAGCGATCTTGACGATAACTAGGATGAGCCCTAGCTCGATCCACAGCCACGTCTTGCCCTGGTTGGCCCCCGTGCCTGAGGGATCCTTGTACCCGACCCAGGGTGTTAGGAAGAACCCGATCGTGAACGCTGCAAAGCTGATCTTGTAGGTCGTCCTGTAGCCCAGCTTCTCGTGCAGTTTGCCGTAGAGGCAGACTTGGAGCACGATGACAGCGACGCCGGAGAAGGCTAGCGAGAGGCCGATTTCCTCGGGCGAGAGAGCTCGGCCTGTGGGCGGGGGCGCTTGGCCGAAGATGGGGTAGAGGGAGAGATAGGTGACGTTTGAGAGGTTGAAGATCAAGCTTGTGATGAGGAGGAGGACGGTATCCCGGTTGAAGACTTGCTTGTATGTGAGACCATCGCCTGTGACCTGAGGTAATAGAGATGGTAGAGAATGGTGCGATGCCGTGTCTGTTATACTGTCTCCGTCGCCAATCGTGCCGTCAGCGTGATTGCTATGGCGACGCTTTCCGTTCTCGGCGCGTGGTCGGAGGTAGGTTGGTCTGGTCGAACTGGCGAATTGCCATATCCATGTGAAGAGGTTTCCGACACGCTTGCCTAAGGGTGGAAGGTTCTGCGCCTCGTGTAGACTTTCCTCGAGGAAGAGCATGGCAATCACCGTGTCCAGGAGCAGTAGAGCAGCAGAGACGAGGTTTGGCACAAGGTACGGGTAAGGGTTGGGCTGTCCCTTCTTAAACGGATTCTCTGGAAACACAAGCACACCACCGATCAGTGGTCCCGTAATCGCACCAAGGCCGTAGATCACCGGTAGGTATTGAAATGCTGTTGACTGGTTGCTGCGGTCCGTAATCTCGCCCAATATCGTGGAGACTATGCCTTGGTTGCCGTTCACTAAACCCATGCATACCTGCACAAGTATGGCGTGCCACAACCTCGTTGAGAAGCCCAGTCCGATGAAGCATGCCGCCGTCATGACTGTTCCAAGCAGAATGACGGGTTTCCTTCCGATCCTATCCGAGAGCCAGCCCCAGAAGAAGTTCGTTGTAACCTGTGCCAGCGCGAAGGCAGAAGCTATCATGCCCACGTAAAGCCCAATTTCTTCCTCTTCGACCTCCGGAAACCTCGACGCCATGTCCGGTAGATACGGACTTATGCTGTTGAAGGCAGTTTGCTCTGCCAGAGCTATGACTGCCAGTACGGCTAATTGCTTGTACGGTAGCGGGTGTTCTTGTGAGGCAGCTGAGTCGGCGCTATCCCGTGATTGGGGAGAGTCGACATTTGTGTCGGAAGCAGACGACGGAGGAGGACCTCGTGAGGTTGGAGGCTTCGTAGGGAACGTCTGGTAATGCATTGTGGAGGACTTGCGGCGCGGGCCCATGGCAGGCTTCTTGGGGTTCGGCATGGTGGAGGGCAGAGGTGCGTCACGGCGGACGCTGAAGGTGAGGTTTGCCTCTAAGAGACAAGTCACTCAGAGTAGCGGGTCAGGCCATATGGAAACACAGTTGTTCTGCACAGATCCGACGACGGGGAATCTGGTTAGAAACACGAGATCTTGCGGCGCAAAATCCGCCGAGTGCAGCCAGCAGGAACTACGTCAAGGCTTGGCGGTCAGCCCTAGCGGTGACGATGAATAGTATCGGTTTCCATAACAGCAGTTGTATTTGTATGGCCCCTGAGGGTGTCACTTAGTAAGTTGGGTCACCACCATCTAGTTTGACTGCTCCCAAGCGTCAGTGGGTTCTTCAAAATTGGATATGCGTGGTGGTCCGCTATATGTTTAGATCTGGCTGCTTGCGGATATGGTTATAAGACAACCATGAAGTGTACAAACTGAAGGTATTAAGCCCGGAAAGAGACGGAAAAATGATTGTACAGCATCCTCAAATGCAGTTACTACCTGCTTGAGTGACTCCTGATCTCTTGCCGCAGCCTCTCGGACTGTTCTGCAAGCCCTCGTTGCTCCTGAAGCACCTTCTCCCTCCGCGCTGCGCTCGACTTCGCCTCATCTTCAGCTGCTGCTTCCCATACTGAAGCAAAGATGTTAACAGGGCAAGATCTTACAAGCTGGACGGGGTTACCATACTGGGCTTGTCTGACTTCGAGTACTCCTTCAGCTTGTTGACAAAGTGATCGAATTCTTCCTGCTTCTGCTGCCGATTTTGCAGTGACCGCTTCTGCAGTTCCGGATTGTACTTCTGCAAAGGTCGTTAGAGTCAAATTCCCGGAGCCGGAGTTCCTCTGGTAGTGTGTAGCATACCTTGAATAGCTCTTCCTCAGTCGGCGTGACATACCATACTAGGTACGGGCCACCAATACACAGCGTCGCTCCTCTGGCAGCTTCATTAGCATAGCCCTCCAAGAACGATTCGATCAAGGCCCATCTTGATGCAACGTACGTAACGAGCATCTTAACCCACGTCCCCGCGGTCGGCATGGTGGCGGTCGATCGAAGTCAGATGATTCTCCCACGGTTCGACCTTGCAGTTTCAAGCACCTGAACGTCTTCTAAGCTCGGATGGCGTGTGTTCCGGGTGCTAAATTAAGGAGAATGTCAAGGTTGAAAGCAGACGGTGGATGACCGAGCTGATCTTGCTTCAGAGGTCGACCAGGTCATGGAATCATCATATCCGCAGTTCGTGGCTGTGCAGCTCACCAGCCACGATCTGCAGGGGGACCGCATGAAGAAATCTCCATGTTCGCGTGCGCGGAGCTCCGCAGACCGCGCTGCTGCAGGCACATCGGCATTAAGTTACTCAGTCGCATCCAACGTCTGATTGGAGTTGCCGAAGCGCGCACGAGAACGAGGGCAGCCTCGACTGCTGGCCCTCCGTATGAGACCTTCAACCACTGACCACGCTCCTTTGCACTTCAACACTCCTGTCGTTCTCTCCGCCGTTAACCTGAAACCGCTCCGTCCTCAAACACCGCCGCAATCTTTAACCTGCTTTAATCCGTACCTGTAACCTGACCGTAGCTCATTCGAGAGCTCCTCGACTCGCGTGCTGGAGCGCCAATCTGTGCAGGTCTGCTCATCTAAGCTGTCAGCCTTCATTCTTTGAGTGGCTGTGCCCCAAACAAGGTTCTTGTAGCCAGATCCTTGAGCCAACCTTCTTTGAAACATCGTCATATTCAAGACCCTCCACGCACGTTGCGCGCATCTCCCAAAGACTTGGCCATCCTCTCACAAGGTGCTGGTCACCGTCAATACTATCGTAACAAATCGCTGCTCACGGTGCTGACCGGCTTTCGCTCTCTCCCCCCGCAAGACACATTCCTCGGCTGCTTGGGTCAGATCCACACTCAAGGACATCCACCTGCTACAACAGAACCTGGCTCTTTGCGGATGCTTGGACTGGAGACTGCGCGCACACCTCACATACCCTACGAGCACGCCAGTAACTATATGAGTCGGAGACATCTATGGCCGTACCTCCTTCCTACGACATTCATAGCGCCTACTAACGCCTACGACCGTCCTAAGACCAAGCAATAGCCAGTCCAGCGCAACCCGTCCCCAATGGCCTACGATCAATCTTCCGCTTATCATCCACCGCAACGCCCATACTACAATCAGCAAGCGCCGCAGAGCCCTGCTTACGAGTATCAGTACGATCAATACGATCAATACGGTCAACCGCAACAGCATGGATATGGAGGTCAGTGGGAAGGTCATCAGGACGCGCAGTACAATGGCGCATATGGGAACGTGGGCAACCCGAATGAGTACCAAAGCGCGCCGGCATTGTATAGAGACCCAAGAAACAACGTCCGCCACGCATCACCTCAAGGCCATGGGGATTACTACGCGAACAATGGTCACGCAGTAGCGCACAACAATCAGGGTTATGCACAGCAACACGCTTACTCTGTTCCGCGTGGGGGAACTCAGAGCCCGCGTGGAGTGGAGCGGCCTCGCGGTCCAGATGTCCAAGCGCTGCCGCCTCAAAATCGGACCCCAGTGCCAGCGGCGACAAACAGCCAAGAGCGCAGTAGGCCCGCAGGCGGTGAGCAGCCCCGTTCGCAACAGCAACACAAAAACGACAAGGGAGTACCGCCGAATGGGGCGACGCCCAATTCACAGCCAAAACCGCAGTCCCGCGCGAAACCAGGTAAGACTGCAATTGATATGCCGAATCACCGTCAACTGCTGACTCAGCGAAGTAAAAGAGCGGATATTGCAACGCGAAGATTCTCCTGTCACACTCAGTTTCGACAACCCGTTTCCGATGTTTCCCATGAAGCCCAAACCGAAAGATAAACCGAAGACCGGGAGTATCCCTGTTGATGATGCCATGGCTAGTATGAGTATCAAGAGCGGCCGGTCAAGCGGCGATCGAGCAAGACCGCCAACTGCCTCCTCTAGCACGAGGAGCAAGGCAAGTCAGGCTTCATCTGATGCACCACGATCCAGCGGAAGTACTGAGCGGACTGCTGGGTCTAACCGGGAGGTTCGATCACGTCCACCAGACCAGGTCCAGTACCGTGCAGTTGAGAACTATCGCGCAGCACCTGCGGGTTACGTTGAAAACGGGCCAAGTCGTCCGGAGCAGGCCCCAACAATGAGGCAAGCCCATGCTCACCTGCATGGTCCGCCTCCTGTTCGCTCGAACTCTGCAGAGCCCCGAAGGAATGGCGCCTATGGCGCTCCGCCCGCTATGCCAGACAATCCCTTGCAACATCCTCCTCAGCGAGCGATGACGATGCCACAAACTGCGGCGAATAATGTACCTGCAAACAACGTCCCACAATTCGAGATGCAGTGGCCTGAACCAGGCCCTGTGGCAGGCTATCATGGCCCCGCATCACCCACTTTTATTCCCCCTCGCCCTCCAACAGCCTCCAGCAATTATTCGGGTCGCAATGGGACCGCAAGACAGGCTGAGCACTATCAGTCGACTATTCCCCCTCCAGAACTTGACGGCTCGCCGCTGCCGCAGAAGCAGCATGCGAAACACCAGAGTCTCAGCGAGTTATACGACCAATACTACGATAGCCCCCGAAAACCCTCAGATGGCTACGGAGGTGTGGGAGCTGGAGCTGCTCCCGAGGAGGAAATGCCCAACTTCGATGCTCAGCCCGCAGATTGGCGGGGCCATCGACGTGGTAACTCGCTCGAGAACCATCTAGACGCCGTATCGAACAATCCAGCGCAATCACAGAATCAAGAATATCGTGCCCCAAATCCAGAATCTTGTTATCAACAGCAGAATTTTCAATCACAGCCGGTTTCTCAGGGACAAAACCGGAACGCTCACAGCGGTATCAACGGCTTTGTGTTTGAAATGCCTGGAGATGTTCCGGAAGTCACTCCTGCACCGTATGAGGTTGAGGCGCCCTTCCAGCCAAATACATTTTATCACCAACCACCTGCTAAAGGTATGCCACCCAGCGACATCCGCAGCAGGATGATTGCTCCACCAAATCACATGCACAACACTCAGCCTCCGCAACCACGGGGCTACCCTGCGCCCAGTCATCAATTCCATCGACCCCGGCCCGGGCCACCACAACAACCACAACCACCGATGGTGAGGAACTTCTCACCACCGAACCGCTGGCCTGAGCAGGGTACAGGTCGGGATGGACCTGACCCATACGCACAGAGGGGACCCGGGCCACGACCGCCTATGGGTAGGCCAACGGCAGGTATGCCACTGCAGCAGCAAGCACCGCCTGTAGCAGCGCCGAGGCGTAACGATCCAGATGCTTTGCCACAACACCCGACACCTGTCCGTCCAGGCCTGATGGACCCCGCACTCACGAATCAACCTGCAAAGCCGCCGCCCATACGCCAGTACAACAACAGCACCAATCCAGCTCCTGCGCCTGCTGCGGCTCCTGTACCCGAATACGCCATAGCACGAGCCGAGCGCCGAGCGTCTGCCCCAGTAACGCACGACGAGCTCGACAGGCTTCGAGGAATCTACAAAGCATCGCCGTCGGAGTACAAGTCCCACCTGCGCCTCGCCAAGAAACTAGTCGAAGCCGCCTCAGTCCTCGCAGACGAAGGCGGGCGAGCAGACGCCCGCACGCGCACCAAGAACCGCGAGAAATACATCTTCGAAGCGCACAAGATCGTCAAGAAGCTCGTCAACGCCGGCTACCCGGACGCCATGTTCTACCTCGCCGACTGCTACGGCCAAGGCCTGCTCGGACTCGAAGTCGACACCAAAGAAGCCTTCAGCCTGTACCAAGCCGCCGCCAAAGCCGGCCACCCAGCCTCGGCCTACCGCACGGCTGTGTGCTGCGAGATGGGCGCTGAAGAGGGCGGCGGGACGCGCAGAGATCCGCTCAAAGCTGTGCAGTGGTACAAGCGCGCTGCGGCGCTGGGTGATACCCCGGCTATGTACAAAATGGGCATGATTATGCTCAAGGGCCTGCTCGGGCAGCCGAGGAACATCGGCGATGCGCTGACATGGCTGAAGCGCGCGGCGGAGACGGCGGACGAGGAGAACCCGCATGCGCTGCATGAGCTGGGGCTGCTGTACGAGAACCCGCCGAACACGGATAAGATCATTAGAGATGAGCCGTACGCGCTGCAGCTCTTCCAGCAGGCCGCGGACCTCGGGTATAAGTTCTCTCAGTTCAGGCTGGGGCAGGCGTACGAGTACGGGAACCTGGGCTTGCCGATTGATGCCCGCTCGAGCATTGCGTGGTATACGCGTGCGGCGGCGCAGGGCGAGCATCAGAGTGAATTGGCGCTGTCGGGCTGGTATCTGACGGGCAGCCAGGGAATTCTGGATCAGAGCGATACGGAGGCGTATCTGTGGGCGAGGAAGGCGGCGTGCTCGGATCCGCCGCTGCCGAAGGCCATGTTTGCCATGGGGTATTTCACTGAGGTGGGGATTGGGTGTCCGAGGAGCTTGGAGGAGGCGAAGAGGTGGTATGGGAGAGCGGCTTGTAAGTTGATGGGTTGCTGACTGGTGACGAGGAGAGTGGTGCTGACTGGATCGATAGCTCAGAAATTCCCCAAAGCTCAAGAGCGCCTGGAGGAGCTGAAGCGAGGCGGTGACAGGGTGCAGAAGAATAGGGAAAGGCTTTCAAGAAGTAACCAGAAACAGCACGAGGAGAACTGTAGGGTCATGTGAGCCGATGACAGACGCGACGAAGTTGATGCAGTGTACGATGGTTTTGCATGCGAAGGCGTAGGCTGTGCTTTGGGGATACCAATGGCTTGCGTAACGGTTTGTGACGCTTTTGACGTTTATCTGACTGCTCTAAGTTTTGTAAGAGAGCAAAGACCTAAATGACCTGTGAGCACGGCTTCCAGCGCTATTTTGTATATATCCGCAATCGTGACTCTCCTTATCAGCCCGCGCGGGCCGCGACTTTTCCGTCAACCTCGTCTCGAGTAATTTCCCTCAAACCTTGCAAGGACACCAAAGTCGACGTTCCTTCTAAAATGCAGCTCGGACTCATCCTCTGGCTCCTTGTCGGCCTTGCCAGCAGTCTCCAGTTCATTCCTGCAAGCAGTCCTTTCATCCACTACGTCGGCCGCTGGACCTCCACGCCCAACCAGCTACGAAGAGATGGAACCTTCCCTGGTAAGCACTTCCTAACACACCCACTCCTCATCATCCGCACAAGACCACAGCTGCCGTCAAAGCTGGCTGTAATGTACGACCCGGTCCTCGCCACAACACACCACACCACACCACAGCTAACGCATCCCCCCTCATCGTTAGGCGTCTACCTCGACCTCAACATCACAAACACAACGACCCTCCTCCTCGCCCTGTCCAACCTCCCCGCCTCCCACCTCGCCTCCTCGTCCACCTCCGCTCAACCCTCCCATACAGCCACACATCGCCTCGCCCACCTCACCTTCACCAAGTCCTCCCGCCTCGCTATCCCCGCGGCCCCCGTCTCGCTCCTCGCACGCGTCGATGACGAGGAGTATGTCTTGCTGCCCAATGCGTCTGGACTCGTGTCTGTAAGGGCGGACCTCGAGAGGGAGGCGTGGCATGGAGTTAGGGTCATCGCGCCTATGGTCGGGGAGATGGGGGTAGAGGGGGGGATGGTGGGGTTTGAGGGGGTGTGGGTTGATGAGGGCGGGAAGCTGCTGAGGGTTGCGGGCGTGGGTGGTGTTGGGGCTGGCGAGGGTGGAGGGGAGAGTGCTGAGGTGGATGAGGGGGATGCGGGTGCAGGGTTGGACGGACAGGCATCCAGCGCTATGGTCACGAAGCCGAGAAAGAAACTCATCGAAATCATCACCGACTTTCCTGGTGGCGAGAGCAGGACGCCTGGCTCCGCGAATGGCTTGCTGGCCGGTGTGATGGGCTGGGAGTATTTGCTGGGTGAGGTGTTTGGGGTTGATCATGTCAGCATCGCCGTGGATGGGATGTGTCTTACGCAGGACTGTATCGGGGGTGTGGGGAGCCCGGCTGGGATTGGGGATGTGGTGTTCAGGAGGTATGCGACGTTCTACATGCGTTCGTCAAGTTGAGCGTGAGCAGTTGCTGATCGGGTGTGTATTGCAGTGGACCTGTGGGATCTCGGCACTTTCAGCATACGTGGATGTTTCAGGAGTACGTACCGGATGTTATCGTAAGTACCCTCGCGCTGGACTGCGCCGTTACCCTTCCACTTACAGCCTGGCGGCACGACGTTCGTTTCCCTTTCATCGCTACGCCCCAACGACCCAAGCCCACCATAACAGGCACTACCACCAGGGATCCCCCTCAATCCCCTTACCACGTTCCACGGCCCCCCTTATCCCTACCCCAGGCGCTCTCAACCCT